GTAATTCTAAGATTACACCTGCAGTTTTGTTCGAACAAAACCGTGTTTGAAAGCGGTCTTTCGTATCGAATACAATCGGGACATTTCAATTGCCCTAAAACAAAAAGCCTTTGCTTGGCATCAAACGCACCTCGACCATGGTCGTTAGCAACCGATCGAGGACTGGCTCCTACGACAATAACACACCAGATATTCCCTACAGAAACTCTAGCATGCCCAACATGATGCGTTTCGATTACGAGACTCCATTGGAAAGTAGCGACGGTGATGGCTCCTCGGACGGTTCCTTTCCCCGTCGCGGCGTGGTACGAAAGTCCAGTGGTTCTGTGTCGGTGGATTCGGTTCCTGCCTTTCATAACATTTACGCCAAACCGCAGCACCAGTACGATGATCAATACAGTCAAGCAGATTACAGCGTGTTCTCGGCATTAGGCGGAGGAAGTAATACGCTGGTTCTAACGGCTCGGCGGAGGAAGAATCCGGCCTACATTTGCGTCATGATTGTTTCCATTCTTGGCCTCTTTTTGTACACCAATGCCCATGCCACACTCCACAACGCTTTGACGCAAATGAGTATGCTCACATTAGAACGACGAAGCATTCACACCCAATTCAAAATTGTGGAGCATGATCTTAGAAAGTTCCAACGAACCATTGTAAGACTCTCGCAGAGTCGGGAAGAAAAGCCACAAGAGCATGTGGTGGAAGAAAAGAAAAGCGCCGTGTCAGAAATGAATCGATTGCACGAAACCATTAAGGATACGAACGAGGCCATTGAGAATTTGCAAAAGCATATTCAAGAAACAAGTCGACAGGATGCTCTTGAAAAGTACGGAAGTGGAGTGCTTCGGGTGGAACTCCAGCTCTCCTTTCCCGGCAAACCAGATGGTGGGCCCGATACCTCCATGATATTGGAAATGGCATCTTTGGATGAAATGCCGCATTCGGTCAATTTGTTTTTGGAAATGGTGGATCGAAAGTTATTCGATGGTTGTTCCTTTATTTTGTATGCCATGGACATTATCAAGGCGGCTCCTCTTCCATCGGACGGTACCTCCACTGCGGCCAAGGTGAAAGCCTTTACCCGAGCGGGTCTCGATTCCGTCGCCTTTCGGGAATACTCCCCCAAGTATCCACACGAAAAGTGGACGGTAGGATTTGCCATGGATGGGAGTCCTTCGTTCTTTATCAATACCAACGACAATACGGAGGTGCATCACGGCGACCCTTGCTTTGCCAAGATTGTTTCCGGTTTTGAGACGGTGGAAAGATTGAAGAGTGCACCCACCCGGAAGGATGGAATGTGGTACAAGAAGCGAATTGGATTGAAACGAGCAAGGATTTTGTAAATAAGTGTACATACCTCGAAGCTCTTGTTTCCCACGCACCAATCAAGAAAGACTATGGAAATCTATCTCCGCATTCCACATCAGAAGAAAGAAAGAAGGACACAATGAAGGTAATCATTGCCAGGCACAACTCATACAACTGAAGAATGGATCGATGAAACAGAACCCCTTGTTGGATTCCCATCATCAAGGGAGTAGTCACACCATGGAGACAGCCTTTATGGTCGTGAACTTTCAGTAGCTGACGAATTCGGATCAATTGCCACGGAAGCAATTATTTCTCACTACGGTAGAGATTCATTCGGATCCTATAGAACCTAGTCCAAGTCACCAGAACAGAACTGCGTTTTAAAATTAAAAGCAGAGTAGTAAATAATAATTTTCATAATAATAGAAGAAATCATAAGAAAAAGACTCGATGATGAGTATCATTCTCTCTCTCCCTTTCGTTTGGCTGGCCTACAGGACTCATGTTGTGGATTAAGGTGCCCCTCCTTTTTGAGAATGAAACAAATGTGTACGGCAAACATTGACAAAACTTTTTAAAATAGATCTTCTCGATGGGAAGTCCTCTACCGGTAGGATACGATGGCTGTTTTTTCAAAAGGGCTCGAATGTGTAGGGCAAGCATTAATGTGGTATTTTATATATTATGAATATTAAAAAAGAGGTCCTAGGTATATAATGGCAGCCTAATGATCAAGTCCAATCAAGAAAGTCCACTCTAAACGGCATTCGTACCGGTATGCACGCAAAAGCATGATGTTTCGGCGGTTTACTTCCTCTGGAGAAAAGCCTTGCAATATGGTAGATCTCCTCGACATGCGTTTCTCAATGACCCGAAGTCTACACTTCTCACCTCTTCTCAACATCTTGGACACATAATCCTTTGGAAAAAGCGGGCATAGAATCTCCTCCTTTGTCCGACGATCGCAGATCAATCCTTCTGTGGCAATCAGTGGTACCAATAGCTTCACATGCTTTCTCCTGTAAATGACTCCACAATACTGTTTCTCTTCTTCTTGCGGCCATGCAAGAGCCTGCCGAAAGAAACCAACAATCGAGTCCTTTGCTCCATTCAACTTAATTTTGTCACACATTAGTGCGAGATCGATCAATTTGCCGATTCGTTGAACAACCGACAACCGGTCTGAAAGGAGCATCTTGGTAAACGTTTGAAACACCTTCGATACGACCAAGCCGTGACCGAATCGATACCGATGAAAGTTCTCCGTAACCAACAATAGGTCGCTGATCTTGGCTACTCTATTCAGAGCTTCACCGAAAGGCAACTCGTCTAGTTGCATCATCAAGCCCCAAATTGGAGGAGATTTATCGGGAAGTTCTATGGTTCTCATTTGATTCACATCTTTCTTTCATGGCTGTCACCAACTCATCGTCGATGGAATCACTTGTGTGGGCCACGCACACACCGTTGCAGTCGTATTCATATCTCTCCTTTCCAACGAGGGTGATGTGATCATGTGGTGCGAGTCTACACTTTTTGGCGATGGGTTCTGCATGTACTGTATCATCATCGTCGTCCCAGTCCCAGTCTCGGCAACGCTTCACTTCCAGAGGACCTTGTCTTGTGCATCTCCAGCCCTGTGCAACATGCCAGTTTGCTTCCACCTGTGGTTCTGAATGGCAAAAAGTCTATTTTCCTCGTTGAATTTGGACAGAGCACCCAAGTAAGTATCTGGAAAAAGTGGGCATAGAATCTCTTCCTCGGTCCGGCAACCCCCAACCAATCCGAATCCTTCTTTGGCAATAAGTGGCGCCAATTGTATCAGGTGTTTCTGTTGTAAATGAAACCAGCACACTGCGTTTCGTCGCCTTGTGCCGATACTTGTGCCTGGCGAAAGAAAGCATTAATGTCATCTTTTGCTTTATTGAACTCAATCCTGTCATAAAGAAGTGCGAGATCAATCAATTTGCCCATTCGTTGCACTACAAACAACGGATCCGAAACGAGCTTTTTGGAAAAAGTTTCAAACACCTTTGCTACGAGCATCGATACGAGCATTTGACAATTCGTCCCGTCGTCAATAAGCCCGTATCGATGGAGTTTCTCAATTACCAACAGCAAGTTGCTGAATTTGGAAACTCTATGCAGCGCTTCAACTCAATAAAGTCCATCATCAAGCCCCAGATACGAGAAGAGATGTCAGGAAGCTCTATGGTCCTCGTCCCGCCATTGGGATTTGCCACGTAGTTCGCAGAAAAGCCGTATCTGAAGACCATTTTGGATTCACAGCAGCAATAAATGTATCTTTCTTTTCCCAGGATAATCATGAGATCATAATATCCACTTTTGGCAACGGGTTTATTCTCATCGTAACCAACCAAGTTGGCGTTATCATAATCGTTGCGGACAACCATCTTCTTGTTCAATGATAAGAAATGGCTCTGTCAAACGAATTAATAACTTTAGCTTTTTGCATCTTGCGATTCAGACTCCACCGTGTTTTGTTTCGCTCGGTTTTCATTGTTTGACGATGAGGTAAAAGGGCGAGAGATTAAGTGAGTCGTGGCGGGACTTCGGTGTCGGACGAGTCGATATGGAATTGTGGAGATAACCGACCGACGGAACCTATGACACTGTAATCGCTGACAGAGTACAATGTGGTAGGTTTAATGGACTCAAGGCTCTGGATGGCCAAAAGTTTGCTCTGTTCGTTTGCCTTGGAGAAATTGGACGATATTATGCTCTGTTATTAAGACCCTCGTTAGTCCAACGATAGCCCACAAATCCTTCGGCACCTAGTGGTGTTCTTTCGCTGTCAACACACCTGTTTGTGAGGATGTAGTAGGACTAGACCCTTCCTCCAAGACGTTTAAAAAAACAATTTAAAATAGAAGTTTGCAAGAGCGTTTAAAGGCGCATGGTTGTGAATTGCTCCCATCTAGATCAGTTTAGTATCTCTTGTTGTGCGTTCTCTTTCCTCCACGTCCACGGCCGCCTCCACGGCCGCCTCCACGTCCACGGCCGCCTCCACGACCGTGGGATCTGCCTCCACCGTCACGGCGTCCAAATCTATTACCTCCTTGCGACTTGCCCATGCCACCGCCTCCTCCGTGTCGATGTCCATGACGGTCATCGTCCTTCCAGTGGTCGTCCTTGAATCCATGGTTGCCGCTGAAGGCATCCAGCAAACGCTCGTTGGCTTCAACCAATGAGGCAGTTTTCTCAGCGAATTGCAATGCCGCGATTTGAAGAGAGTTTGGCTCAACCTTGCGGAGAACAACAGTTTCAGTTGGTTGATCCCAGCTAGCAAAGAGCTCGCGGTTGATCATCATTCTGGAAACAACACTGTGAACCTCGTTTTTGGTCATCTCAAACATGCCGCACAATTGACTTAGGGAAAGAGAATCGTATTGAGCAGAGAAGGCGAACAGATAGGTTCTCAATCCTTCCAATTTAATCTTTGACGCCAACATGGTTTTGATTGTGTCCACAGAATCATCTCCAGCGACAAGATTCCACACCTCGAGCTGATTACACAGATCAGTACATGCCTTCCAATCACCCTTCATCAATGCTTGCGACGCGCGCATGACATAATCACGAGTTTGCTCAGGTGGTCCTGTAAACACTTGATGTTCATAAATGTCGTGATACTTGCGGAATGCTCGAGAGATGGGGCGCAATCTTCGTCCACCAATGGCTTCGGCACCCACAGAAACAGCAGCCATGTTTGGAACCTCAAGAAGCATAGCGCTGATCAAATGGCAAGCTTCAAGCAAATCCAAGTTGATATGTTGGTGGTAAGGAACTTGACGACGCTTCTCTGCCTTTTCTTGCTGTGGTGTCTTCTCGGTGAATCGGCTCATGCCAACCCCTTGTGCAAGAAGTTCGCGAACACGTCCAGAGCAGACTTCGGAGAGACATTGGTGGGCCTCCCAGATTCGTCCTTGTCGGAAGGCGCTCATTCCAAGTGTAACCATCATGCGGTTGTATAGGATCATGGTGGTGATGTCACCACAATCATAGATGGTATCTTGCAAGTGAGACATCAGCAACAAATCACGAGCATCCAAGAAGCGATCGTGCAGTGCGTGGTGAAACACGTGACATATTGTAGCCCTTGTCTTCGCGGCATCACTGCCATACTTGTAAACGTAGGTGCAAAGGTCGCCCATCAACTGTTTCCAGTCGACAGAATCAGCCTCAGCGTGTTCGGCGGTGGGCTTGCCCATAAAACTGGCAGGGTGGGAAACAGAAAAGTCGCTGCTTCCCTTCTCCTCCGAGATACAAGCAGGGTGCAACATCGATAATTCACCAAACGTGTTGTAGAACTCGGCGGCTCGATCAACTTGGATGGCAATCGAGTCATGACGGTAGTAGATGTGTTCAATACGCTTTTGAGCCAAAACAGCTGCCTCGTTGGTTGCCCCTTCACGTTCGTAGTAGGATTGCATCTTTGACAAGAGAGCAAAGAGACCAGATTCGTCTCTGAGTCTTGCCACATACTCGGTTGTGTAGTGAGAAATCTTTTGAAGACTCTTTGTGTACTCCTCTTCGAGGCGGTTCAAGTGAAGCGATAGAGATCCAACGACAGGAATAGTCTTCTTCTCTTCTTCCGACATCCCCTCTTCCTTTTCGAGACGGAGACGCTCGGCACGTTGATCTTCGGTCTCGTCTTCTCCAGTGTGGGGGTTGACCAACTTTTCCTCCGCAGCCACCGCCGCCATGGCTCCATCAGTGCCAGATGCAGCAGCCTTAATCATGGAGGCATTCTTGGAATTGCTCAAGACAAGATCAGCTTCGTCAATAGTCTCAACACCAAGGCGGTATCCTTCGTCAACAACAACATCAGAGATTCTGTTGAGGTAGGAAGAGCATGACCTCCACGTAGGGATCTCCATGTAGTCGTCCATGGTTCGTTGGAGGCCAAATTGAGCGCTGATCACATACATTAAAATTGGAACTTCAACGCGGGGTCCGAATTTGGTAGCAAGACGAGAAAGACCCTCGAGCTGGTTAAGAAGTTGACGAGGATCAGTACCACGACGTCCACGTTGAGAGGCAATTTCCTTGACCTTGCGGTTAAGGATAGATGGGGTAAGACCCTCTTCAGGAATAACCGACTTTGGTGCCTTGATGGCTTCGTGATCCTTGGAGACAACAGTCGTCTCTTTCTTCTCAGCAACCTTGGCCGCCTTCTCTGATGGGTCTTGCTTCTTCTTTTCTCTTTTGGTAACGACAGTGTTCTTCTTCAACCAACGAGCACGGCCCTTGAGTTGAGAGTAGGCACCAGCTTCTTCGTCAGAGCTAGAAGAAGAATCGGAGTCGTTATTCCAATCAGAATTATCATCGTTTCCAGCGCCAGAGCCCTGCGAAAGAAGCATAGAAGAGATAAGAATATGATGTGGAGCATGGCAGGTGAAATGCTAATGAGAGTACAGTGCAATATCACTCAAAAGAAATTTGGTCTCATGGCTGACAAAACCCATCATCCTTGCCGCTTTGACAGCGACAAATAACGGAGTCAAGTAATGCCAGAAATCAGAAACGAGGAATTCATCCCCCAAAGGGGCGAATAGGCGATCCTTGTGATTGCAAAGCAAAATCTCCAACACCATCTCATTTAAAACAACAACGTACCGAATCATTATCCGAATCCGAATCTGAGTCGCTATCCGAGGAAGAGGATGAGCTGCTGGAACTGCTAGAGCTGCTGGCATTATCCGAGGCACCGTCGTCATTGTCATCATCGTCTCCAGTATCTGGGTTTTGCCGATAGTGGTTCATAACGGCTTGGTATGGCTTGTTATGCTTCTTAAGAGTCAACTTCATTCGGTTCAACGAACGCCCTTGACGGGCAGAAAGCTTCTTGAAGGCTGCCTTATCTGCCAAGCGTTCTGGAATGTATTCCTCCAAATCCACCAGAATACGGACAAGTGATCTTGGAACTCCCGCCGCAAGGGTTTTCTTGGCTTTCACCATAGCTTTGGCAAGCTCGTCAAACTCTGTTTGTAAGGCATAATAGTCCCTACTTTTCATGTGGCTTCGGAGATTGCTAATGTGCTTGTTGAAAGTATCAATGGCGCGCTCCTTACCGGATTTTACCACTCGTACTTCATCGTCCGAATCGTCACTGTCACTGAAATCAACCCATCGGTTTCCAGCGGCTTTGTTTCCTTCTTCTTCAGAGGAGTAGTAAGAAGAATCATCCGAGGATGAGTCTTCCGAAGAACTAGCGCCTGCCCAGAATCGGCTCATTGTTTATATATTGATATCTGTTGCTCTGGAAAGCGGCAAAGATGAAACCTGTGCTTGTCCATGTATTTGAGCCAAGAATGGGTTCTGGGCTGTGCGTACGATGGACGTACGTCCAGGTTGTAAAAATTCAATATCGATGTGTGACGGTGCAAGACAGACGGCCACCAGAATTGCAATTCAAGTTCAACATATTCAATATTGAATATGCAGCACCGGAATAAATGTCCCTTATTTTAGATTTGGAAAGGAAAGCATAGAGCGACGATTGCGCTCGGGTCGTTTGCTGCCTGCTCAGACATGACCAATGTTGCGACGAGGTACACATATACCTCTTTGGCTTTTTGGCTACTCCACGTATTGTTCTTACAATTCAAAACTCGGCAAAACAAACAAAATCGATCAGAAAAACAATATTTTGCCATTGACGAAAAATCACGTCTTGTGGTTCTATTGCGTGTATCATTATTACAAAGTAGAGTTTCGTTCGGCACTGTTGGCACAGTCGTTGCAATCCAGAAAAAGTATTCATTTGTGCGATCGAATGTCATCTGCTATCAAATTTCAATTCGTTCCATTGTTCCGAAACGACTGGGAACAAGATAACTTAGTTCAAGTTCAAACTGGGAATATCGGGAATATCTTCGACCTCTTCGGTTTCCTCTTCCTTGGCGGCAGCCTTCTTCTCGCCGTCTTCTTCTCCATCTCCCTTCTCGGCCTTTTCCTTTTCCAAGTATTCCTTTTCTTGCTCCTTGTACTTGGAAAGCATTTCATTTCCTTCCTTCAGCCGGTCTTGCATCTTTGCTTCAATTTCCTTCATCTTTTCCGGGTCCTTCATCATCTCTTGAGAAGCCTCCATGTGTTGCTTGAATCCTTGAGATTCTGTCAATTTCTTCATTTGCGCTTGGAAGGCAGGGTCGTTCATCATCTTTTGGGCCTCACGCATGATTTCAGGATCCTAACAGGTAGGCAGACAGAACAAGAAGGAGAAATGTGAGAGAGGCATCAACCGAGAAATAGCTCTTTGCTCGAGTTTTGGCAGCATGACGCCCAACGACGACATTTCTGACACCTTGTTGAAGATGAAAACAAGCGTGCCACCCTTGGATATTAGTTTGCAGAATCAATGGTCAAGTTCATGCAGATCATTTATGAGCACAATAATCATAACGGTACCGTGACCCAATCCCAATTGTCGGTTTCATTTGTCCCTGATTTGCAAATCTGCAAACCTCCCCGATACAGGCGTTTCAGAGTCTTTAGAAGCTGCTGAATTCGTCATTGTTCGGCCCAAAATGCCGCAATTTTTGTCTTTTCCCTTTCTTCTCTATGACGAATAACATACCTGCATATCCTGCATAAGTTGGGCAAGCATCATAGAGTTCATGGTTGTGTTGGTTGGTTTTACAAGTTGTTCTTTTGGCAGTTTCAAGTTGTGTGTTTGCAAGAATACGTTTTGGAGTTTCTACGTGGAACCTACCACCTTTGAAGTACGGAAAAAGTCGCTATTTCAAACCTCAAATCAAAAGCCTCGGATCCGCTTGCCGGCGCGTAAATATCTCAACTTCAACAATGCGACGGACGAACGCAGCGCCTGTCCGATATCAGGTTTTGATTTTCCACAATTTGCAAAAAAACTGCATCCAAGTGATAAGTCCGTTTTTGGAGACATCTAATCATAAAACTTTAGCTATATTCTTTCCAACAAGCAATCGCATGCTTGATGGCTCGATTAGGAATGAGTTGTTTCTCCGTCAAAGACTTGCGGGTCAAAGGAGACGTTGGGTGAATAGCAAGCCATTCTAGAATGGCAGTCTTTTCATAGGTATTGCCCTCATGATCAATCACTGGATCCACCAAGGGCTCATGTGTCAAGGGACACAGAAGATGAAAAGGGAAATCTGGTATCGATACAAGTTGGCGACGACATTTCGATTGATTCTTTGTTCTGCACCTCTGTCGATCTTTGTCCTTTTTGCAACTAATAGTAGTACTCCTCTTGTTCAGAATTGTTGTTCTCGTTTTGTGCGAAGTCTTCTCCCATTGTTCCTGCACGTGTGATAATTCTTCCGCAATATCTTTCAGTTCTAGAGCCAGATTATCGTGCGCTTCTTTCCACTTGTTCAATTCTTGGATTTTCTTTTCGTGACACTCCATGATTGCATGGAAGGCATCCTTGACTTGCTTGATATACTTTTCTTGTTCTTCCAACAACTCGGACCACTCTTGTCTTTCCGTTGGCGTGAAGCTTTTTGGGAGAACATGTTCTTGTGCGATGGGAGATACCTCTTTTGTCATGATATTCGACTGCCATTCAATTTATGGTTGGTCGTGTTGACAGTGAGACCAGAAACCACCAGAATAGTCGACGTGGAAGTCCGATGTGAAACTACATCTCATTCTTGGGATACGAAAACAAGGGCTAGAGCCAGCATTGTCAAATCGTGTCAAAGTAAAATGCATAATAACAATATAATGTTGTATTAAATATACTAGAACCTATTACGTGATAGAGGATAGCCCTAGTAATAGTAATGCCCTATTTCTTGTTGTCCCATGCCGCAATCGCATGCTTTACAGCACGATTTGGAATGAGTTGATCTTTTGTCAGATGATTTCTAGTAAGAGGCGATGTTTCATTGAACTCGAGCCACTCCAAAATGGCTTTCCTTTCATAAGTATTACCCTCGTAGTCAATCACTGGATCCACAAAGAGTTGTTGGGTCAAGGGACAGAAACAGCAGTCGTCTGGATCAGCTGAAACAAAAGATGCGTCAATGTTGGTTGAATCCTCCACTGCATTGTTTTCATCATCGTTATCATCACTACCACCACCACCACCAGCAGCAGCAGCAGCAACAGCAATCTCGTCTTCGTCTTCTTTTACCTCTTCTTCTTGCTGGATCAAATGATAGACAGCATCAATAAGAAGATCGCATTGTTCCTTTTCATCGTTTAACTCGTTTCGTTGACGCTCTATTTTTGCCAACAAGCCATCAATTTGATTCAATTGTCGGTGGCACCGAGACTTCCACTGGTCCGTTTGGCGCTCTTGCCAGCGCAAAATGACTTGATAGGATGGTGATGAAGATTCTTCCATGTTGTTGGAAGCTAGTTCGTGCAAGAGTTGTTGGCCGCGGTTTCTTGCAACGCCTTCAGGGGAATTGCTAGCATTTCTTTCCGAACTATAGTTATCTCGAGTCTCGGAATTCCCAAGTACATGTGGAAGAGCGGTGGGCAGTCTCGTTTCGTTGCCATGTTTGTTTCTGCTGCTTCTTGTTGATGGTGGTGTTGTTGATGACATTATCACCTGTTGCTGGAGGACATGCATGCGTCTCTTGGTACTCGCCAATTCCACTCTCGTGTCTTGCAATTCTCGAGTCAACTTTTCATTTGCTTCTTTCCATTGGTTGGATTCTTTGATAGTCTCTCGATGACGATCCAACCAAACTTGCAAGGATTCTTCCACCTCCTGCATGCATTGATCGTGCTCATCCAACAATATTTCCCATCGTTTTGGTGCACGAAGATGGTTGTCTCTTGCAATAGTGGTGCCTCCTCGGTTGCTTTTATTGCCAAGGCGAAGGGATGAAAACGACATCATGGTTGGCATTGTCAAACGAATGAATGAATCAAGGAATCAATCAAGGAATAACCAAGGAAGCAATGATAGATTGATGTTTGCTTGGATTTGTGAGATGAGGAGAAGAATTGCAGTGTCTCAAGTCCCACTGCTCTTTATTTTTGAAAACCATAAGGACCAGTTGCGACATTGTCGCAAAAGATTGCCAAACGGTGGTACCGTTTGATGCATGTTTCTTGCCATGTTGTGGGAGTGAGGCGTTGAACAATCGTGGAGGTTAGTTTGGTTTGGTTTGTTGAAAAAACTAAGTTATGTCAAATGATAAAGACTAAACTATACCTAAATCGTGCGTATGTCTTCGTCATTGTCAGCTTCGGTGTCACATATATATCAAATGACGCATCACGCGCCAAACCTGAACCACACGAGGTTCGAAATTAAAAATTGAATTTTGGCAGCAAGTTCCAATTGGCGCATTGCTTTCCGCGTTGCATGATTGATTCCACATCAACCAACATCAAAATACTGTATATTTCATGTACTGTAGTATGCACCTTTGACGCTCCTCGCTTCTAAAACCATCATGAAACGATCCAATAATGACAAACGTTCCCGTCGGAAGGAAAAGCGAGCAAAGAGCGCAGTCCTTCGTCAAATTAACTCCAATGATGCTAATAGTAGTGCTGCTGGTGAGAGCAACAAACGAGAGCAAAACGACAGCAAGGATCATCCAAACAACAGCAATATCAACTCCAACGTCGGCAGCAAACGCAACCAACAAAAGAAAAAGAAGAGAGCCAAAGGACTTATTCAATCAGGTCATTTTGGAAGCTTTCTAAAAGGCCAAGAATGGTCCGACGAAATGCTGTTGGGCAAAGTGCCAACCACCGATGATCCAAGGTTTCCGGACTTGGAATGCATTGCTCAATTCTTGGCCGATTACCGCGCCATGTCGACCTTGCACGTTCATGCGCGACAAAGCAACAACAATAGTCCAGCCAATGGCAACAGCAGCAGCACTAACAACAGCAATGACAGCAACAACAACGAGAACGATAACACTTCTCCCTGTCATTCTCATGCCAGCACGGCATATTACATTCCCGTCATTCAAGATTTTGCCCGCACGCAACAGGACCGCCAATCGGCAGGATTGCGGACCAACACCTCTCGTGAGACTTCGGAAGGAATGGCACAAGTGGTCGAATCGCATACCAAGGCCTTGGAGGCTGCCATGGAACATGTGGACCCCTTTCAATCCACCTTGTTTCAGCATGACGATGAAGATGAAGAAGAAGCGTCTACCATTGACGGTCAGGATCAACTTGTTCCTACCAAGCAAACTCTTGGCCAATGGCATTCCATTTTGGTGACCAACACTGCAGCTTCAGCAAGAACAACCAACAATGCCGCCACTGCTGATGCATCCAACATTGCCAATGGACCAGCAACCAACCAGTCCTCCTTTCGCAAAGCGAGGGCCAAGGCTGGAAAGACAATCTTTTGTCCACCTGACCAAATTGCCACGGAGTTTCAAGAATTCCGTTTGGCCATGATTCGATACTGTCACCAATGGGAATCCAAAATTATGCCCCTCCCCGAACGCAAGAGATCGGGAAGCATTACTACAGCAATGTTGGACAGCGCCGCTGCCACGGAACTTGCCCATCAAATGACCCAACAAAAACATACCTCCATTTACCATTCCTTGGGCGTGGCTGCCATTTACTTGTTTGGGATTGTGGACATTCACATGTACTCGGATGGGAATGGACGAATGTCGAGAATAGGAGCCAATTGGATGCTCAAACGAATGTTGGGATGGCCCTTTTCAATCACTCTCGTTGCCAACCCACAGCAACGGCGGGAATACATTTCCGCGCTCCAGCATGCGGTAACCTGTATCCAACTTGCCCAGAAGCAACAGCAACAGAAAATTCCTATTGATCTTCCCGGAAGTGTCTTTCGGCCCCTCATCCTGTTGCTTCTAGACCGCATGGCCAATGCTGTTCGAGAATGTCAACGCAAGCTGACGGAAAAATCACAGCTCACGCGGGCTGCCGAAGAGGCGCGGATTGCCCGCAAGGTCCGAGAAGAGACGGCGTCGGGACGATGTGTCATTTGTTTGGACGATAATCCCAACATTGCCACTCTCTGCTGTGGTCAAGGGGTTCATTTGAACTGCGTGGCGGAATGGTTGTCCAACAATTCCAACTGCGTCTATTGTCGAGGACCCTTGCCGCAGCTCAAGCTTCAACGGCCATCTCCGCCACCCGAAGACGACGAAGAAACAGAGAATGGTGCCGGTGGTGCCATCGTTTCGGAAATTCGTAATGTACTCGCTATGCCAGATGCCAACATGGCGGCGGCTACCGCATCTGCAGTGTCCAGACTCACTTCGAATCCTGCATTTCTCAACATGATCCGACGAAGCCTACAGGATCAAGCCATTCAGAATGCAGAAGATGCTGTCTCTATGCACTCCACCACTACCACCATGTTGTCGAGCGATGATGACGAAGACGAAGAGGAGGAAGATGATGCAGAGGACGACGAAGATTTTGGTGATGAGCATAGCAATGATTCTACCTCCATGATGTGTGTCAATGGAACTTGTATGAATGCGACGCAAACATGGTGCCCCAGAGGCCTTTGCTTTCGGTGCTGCAACCAGACAGGGGTACACTGTTTTTACCATCATGGAAGAAGGGTTATCCCTCCGGAGGAAGAAGAAGAAGAAGATACAGGCGTGCTTTCAGATGGTGAAGATGGAGAAGATACGACCTTGTATTATGGTGGAAGTGAGGATGATGAAGATATCGAACAACCATCCACAGAGAATGCAGGAAATGATGAAAGTGACATTGGGGATACGACCACATTTCTTGATGATGATGATGATGATGGAGGTGATGATGCAACCTCGCGATTTTCTGCGCCACAATATCATCTTCAACGGGCGATGCGCTGTTCGACGGGAGAGTGCAACAACATGCCGGCTGCCGACTGCCAAAACCACATGTGTGGACAATGCTGTGTCCTGTTTGGCGGGTACAGTTGCTTGCGCCACAACACTGGGGCCTATGCCAATTGATCAATTTTTGAAACTAGAAGGGGAACAAATTACTGACTGTCACATTATTACCTACACCTTGTTGATTCAAAATGGCATTATTCCTATTGCTTTGTAATATGGAAGTATTTGTTGCGTTCTTCGACGTCTTTACTCATCAAGTTTTGTACCAGTTCCATAATAGCATCTATTGATCTTCCGTTGTCGATGATGGTCTGCTTCACCATTTGGTCGTTAAAGTCCACGCCATTCAGTCTTTCCATCTTGACGATCAGTTCTTGAATCTCTTCATCGTTCAAAACATCGTCACCATTTAGATCCGCCACTAGGAGGACATCAAAAAGGTTCCCAAGAATCTCTCCCTGCACGTTCTGTTTCATCTTATTGAGAATCTCCTTGGATTCTTCTAATTGGTTTTCAAGAGCATCTAGCGACGTCACCTGAGTACTGTTGATGATATCCAACTTTTCTTTCTGGACCTTCAAACTACAGCAGACAAGAAAAAGACTTGTTAGATCCGACATCATGAACCTGACACGCATGCCTTCCAGACTTACTTCTTCACGCTAGTTCCCAATTGTTCCACATTCTCCTGTAATTTTCTATTTTCTCGGTTCAATGTATCGACTTCTTCTCGCACTCGTTGGTTGGTTTCAACAAGAGCCAAGCATTGAGTAATCTTTTGTTGTTGAAACACAGCGTACGGCGCTGCCAACAAGCCGAGAACCGCAGAGACAATAACCAACGGATTTCCCAAACTGACAATAATAGAAACTACAGAGGCAGCAACGGATACTGCAGCCAACGCAGCGACTGCTCGTTCTCTCCAAGAGTATTCCGGAAGCTCACCAAGTGGCTTCTTTCCTCCCATGAGAGGTGTGCTCTCGCCAAGCTCGAGATCGACATCTGGTGTTGACATTGTAAAGAAAAGGGGGTAGTGGGGTATTGGTGGAGCAACTCGAGGTGTGTGTAACGACTCTGTGGTATCCACTCTGTCAAACGGCAAGAGGTTGGATCCAACCTCTCGGAACTCTTTTGCGTGCAGGCTTGCGCTTTGTTGACCTCTTCGACCAACAAAGTCTGTCCGTTCTTCGATTGGATTCGACTCATTCACCAACCGAAATCACATCAACTTCATCATTTCTTTTTCAAATCACCATCATTATTGACTTGCGAGCTGCCTTGGAGGAGCAAGAATTATAGACGCACAACACCTGAAACAGCAACAACAACTATGGGAGTTCCAAAGTTCTTTCGATGGATGTCGGAGCGCTATCCCAAAATCAATCAACGGTTAGGATCGCCACCCAATCCAGAAACCTCTCAGCGTTATTTTGACAAACCACCACCCGATGCCTTTGAACATCCAGATCCCTTTAGCAAATGTGGTTTGCCACCAGAAATCGATCGCCTCTACATTGATATGAATGGAATTATTCACGGCTGTTCTCACAACAACTCCAGTAATGTTGACGATGATGGCGAAGGATTTGACACGGTTTCACGGATCTCCAATCCCGACATTTTTCGAAACGTTTGCTACTACCTCGACCGGATAATTGGCGACATGGTACAACCCCAACAAGTGGTATACATGGCGATCGATGGTGTTGCACCCAGAGCAAAGTTGAATCAACAACGAAGTCGGCGGTACCGCAGTGGTACGGAGGGCTCTATCGAAACGAGTATCTACGACGCCCATGAAAAAGCAATGCAAGAGCAAGAAGAAAAACGAGAACAAGAACAAATCGAGGAGGATGATGCATTTAGTGTGGAAGATGGGTATTCCTTTGCCTTTAATGAGGAAAATGTCAAGGACGATAGCAAAGCTCGGCTCGATGTCGAAGAAGTCACACCAGGCCGGTTCACTGGAAAGTTTGAGACTCAAACGCAAGAACTGGATGGCGACAAGGAGGCCTTTCACTCCAACGTTATTACACCTGGAACGCCCTTCTTTACTGACTTTACACAACATTTGGAGCACTTTGTCAAATACAAAATGAGTACGGATCCAAAGTGGAAGGACTTGACAATCATATTCAGCGGCCCAAACGTGCCTGGAGAAGGAGAACACAAGATCATGCAGTTCATTCGAGAGCAAAAGAAAGAACCAAACTACAATCCAAACTTACGCCATTGTATCATGGGACAGGATGGAGATTTAATCATGCTGGGGCTAGCAACACACGAACCCAACTTGGTGCTGCTGAGGGAGCGCGTCATTTTTAACATGGTGCAACAGCAGCTGCGACATGCAGCGTCAAGTGGACTGGATGCTTACGTCAACAATGCTCACTTTGAGCTACTGCACATGGGAGTTTTAAGGAACTATTTGGCGTATGAATTTGAGACTTCAGATGTCATGCAGGAGGCTCCTTGGGATCTGGAACACACGATTGACGATTTCGTTTTCATGACATTCTTTGTGGGAAATGACTTTTTGCCTCATATGCCTGCTCTGGACATTGCAGATAACGCCTTTGACTTGCTTTTCTGGACATACAAGGAGAGCCGAAAGCAGTGGTTGAAGGAGGATCCCAAAATGCCATATTTGACAAACAGAGGATCGATTGTTTCTGGAAGGCGAGTGGAGGAGTTTTGTTCCGCTCTGGGAAGCCACGAAGTTTCATATTACGACAAGAAAAAAATCACAGCTCCCAAGGAGAATAGGCGACTTCGAAAACAATACAAAAAGCTGGGGATGGCAACGACTGTTCCAAATGAGACTGTTATTGAGTCCAAAGAACAAGCGGATAGGGCAGCCTACCGAGCAATGCTTCAGAATGTAGGTGAAAAAGAAGCAGAAGCAGATACGGAGACCTTTTCTCCAGTCGTGTCAGGTGAGGTCTCTTTCCGTTCGTCAGAAGAGTTCATAGAGGAAGGCTTGATTTCACAGATGGGTAGTATATTGCAGAACTCCATTAGCCACGAAGGTGGTGAAGATGGAGAGCACGGTTCTTCACTTGATGATCAGGACCTGAAGGGTCGCTATTACTATGACAAGTTCCAGATCACCCCATACGATCAAGAAAAGCATCATGCCCTGCGAAAGGCATACATGGAAGGCTTGGTTTGGAATCTCAAATATTATTACGAAGGATGTGTTTCTTGGGACTGGTACTACCCATACCATTATGGGCCCATGTTGAGTGATCTTGTTGATCTTGATAACATCCTAGGCGAAGTCGACTTTGAAGGGAAGATGGGATCTCCCCTGAAACCTTTCCAACAGCTGATGGGATGCATGCCACCGTCTCAGTCTCACCATCTACCTGAGCCTTTCCGCTGGCTGATGACGGACGAAAACTCTCCAATCATTGATTTCTACCCAAAATCATTTTATGTAGACATGAACGGAAAACGATGGCCATGGGAAGCTGTGACTTTGTTACCATTCATCGATTCGCAGCGACTTATTGCGGAATATGACAAAATTGACGAGAGCCTACTGTCAGAGGACGAGCGTCGGCGCAATTTGACTGGGAGCATAGTCGTCATGATGTACGATGAGGGCCACGCTGAAGCTATTCCAGCGATTGGAGTAAACGAAGGATTTAGGGCAATCGATGAGAGCAAGGTCATATCCGTTCCTTTTGAAATCTCAGACTGGAGTTACTCGTTGGAAGACAAAGCAGTACTCGAACCTGTTCTGCATCCAGGAGTCGAAGTTCCTCTCCCAGGATTTTCTTCATTGAGAGATGCACCAATTCAAAGTCTGTGGCGCAGAAGGAACGGATTGAATGTCTTTGGTGGTAGAAGTCGTTATTTGACTGCATGCTTGGAAGTGTCATCTTTCATGCCGCCGCTCCCACCAGTCGAAGATCTTGCTCCAAAGCTGATAGGAACGAGCATCTTTGTAAATTATCCCCATTTTGTGGAAGGTCTTGTAACAGCAGTATCAGACGAGCACACCGTAGTGCGTGGCCGAAAGAAGCCACGACGTTGGACTGAAAAGGAGTCTGAGAAATGGAGGATTCAAAGAGAAGGTATAACAAGGTGCCTGGAGGTTGGAGAGGGATATACAGGAACTGGTGGCGTGATCATTCCAGATGATCAAGCTGTAACGTTGTCTGTTCGGCCATTGGAAGGGATTTCGACACTAAAGAACGGAATGACAGTCAAGAGTTATGCAAAGTTCGAAGTTGAAGTCCCAATCATTTCCACATTCTGGAATCCAAAAAGTGCTGACGCTCGTCTCAACGATATTCCAGCCCGCCTTGAAAAGAATGCATTTGATGTAGCAGGCCCACTGCAAGCTGCGCAAAAGAGTCAACAGAAGCCTAAGAATGGTCGAAGAAGAAAGAAATTGTTCCCACCAAAGGGTAATTCAACGGCCGAATTTTCTGAAGGGATGGAGATTAACAAAGTAGCCAAGGCTCACTTCTCAACCTCGGCCTTCTCATCACTTGGAGCGATTCAACGACCCACGACTATTGGTCGCACGGGTTTTGGTTTCCGCCATGCGAGTCACAACCTTGCAAGGAGGAATTACTCATCCATTTCCTCTTTGATGCCAGTACAAAACAGCAGCCAACAAGGCATGAAGTTTGAGCAAGTCCTGCCGGAGCGACAACTGATTGGACTGAAAACATCTCCGAGAACCACGATTCGACCCTTGGTCGGAAGAACTGCCAATCCTCGAGGACGAATGCTTGCTGTTGGTTTCATCGCCGCCTCATTTCTATTTCAGTTTGGCGAAGCGGTGTCATGGTTTGGCGGTTCTGCCACTGAGACAAGGTCAGTGTCCCCTTCATTTGCTGCAAGACAGCTGTCCACGAGCTCGCAATGCGTATTTGATATTCGAGGTGGGGTAGAAGAAATGGATTTTGAGATTGACAGTGTTCCTCCCCTTGAATTTGCACATGGAACAACAACATTGTCCTTCATATTCCAAGGAGGCATAGTTGCTGCTGTGGATTCGAGAGCTAGTTTGGGGAGCTTTGTTGGCTCGAAGACAACCCAGAAAGTATTACCCGTCAATTCTCACATACTGGGAACCATGGCTGGAGGTGCCGCTGACTGTATGTTTTGGATCGGAAAGCTTCGAGCGGAAGCAATGTTGCACGAACTGAAAGAAGGTTGCCGAATGTCAGTTGCCAGAGCATCACGTTTGCTGTCCAACTCGCTGTATGAAAATCGAGCCCTAGATCTGAGTGTTGGTACGATGATAATGGGATTCGATCCTGAAGATGGTCCACCAAGAATATTTTATGTCGATAACACCGGAGTTCGAATCAAAGGCGACCTGTTCGCTGTTGGGTCCGGGGGGACATTTGCATTGGGAATCCTTGACAACGAAAGGCGGTACTCAATGACAGAAGACGAAGCCATCGAGCTCGGCATTAAAGCTATTCGCCATGCAACTTTCCGAGATGCCTACTCTGGTGGTTTTATCAACGTCTTCCTAATCACTCACGATGGGTGGAGAAAAGTTTACACTGAAGATCTAGCTGGAAATATGTCTAGTGGTGAAAAATTGGCCGAGCAAATCCAATAGACCCTACAAATTTAATGTTAATTAAAGCGATAGACTACAAACTAACTGAAGGTCAGAGTGCAGGAACATGGTTCCGCATGTTTCAATTGTAAAGATTTGCGTCTGAACTTCAACAAGACCCTGTCTGTATGTCATACGAAGGACCGGGCACCAACGAAGAAGGAAGAAAGAATATTGATGGCTATTTCAGAGAAAGCGTCGTCTCTTCCATACGATTCAACATAAACATTACAGCATGCAAGAAAGAATATCACGGCGGAATAGATCGAAGATAAGACTGCTTGGAATGCTGCTAACACAAATATGTTTCAGAGATGCTTTTCCTGTAAATGCATTTACACACAAAACCAGTTTTCGGCCACACAATGTTTTAATGGCCACTGCTTCTGAACTAGAGGAGTCGACGCCGCCAAAGACGCAGTCAACGACAAAGAAAATTGCCGAGGTGCTCATATCAATAGCCCCTCCCTGTTCCAATAAGGACGAAGCGTTGGCGGCTTACGTTTCGACAACTGGGTACCAAGATGCCTTCCATTCAGTGAGCCTCCGCGACACTTCGAAAGGGATATATCATCTCGTTCCAGTCGAAGCATTTTTGTATCCAACAACTCACTTGACAGAAAAAGACGGCTCTGTAATATTGCATTCTGATACAACTGTTCACGATCGACTCAATGATGAAGAGTATGCTATGACAGATAACGAAATACGGAAGGTCATTCTCAGATTGGCAGGCAGAATCACACCCGACGACTTTGCAGATGAAATGATAGAAAAGGCGAGAAGAGCGGGAGATACAGTGAAATACTTTCGAAAAAGAAGAATGTCAATAAACAAAGATCTGATTGTTGCAATGGAAGAAGTCGCATTGGAAGCGATTGGCGAGGTTTTGGTACAAATGCAACTGCAATTTGACAAAACGAAGGAGTCCGAAGAGGAACTCCCGTATGATGAGCAAACCAAAAGAGAAGAACCACAACTACTTCCCGGTCCTACCAATGCGACTTCGGCGGAACTACTGTCAGCACGGGCATTGATCAAGACGCCAGTCGTTTCTCTATTCGTTCCTCAATGTATCTTTCGCGGTGGTGGCCTTGATAAGGCTCAAGAAATTCTATCAAAACTGCTAGAAAAAGAACTATCAAGTGTTCCACTGGCATGGGAGAACATGAACAGTCGCCCTTCGGAATATGCTGATATCTTGGAAGCTGCCGAAAAAGCGAAACGACCTGTTAAATTCATTGCTTGGGGTAGCCAGTGGATGCCTCGAGTAGATAGAAAGGACCTATTGAAGCGAAACATACAACGATTCCGACAAACAGGGAGATACATACCAGCGGTAAGAATCATTGACTGCATTTCATGTCCCGTGCGATATTTATTGTATTTTGCGTTTGAGCATTTCTCATCTTTTTTTCCTTGGATTCTTCGACACAAGGGAGCAATTGGTGGTTCACTAGATCGGATAGAAAGCCTAAGAGAGAATGCTGAAGAAGTGGCTAAATTCCTTGCGAAAGGTGACGAAGATTGGGAAAAGTACATGGACGCTGCCTTCGCAAGACTTGCAGGATTTAAGATGCAAAGCGATGGAACAGTAGTCAAAGTAGCCGATTGTCGGACGCTTCTTCCTCCCTTTCACAGGCACAAAAGATCTCGCCAATTCAGAGGGAAACGAGAGCATTCTGGTAGCGACTAACAAAATATAAATTTACAAATTCAGTGATTCCGTGGCAAGCAACATGTTGCGAAAAAAACCGGTTGAATTTGTTGTGAAATAGCAATGGTATTTGAAAAATATGATCCGCGCAATAAATTGTATGGCAGTTGTCAATAGCCCGCAGATCAGTGTTGTGTAGCCAGAAGTGGAACCCCGCTAGCTGTGCTGGCTATTGTCACGCCCACTGTGGCCAAACATAGCCATATCATCCATCCGAGAGCGTACTGAAAGAAAATTGCTGTCCTTCGTTTGCAGTTTAGTTTCTTTTCAGTAGCATCTAGGAACTCTTTTGATAGTTTTGACATTCCGATTGCGGCAGCCACTCGAAAGGGTTTCAGGACTTGTATTATGCCATAAATTGTTGCATAGGCTGTAAGTAAAGACTTCCATTCTCCAGGGACCAACGGTGACAGGCCTGTTCGCTTGGACGAAAGATACCAGGCCACCGAAAATGTGATGCTTGCGTTTATCTGACTAATCATAGAATAGGATAATGCAAACGAAACGCCTAAATTGGATATTCTCTTGGCATCAATTCCAAACAGATCGGAAATCGCCGTGTATGCTTTCTTGAATGGCCCAAAGGTTTCCACAGCCTGAGAGACTCTGCCGATGGGACCCAAATGATTGCAGGTGCTCTTAACCGCGTTGTAGTAGTACCCTGATGGACAATCCGTGTCTTCGACAAGGCTTTTTTCTTGCTCCATACTGCTGGTAGCAAAAGCTGCCAACATGGCTGTCTTCCGGCAGCAGCTTTGGACCCCATTTTTCACTGTCCTCGCTGATGGGTTCGACAATCCATGAACTATTGGTTCATCCCCTATCAGAATGAAGGCGACAAATGCAATTGCTGATCTTCTCATGGCGTTGTTAATAAAATGTCGAGTGGTGTCAATGATTGGACACCCTTTGTGCAGCTGACGAAGAAAAATCGTGCCACGAAGGTCGTCAGTCATTTTTCTGATTTCAAGTTGCGGTGTCGTCTGGATGTCGCAATTAGTCGAAGGGTTCGATTTTCAAACCAATCGAAGCGTTCGGAAAACTGGCAACTCTTTGCACCCGAACCAAGACAACCACAACAGCAACCACCACCACCAATACTATGCATGGAAGAAACAGAGAGGATTACAAGGCAAAATTCCGCGACCCCAAAGTTGCCGCTGGCTTGGAAAAGAAGGCTCAACAATGGTATACCTTAATGGACGCCCTGATAGAAGCAAGAAAGGCAGACAATTCCAAGGAAAAAGATAAACGAAAGGGAACAATTGATTTGATTGAAAAGGCGCTGTTGGTGAACCCAGATCCCTTGAATCTTTGGAATCACCGTCGAGAATTGCTGGTGCTAGAAAGGGAAGAAATGGAAAACACGGATCCCATGCTCAAGAATGAACTCGATTTGACCCAAGCTGCCCTCCAACGCAATCCCAAAGCTTATGGTTCCTGGTTTCATCGCAAGTGGATTTTGGCATTGCTGCAACCAGATTCATCAGTCCTACAAAACGAGCTAAAGTTGACAGCTCAATTTTTGACCTTAGATGAGCGAAACTTTCACTGTTGGAATTATCGTCGGTTCGTGGTCAGTGCATTGGCGTCTTGTTGGAATGGAGGTTGGGAGCTCCCGTCCATGGGACCTCAAATTGGCGCCTCGGTCAACAATTCGGCGCCTAGCATCCCCCAAGACGTTCTTGAGGCGGAATGGGACTTTACACATCAAAAGATCCAACATAACTTTTCTAATTTTTCTGCCTTTCACTACCGAAGTCAGCTGTTGCCACGAATGATTGCCCAAAAGGGAGATGAAGCTGCAATCTTGGAGGAAGAGCTACAAGTGGTAGAGAACGCCATTTTCACAGAGCCAGATGACCAAACTGCTTGGTGGTATCACAAACTTTTGCTATTGGAATACAAGTTTGAACCAAGTCGCCTGGAAGAGCAAGCCGAGATGCTCAGAGAGCTGCTGGAAGATTCTCCAGGGAAGTGGGTGTTGGTTGGGCTATTTGAGATCTTGTCGGTTTTGGGCACTCGTAAAGAAGAGCGTTGTGAACTACTGAAGCGACTGATAACACTAGATCAAGACCGATCGACCCGGTACCGTGAGCTGCTGGAGAAGTTGGAGTCTGAGTAACTTACAGTATCTCATTTGACTATTCCAGCTGGTACAATAGGACCTAGTCGTTGCCTAGATAGATCTAACGAAAATGAATATAACACATTGATAGAACTCTAACCTCCCGTCAATATGTTCACCAACACAATCACATCCCTTCTTCCTCCAAGATACCAAATTCAAAATTGTGCCACGTGGCATCATTTTCGATGAAATTCGATCGAAACGTGCGATTTCTTTCTCAAAAGCATTATTGCACATCCATGAGTAATGCCATACGGTATCGGTACGAACAACAACAACAACAGCAACAACAACAACAACAACAACAACAATGACAATGACAATGACAATGTCATCCAGACGCCCATGGAAATCAAGTTTGCTAGTAATTCTCTTGCTTGTCTTTTCAGCAGTAACTTGTGGTGAAGCAAGACAGCAAAGGCGGCAGTCTTCAAGACAGAATGCGACCAAGAAGGACGACGACGATTACTACGCCATTTTGGGGTTGAAAAAGACAGCTTCCTCCAAGGAAATCAAATCCAAATATCGCAAACTAGCACTTAAATATCACCCCGATAAAGTTAGCGAAGATGAAAAGGAAGAAGCTGAGAAAATGTTTGTCAAAGTCAGCGAAGCGTATTCCGTGCTGAGTGACGACGAGAAGCGAGGTATCTACGACAAGTACGGCAAGAATGGACTAGATGTCCATGAACAGGGAGGTGATCCACGAGCTTCTGGATTCGGTGGAGGCTTTGGTGGTCCTGGTGGAGGCTTTGGAGGGGGCGGAGGTCAACATCATTTCCATCACGGAGGAGCAGACGCGTTCAAGATGTTTGAGCAAATGTTTGGCGCTGATTTCGGCGGGGGAAGTGGCGGCGGTGGTGGATTTGGCGGAGGAGGAGGTGGTTTCGAACAAATGTTTGGAGGTGGCTTTGAACAAATGTTTGGAGGTGGGGCCGGTTTTGGTGGCGCTGGTGGTGGGGGACGTCGACAACAGGCTCCTGAATTATTTCAAAAAGGACAGTCAAAGGTGGGCAAGCTTGGCTCCCCTAAGTTCCCCAATAAATCCAGCAAGAACATGTGGATGATCATGTTCTACTCCAATGACGATCAAATATCAGCCGAACTAGCACAGGTATACGAAGTACTGGCCGAAAAGAAAAATCTTGCATACAAGGTTGGCGCGGTCGACTGTGAAAAGTCTGAGAAAGAAGCCAGGTTCTGCCAATCCAAAAAGGTTGAAAGCGTTCCTCAATTTGGAATGGTAATCAACGGAAAAGTCCACTTGATGGAGAATGGCGATGATGTTCAATCTGCCAAAGAGTTGCATGAATTTGCAGTGACACACATGCCACGAGAGTTTATCCACAACATTAACAACAAACAACAAATGGAAGAGAGATTACTCGGCAGTGGTAAACCAGCAGCCCTGCTGCTTACTGACAAGTATGAAACATCATCCACTCTTTTCAGTTTGGCATATCAATTCCGCAATGAATTTGTGTTCGGGGAGTCCAGAGCTAAAAACATCAACATGGCTCGGGAATTCAATGTGAAGAAATATCCGCACCTTGTCGTGATCGACAAGAAAGGAAAACGACATCAGTACACTGGTGGAATGGCTAAGGATTCTATCATTAGATGGCTCGATGGCCTCAAGAAGAAGAGTGATGAATTATAACAGACTACTTACTAATATATTGGATGCATCAAAATGTGTCCAGTACATCATCGCATGTATTTTCAATTTGCATTAGCTCGCCTTCTATTCGACCTTACATATGTTACATGTCCTGCGTGACGTCGCAAGTCAGAGCATGAATTTTCTTTCATGTTTAGTACGACTCAAATAAAGATGCTTTCCTCAATGATAGAGCGCTCTGATTGGTGCGGCCTATTTCTTGCGTGGCCAAAAAAGTTCGGATCAAGTCTGTTCATGCAAGTTTTTGCGAGATTTTGAAATCAAGTCAAGGCCAAAAATCAAAGTACGTTGAGAGGTCGCACCAATCTTATTCACAAAGTGTTTGTGTGGTGTGAGTGTGTCTGTGGAACTGCTGAGGCTCGGTTAATTGTTCTTGTAAAGACCCATTGACGATTGAACATCCTGGAAATAGTCCTACAATGGCAGCAGAACAATCCACACAACCACAACAACCGGAGAATGATGTTAGTGGCACACAATCAACGTTGACGACACGGCAAAAATATGATATCGCCTTCCTGGTGCTAGCCTTTTCCTGTGTCGTCTCTGCAATGACATTGGTGGTTGGCACAGGGGCTGTAGTTGTCAAGTCTGTTGGTGGGGATGTCACACTGACACCATTTGCACTGGGCTTATTCTTTCTTGGCATGTCCTTCGTCTCGGTGGCCTTCACGCCGTGGGTTTTCAAGAATTATGGTCGCCACATTGGGTTCTGGTGCGGCATATGCATGGCAAATTTGGGGGTACTATTGAGTTGTATTGGCCTCTTTTACTCTTCGACAGTGCTGGTCTTGGTGGCCAACATCTTCATGGGAGCTGGCAGTGGAATCGGAATGTATCTGAGATTTGCAGCAATGGAGGTGGTGCCCACCAATTTTCAGTCGAAAGCAATGACGTGGGTGCTCTGCGGTGGCTGCATTGCATCCTTTGCGGGTCCAGAAGCTGCTCATGCTACTGTGGGAAAGTTTGGAGACGAACCCAACATGCAACATTTCGGTGTCTTTGTGGTGGCTGCTTGCTTTCACTTTGCACAAGCACTCTTCGTCTACATGGTCCATTTTCCTTCACCGATCGAAGAGCAGATCAAGCAAAACAGAATACAAAGTGAAATGGAGAAACGACAACAAGAACAGGGACGAGATGTCGAAAGATTACCAGTGCCAAATGGAACAGAGGAACTTAGAATATCATCGGCTCCCAAGGAACTACGGCTGATATTGAAGAGTCCAGAATTCATACTGCCCGTATGTCTATCGATTCTGACTTGGGCTATCATGGCAATGCCCATGTCCATTTTCCGCCTTGCAATGGGGGAGGTGGGATTCTCATCGAGAGCTTCTCTGACAGTGATTGAATTTCACTTCTTGTCAATGTATTCACCGGGGTTCTTTAGTGGTACATTCATCAAGACTCAAGGTGTGATAAAGGCTGCTGGAGTGGCCCTTGTTATGTTTCTCGGAGCTACTCTGGTCCATGTGTTGTTCACCAACGACAATAAGGACGATATTGTTGCCTGGTATGTCGGACTTATGCTTCTTGGAGTTGGGTGGAACTTTGGATTTTCTTCTGCTTCCATGTGGGTTACGAGATCCTATCGGGCGGCGCCGGAATTGAAAGCCAAGGTACAAGCAGCCAATGAGGGAGTTGTATTCTTTTTCAGTGGTTTGCTCATTTTCTCAACGGGGTATATCTATTCGCTTGGGGGTAGCGGAATAGTGGGATGGCACACGTTAAACTTTGTCATCTTTGCGTTGATTGGAGCTTTTGTTGTTGTCGTCACCGCCGCTGTCGTAATGATGCGAGATGAGAAGACCGCAGTTCAACATAGCGAACTGGGGACGCCAACCACTGTCGCGTCCCAATCGCAACTGCGCGAAGGACACGAAATCCACAATATGAACGCAGTACACGAAATGCATCAAGTCCATGACAGACACGAAATGCACGAAATCCTAGAGGCATAGCAAGAAACTGCTACTCCGTATCTATACATTTAATAGACGCTGTACAAGATTCATAATTACAAAAGCACATTAGAACAACTCTTACTTTGATATTTATCTATTAATAGCTGGTTGGCATTGAATTGCTACATGTACCGGTAGCGGAGCAGCATGTTTTTCAGCAACGACTCGATAGATAGCTCTGGTTAAAGCGGACACTGAACAATTGCTCCATCTAGCCCATTCGTTCGATACAGGCAAGCTTGAATGAATAATCCAAGTATGTCCGCTACTACAATACCAAGGGATTCTCCAACGCTGGTACTACTCAATGCAAACTCTTGGTACTCCAAAGCGATATCTTTGCATATCCGCGTGTAGGCGTTGATATAGCAGGCACCACCCAAGAGACCTGCATAAAAGGCTCCAAAGTAGAGAGTTGCTGGGTTGTAGAGTGATGTGGTGCTGGCGTGGCTTGCGACATATGAGAACAAGGCCAAATTGACGCATTGCAACCCAGGCATTAGCCACAAGATCCATATTGGAGCAGTCCAAAGTGTACCGCTACTTCGTGACAAGAACACCCCTGCTTGGTACATCCAATTGCTGAATTGAAAGAAGCGGTCCCTCGATTTAACATCGTCCACCGGAAAACCAATCGCAGTCCAAGTTCCTGATTGTAACGCATACTCTGATGCATACACTGTGAAGAGTGGCACAATGTATGGCCACAATCGCACCACAAAATAAAAGCGTTGATATGCCGTCATATTCTCAATCTTTGTTCGATGTCCTATCCTTTGGGGGGCATCGGACGCTTCTAAAGAGACATCATTGGCTAGAGCGCTTTCTTCTGAGGGCGCTGCGTCTTCGGGAACAGAGCTTTCGCTAGCTACTGCAATGGGTGGTAGTTGGGATTCAATTTTCATCACATGTCGAAAGGTATACCAATATCCTACTGGGAGTACCATAGCAAACCACAGCATGGTCGACACCGGCAGACCAAACAGGTCATTCCATAACCATTTCCAGAAAAATCCAAAGACTCCTGCCATTCCGGTTCCCGACGAAAAGCAGGTCAAACACTGACGTTTGGAGTCCGTTGAACTAGACTTTTCTCCATCGCACTTTCCGGCAAGTGCCAACAAGCTCGCCTCGCCCAAGCCACTTTGCAAGCTCCCCAATGCAACTCCCAGTAGCTTCCACGCCAGAACAACTTTGCTAGAACTTGTTGTTGCCGCGTCTTCGCTACTATTGGAGGCCACCAAGGAAAAGCTCCCCACCATTGCCACTGTGGCCAGGAACATGCGATGCTTGTATGAGACATGATCGAACCAATAAGGCGCACTCAGCTTGACCATCATCGAAGGCCCCACATTGGCTAAGAAAACCAGTGCTGTTCCTCCCTCACTTATATTTTTGGCACAGGCAATCATAATGACATAAGAGGCATTGTTGAGCAATCCCAACATCCAGAAGGAAACAACCAAATGCCAGAATGGCGTAGGTGGCGATGTCACAGTTTCCAATTCATCTTCTGGCACAGCGTCCGCATCGACAGACACTGGTTGATAGTTTCTAGAATTGGTGAGAGACGATATTGCAGTTGCCACGACGGCCATTTCCATAGAGTATCAGTTCAGAACTTGTGATGAAAGAAAGAAAAAAGAAAATTCCTGAACCCACAATCACGTCGAATTGGTCGAATGAATCATACATCTTGTCCGTCCGACGCCGCGCTGCGCCTTGCCAGTGTTGCTCTCCCAACGTGAACGTAGCACATATAATGTACCAGTAATAGGTAGTAGCGAAAGAATAGGCATTTGCTTAGCTTAGGTATTGGTATGGTGGCAGTGGTCATGTCAGGGCGCAGTACCAACTGACAAAATAAGACTGCTCCCCGAGCTTACACTTGTAGCGAAGAAAGTACTATGCACCAGTATTACTCTTTGAGCGTGGTGGAAATGTTTATCTCAGTACGGTAGTACGGTGTAAACTGACAGAATAGGAGCTTCTTTTATAAAAAAACAAGGGATGGAACAGATTACCAGTTCAGGTTCGACATGATTGATTGCTGCCAATTTCAATTCCTCACTCAAAGTCTTCCGAGATTGCAATGCATACATCTACCGGTACAGGTAGGAACCCCGTCATACATATAAGACGACTATGCGATGTGGTTGAAACGAAACAAGAAAGAACATTGCCAAGACCCTCTCTTCTGCACAGAGACATTATTTTATTAACTAGTTACAAAGAAATCAGAATTTTCATGGATAGCAGTATTCTTGGCTCCCAGAAAGACAAGCAAGAAGTAAACCATCTCCTTTTGTTGGTTGCTGCATAACAACCAGTGAACCCATACCTATAACTCTAGAGAAGGAAAGCGGAAATTGCTGCCGAAAGAGCTACCAAGCCAGCAAGAGGGACACTGGCTGCTGGAGAGTCAGTATTTGTTCCTCCTGTGGCGGTTGTTCTATCTGGGGTGTATTCAATTTCAAATTCAGAACCATCACATGTGATACGATCATCGGTCGAGTTCCATGTGTACGACCAAAACTGTCCAGTAATCTTTTTGAAGAAAAAATCCAGACAATGAATGCGTGAGTTGCATCCAACAGGAAGGCAGCCTTGGTGTCACGAATTTTGCAAACTTACTCTGCACCATCCGTTCTTGACGTTGAGGACACATCCATTCGCCGTAGTTGTATTCAAGGAGCAGCAGGTTCCATAGAATCGGCTGGTGTCAATAATCAATTCACAAGATTGAGGTCTTGAGTCAGACAGAGCAAAGCGTCCTTCCTCATAGTTTGATTGGCCAGTCACGCCTACTGATAGAATGGCGATCGCTAACAATGCAAAACGAATAATAGTCTTCATGGTGCTCCTTTTATGCAACGTGCAGTTTGATCTTGGTGCAGCGCAGTGAAGGTGCTCGGAAAACGGATGACCATTGTTGGTGCGCCATCTCAAATGACCTAACTGTCCAATTGGTCGTTGTGGCAAGAAACGCCGGCCGATATGTCTTTAAGTAAAAAAGTAGTCGTTCTCAATTTGTCGCGCAAACCGTTTACATGGAGTTTACATGTGTGAACGTTCACTAAAACCATTGTCACTCACAAATTTCTATTTGAAACAATTCAAACGAAAGCATCGGCACCCCCCCAAATTTTCAAAGATGTTCAGAACTTTCCACTATTTCCTTGCCGCTCTCCTCGTCGCTTCTGTCGCTGGACAAGAAGTGAAGAATGTTGGATTCCCACTCAGTTACAAGGCTGATTTGGGCTGTGTTGAAATGATTGCCACACATGCTTTCAATGGTGACTGCTGTTCGCTCAAGGCCACTGCTGATGAGGGGTGTGTCTTGGTTGTCGTGAACGGAAACTGTGTTGTAAGTATTTGATGCCAGCTATGTTATTCTTTTCTTGATCGACAGCATTCTCAATCTCTTGTGTGTGATTCTACAATTCAGGTTAACGGACCTATTTGGGAAGTAGACTACACATCCACATACGACAGTGATAGCTGCCCAACCTCTGCTTTCACCGACCTTCCAACTAAGCTCGCCTCATTAGAACCAGAAGGCGCCGAAGGATCCAATATCTCTTCCGCCCCCAAGTCCTTCGCTGTGCTGAGTCTCGTGCTTTCAGCGTTTGCTTACTTCTTGTGATCACCTTGTTCGAGGGAATGCAGAAGTTTGTACAGGAACCATCCTTGTATTGTATTTACTAATCTAAAAGCCAGTTTTTCTAAGATTTTTTTTCTTTATCATTCTTGTTTGTAGCAAGATCCGATTCGATCCGAATGCAAAGATTCCATCGCCCACATGTGACGATGCAATAGGTGCGCGGTAATGTGATCATAGAAACAGATTTTATTTTCGAGATTGCCTATAGCATTCCTTGTATGTTTTATATCACACCGTGCCTACATTGACATTGCACACAATGCGATGTATACATTGCTTACCCAGCAGACAATAATTCATTGAGAGCAGCGTCCACGTCATTGTTCTTATTCTTGAGCGCTTCGACGACGTTCGCTGGGTCAAAATCCATGGCCACCAAGGTTGCCACTTTTTCATCGTCCACCCACCCTAGTTGCCCTCTGGCCACACCGGCGGCGGCAGCTGCTGCAGCGGCGGGTGTGTCTTGACTGAGTCGTTTTGCCATGATAGCATCGGCTTCCTCTTGACGATCGCGACCCTCCCTATCATCATACTCCAAGCGTTCTACCGTTAACTTTGTGGAAAGCTCGTCCACTTGACCCCGGAGCGTCTCTAGCTTCAAGGTAATATTGCTATAGAAGTTCTTGCCTTCTTCTAAATGGTTGGAAATTTGATCGAGCTCTTCAATAGCTTCTTCAAGCACTGCAATACAATCATCTGCCGACGAACACTTGCCCGACGTTTGTTCGTGCCTTGCTTGCACAAACTGTTTGTTTGCTTCTAGAATCTCTTCCAAAAGAGGTTTCTCCGAATCCAAATGTTTTCGGATACCTTTCATTCTCTCCCGAAAGGGTCCTTCAAAGTAGGATGACGTGTATACACAATCTCGTTTGTGATTGACCGAAGTCTTTTTCCGCAGTTGTATCCCAATGTCAAAGGAATGCAAGTCTTCCCGCAGCGTATGCAGCATGGTATCTTGTTCGCCAAACATGCGATTGAGCCGCAAAATCAAAGCAGACAATTGTGTCACATTAATCGCTTCGCAGGTCTTTCTGGCCGGCAAAAGCTTGTTCAGTTGGGATTTTTTGAAATGCAACAGTTTGAATTTGGGATTTGTGTCGAGCAGTTCGGCACGCTGTATCAGCACCGCGTCTCCTTCCCTGGCCGCAGATAGCAATCGATGATAATTTGACAATTGTTCTCGATACAAGAGTTGCAATTGTTTGGTATTCCGCCCGTGAAAGGAGGGATTTTCCATCCGAAAGGCCCTATCGTTTTCGAGATCCAAGTCCAGTTGACTTTTGGCTTGTTTGTGTATTCTCAAGGCCGATTCCGACGCATCTTGCAAATTCCACAATCCTTGCTTGAGCAATTCCACCAATCGATCCTTTTGGATAGCCTCCACCCGATGCCACAAATCGGGTGGAATCCCACCGCCTTGAGATTCTTGTTGATAAGCTGTCAGAGAGTAGGGCAATTTGACTTGTGCCAATAATTGTCGCGTCTCGGTCCGTTTTTCCTCCACTTCCATGGATAATTCGAGCAACATGGAATCCATGTTGGATCGAAATGCCATGGCTTGTTTGGACATATTCATGTCCGATTTGCTTTTGTTGTTGTTACCAACAGCACTCTGTTTGCGTGCCACCGACTGTTGCAAATTCGCAAAGGATGAAAATAGGGGTTCCTTAGGATATGATTGCAATATCCGTTCCAATGGTAATATATAGGTTTGACTGCTTCCCGTGAGCTTTGGCAGTGCCTGTTCCAATTCCTCTTCGCCGGTTGCTTTCGCAGCAGCATCAGTATTAGTAATAGTAGTAACAGGTACTGAGGTAATAGTAGCGGCACTAGCACTGGCATTGGACGTTGGTGGAGCTTCTTCTGGTTCAATTTGGAGACTGGTTTGTTGGATGCGTTCCTCAATTTCCAAGATTGAATTTCGCATGGTAGCTTCCAAATCACCAAAGGAGGATGACAAATCGCCTTTTTCATATACTTGCAAGAATTCCTTGGCCTCTTTTCCTGCAACTTTGAGCAATAGGGCCTCCCTGCTGTACAACGATTTTTGACGACAATCCACGGCATGGTGATAGGTGACCATGAATTTCATGTACAGCAACATTCCTTGAATGAGACGCCCCCATTCTTGAATCAATGGTTGACTCAAAATGGGTGTCCGAGAGGAGTCCTCCTTTTGTTGCAAGAGCGCTTTCAGAGAGGAATACATGCTCACGGCCGCCACTGCCATTTCCGCCAGAGTCTCATGATCGGGTTGAAAACTGCACCGATGGGATTGAAAGGCACAGTGTTGAGCTTCTGCTAGCAGTAATCCTTTCCACAATCGAATCAAGGAAGGATAAAAATCCAAAAAGGGAAACGGCTTGTTGGGAGAAAACGACGACGACGACGACGACGACGAGTTCATTTGATGCAACCAACTCGCCGCAACCTCGAAATGGCGGGCCGCCGCCTTGTATCCATTCAAATCCCTAGGTTGACCCAGCGCTTGATAAGCTTCCATGCTGGCTAAATTCCAAATGAGATTGACCTTTTCAAACTCTAGAGAGTGGCCGACTTGGCGTTCCACCATAATGGCCGATTCCCATTCGAGTGTGAGGGAACGTTTTTCTGCCAAATCCAGCAATCCACCAATCTTGTATTTTTCGCATTGTAGCAGGCCGTGATAATATTGATGCAAGACTGGTTTGGCCGCCCAGGCCTGTTCGTGCCCATTCTTTTCATTGATGCAAGTTGCCATCTCAAAACGAAGTTTGGACAAGAGTTGCAAGTCTGGGAGACAGTCTCTTGGATCGTACCTCGCATCAAGAGACATCCATTCCATGAGCATTCCCTGTAGATCATGACGAGGATTGGTCAGCCGCAAAGGCAAGACAACTTCCGGCAAGGTCATCGTTTATGTGTGCGCTATAAATGTTTATTATAATGCAAACATGAGCCATTTGTTTCTGCTTTCTCGTCGTTTGTCTTTCGTCTTTAGTTTTGTTTTGGCTTTGGGATTGTGTCTACTGTACGGTGCTGTAGAACTGTAGTTTGTGTAGTTTGTGTAGTTTACTCCTTTTGCCTTTCTTCCTTATCCTTCCGCTGCTCTACTTGTACAGTACAGTTCAGTACAGTATTCTTCTCCAAGTCTTTTTTCAGTTTTTGGTTGTGCACGTGCTGATGTTTGGATGTACAGTACACGTATACGTGTATCTACTGGAACTGTATTGGGAGTCAGTCGCCTCTCTCCCTCCAGCAACAATCTTTTGTAGTATAATATTTTTTATATACCATAAAACATGATTTTTTCCCCAGATTTTCCAAACGCCCTCCAACTCCTCCGCTCCAAGCACGCCAAGTGAGGCTGCCTCTAAAGTACTAGATGTACGTACGTGCACCCGTAGATTACATTCGTTCCTTCTCATAAAAATTTTACGCGGTGACACATACAAACCGAAGCATCATCAAAAGTTCTGTGGAATTGCCAAATCTCATTTTCCATTCGTTCTTTGATTGTTGCTTGCTTGACTGCTTTCTCATCGCAGCATTCACAGGATTAATATTCAACAATGGGAAATCAATCATCCTCCGAAGGCCGCACTTTTGGACGCAGCGGAAATTCGTTGGGATTGTCCCGCAGCGAATTGGAAAAAAGATGTCAGCCCAGTGGGTGAGTTTCATGTTGGAGTTGGATCCAGGTCTTGGTGTGTTGTGACGTCACGTTGTTGCTCTTGGCCAATCAGATGGCTCAAATGGCGCAAGAATCATGACAGAATTTGAAGAAATCGACCATGCCATCCATGGCTGGAGGAAGATGTGCTTTGCGATGGATTCGGATGTGTGTGACATGCATGTTACTAATCAAGTCCCTTGCTTTCTTTGTTCGCTCTTTTAAACATTCTCAATTAAATGACAATCACAACCACAATGCCATTGTTTCAAATGCAACGATAGTTTGTACAACAATTGCAAATGGGACGACAAGGCCATTCGCAAATTGGTTGGAGACGGAAAGCTGGCTTCCCGACAAAAAGGATGCGAAGATCGAACCATGAACGCCAATCAAGAATGTCCCATTTGCTTTTTGTACTACAAGGAAACAAATGTCACCAAGTGCTGCGGGGCCAATATCTGTACCGAGTGTTACTTGCAAGTCAAACCCCAAAAGGAAAAGACGGCCAGCTGTCCCTTTTGCAATGCTCCCAAAGTCACTGTCACTGTAGCAAGAAAGCTTACCGAAGATCAACTAGCAGAACAAAAGAAGGAGGAGGAACGCGTCACGGAAGCCCGAAAACGATCGCAGAGTGTGGGAACGGCCAGCGAAGGCTCTGATTTTGGATCGTCGCTCCAAGAATTCTCGAGGGCCCGATCCGAATCCTTCAACTCTAGTTTTGCTTCCAATGCGACGAATACTGAAAATATCAATCCCATGGGCTCCCTCGCCATGACTCCAGAAGAACGGCAACGTTTGGAAGCTGAAATGAAGGCGCAACTATCTCACCCCTTGACCATGCGAGTGGAGGCGGAAGCTGCGGAACGCCGGATGGAAAACGAACGGGCCTATTCTCGTTCGACTTCTAGTGCAAACAGAAACTCGAGATTTCGCAGACGGCGCGGTCGCGGAGGAAGGGATTGGAATCAAATTGTCGATGCCTTTGAACGAGGTGGCAACGGACAAATTCAGTCATTGGATGATTTGGTAGTTTTGGAGGCGGCCATTCTACTCAGCATGGGAGAAGAAGCACGAAGTAGTAGTGGAGGAGCCGATGGCTTTGATCCGGCGCGACATGCCCGGAATGGATTTCCATTGGTCCGCAACTATTTCAATAATCGAGAGGAAACGGCCGAATCTTCCAGTTCCTCTTCTTCCTACCCCGGCAGTAGTAGACAACAAGTGCCACCAAATAGAAATACGGCATTGGATACGGCGGCCATGTTGATGCGAGGGATTTCAGAAGAGGATCAAATGGCCATGGCCATTGCCGCCAGTTTGCAAGATCAAAATGGAACTGAGGAAGGAGACGAAGAAGGAGACGAAGACGATGTGGCGGAAGATATTGAACTAGATGGACAAGAGGGAGAAGAGTGTGGTAGTGAGGAGGAAGACGACATTTCAGAGGTGGCAGAAGGCGAGGAAGGTGGGGAAGATTACAGTGACGAGGAGGACGACAACTACCCAAATGACGCTTCCACGGATGACGAAGATCGAGCCTATGGTGGAGACGCGGAAGTCTCGAATGTCGAAGACGATACAGATGACGCAGAGCGCCTTTCGGCTGTCGAGTCGGAAGATGATGATGGAGATGACGAGGAGGACAATGACGCGGCAGAGCCTTTGTCGGCTGTCGTGTCGGGAAACGATAATGATGAGGGAAACAATGACGATCCAGTGCCTAACGACGACGAGTCTTCTGATGCAGACATCCTTGAAAGTTGAACTGCTTTTTAGAAGGCTAGTGAATTTTGGATCGCTGGGTCACTCTCCGAAATCCAAAATGAAATACAAACAGATTGGCTGCTTTTGATAGTTTCGGATGTACTAACTAGTTTGTCCTCTGGTATCTTGACGAGGGGACGACAAAAAAGAAACAAACACACACACAGACATGGGCTGGATCCTCGGTTTTTGAAAGGAAGGCTAGCCCAGTTGTACACTATATGTAGTAATATAAAGAGAGAAAGGGATGGAAGAATCCTTCTTTTCTTCTTTGTCAGAATTACTTTTTTCAATTATTTTTGCAGACATGCCATTGTAGTTTTCTCATTAACAAAACTTGTTGTTGATAATGATTCGCTCCAACACCTGGACAGGGTCCGGCCATCGGCGTTGGATATCAGTTGGTTTGCTGTGCGCGGAACTTGGACATTGTGGATTGGGTGAAAACTGTGTTTACCAGTACCATTGCCAATTTTTGCCCTCTTTCGGGCTCAAGCCTCTATTTGGAATGCTCCAAAATAGAAAACAATCTTATTTTTGGACAATCGGGGCCTTCTTTTACAACTACTCTGCTCCTTCGCTTTGCCAATGGACCATGGACGGTACCGGTACGGGGTACAGAAGCAACGGCACGCGTCGAAAAAGAAATGAATTTGAATTCTGAAGCTCTGGGTTCGAACCTTATCAAAAGTGAGTCCAAAATCTGCAACGCAACCAGTTCTGGATCATTATTTTCTGACCGGCCTGTCGATGGCATACAACCACTATCCAATGTCCCTCATCTCTCTTCGCCTATTGGCTTTGATCTTGTGTAGTAACTGTTCTTATCTGTTTGACAATAGATATGGGGCTATTAGCCCCAAATATTGTTATACTATTTGTTGAAAACGGAGGTTCCTCTGGTGCTTGCAACACGATCCTCACGGATGGTCTCGGCTTTTCACGCACAGCCTTGCACTGTCCAACCCCCCCCCCCCTTCCAAACCTTTCTCACAAACACACCCATTTTTTTCGCTTCATTATTTCAAGCTCATTATTGGCGTTAGACCGCTTGGACTCGTGGCAAGGTGCAATTCAGTAAGAGTACAGTACAGTAGTTCGTTGTTTTACTATTGTTTATCCCCTAGACGAGCAGAATTGAGAATGAAGCAGGCGCTAGCCCATAAAATAAATTTCCAATAGAAGGAAACTTAGCTCTGCTTACACTCTTGGGTGTTCTCGTCGTCATACATTGCTGCTTCCCCTGCTTCCCCAAGCCCGGGTGCAAGACCGATCTTGATAGCAGAGTTCAGCACAGGTTTCTCTGTTTGTTGTTGTAAGATGCTGTTGCTTTTCTCTGATTTTGTCACTCCTGATTGTTTCGGATTCCCTTTGTCATTCGTCGCGTCACCTAATGGCATGCGAGACTCTTTGCTCAGCATTGATATACTAGGCGACAAAGCCGTTTTTGCAAAGGTTCGTTCCTTCTTTTTTGGCTTGAATGGTGAGATTTTGTCACTGTTTGCGAGTTGCAGGTCTGTGATACTAAAGTCAATTGTCGGATTGTCCACGCTGGCATTCATTCGCATGATTTCCAGTTCCGCTTGGACGTTCTGAAGCTTCTTTTTGGCCGCCTTTTTCTCACAAATTGCCTGCAGTGCCTCTTCTTTGAGGGTGCTGATTTCTCGTTTTGACATGGTTTTCGTTTCTTCCAAATCGTCCTTTGCATCGCGCAACGCCGCCTTCAGGAGCTCAATTTCTTTGTGATACTGCGTTACCTCAGCACTGAGTTTTCTCTTGACATCTTCCAACTCTTTGATCGTTGCAACCATGGCAATGTTCTTCTTTTCAACTTCAGCAGAAATCACACCTCCTTTGGAAAGCACTTGCGAACGTTTTGCTTCTCGGTATTTGTCACAGAGAACAATGACAGCTTCGTTGGGATCACTGTCGCTTTCGACAGAGATGTTGCAGGACTTTAGAGCATCCATCGTGCTTGCCTTATCATCCATAAGACTCTGGCAATGTGTAACATATTTCCTGAGCTTTTTCTCTAGCGCTTTCTTATCAGCCAGAAGATTGTCCACATCAGCACGAAGATTATCCACCTCCAACGAAGATGAGGGTGAACCTGAGGACTTCAATTTTTGACGCAAACGCTTGCACTCCTCTTCTAGATTTTTGTGGTCAACCTGGGGCAGGAGCGATGTGATGTTAGAAAGTTGTAACCCGTGGATTCAGCAGCTCTTATGTTCTTACCTTCATTTTTTTAATGGATTCAACTTGCTCTTTTGTCAATCTTACTTGCTCAAGCTTTTTTATCCTGGAATCTTTCTTCTTCATTTGAGCAGTCATATGTAGAATCTTTTCGTGGAGTTCGTCGTCTGCTTCTGCAGTCTGTTGAGTGTAAATTTGAACTCTAGCCGTCTCAAGTTCGACGGCGAGGCGCTTACTTTTGGCTTCAAACTGAACTAGCATATGTTCAAGGCGTTCAATTTTCTCATCTTTCGACTTTATTGAATTTTCGAGTTCCACCACATCCAAACCTGCAGCTTTGGCTTGGGCAGTTTGGAGCATGGCTTGAAGACGTTCATACTGCTTCTGTTTCTCAGCAGCATCAGATTCCAAGCTAGATATTTTGCGTTTGAGTACCACTACTTCGTCCGATGAAATCTGGTTTTCCCTCAACGCTTTCTCGCTTTCCCTTGAAGCCTTTCGTGCCCGTTCCTTCATCTCTATAGCATTTTCCTTGAGAGCATAGGATTCGGCCTTCGCTTTATTTAGATCAGACTGAAGCACTGACATCTTGTTCTCATGTTCTGTGAGCACAGACTTGAGATCCGATACAGCGCTCTCTAAAGTGATACATTTCTCCTCGATTTCCTTGTTTTGGTCTCGAAGTTCTTCTGCCTCTTGTCTTGCCTGGTAGCCCTCCGATTCACTTTGTTCCAGTCTAGCCTTGAGATCAGATGCGGTGTTTCGAAGTTCACAAAAGTTTTCTTCTGCTTCATGGATCAAAAGGCGTTGTTCTTCGCCCATTCTCCGCTTCAAGTCTTCTTCTGCCTGCTGTCTCTCCTTTCGTTCCTGTTCAAGGATCCTTTCGAGCTCCACTTTACGCTCTTGTAAATCTGCAAAGACTCCTTCTTGAATACTGTTGATGTCCCTTTCCTGCGGGATCTCTAACATCCGAAGCTCTTCCTCCATTTGAGATAGGCGGTAGAATGCATCTTCCAACTCGCGTGACTTTGAAGCACAGTCAATTTCCAATTTCTGAACCTCATTTCTCCTGCGCTCGTCTGATTCGTTGGCCGAAATCAGTAGTTGCTTGAGTTCGACGTTTTCGTGTTTGAGATCTGAGACATGGGATACCAACTCTGTTTCTCTCTCTTTGGTCACGCAACTTCCGATAGATTGACTCAGCTCCTTATTCTTGTTGTATAGCTTCTGAAGCTCTGCCGTTGCCTCATCTCTCTCAAGCTCTCGATCCTTGAGTCGTTTGTTAAGGCTGCTTTCTGCCTCATCTTTTGACCGAATCAAAGCTTCTAACTCTTTCTGTTGTTGATCAAGTTGTAATTCCGTGTTTGTGAGAACCTGTTGATGTTCGGCTCGAGCGCAATCCAGTTGCTCTTCCAATTGATGCACTTGCAGTTGTGACTCACTTAGTAAAGCTTCCACTGCATCTTTTTCAGCGAGAATTGCTGTGGTCATCGTTTTTATTTCCATGACTTCACTTCGACTTTGCGCAGTGTTGACATTTTCTGCTTGAGTCCTGAGCTCTTCATTTTCAGACTGTGTCTCAAGTAGCTTTTCTTGCAATGACTGCAGCTGGCAATCAAGACCACTCTCGAGTTCTTCAATTCTAGTCTCCATGTCAAACTTCTTCGATTTCAATACATCAATTTCCTTGAGAGAGCTTGTTAAGCTGTCTTCCAGATCAGTGATCTTCGATTCGTGATCTGCCGCAATATTCTGCAACTGTTCTTCGGATACCTTCAAACGACCCTTCAGATCGTTGATAGCCTCGGTCGCCTGGAAGATCGTCTCTTCGTTCTCGCTTAAATCGCGAGTTGTCTGTTCCAACAACATGTCGATCTGGTCTTTCTCGTTGCTCAAAGAGTCGCAAGCAATCTTTAGTTCTCTTTTCTCGTTCTCGAGCTGAGTGATCTGATCCTCCAGGTCACCCTTTTCCCCCTTCAGGGACTCTAAACCTTGAAAAAGTTCCTTCAAACGAGATTCCAATTCTTTGTACGCTTCTTCTTGCTCTGCAATGATCTCTTGATTGCTGCAGCGAATTTGAAGGATGGTGGCTTCAGCCTGTTCCAACTTCGCCTTGAGTTCACAAATTGCTCCCTCCGCGTTTGAGCTATTACTTTTGCTGGTTATCTTATCAAGATCCATGGAGAGACGTTCGATCTTACATTCCAATTCCTTTCTGGAATCCTCCAAATGTTGATTCTGAGCTCTTTGCTCGTTGAGCTCTTGAACCACGGCACTCAACTCAGCAACAACGGTCTTCCTGTTTGAATTTGCCATTTCGGCGCCCTCTTGCAACTGCAAAATATGCTCTTCTGTCTCGCGGCGATACTTATCTTGACTCGACTCAAGCAATTGGATCTTACTTTGCACGTCATCTAGCTCTACCTGTGCATCTGAGTTTTCATGAAGAGCTCGGTACCAATGACTCCTGACGTCTTCGACTTCTTCCTCCCTTTCGGCTAGCAAATTTCCAATGGAAAAGAGTTTCTCCCCCAAATCTGAAACGCAAGTCCACAGCTCAGAATTTTTGTCTTCCAAGACAGAGCCGTTATATGCTGCTTTTTCTAGCATCTGCCGGAGTTCGTCGCATTCCTTTGACAGCACAGCAGTATCCTTCTTTTGTTCATTTAGTAAAGATTGCAAGTCTTCGATGGTTTCTTCATATTTTCCTTTCTCCAAGAGTGCATTCCCTCTCCATTGCTCCGCATTTCGCACTTCCACTCGAAGCGAAGCAATCTCGATCTGCAAACCATTGAACTCTTCGTTCGCATCTCTGCTCCTTTTCTCGAAATCGATCTTCAAAAGCTCTTTCTCCTTCAACTCAGAGAAGAGCTTTTGTTCAATAGATAGATTGCGTTCCATGGCCGATTTCAAATCAGCCTCCAATTCGGATATTTTGTCCTCCGACTCCTTGACTGCAATCTCAGAGCTTACAAGTTTTGACTTGGTGTCGTTCTTGTCAATATTGAGCTTTTTGATTTGGGCTTCTTTCTCCTCAAGGCTACTTGTCAACTCTGTGATCTTCTCTTGCATTTTTTCTTCTTGAGCGTCCAATTCGGATATTTTGGTCTCAGAGCTTACAAGTTTTGACTCGATGTCGTTCTTGTCCATATTGAGTTGCTTGATTTCAGCTTCTTTTTCCTCAAGACTGCTCGTTAGCTCTGTGATCTTTTCTTGCAACTTTTCTTCTTGAACTCGACAGTCTTCCTTCCCTTGGGCTGCTTCGGCAAGCTCACCCTCTAGCTGTGCCTTCGTTTCTGACATTGATTCAAGCTTGTTATCAAGCTCCTGGTAGATGACGCCATGATTGGCCGTGGTCTTCTCGAGTTCTTGCTTGACTTGAGCAAGCTCGGCGTTCGATTCCTTCAGCTTTTCATCAAGACTATCCATTTCACTGCTCATATCCGCCCTTGTGATATTCAGCTGTTCTTCAGAGTGTTGTAGAGACGCCTCCGCGGTTTCGAGCTTAGCTTCGAGTTTGCCCTTAGCTGCTTTGATCTCTTCAATTTCTGATTCGATCAGCTCAGTATGCGATGTCAGCTCCGTGATCTTCAATTCGGACTGCTGATGTTGATTCTGGAGCTCGTTAATCTCTGCCACTTTTTCTGCAAGTTTTCCTTCAAGTTCCGTATTTTCTGTTGTCATTAATTCTAGCTTCTCTTCAAGTGATTCCAGCTTCATTTCAAGTTCTTTGCACATATCGCCCTTTTGATGTCTACTGTCTTCCAGCTCCTTCTTGACTTCGGTTGTCTCTGTTTCAGCGATCTTCAGCTTTTTCTCCAAAGCTTCAGAACGCAGGGCCATGTCGGTTCTTGTGATCTCTAGTTGTTCTTCGGAATCTTCCAATGACTTCTCCGCTTCGTCGAGTATTGATTCAAGATTCTTCGTTTCGGAATGAAGCTTCTCAATTTCCGTCTGATGCTGCTCAACGCTGAACGTCAGTTCTGTGATCTTCTCTTCCAGAAGTTGTTGTTGGCTTTGCAAATCAGCTTTCTCGGCTCCAACATCAATAAAATTCGCTTCTAGCTGTTCCTTTTCTTTGGAAATCGATTGAAGCTTGTCCTCTAGCTCTTTATGCAAGGTACAATTCTGCGAAACGGTGTCTTCCAATTCCTGTTTCATTTCAACGATTTCTGCTTCTGCAGTTTGCAGCTTTTCTTCAAGATCTTCGATCCGACTGGTCATCTCCGCGCTCGTTACCTCAAATTCTTCCTTAGTGTCTTCCAGTGAAGTCTCTGCGCTCTTGAGTGCTGTTTCAAGTTCACTTTTCTCCGCATCGAGCTTCTCGATTTGCACCTGCTGCTCTTGAACGCTAGCTGTGAGCTCTGAAGTCTTCTTTTCATTTTGAGTTTTGGTATCTTGAAGCTCCTGCTTAACTTGGGTATTCTCGGTCTCGGATTTCCCCAGCTTTTCTTCAAGACCTTCGATGCGACTAGTAATATCGGCTCTCGTTACCTCAAATTCTTCCTTCGAGTCCTCCAACGAAGTCTCTGCAGTCCCGAGTCTTGCTGCAAGGTCAATTTTCTCCGCATCGAGCTTCTCGATTTGCACCTGCTGCTCTTGGATACGGGCTGTAAGCTCTGTAGTCTTCTGTTGCATGATATCATTTTGAGTTTTGGCATTTTGAAGTTCCTCCTTGACTTGGGTATTATCTGTCTCGGATTCCGCTAGCTTTTCGTCAAGACTTTCGATTCGACTGGTCATGTCGGCTCGTGTGATCTCAAATTCTTCCTCAGCGTCTTCCAATGCGGTTTCTGCAGTCTCGAGTCTTGCTGCAAGATCAATTTTCTCCGCATCGAGCTTCTCGATTTGCACCTGCTGTTCTTGGATACGGGCTGTAAGCTCTGTAGTCTTCTGTTGCATGACATCATTTTGGGTTTTGGAATCTTGAAGCTCCTGCTTGACTTGGGTATTCTCTGTCTCAGATTCCGCTAGCTTTTCTTCAAGAGTTTCAATTCGACTGGTAATATCGGCTCTCGTTATCTTAAACTCTTCCTCAGCGTCTTTCAATGCAGTCTCTGCAGTCCCGAGTCTTGCTGCAAGGTCAATTTTCTCCGCATCGAGCTTCTCGATTTGCACCTGCTGCTCTTGGATACGGGCTGTAAGCTCTGTAGTCTTCTGTTGCATGACATCATTTTGGGTTTTGGAATCTTGAAGCTCCTGCTTGACTTGGGTATTATCTGTCTCGGATTCCACTAGGTTTTCTTCAAGACTTTTGATTCGACTGGTCATGTCGGCTCGTGTGATCTCAAATTCTTCCTCAGCGTCTTCCAATGTAGTCTCTGCAGTCTCGAGTCTTGCTGCAACACCGCTTTTATCCGCATCAAGCTTCTCGATTTGTACTTGCTGCTCTTGGACACTGACTGTAAGCTCAATAATCTTCTGTTCCATGACATCATTTTGAGTTTTGGCATCTTGGAGTTCCTGCTTTACTTCGGTATTCTCTGTCTCAGTTTCCCCTAGCTTTTCTTCAAGACTTTCGATTCGACTGGTCATGTCGGCTCGCGTGATCTCAAATTCTTCCTCAGCGTCTTCCAATGCAGTCTCTGCAGTCTCGAGTTTCGTTGCAAGATCATTCTTCTGCGCACCGAGATCCATGATTTCCGCATTTTGCTGCTCAACCGACAAATCTAGCTCTTTGATCTTTTCATCGAGAAGTTCACGCTGTCTTTTCAGCCCATCGTTGTCGTTCTCGAGCTGTCGTTTTTCAGCTGCCACTGTTTTGAGTTCAATCCGGCAAGATTGCAGGTTTTCTTCGAGTTCTTGTTGCATAGTATCTTTTTGAGCACAGGTCATTTCGTATTCAGACTGCATCTCCGTCATCTTCTCTTGCTTCAGCTCGAGTTGCGACTCCAAAGAAGACACCTTGGTAGCAGCTACATCTTCACTTTCAAGAAGCCTTGCTGTTGACTCCTCCAATTGTTCTCTGAGTTCATTGATTCTGGTTTCGCCATCTTGTTTCAGCCGATTGATTTCCTCTTGCAAAGCCTGTGTTTTTACCAGTTGGGCTTCGGCCTGCGAAGCGATTTCGGTTTGCTGCCGTTCCAACCGTTCTTGCATCAATTCTTGGTCAACTTTGAATGTCGAAAGTTGCTCTGTAGTCTCCGCGAGTTGTCTATCTTTCTCGCGAGCCTTTTCTTCCTTTTCCCGAAGAAGCCTCTCTACTTTGGATATTTCGACTCGAAGGGTTCCCAACTCGGCCATCTTTGCTTCATTTTGCTGCTTCTGGCCATTAAAGTCCGACAATATTTGTTCAAGCTGTTGCTGAAGCTCAGAGTTTTGCTGCTTCATAGCTGCACTCTCGTCTCTTGCATATGTCTGAGTTTGGTTGTGCTCTTGTTGCAGTGAGTCATATCGCTCTTGGAACTCAATCATTTTAGAGTCACTTGATTCTTTTTCTTGTTTGAAGCGCTGCTCGGCATCCTGAATGACAAACTTCAAATTCGACACAGTGTCTTGAAGGGATAGGGCAAACTGAGATCTTGACAATAAAGCTTCCCGAACGATGTTTAGCTGTGATTTTGGCGAAGCTTGCTGTTGGACTTGTCTCGTCTTTTTTCGCTTTGGTTCTGTCGATGGGGCGATATTGAGTTGCTGACTGAGCTTCAGCGGTGACTTGATGCTGGTGAACAAGAATCCGTCCGACTGACGCCTTTTTCTCAGCTTTATTTGTGCAGCTGCTGGTGAAAGTATCATAGCATTCTTCCTGTTGTCAGTGGGAGCAAAGAGGTGTCCAGCATTCAAAAGACACGATGTCAGACGGGCAAGATTTGCCTTCGCTTCCTTAGTGGCTTTGTCTTCAACCGCCTGAATCTCTTCAGCTCCTGGCACGGTACTGTTTCTCTGAAGTTCGGCAATTTCGCGTTGGAGTCTCTTGACCATTGATCTATCGTCCACCACTTCATTCACTTGTGCATTTGTCTTGACAAGGCTGGCACGAGATGCAAATTGAAGCGTGGATCTAGTTTCCTCAAGATACAGTTCAGATGGCGTGGCGCAGCAAATAACAGCCATTTTGGCGTTTCCGGAGAGTGCAGGTTGCAACAATCGGGTCAGCTTGGAGTCTCGAAACATTACATGGGATTGGTTTGGATTACCAAGGGCTTGAATGACTCGAGATAGAGTAAGGAGACTGCGGAACATCCCGTGTTAGTCGTGGAATTCATTAATAATCGTGTATCAGAAATATAAAACTAACCTTTGATTGATCATCCCACCCTCTTTTTGGCGGTCTCCAGATGCACCAGTGTGTCGGACGCTCTCCGAACCTGCTAGATCCACCAAATTTAATGTAGAAACTAGGACAGGACCATTACGTCGAGAAGAATCATTCTCTTTTTCCTTATCACTGGTACCATCCCCATCTTCGTAGCTCTCAATTGTGATTCTGAATATCGTGTGACTTCGAGATGATCTTTCATTCATACCAGTTGAGGCAACTTGCCGAGACTTTTCGCCATGGAACAAAATGTTCAAGAGATTTTCAAAATTTGTCACGGGTTCCTCATTACACTGAACAAATACTCCATGGCGGGGATCCTCGCGAATCTGTAGCGATTCCGTCGAATTTGAAAGTAAATCTCTAACATCCTCGTTGTAAATTTCCAAAAAACTAGCTCTCACAAGAAAAGTACGATCCTGATTCGATTCGATGTGGGAAAAGATATCTCTTGCTGCCATGTGGACTATACCACCTTCGGAGTGGGATCCATCCTCGATGCTTCCCGATCCTTGCATCGTATATGTTTTTCCAGAGGAAGTTTGTCCATAGGCGAAAATAGTTCCATTCAAGCCATTCACTACAGAAGTAACAATCGGCTTAGCGACATCGCCGTACACTTTAGCCGTTGTGGCGTCTTCACCAAAAGTCTTGTTGTAGTTGAAGTAAGTTTTGTTTGCGATTCTGTCAAGAGGTTGCCCATTCCTGTTGGTCTGAAAAACTGCACTGTTCTTGGGCATTACTTGCCAGACTCTTTGTTTGGCTTCCTCATTGTTGTTGAGGGGACGCATACGAATAGCAACTAGAAAACGAATGCAAGCGTCAGTGATTGATGTCTAAAAGGTTGCGTCATGGTTCTTGAGCTATCAGGAGTCTTACCTACGGTACCCTCTTTACCATCTTCACTGGTCTGACGCTTTGGCCTAGCAGGACTAGGTCTTGGCCTAGAAGGACTAGGCTTTGCCCTGTAAGGGCTAGAAGGCGGCATGGTGGTGGTTGTTTGGGATGAAATTTGCTAGTTGCATGGAACGATTTTCTTTCAGTCCGTTTTCGTGATGGAACTTGTGCCGAGCTAAAAATTTCAAACGTGAGGAATGCAAAAACGGCCAAACTGAATGTCTGTCTGGCATCAGTGTCGCGCACTACTACTCACTGCCGCGTGTCCACCCAAGAGTCCACCGCAAAAAGTGATGGAGCTCGCATCAGAGAAACAATACGCAAAATTCAGTAAAATAATTGTACCGGCGCATATATCGCGCGAAACATTTCGAACTCCCATGTCGTTTTTGCTCGAAAGTCTCACTTTCCGTAGATTCGACCAATCGCACAGCAAGAAAAATAGCCAGCCCGCCGAGATCCACATTCAAGGATTTCTCGTTTGGTGCGAGATATTTACATAAGGGATATCTTCCAAAGCTTTGATTAGCTTGACTGACAGCAACAAAAGGCTGTAACATCACCAGCTGAACATCACCGACCATGAGCGACGTGACTGCAAGCTCGGATGATGGAGAGGATTACGTCTACGGAGGAGGTCAACTTCAAGAAATCAAGAGATACCCTGTGCATGACTGCTGCGAATTCGAAGATGTTGAGAGTTTGAGGGTAAGTCACAATAACGGGTCGAATCCGAGGTTGTGGTCCATCTGGCTGGATTCAGATTGGATCTTCTGGGGCTTGTTTAGTTTTGATTGTATACAATCTCATTTTTGTTGCCTCCGAAAAACGCCAGGCTTTGATTTTGATTCCTGAGGATTCTGATGACGACTCTTCGTCTGATGAAAATGATTCAGCTGCTGCTGCGCACGCAGCAGCAATTGGTCACTCTCCACAGCCACAGCCACTGCCACCAAAAGTAATGATTCCAAATGCGGTCGTCGGAGAGGAAGGTGTGATGGAAGCAGAAGCCGGAGACAAAGATACCAACGACACTGTGGACGGAGTGAGCAAAAATCAAGCTAACGAAGGACTGGCACCAATGGCCATTAGTCCGAAGGAAGGGGTAATAAATGAAGTGATTGATGCAGCACCAAAAAATGGTCAAGTTCAAGAAAACGCTTCGGTCGGCAAAGTCAAAAAGCGAAGAAAGTATTACTGTCCTCACAACCTGAACGAACGGGATACTGACGAGAACACTCCACTTCACATAGCGATTCACGCTCGGAAGTTGGAGCATGTCAAACTTTTGCTGGAAGCTGGTGCTTCGATTCACAAAAAGAGTGATGGGAGTGCTCCAATACACCTTGCCATCAGTATGGGTTCTGTTGGAAAGCATGCCGACTTTGCCTACCAGTGCGTCGTTTTTCTTACTGAAAAAGGGGCCGATCTTTCAGTGAAGGATGATTCTATGCACACTCCGCTCTATCTTGCTTGCATGTTCTGCTTGCCAGAGATAGTCAGGTACATTTTGTCGCATGAAAATGGAAAGACAACATTGAATGCACGAGCCGATCGATCGCAAGGACGACCATTGCACGCGGCTGCGAAATCCGATACTAGTGTTCCACGGGCTGCTGCTCTCAATCCAGCTGCTGGAGCTGGCGAGATCGCTCCATTGCAAGTCACAAAACTTCTTTTGGGAGCTCCTGACATTGAAGTGGACGCGATGAATTCTGTCGGTCAATCCCCACTGCACATTGCCTGCTCGCGAGGAAACTGGCCAGTTGTGCGTCTTCTTCTTGAAGCCGGGGCAGATGCCAACTTGGCTGATCGACGTGGCTTCACTCCTGGACAACTAGCACACAAACGAGGAATGCCAATACTGAATGACTTGTTGGAAGTTTTGGGCGGTCCACCATCCTCAGGGGTTGTTGCACCACCTCGAGATTTGGTTGTTGATCCTGATGGAAAGACAATAGTGTTGACTCATGAGTTGTGCGGTTTGCATAAGACCTGTGCCCCTATAAGACGTGATCCACACAGCGAGCCTCCTCCAGAAAATGTCAAGCGCCTTCATGTGCTAACAGACGATGAAACGGGTATCTTGAGGTCAGGAGAATTCAGCAAATGCACATGGGAAAATGAAACACGCCGGGCTGCTATGGTGGATGTCTTGAAGGTAAGATTGATTGATTCTCATTCTCTGCTGCTGATCGCGTTGTATTAACTTCTTTATTTGTTTATAGTGCCACGAGTACAATTATGTCGAGTCCATTAGTCAGTTGTGTTCGAGTATACCAGATCATCCATCCGCAATAGCTCATCTCGATGCAGACACAGCAATGTCAAGATGGAGTTTCGAATCAGCGCTTCGAGCTGCTGGTAGCGTTTGTGAAGCTGTTGACAAAGTCATGTCAGGAGAATTCAGAAATGCATTTTGTGCTGTTCGACCACCTGGTCATCATGCTGGTCCTCGAGGAATCGTGCGATGTGAGAATGATCCAGATGGTGGATCGCATGGGTTTTGCTTTTTGAACAATATAGCAATCGGAGCAGCTTACGCACGTTCCATGTACCGCAATGAGAATATTCGCAAGGTGGCGATCATTGACTTTGATGTTCATCATGGAAATGGAACTGAAGAGATCATTCGACAACTTGTTCCCACTGTGGAAAAGTCTATTATCCGGACTCCATTTGCAATCGGGGAACTTGGCGTGAAAAATTATAGGCCATGGCTGGACGAAACAGATGTCCATAACGTCTTTTTCGCCTCGGCTCACGGATATGGTCCCCGTGGAATTGAATTTGCAGACACGCCTCAGGCTGGTTGGTTTTATCCGGCGTCAGGAAAAACTGTCATGACCGACAACGTCAAAGATCCGTCATCCGTTGAAACGCCAAATCTTACTGATTTTCTGTTGAGTCAAACGTGGACAAGAATGGGCGCAGAAGCTCAAGGCAACTGTTGCAAAATTATCAATTGTGGCCTTGGCTTACCAACTCGTGATGCTGTGCCTGGAATGCAACGTCTTGAAGTTCGTGACACATACAGGAAAAAGATTCTCCCACAACTTTTGGAGTTTGATCCCGATATCATTTTCATCAGCGCCGGTTTCGATGCGCACAAGCGGGATAGCATGAACTTTGGATACGTCGGCATGGTCGAAGATGATTATGAATGGGTTACTGCACAGCTTGTTCGAATTGCGAACACCTGCTGTAACGGCCGGATCGTGAGTGTTCTCGAAGGAGGATACAAGATTCATGGTGGCATTGTAAGCCCTTTTGCAAGATCGGTTGCAGCTCATGTGCGATCATTAGTTGATGGGGGGAGCTCGCGTGAGCTGTACGATGCCCAAGATGGGGAATGGGAGAGTCAGTTCGAACGTCATTTGATCGACGAAAGGGAGAGGAAGCGTCAACAGAAACTAGAGAAAATGAAACTACTCGAACTGGAAAGCAGACGAGCGCTGTATGGGGACGATGCTGGTAATGAAGAAGAGGGCGATGCGCCTCGAAAGAGAAAACGAAACCAAGTTGACTACAGATCGTTATATGAGCAGATGAAGAAAGAAGGCTTTGCCACCTGAAATACTCGTAGATAATAGCTGCTTGATTTTTCTTCGCCTTGACATTGTTGTACTTCTGTAGACCTTCTCAATCGACCAACATGACTGACTCTTCATCAATCAATCATCTGCTACAAAAACCCAACAAAGGTGCCATGTTGGAGCATTTGGAGGTTCTTTGGCAAAGTTGGCTTAATCGCATGATAGTAGCATTGCTTGTCATAGCCTTCTTTGACTACAGGAATCGTCCCCATATTGAAAACGACGACAGAAATGTAATTTTTCCGCCAGATCCAGTAGCGGTATCACAAACTGAAGAAAAGCGAAGTCGTAGCCTTCTATTGGATCAAGCTGAGGAAGACGTGAAAGAGACTGTAGAAGTGACGAAGAGCCCAGATCATCCAGAAGAAAATAGCTTGTCTGAATCGACGAAAGGTCAACTGGAGGAGGCTTCAATTGCCGAGCTTGAGAAGGACAACGAGACCAATCAACAAGAAGGGATTTTGGGTGACGATACAGCAGTCAACCACTCAGCCGTCGTCGAACCAGAAAAAATTGCAGGAGCGAAGAGAAATCAGCCGCCTACAATAAAGGCGACTAGCAATGAGCATCCAGGTATGGCAAGTTTCAATTATTGGTTGGACATTGAATCGAGTTTGTTTCGGATCTACACACTGGGACGTGGAGATGATGTTGAAGTTGTTCCGCCATACGTCCCGCACAGCTATCGCGGCACAGTTCCAATCTTCTTGCATATAACAAATATGACAAGAATTCCACTGAATGTTTTTTGGATCGACTATCAAGGTCGCTCTATCCCAAAAGGCAATCTACTGCCTGAACGGAATTGGTCGCAGACGACGTGGATTGACCAGTAAGTCGATTGAATGAATTCGAGAATCATACACAATCAAGTCCTCCCTTTCTGACGCTACTCCACCACTGTTGGCTTCCAAAGCCCTTGGATATTCGAACACGCCGAAACAAGAGAGGTTGTGCTCTACTACATTCCTTATAGAGTTATCCCCACTTCACACGGTACTAACACTGTATCTGATGATGGGACAGGGCAACACAAGTTCTCGTTGGTACCACCAAAGGATAGGAACGGACCATTCTGGGTTGCTGTTCGGGATGATATCATGCCATTCCCAGGCTCTGAAAATTTTCACTCTCCACTGCCAGCAATTTCTTGGACGCTTCAACATATGAGCCGGCTTATGTCGCCAGAAGATTCATCTATCGCGACACTGCAACTGTACCTGAAGAATATCGTTGAAAACCCAAAGAGCATTAAGTATCGACAAATTCGAATTCGTTCAAAGAAATTTGCTGCCATTTGGCAATCACCCATGAAAGGGCTTCTGCTGGCAGTTGGCTTTGTAGAACGAGAAGCTTATGCTGAGCTGGGATCTGCTGACGAATTGCCGAGAGAAAGGGTTCAAGAGCTTGCTCTGTTGTCTTACATGTTGAAAAAATGGTGTGACGATGAGCTTCAACGGTTTAATCTGCAACAGCCAGATGGGGCAGATGGCTTTGGTCGCCAAGGTTTCGGTCGAGCCGGGCAGATAAATTGACAACGTTGAACGTAATGCATCTGTCACTACTGTAACCCGTAGAAGCATGCAAGAAGACACTGCACTACTGTAGATATATCAAACGCCGTGATACGAACACTAGATAACCGATTAGCAACTGTTCTGTAGGATATTTGTACTGATATAGTCCCATATTCTGCATGTACGTGTACGTTGTTTTCGACCACGTGAGTTGACGCGAAGTCGAAGTCGTGAATTCTGCACCCAACCTGATTTTCAGCATTTTGTTCGGCTTCAACACAGACGAGCGAAAGGCGTTGAATTGTTAATGATGAAACAAAGGCTGCTGGTTCTCAAGGGACCAACATCTGCGATCGGCAGGCAAAGTCAGTTTCTTGACTCTTCTTTCAAAATTTCGAATGGCCAATGTTTTCGATATGCTTCAAATGCAATGTACGAAGGCGATGTTTTCCAATCGTCACAGAATGGGAACACAGGGGCACCTCTATATGTCGCAGCAACGAGGCAACATGTTGGAAAGACATCAACGTCATTGGCTCTGTTGAGTGGTCTACAAAAACGATTTGATCGAGTTGGGTTTATGAAGCCAGTTGGACAACAGTCTTTGCAGGTCGAAGAAAATGGGAAAATTGTGGATTGTGACAAAGACGCTGTTCTCGTGAAGCATCATTTTGGGCTTGATCATTTGAAATATGGGGACATTAGTCCAGTTTTGATCCCACGTGGTTACACTCGCGATTATCTTGACGGAAAAATAAGATTGGAACACCAGGAAGAATTGGTCTACAATGCATACCGGGCCGTGAGCGCTGATTCTGAAATTGTTCTTTGCGAAGGAACAGGCCATTGTGCGGTTGGAAGCATCGTACATGCAAGCAATGCACAAGTTGCTAGTTGGCTCGGTGCCAAGATGATATTGGTTGCCAATGGCGGATTGGGAAATACTTTTGACGAGCTAGAGCTTAACAAAGTGCTTTGCGACAAAGAGGGTGTAGAAATATGCGGAGTCATTATCAACAAAGTGCAGCCAGAGAAACTTGATCAGACAAGGGAATACCTTACCAAGGCATTGGATCTGCATTGGGATGGTGTTCCTCTATTGGGATGTGTCCCAGATAGGCCATTCCTGGGTTGCCCAGCACTGAGTGACCTGGAAAAGCTTTTCAAAACAAAGCTCCTGACTGGAGAGAACCACAAACTCAGACACTACAGAGTACAAGATATGAATCTGGTCGCAACCTCATTACAAGTCTTTTTGCACACCTTGCGAAAGAACCCATCAAGAAGTCTATACGTCTGTCATGCTTCTCGAAATGATATTTTGCTTGGATTCCTCATGGACCATCCTCTTCGAAAACAAGGAGCTGGGAATGAATCAGCACTAGTGGTGACCGGTACTGATGAATATCCATTGAGTGCTCAAGTCCTTGACATCATCGAAGGCTTGAATGAATCTGGGAACGCGCCACCTGTCATGCTCGCACCATACCCGACAAACGTGGCCATGGATATGATCCATAGATACACTCCAAAGTTGAATTTTGAGGATGATAATCGTGTAAATACGACAGTAAAGCACTATGAGCCTCATATTGACTTTGACTTGTTGTTGGAACGCACTGGTCACCTTGACCGTGCAAATCAAGTCAACTGAGAAGTATAAGTAGTGAACACACCATCTGTAGAATCAAAAAATCGCCTAATGAATTGTGTACTTCAAAACTTTTGACCTTTAGCTAACTCTGAGCTAGCTAGCTTTGGCTTTGCTCGTGGAAACACCATCGGATCCTGAGGCACCACTACCCACTCGATCACGAAGTGCAAAAAATGGAGCCATGAAGGTTGCAATGGCACGCGTCGCCGCAGTCTCACTACCTTGGGGATGAGGGACGAAGACGATTCCTTTTATAAACAGCCAAGCGGCTTGGTAATGAATCCATATTTGCAGAATCATGCAAAACCCGGGGAAGCGAATCAGCTGCCAAGCCACGCCAAATGGAGTAATTGATTGCGCCTCAATTTCCAGCTTTGCGGAAAAGGCCAACTTGTCATTCGAAAGACTCCGTAAGTTATTGATAATTGTCATTGGTGCAGCATCGTCCACCTTGTTCTCAGGCAAGCCAGCATAAATGAAATCGTACATGTAATCCATTTCCATGAATGGACTGACATGAAAATCCTTTGGAAAGGTAAACCACTCGCTTCCATCCTTCTTCTCATGCTTGACCTTATCGACACTATCTTTGTGCAAAACATAACTGTGTTGTTCTAACCAAGGAGTATTGCTCACTTCTGCCACCATGACTGTCAGTTCATTCGTTTCCTTTGATGTGACGTAGTAGAAACTGACAGGATTGAAATTGTAGCCATAGTAAGAGAGCTAAGGGACAAAACATCACAGGTTAGGGTTCACACAATTCTTTCTCAGATTTGATCCATTCATTCATCTATATGATTCCTTACGTGGGTCAACAAAGTAACTCGGTGCGTCTCTATGGCAGGGGCACATTTACCGTTCGTCCTCTCTTGGACCAATCGCAGCACTCGTTCCACCAACGAATTATCGGCGCCTCCTTCCTTTACAATCCCTTCACCATTCTTCAGATGATCTGACTCCCGAAACTCTAGAATTGGGGACATGAACGATTCTAGATTTTCTTTCAGATCCAAAGCAAATATGAAAATCGGATAGGTGAATGCATGGAGCTTCGGTTGTAACCGTGTGTGCCACACTCTTCCAGTGTATAGTTTTGAGTGTTTCAGGTCGTATTCCTTGAATGTATCTCGCAGCGCTAGAACCAATGGAAGCATAACAAAAGCAAGGAAAAGGAAAACGGCTACGGCGGATATCAATGCGATCAACATCTTATGACGGATCTCTAAGAAATTGGAAGTTGGTGATGGGTGATGGGTAATGGGTGATGGGTGATGTGCAATGTGCGATGTGTGCACACGATAGTGCATAGTATAAAAGTTCTGTGCACTGGATCCGATTGATGACGTCACGATACAACTAATTTTCTTCACGCATTCCTCGCTTATTCTCAATTCTAAAATTCTTGGAAAATCTTTCAATCAAGATCGCTTGAAGAAGCATATGAAGTTTTTGTTTGAGAGGTGCAAGCTTTGATTTGTTTGCAATATTGATACCAGTAGACCAATAGGTTGTAGACCTTTTTCGAATCATCACTCATCGAGGAAACAGCACTTCTCTGCTGTGTATCAAATCGCTTAGATTTCGTTCTGGGATTGAATGAGAACATTAGAATTTGAAAAAGATAATAGTCATGTAGTCTTGTAATTGTATTTTTTAGAATAGTCTGTAATATGTTTACACTAAGGTTTCATGTAGTTCATTTTCTGTTTCTGCGAAAATGTGGATATGCGTTGAAAGATGTAAGGTATGTAGCGTGTGTTTGTAATGACAAAGTGCCGACTATTCCTTCTGCACAACTTGAGGTGTCTGCATGGTTGTGGTTGAGACCTGTGGTGAGGATGCCAATGGTTGTTGAAGTGGCTTCATGTTCTTGACGCATTGAGTCGCAGAGTTGTTGCGAGTGTTGCGATGGCAGTGCGAGAGGAGTTCTCGACGATCACGGCGTAGTCCACAAGATCCGTACATGATTGATTCTGATTGTTAGTATTGGTTGAAGAGAGAAGGGAAAGTTTGCGCGTTTAGTGTTGGCTGTTATGCGGTTGTGTGATTGGTGTCAGTTGTGTGATTGGTTTCACTCTGAAATTATGAATGGTTTTGGAAGTAAGTTGTGATTTGACACCGTGTCAGTTTGTCGAGGGAAATGAAAATGTGCCCAAATGAGATCGAGAATTTCCGTCTGAGTGTCAAAGTTCACGAACACCCCGTTGTGATGTTTCAGCGCCAGTTTCAACCGGAATTTTCTGATTTTACGCTGTGGGTTTTACTCGCAAATCATGATAACGCTAAACGAATGGGTAAAATTTTATGGTACTCAATCTCTGTAGAACGCACGAACACCCAGTTGTGGTGTTTCAGCGCCAGTTTCAAAAGGGATTTTTCTGATTTTCCATGGGATCTACCGCGTGAAAATCGTGAATAACGCGATACGATCAAAAGTGCCGCCAGTAGTCTAAATCGTCGTAACAATCCACACGTTGCACTTGCAATTTTTTCGAAGCTGCCCGAACTTATTATCTTTGGTCTCTAAGTAATCGATCGTACGTTGAGGCTTCAGGAATACCCTACATTGACACACGTTTCCTACGTTTACCGGTACGGAGTTTTACTACGGGACCGGCACGGAGTTTTACCAGATGAGCTCCGGCCGGGTGCATCGGATCAGAGAACACCTCGGAGTAGTTTGCTCTGTGATGTGACACCATGTACGTGAACACGTGTACCTGTACTTCAACTTACAGAAAAGACTGGAGAAGGTTTTTTGTTTTTCTTCGCCATTGAATGAACGAAGGCAACTCAAAGGAAATGACCTTCTACTGATTTCATTTTTTGCTCTGAGCTAACACTAAGAACTCAACGCACAAGTAACGAGAAGACGCTATCGACGCTATACAAGGCTGCCATGCAGTCTGTGTTGCTCTACGGTCGTAATCGTGGGTCCTTACGACCACTGTACTGATCCACTGATCCACAAGCTGGAGGTCTTCCAACGTAGTAGGAGGGTGGCGCCTCAGATCACTGGCACCCAGGCCAGGTCATGCAGAGCCACAAGTGAATGGTCGGCTGTTCCACTTGGTACCAGAACAAGCAAGTTAATTCCCCATGAGAGAGTATCTCAAGCGGAGGTAAGCTAAGATGATAGAGGACAAGGCAACTCGTCCATTTACCAAGAGGCAACTAGCATCGCTCTGGGTCGTATACTGGACGGAAATTCTGATCACCCCACAGAGAGATAATTAACTAGATAGTCAACTCAGTGCTAATACAATAGTTGAGTAGATTTTAGACGCCCACAACGCTGTACGGTACCGATACTGTATGGAGCCAATGACTGAGCTGACCAACAATCCTACCGTACCAGGTACAAGGTACCGGAAGGCGGTAGGTACTAGAGGTACAATACGAGTACAAAGATGTTTATTAAAAATTATCGGCTATCTGAGTACTTTAGACTCCCCAAAAATGACCTCTTGGAATTTCGCGGGCACGCCCGATCCAAATCCATTACGGGACAACCAAACTCTTTTGTGATTGATCTTCATCGTACTTGCACTACTCACGATGGGTCTATTCGGAACAGTAAGAGGGGTAGAGGAGCCTCTCAAGAAACCATCTGAGGATGAAAAGAGCAAGGACAAAAAATCTGGCGATGAAGCCGATGGTGGTAATAGGAGCAGGAGTGGTGACAAGGAGTCAAAGTCGGAAAAAAAGGGTTCAAGTAAAAGCGAAGATGGTGAAAAGGACAAAAAATCCAGCGGTTCTGAATCTGAAGACAAGAAAAAATCCAGCAGTTCTGAATCTGAAGACAAGAAGAAATCCAGCGGATCCAGCGATGAAAAGCCTGCCAAAAAATCCATTGATGATTCTGAAGATGAAAAGCATGCCAAAAAGTCCAGCGATGATCCAGAAGATCCTGCCAAAATGCCCAGCAAATCTGAAGATGAAGTAAAGGAAGCTAGCAAGACATCGAAACAGAGCAAAGGAACAAAAAAAGCAGCCAAGAAGAAACCAAAGTCCAGCAGCTCTGAAGATGAGGAGGAAGAAGTAAAGAAGAAGTCTAGCAGCTCTAAAGAGGAGGAGAAAGAAGTGGAGAAGAAGTCTAGCAGCTCTGAAGAGGAGGATGAAGAAGCGGAGAAGAAGTCAAGTGACTCCTCTGAAGAGGAGGAGGAGGAAGTGAAGAAGAAGTCAAGTGACTCCTCTGAAGATGGAGAGGGAGAAACGAAAGAAAAGGGCTCTTCTTCCGAACAAGGTGGTGAAGGTACGACAGAGGCAGCTATCGATGGAGATGTTGACGGTGATGGCTTCAGTGGAGACATTGATGATTATTTTGGTGAGATGGGCCTCTACAGTTCGACATCTGGCGACCTGAGCTCAGGGGACTTTCTTTACGCTGAAGAAGGAATCGAAGCGATTGATCACGACTATGGGGGCAATACGAATTTCTTTGCTCCAGATGGAGAAATTATTGGGGACCTCGGCGAGAGTCCATCATTGAAACCAGTGCTTGTAATGGGAGCAATCATAATTTACCTCCTCAGCCGACGGACTCAACTCAGAAAGCATCACAACAACTAATATATTATTCTGTCCCAAGTCCGGAACTATGTCCACAACATCTGCTATACAATGATGTACTGTAGTCTACATAGAAATCTGAACATGAGAAACTATGAGTCATTTCTAATAGCTACTCATACTACAGCAGCTCGTCAATTACACCTACTGCAATAGTGTCGCCGGATCGCCGCAAAACGAAACGTCCAAGAGCTCGACAAGATGAAAATTGTTCCATAGCAATCTTGTCATTCAAAGTAATTTCCACGATTGCACTTGAATTTCGTGAGAGTGCTCGCGGTCTTTCCTTAATAACTTCGCCTCCACCTTTTGTGAGAGCAATAAGCTTGGATACGGTTGCAGGAATATCCAAGCTCTGCATGTGAAACATAACACGAGCTCCTCGAATGATTGGTATGGTCACAGAGTCAAGAATAAAAACTTTAGCTTTCGCCTTCTTTGTCAACGGTGGTCTTGCGTTTGGGTTGGATAGGATACTGCCCACAGAAAGACGCACCAACTCGATACCAGAAAGTACCAGTTCAACAGTATCCCCGGCCATCCCAATAGATAGACGCTTGAATGCGTTTTTGTCATTGTCATCTGTAGTAGGAGGTTGTAAATGTTCCAGCTTGTTGACTGTGACAACATCGCCAATCGGAAGAACAACCAATCGCTCTCCAGCTTCCACAAATCCTTGCATGACACGTCCACGAGCTACAACACCTTTGCCTTCGGCGTAGACATCTGTTATTCCAAATCTAAATGGTTTTTCTTACCAGGTGTGAGTAATTCAAAATGCCAAAGCGAATAATGGAATAGGTACCCCTGACTTACCGAGTTGCCGCTTTGCAGGCAAAAAATCATTCATTGCATCTAATAGTGTAGGCCCTTTGTACCATGCTGATAATTTCGAATCATTGCGAGATTTAACATTTTCCCCAGTCAAACCACTCAATGGCAGAAATCGTATTCTCTTGGGGGCGAACTGTTGCTGCAGCAAATAACTTTTAACTTTTGCCTGAATTTCGTCATACCGTTGCTTGCTCCAGTCTTCCATATCAAGTTTGTTGATGGCAACCAAAATCTGCGTTACACCTAATCCCCGGGCCAGTAAAATGTGTTCCTTTGTTTGACCCCCTCCATCAAATCCCGCTTCGAATTCACCTGTATTTGCAGCTACTACAAGTATCGCAACGTCCGCATTGGCTGCACCTGTGATCATGATTGGAACAAAATCTGCATGACCAGGTGCATCCAAAAGAACAATATCGTGCTTTGGAACACTGTACCAAAACAACATCGGGTGTGAGCCGTATGACTTACTCAGAAACCGCATCATTGCCAACCAACTTCGTAATATATTCCTTACCGGACAGTTTTGGTTCCAATCTCCATAGTGACGCCCCGTTCTCGTTCCTGTTCATTTTCATCCAGAATCCAACTCATTGGCTTCTTTCCAGCCTCTCGTTTCGATATGTATCCAGCTTGAACGAGAACTTGACCCATCATTGTGGATTTGCCAGCATCTACATGACCCAAGACAACCATACTCAATTGTGATTTGGCAGTTTTCAAAATATCAGGTACCGGTTTTGGTACATATACAGATCCCTGTTGTTTGTTGCTGGATTTGGATTTCGTCGCTGTCGCTTTTGTCTTTGAATCTTGATTTTTGGACGCTTCTTGTCCAGACGATGGTTTTCCCCAATCAGGTGGTGGTTTCATGACTCCAGCCGCTGTTGCAGGTAATGTTGTTGCCTTTTGAGATTGCAGCGCTGCTGGTTTGCCCCATCCATCAGGTGGTTTGGCGACGCCAACGGATGCTGTATTTGACGGTGGTGCAAACCCTGGTGGAGGTTGTGCTACTCCCACAGGTGCGCTATTGGAAGGCGTACCCCAACCTGGCGGAGGCTTTGTTAACGACCCTTTTGCAATTGCGGGTGCAGTGTTTACTGCAGGTTTAGCTTTGGGCCAGGGGATTTGTGCTCTAGGAGCAGGAGCTGCCGCAACGGGAGCAGCAAAAACTGAAGCTGGTGCTGCTGCTGCTATTATAGGCTTGGAAAGTGATGGAGGGGCATATTGCTGCTGCAAGTCATCATCCTCGTAGTAGTCGTCATCATAATACTCGTCTGTTGTGAACGAAATAATGGGCAGGTTAATCAGAGCCAAATGATCCAATGTACCAAAGTGGACACTTCATTCCACTTACCATCATAGTCATCGTAATAATCGTCCTGTGTAAGATTTCTCACCATGCGATGTCGCGACATTCTTCAGCTTCCTCTTGGATGGTCACACGAACAAATATGAATGATGTACAGTAGGTAATATAATAGTTGTTGTTGTACGAGTAGACTAGTTCCCATAATGGTCGAACCAGTCGATTTGAGAATTTCCCAAGCCCGCCCCGTCTGCTCGTCCGGCCTGCGACGGAGCAAAATGGCCAATGTCATCTCTAAACTCTTGCTCTAAACAGCTTCAACTCACTGAACAGTAACATTTGATTTCGCAGATAGGCCGAAGCCTGGTGCAAGGTATTTGTTGAACCATGGCAATTAGTAAGACCCGTGTAGGAGCTCCGATATCCGCCAAACCTAAAAAGTCAGATGGGGACCAATTCCTTCTGGCAAGAGGTTTATCGGCACGGTACACCGGTGCCAACACTCCCCTCGTCGGCTTGACTTCCGAAGAAATGGAGCGTGATATCCGTCACATGGAAGCCTTTTCCAATGCCTGCACGGCATATTCCCAGCAATTCTACATTTCTCAGAATTCAAATGACGGTGTTGAAGATGGCAAGAGTACCAAAGCACTTGCATCGCCTCCGATTATTGCGATGCCAGTTCGCATTGATCCAGAGGAAGAGAAACGTCTCACCAATTTGAGACAGAAGATTCAACAATGTGAAGCCCAGAGAGAGATTATGGAATCACAGTATTTGAGCTTGCGTGCACATTATGTGTACCTCTCAAAGAAGCTGAAAGCTTATCGTGGTACCGTCAGCGGACATGTTAAGTTCCTTCAAGAACAAGTTCAGAAGAGGGGCAAGTTGGTGGCATTACAACGGGCACGACTTCAGATTGCTCGTGAGGTATTAGCTGCCTTGATTCATCGCCAAAGACTGACCATAAGCGAGGCTGACGATTCAACGGACCTGGTGGAAGTCTGGAACAAAATTGAAGAGAAGTTCAAGAAGGCTGAAAAGGATTGCCGTTCCTCAGGACTAGAATCCTGGCATGCAATGAAGGTTCCTCAGGTTCCACCTGGGGTTCCACTCATGCTCTCGCAGCTTGCAAAGCAGCCTGCACTTGCTAGTGCATGGTCTGCTGGAGGTATGTTTGGATCTAATAAAGATACCATGTGTTGGTTGGAACCTTTGGTGCCTCAGAACAAGGATAAATCGGAGCTAGTAGAAGAGTTACCTAAACTCAGAAAGAAAGTACAGGTGTTGCGTGAAAACTTGTATATGGAGGACGACAAGAGCAAAAGTTTTCAAACCGAGATCATATCTTGTCGCAAGAAGAATGACGAGTTGGTCGCGATGATGGCACTGTTACGAACAGAAACAGAGGCTGTTGTTGCCCGCCATAATATTATTCTGCAAAGTGAGGCGGCCAGGGAAGCTGCCGGTAAGCAACTCTCCGAAGAAGAAGTTGCAAACGGTGGGAACGATGAGAAGGATTCAGTTGTTGGTGAAAGTGCGGAAGATGGAAACGCTGGAAATGAAGTCCCTTTGGCAAGTAAATCGGAAGACCCTGAGAGCTATGGAGACGATGAACGCGGTGCAGAAGATGAAGAAGAGATTGGGGGATCAAAGCGCGCATTAGATGGGGAAAATGGGTCTCCACGAAGCAAACGGAGAAAATTGTAAAACTCCCTCCGAGTGAGTCAAAGTACTTCTTTTTTAAAAGTACGAATAGCATTATTCTTGTACGTACCACACTGTAGATACTTCAGAGTTTCCAATGGGGTTCGAATCAAAACTGGTACCATCCTGTACCAGGCACAGGAGATGAAATAAAAAGAATGGGGTTCGCGCGACTCGCGCATGGATTTGATTTTTTGAAAACTTCAGCTTCGACATCCTTGGTTGCTGTTCGTTCGAAATAAAAATACAGTACTGTGTTGTTGTAGTAAAGATGCCATTCGTTCATATCACCTGGTTGCCCAAAGCTTGCCGAACAGCTGCTGTCCGAAAGGAAGTAGCAGATGCGGTCATCAAGGTTCGTGATTTGAATTCGACGAGATGATCCATGCTCTTGATGTCGTCGATGGATGATGATGACACAATTTCAGTGATACACACAGATTTTCTCTGACGATGCACATTGTTCTCGCCCTTCGCCTTATGATGACGATTATTCCAGGCCATGTGTGCGCAGAAGGACGCGGATATCTCGCCGGAAAATTTGGTAGTTCGTTTCAGCGAAGCCGTTGACGGATTCCCATTGCCGAAGGGCCATTCTGAAAACCCTGCGTTGCAAGCACCGCAAAAGCCAGAGGCTGAAGCGTTCCTCGCAGAGAAGAAGTGAGTAGTTCCAACTGAGAGAAATTCTTGAGCAAAGTTGACATTGGGTTCCTCGTTACACATTAAGTCAGCTCCTGTTGTATAATTGAAAATCTATAGAAATTATTTCAATGCACCACATCTTGTTTATGCTTCAACAGTTTCTTCTGTCTTGGCAGGTACATCGCTGTTGGTAATCAGACGGATTCCGACCAATCTTTGCTCGGCATCAATCTTAACAACATCGGCAGTGACACCCTTTCCAAAGTATGTTTCGTACTTCTTAATTCGGCGCTCATCAGCCCACATCTTGTATGGGGTTTCCAACGATTGCCAAACAATGGTGAATGCCAACTCTCCGTCGACTTCTTCTTGTCGAAGTTCTCGGAGTTGTGGGTATGCCTTTCCTGGAATGACCAATCCAAGCTTTTTTACGGTGGTATCCAAGTGGGCTTCGTCTCCATATCTGTGTCTGGTCACATCTTTCTTAATCTTATCAATGATATCAGTTTTCTTGGATTCGTAAATCTGTTCACCTTCAGGTGTGCTGAAGACTGGGACGGGTTCAATTTCAGCATACTTCAAAGCAGCACCGGCCAGGAAAACAGGAATTCCATACACAAATCCCAAACCGGAAACATTCAAACCCTCGCTTCCAGAATCACTCAAATATTCAACAAAGGAAAGGACAGTAATAAGAACACCAGAAGCAATGATCAAGTTTCCAAGAGAGAAACCACGGATCTCAAATGGTGGCTCTCCGGCGTTGTTGACTCCAGCACCTCCGACCATCGCAGATTTTGAGGCTTCCCATGACTGCAAATAGCAAGTAAGAAAGATGATGAGATGAGAAATTTCATAGAACTACAGGATCAACAGCTGCAGTTTAGAGCACATACGTCGTCGTCGGACATGAACATCTTGGTGGACTCGAAATTCTTGCTATGACTTGAAAGAACTTTGGAAGACAGCGTTGATTGTGGGGCAAAGGCAACAGCTGGTGCGATGGCGACAGAGCAGATTGCAGCGATGGTGAGGATTGTCTTGACCATTTTGTTTTGTTTTTTGGGTATTCTAATTTGTGTTACTGAAAGTATGGATACGTCGATTGCAATAGTCTGAGTCAACAAACCACCAACACAGATGTCAATCGATTTTCTGTCGTGTCGGAGTTTTGGTCTTCATGACATCAGTGTTTTTACCGCACTGACGTGTTCTGGATACGATTCTGAACGATCCGGGTCCCTTACAAATGACAGAAGATTTGTGGAGGCTCGACCAATTTGAGTGTGATGATTTCTGATTTCAAACTTCAAGTTTCAAGTTTGACACTGAGCTCTCTTGCCAAGCAAGCAAATGAAACAAGACCTTGAACAATGAGAATCACAAAAATAATACCATTATTGATAGTGTCTTTGTGTGCAGATGAGGTCTCTCCCTTCAGTTTCTTTGGAAAACACCTGGGAAAGCGACGGCGTTCGATGATCAAGTCGAGTGAAGATACACCAGCCTTTTTTGCATCGGCAGTTGTCGAAAAGGTCGTCGATGTATCCGTTCCTTATGATGCAGCTGCAAGGTTGGCTTATGAATCTTCCAACAAGACAGTTGCATTTGAGCGTTTCAAAACGGTATATCTTGAAAGAGCAGTGGAGCTAGTCAAGTCCAAACAACATGGATATGTACCTTCTCCAGTTTATGAACCTGCTGATGTTTCCGTTCCTTACGACGCTGCTGTCAAACTAGCCTACGAAACTAGCGAAAGTCGGTTGCTATTCGAAGCATACAAAAAAATATACATAGAAGAGGTGGTGAATATGGTAATCAGAAAGAACAACGAGAGAAAACGACAGGAGTTTGCTGCAAAATTCAACCCAAAGCCACCGATTTCACCGCCGCCAGTACCCCCGGTTGTTGATGAAAAATTAGCAAGATTGATTGGAAAATTTGAGCAGAGCAAGGACGTGACAGTTGCGAAGATTACTGATTTTGTCAAGACTATTGAATTTGTAAGAACTCTGTGAAGATATTAGTATTGTGTTGCATTCTGCATGTTCCAACACTCATTGTTAACTTTCCAGAAAAAGCCAGAGGTGCAAGAAGGAGTCCCCGAAGAGTCAATAAAGGGAGCTGCATTGCTTACAGCAGGCTTAGCACTCTTGTCCACTAAGGGTGTTGTCATCTCCGGTGCTGCCGGAATAAGTGCAGCGTTTGCGAGTATGCAGAAAGGTCAAGTCGGTGATGTATTTCGAAGCTTTGGAAGTGTAACCTGGGATGCCACTGAAGCTGCCATACAATTGGTACGCGCCGCATCTGCGGATGAACGAGTGACGGGACTTTCCAACGAATTGGCAGCAAAAGTGACAAGAGCGATTGATCAGTACCAAAGCGAACAAATGGCCACCAAAAAGAGTGTGTATGCTCCCAAAATGGATGATTCTTTGGCTACCGAAGAAATCATGCAAAGCTCTCCGGAGCTCGTAGCTGAATTTTTGGAGCAAGTAGAAGCGGTGATCGACCAAGCTGATGCGGCAATGGCTCTCGCTGACGAAACGCTGGGTAAGGCGGACATGAAGCTAGATGATGTGCTCATGGAAGAGGATGAAGCAGAAACGGGCGAAGAAGACGAGGATGAAGTGGCTACAAGTAGCAATATCAGTAACGTATTGGAAGATGAGACCGACGAACTCGATGATGATGAGGATGCTGTCATAGATGCTGACAATATCCTAGTGGAAAATGACGAAGGCACTGTTGAAGAGGACGCCGAAGAAGAGCTGGCGGCTGATGAAGATGAAGATGAATGGGCAGCCACATTGGAACTTGCGCAGCAGGGTGTTGGTGGAAAAATCGTTGGCATGGATGAAATTATCGCTGATATTGGAGCGAAGGCTGATTGGGATGCTGCTACTAAGCTCGCCGAGGAGCTCAATCAAGTTGGTGAAAGTGAAGCTGACGAGGAAGAAGCTCCCATGGTCTTTGATGACGATGAGGAGGACGAGGAGGAGGAGGTAACGAGCAATTCTGATGAGGAGGACCTCGACGACTTCATGCCTGAGGGGGACTTGGAGGCTATTGCCAGTGCTGCCAGAGAAGCAGTGGCAATGTCCAGTGAAACTATCGTAGATAACGAAGAGGAGGCAACGAGCGATTCTGATGAGGACGACCTCGATGACCTGATTCCTGAGGGGGACTTGGAGGCTATTGCCCGTGCTGCCAGAGAAGCGGTGGCAATGTCTGGTGAAACTATTGCAGATGATGAGGTGGCAATGTCTGGTGAAACTATCGTAGATGACGAAGAGGAGGCAACGAGCGATGATGATGAGGACCTCGACGACCTGATGCCTGAGGGGGACTTGGAGGCTATTGCCCGTGCGGCCAGAGAAGCGGTGGCAATGTCTGGTGAAACTATCGTAGATGACGAAGAGGAGGCAACGAGCGATTCTGATGAGGAGGACCTCGACGACCTGATGCCTGAGGGGGACTTGGAGGCTATTGCCCGTGCGGCCAGAGAAGCGGTGGCAATGTCTGGTGAAACTATCGTAGATGACGAAGAGGAGGCAACGAGCGATTCTGATGAGGAGGACCTCGACGACCTGATGCCTGAGGGGGACTTGGAGGCTATTGCCCGTGCGGCCAGAGAAGCGGTGGCAATGTCTGGTGAAACTATCGTAGATGACGAAGAGGAGGCAACGAGCGATTCTGATGAGGAGGACCTCGACGACCTGATGCCTGAGGGGGACTTGGAGGCTATTGCCCGTGCGGCCAGAGAAGCGGTGGCAATGTCTGGTGAAACTATCGTAGATGACGAAGAGGAGGCAACGAGCGATTCTGATGAGGAGGACCTCGACGACCTGATGCCTGAGGGGGACTTGGAGGCTATTGCCCGTGCGGCCAGAGAAGCGGTGGCAATGTCTGGTGAAACTATCGTAGATGACGAAGAGGAGGCAACGAGCGATTCTGATGAGGAGGACCTCGACGACCTGATGCCTGAGGGGGACTTGGAGGCTATTGCTCGTGCGGCCAGAGAAGCGGTGGCAATGTCCAGTGCAACTGCCGTAGACGATGATGAAGACGACGAAGTCTTCGTTCCTTCTGTCGATTCAGACTTTGATGATGTTGAAGCCATGCTTCCAGAAGGAGACCTTGAGGTCATTGCACGTGCTGCCAGGGAAGCGGTAGCAATGTCTGGTGAAACTCTTGTAGATGACGATAAGTTTTCAGACTCTGACTTGGAGGCTGTTCAAGACATGCTTCCAGAAGGAGACCTTGAGGAAATCGCCCGTGCTGTGGCAATGAAAGGAAAAAAAGTCATCGATGATAATGACTTCGAAGATGACGATGAGGATGTTAGTGACATGTTTGCAGATCAAGGGGACCTAGAAACTATCTCCAGTGCAGCGAAAAATGCAATAGCTATGTCCAGCGCACCAGGCAACTCCCAGAGATCGGATCTGCCACTACCACTTCGAGATTGGTCAAAGTTGACTGTAAGTTTTCTGCGTGAAGAGTGCAAGGTCCGAGGCATCAAAGCATATGGCAAAAAGTCAAAGTTGGTTGCCAAATTGGAGCAATATGAATTGGAAGTCTACGAAAGTGAACAAACACCAGGAGTCCAAGCCGCGAAAGAAACCAGCAGTGATGACGATTTGGATTGGGAGTTCGAAATGGATGGCATCGACTTGGCAGAAATTGGAAAACAAGCCCGAGCTGCAGTCCAAGCCTATGAAGACGAGCATAATGACGTTAATAACGATGATGTTTTGGAAGAGGGATCACCAGCTGCAGTTCAGCCGGAATCTACTGTTGAGTCAGAGTTTAGCGTACCAGCCGTGACTGACTTCTCCAAACTGACTGTCATTGAATTGAAGGATGAACTACGAAAAAGGGGACTCAGATTGAGCGGGAAAAAAGCAGACCTGATAGAACGACTGCAGTCTTCGTGAGTACATATTCACTCAATCTATTTTGGGAAATGCCATGGTATTCGATGAGACCAAAAAATTTAGCATTTTCTTTAGCTAGCAGTCTTATTATTGTTATTAGTAGGACCTATTACTATGATGGTAGTAAATGTTGACCTCGTCATTTCCACTTGATGCACACAACATCGTTATTTTCCAATTGGTATTCCCTTCCCTCCATTCGTATACTCCCCGTATCCTTGGCAGCATTGTAAGTACCATGCTCTAGTAGATTGGCGGCCGATATGACCTCTGCCTTGATGAATCCACTTTCAATTTCCCCATGTATTCGTCCCGCCAACCCCTCGGCCGTCAAAGGCCCCGACAGTAAATGTGCCTTGGTCGTCTGTGATCGCTCCGGTGGCACTCCTGGTCCTGTATAAATCAACTTTAGACCCAAGACATGTGCCACCAATTGAGGCAATTGATGGTAGGATAATAACTTCCTATCAAAGTCCTCTTCGACGCCCAAGGATTCCAAGTATACCGCAAGTTCCTCTGGTGATTTGCTGACCATTTCTGATTCCACCTTGGCACTGACAATGGTCCAAACGTCCGTTGTTGGATCAAAAAATTCCAGCTTGGAAACAATTTCTGATTGGATCCGTTCCAAGGTCGCCTCCCGATCCAACAAGTAATCGCACTCGTCCACATTAAAGGCATGGATCACTGGTTTCAATGTTAGTAGTCCCATGCCTCGAATGTGCAATTGTTCTTCCTTTGTCAATTGCAGACTCCTAGCGGGCTTCCCCAGGGCAAGTCCAGAGGCCACTTGTTCCAATACAGTCCTCTCTTCTTCTGGTACCTTATCTCCCCGTTCCAGCCGCCGTTCCACATGAGCTTGATCGGCCAATAGTAATTCCAAAGCAATCGCTTCTATATCCCCCACGGGATCCACTTTTCCATCCACATGCACCACACTCTCATCTTCAAAGGCTCGGGTCAAGTGACACAATGCCCGACACTCTCGCAAGGTCCCCAAGAATCGATTCCCCAGTCCTTCTCCCCGATGAGCTCCCTTGGCCAAGCCCGCTACATCCACCCACTCGATCGTTGCGGGTACCGTCTTGATACTCTTGCCAAGTTTGCCCAACTCCTCCAAATATAAATCGGGCATGGCAATCGGTGTCACGTTCGGATCAATGGTACAAAAAGGAAAATTGGCCGCCTGCGCAATGGATTGTTGGGCCATGGCATTAAAGAGGGTTGATTTCCCGACGTTTGGCAATCCCAGGGTTCCAATTTTTAATTTCATGCAGAGAAGGTTGTTGCGTTTATGTTTGTGATGATTGCTTCGGATTGTTGGCGTGGTGCTGGTGCTGGTGCTGGTGCTGGTGTACCGGCGGTAGGAGGGAAAGAATGTCGACGGTGGTTCTGCCGTAGTGACAACAAAGGAAGACGGGAAACTCCGTATCGAATATGCATGACAGAATTTTCCATGTAGTGTGATGGAGATGATGAGCAGTTGCAATAGATCGTTGAAAACATTATTATTCATTTTGTGCTTCAAACCATCAAATGATCGATTGAGAAAAGTTGATGGATGATTTCAGATTTGCTTTTTTGGATCTCACCAACTTTCAACTTGGGTTCGGTATTATTAAAATATATCTCCCCTATATTGAATATAGTTTCCTCTCCCCATTCTGTGGGCGCCAACACCACTTGCCGGCGTCCGCGGACAGCGCAAGCCGTCGCCGATATTCCGTTGTCTGCCACCACCATTATTACAAAGACCAAGTTCGGAACAGTCGAGTATGTTCAATGTGGTTCAATAGACAGCATTAAAACAAGACACAGTGGCATCTTTCTTTCCGATCATATTGTCATTAGAGCCAAGTCAAAATTAATAACAATGGACAGTGGAAGTCGAATACAAACGAACCAAGAGGGCGGCTATGGCTTGTATCAAGTTCAATGGGATCTAGATCCTCCACAACAAGCGCTGTATCAACCGACGGATGAGTCGCCCACTCTCTACTTTCTTTCATCTCCCGATTATCCAATGCAGCAACAACGCCAACAACAACAACACCGACACCAACATTTACGACAATCTACGCCCAGAATGACAACCGAGTACGAAGTGGCATCCAATCCTGGCGATGCCGTATTTAGCTACACAATGTTTCTAGCAGGCTGTTTGGCCACTTTTCTTTTGTATTTGCTGTTGCCCAAAGGCTTTCGCAAACAATACTTTCAAGCCAAACGAAAACGCTACGCTCGGAGTGACGACAGGGATATGCCCGCAGCCGGTTATTGGTTGCCGGTCAAGCGACAGCAGCAGCAGCAACAACAACAGCCTACTTCTGCGGAAAGCTCGAGGGGATCGCGCAGTCCTGCTCGTAGTCATCAATTAGCACATCCTGTCACTCCCGAACGCACGCCCCGCAAGAATAACGACGTTCCTCCGAGTCCAGAGCATCCCGCACTCCACACACTTCCACCCAACAAAATTATTGCCGAAACCATGGCTCGATTGCAAAATAGAGGAATTCGATTGGTAGCTCATGGAGTTCATTGCAATCCCAAGCGCGTTTGGATCAAACTCGATGACGAATCCACCAGTGTTACCTGGCAAACGGAATTTCCGAGACGAGTGCCCAATCAATCGGGAAAAGTTAGCATCGTGCTCATGCGTGGGTCCTTGCACCGGATTGCACTTTGCAATGTACTGTACATTGATGTGGGCAAGAAAACAAATGCCCTTCAAAAACTACCCGAATCGGTTCCTGCGCCATGCTGCTTTTCACTCTTGACGCAAAATGGCAGTTTGGATTTGCAAGCCAATAGCAAATTGGAACGGGATGCTTTGGTCAGCTGCTTTAGTATGATACTGGATGATGTCCACACAGAAGATTGGAGAGCCATTTACGAGGCTACTCCAGAGCCATCCTTGGTCAATTCGGGTGCTGGTGACGAGGGACCTACGGGCAAGGGGACCATGGTGATGAATCTATAGGTTGATCTATCTGGCTGTAGAGTAGTAATAGATCAAGGGAAGCCTGGGCGCGGGAGAATAACAACGTGTGATGTGATTAGCTAACATGGTGATAATTCTTCAACTTTTCGATTTCATTTGTTTGCTTTTACGTGTGGTATTTAATATTTGGTTACTCCCACAATGCATATCAGCACGTTCCCTTATGATCAATACCACGGTCATTACTGTATGTTTATTCCATATCTGTTACTGCTGCAAACTCATCGGCAAGCTTGATGACTCCGCCGTGTTCTTCAAAGGTTTCATCCTCGGCCTTCTTCAAGGCTTCGTCCACAGCTGCTTGACCTCCAATCTTGGTCAATGCATCCTTCAAAAAATTCTTTTCAACATCCAACTGGGCCAGCAATGCCAACAAGTCGTCGTGTTCGGACAAGAGTTCCAAGTAAATCTTGCGCTCTTCTCGCATCTCTTCCTTGAAATTTTGCAAGTGGTCAAAGGTGGCTGCGTTGATGCTTGTCATAGAAGTATCCAATAGATTAGATTGCATCGTCACATCGTCGCGAGTTTCAGGAGTCATTGGCATCCGTTTCCGGGGTGGAGACAGATGCAGTCTGCTGGCTTCCGTCTTGACAGCTTGGTCATATCGGTTATCCCGCATCATCTTGTGCAACTCGGATTGAGCTTGGCGGCATTCTTCGGTTGATTTTTCAATGGATGCTTTGGCTTTGGAAGCCTCGCGTTCAAGCTTTTGCTTCAAGTTCTTTTTCTCCTTGGTGACTTGATCCAAGGCTTCTTGGAGCGAAGCGATTTGCTTCGCAGCAGCGCTGGCGGACATTTCGGAACCGTTTCCATGTCCATCTGCGTGGCTGGCCTTCAATAGCTCTTCTACTTGGGCCTTGAGACCCACAACGGTTTCTTCTGCATTGACACGAAGTTCGTGCTCTAGAATAGTATCGGCTTCGATGGATGCCATTTGGGCGGCCAGCATTTCTCGCAACTTGCGTTCCGCACGGGCCTTGTCGTCTGCAGCAACTGTGAGCAGATGCTCATGCTCGACGCGAAGTCGTGCGATCTCATGTTCAAGATCTGCTTGGTCATCCAGGGCATAGATATCTTCCTTTGATGCTGCAGCAACGAACGCAGCATTGCTTCTCTCTAATTCTCGAACTTGGTGAATGGCGCGATCTTTCTCCATTGTGATCTGGGAGAGCTCTTGTCGGACTTCCTCAAGTTCGTCAGCATGGTATCTGCGAAGAAGATCATTGTCGTCTTCCAATGAGCTTATTCGGTATTCTAGAGAAGCTCTTCTGTTTTCTTCTGCTAAGCGTGACTCTTCGAGCGCTTGAGATAAGAAATGAATCTCTGATTTGGCAGTGACAATATCCTTCTCAGCAATCGATGTTGCCAATTGCATCTTTGCCAATTGATTTACTGCCTCTCGCTCAGCAGTTTGGGCATTCTCGACATCGTTCAATGCTCGATACAATGAGTTTCGGAGTGATTCAATTTCAATACGCTCCTTCTTCTTCAAGTGTTCCGCGGCTCTGACGGTTCGGAGCTCGATGCCATCAATGCTTTCACCTTCGTTTGCCAGAGCGGCAAGTGTGGCAATGTCATCAAGCAACCTTTCGATTTCAAGTTCGGCAACTTCGCGAGCTGACTCCTCATCTGCAAGCTGCTGCTTGTAGCCATCAATGGTGCGTTGAAGCTCGTCGATTTCGTCACGCAAGGCACTTGCGGCGATTTCTGTGGCCTTCTCGGCGGCTTCGTTGGTGACATACGTCTGGATCATGCTGTTGGCTTCTCGGAGTTCGTCTTCCAGTTGCCCAACTACGAGTGTCAGTCTGATCTTTTCTTCTTCAAGATTCCGGGTGACTTCGGCGTCCGCGGTTGAGTTTTCTGTATCTGCCAGTCTTTGCTTCAGGGCATTGAGTTCCTCTGTACACGTTTCGAGCTCTTTTTCAAGTTCCAAGGCTTTCGATTCCCAGCTTGAAATTGCAACATTCGCTTCTTCCTCTTGTTGCTGCAATTGTTTTTCAAGTTCAACAACCGTCCCTTCCAACTCATCAACACGGGCTAGAAAAATTGTGTAAGTAACACTTATCTCCACAGTGAACAGAAGGAGAATCAAACACAAAACAACTTACCAGTCCATTGGTTCACAACGTCTTCAGATTCTTTTCTTATATCCTCGACCTCGTCTCGTGCTTCTTGCAGTTTTGACGACTCGGCCGCAAGCGCTTCTTCAAATTGCTCAGCTTCTGACTTGCGCGCTTCCTGTTCTAGTTGCAGCTTCTCGTTCAGAAGTTCATTCTCTGCCCTAGAAGCGACCAATTCTGTCTTGGCCATACTATGTCCGCTCGATTGCTTGAGGCCCTCAATCTCTTCTGTCTTACTCAAGATTTCATTTTCAAGGTCCTCGATTTCGGTTTTCTGCTTTGCAATTTCGTTTCCAAGTGCCTCCAGTTCTAGTTCTTGCCTTGACAGCGCTTCACTTTTCTCAGCAACGTCATCCTTCAGATTGGACATGGATTCAATCTTTGATTCGATATCTGCTTCAAGAGCGAATATCTTATCTTCGTATTCTGCAAGCTTTGAATCTGATTCCGATGCGTCTTTTTGCGTAGCTTCTTGTAGACCTGATAGAGCCTGGGACTTTGCAGCGAGGTCTGCTTCAAGAGCCGACACCTTCTGTCGATACTCCGCAATTGCTGATTCTGAATCCAAGCTGTTGCTCTGTGAAGCTTCGTTTTGCAGATCTGCCAGGGATTTATTTTTTGAATCAAGTTCTGCTTCAAGTGTGTAAATATTTTCTTTGCATTTGGCAACCTTTGATTCCCATGCTTTTGTGGCGTTCCTGGAGGATTCTTCTTTCTCTTCTAGCTCAAGCCTCATTTTTTCGATTGTTGCGTCCAAACCTGCAATTTGATCTATGAAAAACAAAACATTTTAGACATGCAATTACGAGCGGACCTAACGCACACACGGAGCACACTCACTAGTCAAGTTTTTAGACGAATCCGTCGACTCGGTCTTCAATTTGTCGAGCGCAACAGCAAGGGCACGGATCTTTTCTTCTGCCTCCATGTTCCCCCTCTTCTCATTGTCAAGCTCACCACGGAGTCTTTTTGTATCTTCCAACAATGCCTTATGCTGCGATGAGATATCACTGTCTAGTGTCTTCAGATTTTCGATAGTCGCGTCGCGGGCAGCTAGCGTTTCATTACTTCTGGCAATCTGGTCCTGGAGCTGTGTCAGCTGCGTTTCAAGATCTGACGACTGTCGTTGCCACTCGGAAATAACAGTATTTGCTTCGCTTTCTTGTTCTTGTAGTTGCGTTTCTAAATCCTCTATGGTCGATTCAAGCTCAGAAGCACGTTCTGAAGACGAGAAAAATGTCAGTTTCAAGGCAAATGGAATTTTTGTTCAGATGTCAAAGGCCACTTACCCTCCCACTGCCTAACTACTTCTTCGTCATTTCTAAGCGCCTCCTGAGCCGCCGCCAAACTGCGTTCGCTCTGTTGCAGCTGCTCAGCTAGTCCGCTCACCCTTTCTGGAGGATTTGATTCGATTTGCTGGCGCATCGTCGTATATTCCTGCTCAAGTGTTTGTTTCGCTGCTTCCAGTGCTTCTCTATTGCGATTGGATTCCTCCAAGTCACTTGATTTTTCATCAAGTGCTCGTCGGATCGAAGCTCCTTCCTCCTGGAGCTTTTGCAATTGAAGTTTAAGATCTGCACAACTTGCATTTGATACTGACAATTCTTTTTCAAGATTTGATAAGGTTTTTTTCGACAATTCTTGTTGCTCCTTCTTGGCCTTGTTCGCTGCACCTATTTCCTCAACCAAATTTGTGATTTTTTCTACCATCAAGAAAACACTGTTGGATATAGACAGAACATGCGACTACCAGCGTCCATGAACGACAACTCACCTTCCAATTCCTGAATTCGAATCTTATCCGCAGCCAATTCGTCGCGAGTTTTGTCATCGTTGTTAGCTTTCAGCACTTCCATTTCTGATCGAACAGCCGAAAGCTCGTTCTCCAGCGCCGAACACTTTTCCTCCGCTGCTGTGTAGCTTTCTTGCCATTGAGAAACAACATCGCTCGCTCCTCTTTCTTGCTCTTGGAGTTGAGATTCAAGCGATTGAATTGTACTTTCGAGTTCTGTGATTCGTTCTTGCATTTCATCACTGTGAGGTACATCCAAGGAGTCCATTTCTGATCGGACTGTTGCAAGTTCCTTCTCAACTGTCGCACATTTCTCCTCAGCTGCTGTATAGCTTTCTTGCCATTGAGAAACAACATCGCTGGCTTCTCTTTCTTGTGCCTGGAGTTGAGATTCAAGCGACTGAACTGTGCTTTCGAGCTCTGTGATTTGCTCTTGCATCTCATCACTCTGCAGTCCAGAGTCCATTTCTGATCGGACTGTTGCAAGTTCCCTCTCAACTGCCGCACATTTCTCCTCAGCTGCTGTATAGCTTTCGTGCCATTGAGAAACAACACCGTTCGCTTCTTTTTCTTGCTCCTGGAGTTGAGATTCAAGCGACTGGACTATGCTTTCGAGTTCTGTGATTCGATCTTGCATTTCATCACTCTGCAGTCCAGAGTCCATTTCTGATCGAACTGCCGAAAGCTCGTTCTCTAGTCCCGAAGATTTCTCTGCAGCTACTGTGTAGCTTTGTTGCCATTGAGAAACGGCACCACTCGCCTCCTTTTCTTGTTCATGGAGTTGGGATTCAAGAGTCTGAACTGTACTTTCGAGTTCTGAGATTCGTTCTTGCATTTCATCACTCTGCAGTCCAGAGTCAGTTTCTGACCGAAGAGCCAAAAGCTCGTTCTCCAGTCCCGAGCATTTCTCTGCCGCTGCTGTGTAGCTTTGCTGCCATTGAGAAACGGTACCACTAGCTTCTTTTTCTTGTTCATGGAGCTGAGATTGAAGTGACTGCACTGTGCTTTCGAGTTCTAATATTCGTTCTTGGATTTCACCATTCTGCAGTCCAGCTGAAGCTTCTATTTCTGATCGGACTGTTGCAAGCTCTGTCTCAAGTGCCGCACATTTCTCGTCAGCTGCGGTGTAACTTTCTTCCCATTGAGAAACGGCATCACTGGCTTCTTTCTCTTGATCCTGTAGTTGCAATTCAAGCGATTGAACTGTACTTTCAAGTTCTGAGATTCTTGCTTGTTTTTCATCATATCCTCCGAAAGCTTCCATTTTTGATCGGAGTGATGCAAGCTCTGTCTCGAGTGCCGCACATTTCTCGTCGGCTGCGGTATAACTTTCTTCCCATTGTAAAACGACATCACTGGCTTCTTTCTCTTGCTCCTGGAGTTGAGATTCAAGCGATTGAACTGTACTTTCTAGCTGGAGAACGCGATCTTGCATTCCATCACTTTGGATACCGTCTGGAGCCATTCCTGACCGAAGTGCTGTCAATTCTGTCTCAAGTGCCGCACATTTCTCGTCAGCTGCGGTGTAACTTTCTTGCCACTGAGAAATTGCATTGTATGCTTCTTTCTCTTGCTCCTTGAGTTGCGATTCGAGTGATTGGACTGCAGTTTCTAGCTCTGTGACACGATCTTTCATTGCATCATCGAGGTCACCTCTAGGCGATTCAATTCCTGACCGCATTGTGCATAATTCCTTCTCGAGTGAAGCACACTTTTCTTCAGCCTCCGAAAAGCTCTCCTGCCATTGAGAAACAACATTGTTTGCTTCTTTTTCCTGCTCCTCGATTTGCGATTCCAGTGACTGAATTGTGCTCTCGAGCTCTGCGACCCGATCTTGAGGATCAAAACGAAGGAACAATAAAATGCTACGTGAGCCGATGCTCGCAAATCAATTTGGTTTGATTTGATGAAAGAAGATACGTACCTTCCCATTGGTGTACAACATCTTCATCGCGGGCAAGTGCAGCATGTGCAGCTTCCAACTCTTCGCGCAACTTTGCGATTTCGTCTCTTTCTTCAACAGTGGAACTCTTTGCCCCATCATTAATCTCGTCAAGCTCCTCGTTAATTGCGACTTCTAGAGAAGAAATCTGTTCATCAAGAAATTCCTTGTCTTTCTCCAAGGTTTCCCTTTCCACATGCCTGTCCTCTGTCGATTTTTCAGTCACGTTCTTCTCAGCTCGCAACGTTTCCAGTTGGCTCTCTGCCTCTTTTGCCTGTTGCGCCAAAGCAGCAATCTCTTTTACAAATTTTACTTTCTCTGATGTTAGCTCGGTTACCAGTTTATCCTTTTCAACTACAGACGTCTCCAATTGAGACCTTTCTGCTTCCTTTGTTAGAACGCTCTTGTTCAGAACAATTTCGTTTTGCGCTAGTCTCATGTTGGATTCCGTCAAATTCTTTATTGTTGTTTCGTGTGCTTGTTTCTCACTCAGGATTTCAGCTATTTTTTTCTGTGCTTGCTCAGCCCAAGCTGTAAATTGATCTAATTGCGCTTGTAATTCTGCATTGGAACTTTGGAGCCTTTCATGTTCTGAGCTGAGTGCATTCCGATCGTTTTCGTCGTTTCTACTTTCGAGCTGTTGCACCTTTTCTTGGAGGCTTAGAATCTCATCTCGAGCAATACTCAGGTCTTGTTCGGTGTCTTCAATTGCGTCTCTCTCCTCCTTCAACTTCATCAACTCCCCTTTGCATTGTGCAAGTTCTGCTGATAACTGTTCGACGAGCTCTACTTTTTGTTGTAGCTGAGATTCCAGCTGTGTAATGGTGTCCGTGTTTGAACTTGTGACACTGGGTTGTCTATCGAGATGCTCAATCTTTCCAGTGAGTGCAGCCTTTTCGTCCGAGAGTTTGGCGACTTGTGTTGCAAGCGTTTGATGGTGCTCCACAGCCTTGGCCATCCATTCCTGTGCAGCTTCATTTGCGCCACGAAGTTCTTCTATTTCTTCATCGCGAGCACGGATATCCTCTATGTTATAGGGGCCCAGACCACTTGCGAGTCTATTTTCAAGCTCGCGTATTCTTGATTCCTTCTTGTATATGTCTTCGTCAAAATGCTCCCGACTTGTCTCCAATTCTCGTTTGACAGCCTCCAGATGTTCGTCCGCAGCGCCACTAGCACTAGGTCCTTCTCCAGCCAGTGGTTCACTCTCACGAATCTCTTGAGTCGTCTGTTGTTCCAGTTGGGCTTCCAGGTTAAAAATCTGCTGCCGAAGTTCTTCTACAATCGCGTCATGGTTTGCTTGCATTTCATTTGCACCGGCGGCAGGTCCATGTCGCGACTGCTGCTCTTCGTTCAATGTTGCTTCTAGTGCACCATCCTGAATCGCCAGAGGAGTCTGTTCTAGTCGAGCTTCCAGATTAAAGATCTGTTGCCGGAGCTCTTCTACAATTGCTTCGTGATTTGATTGCAGTTCATTTGAATCGGAAGCAGGTCCCTGATGAGACTGCCGCTCTTCGTTCAATGCGGCTTCAAGTGCCACGATATGCTTCTTCATTTCCTCCTCCACATGTTTGTACTTTTCTTGTGTCTGCTTTGCATCTGCGGCAAAAGCTTGTGACGAAGACTTCTCTTCGTGAAGCTGCAACTCAAGTCTTGTGATGTGTTCTTGCATCTCGCGCCGTGTTTCCTCGTAGCGAGCCACCTGCTCTTCCGCATTGCCAGATTCAGCAGCTCGCAGACCTTTCTCTTCTAGCAATTGTGCCTCAAGACGCGACACCTCTTGTTGGAGTTTTCCCTCTCTCTCTCCAGACTGCTTCACATTCGCCACTTTGTTCGCTGCTTCTTGATTCTCAAGAGTCTTTATCTGAGCTTTCAGAGCCTCGGATTCTTGCTGTAACCTTGCCCCATTTTGCCCCATTTCGTTCATTTTATCCACTGCCATTTTCATCCATTCGTCTGCGGCGCGGGCATCATTTTTTAATCGATCGTTCTCTGCTCTCAGAGTTGCCACTTCAAGGGAGCCCCCGTTGCTGTTTCGTTGATCCGAGCGTTCACCATGAGGTTGTTCTTGAGCCGCACTTTCTCCAGCAGGCGTCCCCGCCGCAGTATCAGCAGCGGCGGCTGCAAGTGCAGCTGCATGACTGTTTTTTTCCTGTTGGAAATCTTGCTCGAGACTACTGTATGCGTGACTTAATGCTCCCAACTCCTGTTCCATTCTTTCCCAACCGTCGATTGCTTCTTTCTCGGCAGCTCTAGAAGTCTCCACTTCTTGACGAGCCTCGGTAAGCTGCTTGATCAGCTTATTCAACTCCTGTTCATGTACAGTCTGTGCTTCCTTTGCCTGTGACTCGAGCTTTGAAATTGTCTCTTCCAAATTTGCAGTCTTGTTCGTCATCTCGCTCAACAGTCCATCTAATTGTGTGGGTGTACTCTCCATGCGACGTTTCCAGGTGTCAAGTTGATGTTCTTGCGAGGATATTTTTATTGTCGCATTTTCAACTTCTTGTCGCAGCGTTTCCATTTCCTTTGCTTGTTGTGATATCAACTTTTGCAGGTGCTTGTTTGACCCACCGTCGGTAGTGCTTGAATGAGTTGTCTCTCCTTCTTCTGCATCGCTTTCACTGCTCGGTTCTCCACCAGTTAGCTCGTCCACAACTCGTTTTCGAACAATCCATACAGCTTTGCCGTACCACTTGTTCCAATGACTGCGTTCTAGAGGCGACACATAGCATGGCAAGTCGCAATTTTGAACCTTCTTGAGTCCTTCAAGGCTTGTCGTGAACTTTGAAATCCCAATTTTCTTGATGACTTGGAGTATTCCTGTTCTTGTCCAGCCGCCACAATCGTGTTCATCCCCAGGAAGATATTCCATGGCAAGACCAAGCAACAAGTGAACCAATGGCGCATAATCTTTTTTCGAATCGGATGCCATTCCAGCTAAATTTGTAGATGCTGAACTGTTGAACAATTTTTGAACCATCAATGGAGTTTCCATAATCCACTCGCACAGAAATCGCAACAGTGCCCATCGAACCATCGAATTCTCTTCGTTTTTTAGAGCTTCCAACATGATGTCTGGATTTACCGCGTCTGGTACAACTCTAGACATCATTTCTCGAGATTGTTCATCACATAGTAGAAGCGACAGTCCACCAAGGGCACCTGACAGAAATATGCTTCTGGTTTCGTCATCCTCTTGATTTGTAGAAGACATTGACAAGTTCTCAACTACAGTGTTCCACAGTTTTTCGACGACTGTTGGTCCCGCCGGAGCACCCTCATCTTCTGGAAGTGGTGCAAGAGTATGAAGCAGGAGCTCGTGGACACGATCGGTATCGATTGTTTTTCGCAACACTGACAACGCAGTTTGTGATGTCGCAATTTTCCCCTTGTAGTCTTGGGCATTGGCACCACCCGTACACACCAGGAAAAGCAAACGGTCTAGACCAGTATGCCGATCCATAGTATTCAGATCGTTGAATTTCATTGCCACTAGTTCCAGCGCTTTCTGTTGGATATTAGAACTGGGCATGGCACAGACTGGTGGGTTTGCTGGATTTACCAGCGCCAGTTCCCAAACTAGGCTGCAAATGCCACCATGAGCTTTCCAAATTGTTGGTCGGAGACTTTCAGATTCCAGTAGTAAATGAAGTATTCGGATGACACTTTCAACGATAGATTCTTCGTCAGAAGAAAGACGCGGAATGAACCAATCTTGTTGTTGTCCCTCCTTCTTCGGCGACTGTTGCTTCTTGCTATCTCCACTTTGAAGTAACGAGTCCAAATCATCATCGTCGTTTGACTCTATAGAGTTCGGCTTCACTTTTTGCTTCTTTTTGTATTCGTCGGAATGCAAAAATTGATCGGCGCCTCGCAGATCAATCAGTTGAGCCAATCGCGGCGGAACCGAAGGTCGTTGCCATACCAAGTCTTGTAAATTTGAGTCAGCATGTTTCAGCATCTCCTCCACAAGTTTTAAAGAATCTAAAACTACTGAGTTCCCCTTTGTCAAACCACCTTGTTGCCAGCATAAATCAAGGAGTTTGGTTTCCACCTCGGCGAATAGAAAGACTTTGGATATTGGTGCTTCCCGTGCTAAAAAGTGGGCGACAGCAAGAGCCTGATTTCGAATTACTTCTTCAACAGGATTGTCGATGCCTAATGAAAGCATGTCCGCTAGTCGATGCAGACCATTTGGCGCTTGCAGCCATTGCGAACTTGCAAGACTCGAATGACTGCGTGATAGCTGCTCCAAGACTTGTAGGGCAAGCACTCTTGTATATATCTGTCGGTCACTGTTGTCCATGACATCAAGGAGAGCTTCAAGCAATTGCCCTGGTTGTGGTTCTTTTAACGCATGTGAATTTTTTGCCAATGACGTTTGATATAGCTGACAAACAAGATTGATTCCTTCATCACCACAAGGTAAGTCTCCATTCTTCAAGGTCCCATGCTGCAACAAATGGGTGAGGTGATCTACCACCTCAGTATTATTCAAAATCCAAGACTGTTCCCACATCTCTTCTTTAGATTTGAACCCAGCCACCATTGCTTCCAAGCTTTCCACTGCATCTGGACCGCTGGATGCCGATATAAATCGATCTAAAGTCAAAACCGCACTGGCTGGGACTGAGGAAGCCTCCTCTGCCATTTTCTTGACGGAAACGAGACAACACGGAATTTGCCGACAGATTTATCGCCGAATCAAGCCGCAGTCCAGCTCTTTCCCTCGGGTTGATATGCTGGAGTGGTACAGTGTTGTCTCGTCACTTTTGAATAGGATAGTCACAGCAGATTTTACCATGGACACATTTGGAACTAAGCAAGTTCGTTTACGTGGAAGGGTGGATGGACCAGTAGTCCAGTTGGTCGAATTCAAATCCAAACAGAAATTATAATTTTTGACAACAGAAGCTTTTTTCCGGCAACAACAAATTGTTTCCATTGTTTACGTACTATCCATACTGCAGAATGTTCATCGAAACCTTTTTTCAATCCAAAAGTCAAGATTGTCTTGAGCAAATTCTTTCTTTCTTGACTTGCAAAGACCTTTTCTACCGGCAATGAAGGCCAAAAGTATCAATCCCACCATCTTTGATGCAAATGACGAGCAAGTGAATATGAATTTGATTTGGCAGAGTGCGGAACAGCTACTAACACCCCTAAGGATAAACAGTCCCTATGCGGTGACGATCGCGTGAGGGTTGGTGACAATGCAAGGGAGCACTGCCGCCTTTTTGCCAAAGCTGCAAAAGCCTTTAAACTATCCGATGAGATTCCAGAAGATCGAGTGATGGTGGATGGGGTTTTGACCATTCTTATCGATGTACGAGGTTTTGATAATGAAAGTGCTGCCGAGAAAAAGGCCATCGGTGCAAACGAAACTCAATCTGCCGAAGAAGCAACTGCCGCCATGAAATTCACTCCAATAGACATCGACAATATGACAAACGAAGAAAGACAGCAAACGAAACAAAATGCGACAGAAAACAAGTTGAATCTCCAAAGAAATATGAGGAGCTGGCAGAATTGATGCCTCCGAAGAAAATTTATCATCATGAAGTGTTTGTACGCACCACCAGTGCATCGACAGGACAAGTGATTTCTGGAACGGTCGGTTTTGCGGGACACATCAGAAGGGTCCCTGGACTACGGGCTTAGATCTGCAACGAGACTTCCGCTTCACATTTTACTGCTCCCGACAGGGGACTCCCTTCGTCAATAAAAAAATGCAAGGCTTGCTTCAGTTCGTTTCCGATAGAGATGAGAGAACCAGAGTACACGAGTTTGAGGTAAGGCTTGTCATAACAGCTGTGTTTATTGACAAGCGAGACAACAGTTGTCAGTGCCTTTTCCAGTAGAATCAAACTGAAGAACCGCGGTTTGCCTTCACCGGTGCCAGACCCGGAAATTTGAATATCTCACGAGCTGTGAATTCTCCTTGAAGTTAATTTGGGGCAGTGACGTTCTACAATCGGGACCTTCTTTCGTCAACGATAGAAACTTTCTCAACTACTGTCTTACCCAAAACATAGCAAGCCTAGAAAGTGGTGGCTAAGATCTCTTGCCAATCTTGGAAGTACTGAGGAAGACGCGTCCGTACGGATGGCTGCTCTTATACAACACGTCGAATCCCGAGGACGCTAAGGGTGACCCAGTTTTAGTCGATTAATGGTTGCCAAACTTCATGGGGCGAATAGCACAGCGTACTCGAGATAGCGTCATGAGCATTGGATTTTTTGTGTCGTAAAGTAAGAATCGTGTCTTTCGCTCCCATACTGGTAATACGATCTCACACAGGTGCATTGGCCCGATGAATTCATCGCATTTCCGAATTCTGGATTTCGCAAGTCTGCAATGCACGAAAGATTAGCATTGATTCGTTTTCCGAAGGTATTGCACTTTGTTCTTGGGACAGCGTCATATAGCACCCCAAGGCCAATGAGAGACTCGTCCGAGATTGTGAGTCTAAGTTGCTGGACATGGCACAGCCAATGAACTTGAGCACAGCGACCTGAATTCGCCGTCTATTCTGCACAGTATTCTTGCTCTCTGGAAATGCCCCATCGATCCACCAGTCGAGACAAGTACATGCCCAAGGGACGATTTGGCCAAGTTCTCTGGAATCTTGTTGAGACCACTTTGATGCGGTCGTTTCCCAGAATCGCTGCATGTACGATAGAAAGGGGTCCCATAATTTCAACATATCCTTCTTTCTTGTTGAATCCGAGTCGGATGCTTCTAGAATATTAGCAATCGCCGGTAATAAGCAGTTCTCGTCCGAAGATTCCAGCAAATATGCTAATCCATCAATGGTTGCTTGTGAAGTTTCTACATCCTTCTTTTGCAGTGTCCAAATGTCAAATTCTCGCAACAAAGTACCAAATAATCGAGTTGCTGTCGTGGAAAAGAGCCCCACAATCCTTGATTCCCTTTCCAGAGTAATGTACTCGAGAGTTGACATGAGACTTTCCTCCAATGATTGATACAAATGAAGCACTGCATCGGAAGAGAGTGACACGGTAATTTTCTCGGACAGTTCAATACAGAACTCTGTTGTTGCTATTAGCAACCGAGCCGTTGCGTCTCCAATTGCATCTCCTGCCCCTTCTTCTGGTGTCGAAACATCACCAGACTCTGATTTTTGCAATTGCAATCGCCATTCCCCGCTTGCCAGTCGAGTCCAGGTACAAAGGGGTGTCCCGTTACCGAGTTTTCCAGTGGCAGTAATGCGGAAGGCCCACGCCCAGCCACATGTCTCCAGTATGGATACCAGCGTTTGCCATGCCATTGCCCGAAGTGATCCATAACGACTCTCCTTGTCGGATGTAGGTGAGACAATAATGGCAAGCAGCAGCCGATTCAAATCGTCTGGCACCCCAGTGTGACGCAATATGGTGTCCACTTTCTTGTTGGATGCCAGCGTTTGAAATAATCCTAGTGTCCACTCAACCCACAATGACCTCAAATCGGGCGGAAGGGTGATGGATTGCTTTGATTTAGAAACCCACGACAATATCTTTGGTATCATTGATTGTGGTACATGTTCGAATCCAGATCGCTGGAAGACGGTGAGGATAGTCTCATTCAAAGTCGAAACCGAGTAGTAGGAAGCATCTGTTCCTTGCAAAGTGCCGTTGAGAGTCTTCGCCATCATATCCCACTCTTGAGACGGATATGATTCTTCTTTGGGCACATCTTTCTCCTTAGATTCGGTCTCCATTGAACCCGATGTATAAAAGTCCCATAATTTCTCGACAACGTTTAGTTCTTTACTCACACTGGGGTGATCTGCGACCAATACATCCAAACAGCTCAACACATCAATGGAAAGTTTCAAATCCTGTTTTCTTTCGTGTCGACCCCAACATTCAAAGAGCCTTCTTCCAAGATCTAGCGGACATCTCTCAACGATTCGGCTGTATGCTTGTGCAAAGAGACGAATATACAGCAAATGGCACGGGTCGCGATTGTCATTCAGCATGGAAATGGCAAAGGTTTCCAAATTGGCTCCATGAGTCGTCCACAGATCCACGAGGTCGTCTTCCGGTATTCTCGTTAGCAGAACCCACGACACTAACAACCGCTCTTGCTTGTAAGAGATACTTATTTGGTCTGGTGACGAGGTAGAAGTATCCGCAACATCTCCCACTAGGAGGGTTTGGATGCTCTCTTTCAACAACATTCCAAAAAATAGTGTGGTCGTCCAAGTTCCAAATCTGTCATCCAAAAATGACTCGCATTAGTCAAACGCGGAACTGGATCGAAATGCAGCCAATAAGGCCAAAACACAACCTTTGTTCAGACCTGTCACCCCCAAACTTGCCAGGCACTGTTACATCAACCCCTTTCCTTCTCTTGAATAACATTGGAAATAGCAATAAACACAATGGCTGACGTTGAAATGAAAGATGCTGCCGAGCCTGCTGCTGAGGCTGCCGAGGTAAGCCTTGGAACGAATCCAAGATCTGTGGCGTTTCACGACCAATTCCATGCCCCATCTCACTCACTCACATGACTAATTGTCTGTCTGACAATCTATAGGCCAAGCCAGCTGCCAAGGGCTCAGGAGCCAACCCCAAGTTTGAAATCAAGAAATGGAATGCAGTCGCCATGTGGTCCTGGGATATTTGCGCCGATACTGTAAGTTTTAATCCTTGAAAATGAAATTGAGAATGGCTCGTTCCGTTCCAATCTCACCCAAATCATCTCATATTACCTCTCCTTGATTTTATATCAATCTATCTATGATGATTCTAGTGCGCCATTTGTCGAAACTCACTGAACGAACCATCCATTGAATACCAAGCCAACCCTTCACCTACAAATGACAATGGATTGTCCATTGCGTTTGGAAATTGCGGTCACGTCTTTCACTTGGATTGCATCCAACGTTGGTTGAAGACAAGAAGTGTTTGCCCGCTGTGTAACAAGGAATGGGACTTTGCAAAGATCGAACGAATTCCAGGATATGGTCAATTGGGAATTTAAATTTGCTGTGAGGAATAGTAGAAGTAGTTGGTGGCATTGGAAACGCCGTTTTTCAAACTGTTTTATCAAGCTTGAGGACGAGACGGCTTTTCTCACCTCTCTTTTGTTTGCAAGTCACCACTCTCCTTCGGATCACGCAATGAGGGTAGCAACTGTAGACCAAGATTGCTAGTGTCCTTGTGCTAGCAACCAAGCAAACTACGTATAGATGCTGAATTTTTATTTGATACTGTAGTACTCTTCCATTCATTCATCATTTAGATGCATTGTATCGATTGAACGGCGACCTGGTTGTGCAACGTCTAGGGTTACGAAAGTGGCAATCAGGTACGAAAATCACCAAAGTCCCACTTCCTCCTCCGTGCGCAACAAATAAACGCCAGTCAGTCACCCAACAAATTAGATGAGTGAAAACAAACATTGCAACCAAACTCAACTCGATCAACAAAAACAACAGCATTACCATGTATACAATATATTGAATATAGCGCAAACACAAAATCCAAGATTTTATTACTTTAAAGTGACGACGACAAATACACATCGCTCGACACGAGCAGCAACAAGTTTCGTGTTTGTAAAAGGAGCTATCGTAACTAATTGTAACGCAAGACGTTACATTGCGTATTTGGACGTCCATTCCCGTGCGGTACTGTCGTGTCTAGCCCGGTCCGACTTTAGGAGTTGGGCAATGTCTGGCACCAATGGATCATCTGGGTTGGGGTCAGTGAGAAGGGAACAGATTGATAGAAGCACTTTGCTAATGGTCAAAGCAGGGCTCCATTGATCCTTCAAAATATCCAAGCAGATACCTCCATTCGAGTTGATGTTGCAGTGGTAAATACGAGTGGTGAAGTGAACCTTGGGAGGCTTGAATGGATAATCGGCGGGAAAGTGAATGTCCAAGAAGAAAACCCCTCCTGCATACGGGGAGTCATCTGGTCCCATGATCGTGGCTTGCCAATGGAACATATCATCTCCAACTGGTCCTGCAGAGCAATTAGCTGGGGGATCCTTACCCAAATCGACAAGTTCTAATGTGTGGTAGGAAAGAACAAAAAGACGGGAGGAACATCAAGGTCAGACCTCAGTCGACAAAAAGGCAACTCGGAGGCCGTCCAAAAATCATTTACCTTTATTGATTCGTTTGAGAGACATTGTTGTGAATGTGTAGTGTGTTTGCAGTTGTAGACGAGATCTAAGAGTCCGAAAGAAAAGACTTTGTGTGAGCACAGGAAATCAATTTCCAAAATTCAAGCGTAGACATTGGTACTGAAACCCGTTGACCCAAAGCCACCCAAGCCACACAATGCTCGGGACTCAAACCACGAACAAGCCACCATGCAGCAGCCAAAAGCCAACGCCTGTAAGCGTCTCACTGTGCCAAGCCTTTCTCCATGAATTTGGGTCATTGCTGTCCTTTGCTTTCACCAACAAGTCGACATCCACAAACTCACCCTAGAGGGATATGTGGCGAGAGGGTTCCCGATGTCAAAATCACTTTGGGCGGATGTCCGGGAAAGTCACACGCGGGGTCAACTTTGAACTTGTTCCAAAGTGTGTAGGTACTTTCAGTACTGGCAGGCACACAGGTGGGAATTCGGTTATCTTCGAGGCTCCGCATGTTGTGTCTGTCCGTTTGCCCATCTTCTCATTGCACAGCGATCGAAGCAATCGATCATTCGTTGGCACGTTGGCACGGCCGACTCGGATTTGGTGCCGCAGGCCTCTCCCACGAACGACTAAAATCTCCTTTTGGCAACGTCAACTTTGGCTTGTGTATTGTTGGAAAAAAAGGTGCAGCATACTTACCGGTACCTGTACATTGATAGCAATATAGCCTCTCCTATAGTCTCCCACCAAAAGCAGAATAGCACAAAAAAAGTGAAGCTTGCGGAAAGTAGCTTACTGGTGACAATTGCAACGTCCCATTAATCTTCTCGAAAACTGAAAGATTCCATCAAACATCCAATATTTGGAACAGTTGAGAAATCATTGATTTTTTCGCTTTTTCTTTGCAACCGTTATTACAACTACTGAAGTGCACCAAAACTCTTGTGTCACAATGGCAACCATTGCCTCTTCTCCCAATGGAAACCCACCCACTCCCACAAAGAAATGGAAGAGATTCTCCATGGGAAAGAAGAAAATGCAAGATCCACCAAAAGAAGCTGACAATGGAGTTGGAAGATCCCTTTCAGCGAGTCGAAGTCAACGAAAGAAGGGAGGAATCATGAGAAAGCTTCGAGGGTCCAAGAAGGATGAGGAACTGGAGGGAACCACCTCTTTTAATCATACAGAATCATCTCCATCTAATCCGCAATCTCCAAGCGAAAGATCGATACGAAGTGTGGAGGTAAGTTATTTGATTGTTGTTACAGAATGAAGCAAGTTGAGTGTGCCATGCGCTCACCAATCGATGCAATCTTCATAGTCGGAAATTGGAAACAATGGAAACAACAAGGTCAATGCCGCCAATGCGAATTGGCCAGACACTGCAGAAGAACGTCAACAGAGAGACTTCATTTCCCAGAAGCAACACATGAAAGAACGTGATGGCTTTTGCCGTCCAGTGGATACCTACGATGGGTCAGTGATTACAGTGGATAAGAAACCAACCTACGAGATTGGAAATTATCGGGGTGGTGGTGTTGCAGGAGTTGTCTACGAAGGTCATCGATTGAGACCATTGAGTGAATACCCGATTCGACGAGGAGTTGTGGAACAAAAGAAGGTGGAACTCAGCGATGCTGGAGAGGGGGAAACAATGGGTTTCTTTTGTGCTCCCGAAGCATGTGGAGGAGTCGAAGATGTGAAAGATGACTTGACAGTAGACAACAATGCAGAAATCAGCAATGAAGATGATGTTCAACAGCCCAAGTCATCATCCAAGACATCCAAGACTCAGGGGGATAGCGAGCTGGCAATTGAAGCCAACAAGACTGGAGTCATGCTCGATGGGCAAGACGCACCCTCACGGTCAGCACATTATACCCGAGCGGCATCCATGCAAATGGGAGGTAACCAAGACCAGTCCTTGCATCATGGATTGACCGAAGAAGCTGTTGCTATCAAAATCCTCAATCCCGTTGGATATCGCATCCTTCAAGCTGAAGGACTCAAGGGTGTAGTGGTAGTCAAGAAGGGAGATGACATGGAATCAGATGTCAAAAAGGGCAAAAAGCCCATGGAAAGCAGACACGTGTGGTGGCTAGTGAATCCAAACAGTAGAAACTTGAGAACCTTGCAAAGATACAGTGGACAGAATGAGCAGAGCTCGATTCAAGTGGACCGTGGAAATGCGGAGAAAGGATTGCGACTGAGTTTGATTGCTGCCTACATTGATCCTCGCACAAACCAACTGCGGGAATTGACCTTGACGCGGTGTATTGAAATCTGGGGGCATATTCCCTTTAATGCCACCGATTCCGAGTTTGAAGAAACCATGTCTGCCATTGAACGTGTTAACGCTGGACAGCCACCTCTCTCTACTGCTGGAGATGAAATGCCACCATCGCGAGTTGGAACAGATACATCCGGACTCAGTAAAAATGATGACGATATGAAGCCCTTTCCTCTGGATCAAACCCGAACGTGAGTACAACCAATTGTCAACTTGAACTTTCAATACCCATGTCACAAGCGCTCATTTTTCCTATTCCTACTTCTATTAGTGGTCTGATGCGTGCCGCCTACACCGAAAGAGTAACTGTACATTGTGAAGAACTCAATGCTTATATTGCTATTCCTGCGGTACCCTCCAAATACCTTCGATGGCTTCGTCAGCGCCGTGCAGCAACAAAGGAAGTGCGGAACATGATGTTGATTGGGCGTCATCCAAACGTGCTTCATTTGTTTGAAGTTCTTGAATTCATTCAAGAGTCAAAGTCTACAATGTTTCTGATTCTTGAGCTTGTGAATGGAGGTGAATTGTTCGACTTGATTAGCAGCAGCGCTGGGGCGAAGGGATCAACAGACGATGAATCGGAACGAATGATGAGAAGGTTCTTTTATGAACTAGCAAGTGGAATCCAATACTGTCATAAGAGTGGTATCGCTCACAGAGATTTGAAGCCAGAGAATCTATTGGTACACAATAAAGAGAACGGAACAACCTCGTTAAAAATTGCCGATTTCGGGTTGTCATCGACATTTGGTCCCAACGCAGATCCCAACGTCAAGGTCATGGTGGAAGAAGATGCCCTAGTGACACCGCCTCCACAACCTGTTCTTAAACCCTCTGGTAATCCTTTCAGCATTGTTGTGGATCAAAGTCTATGCGCCCTTCAATTTTTGACTTGTGGCACAATGGATGATTTGTGCGCAGCCAACGATCTTGACGATGGGCCTTCACCGCTACGACGAATGACGTCTGTGGTCGGCTCACCACACTACGTTGCCCCAGAAATTATCTCACAATCCGATGAATCGAAAAAGGTGAATGGCAGAAGTTCGGGCCTCGGCTACGATGGAAGCAAAGCAGATGTTTGGAGTGCAGGTGTCATCCTCTACGCCATGCTTTTCAAATCGTTGCCGTTTGGAGAAGACCTTTTGCGATGTCCAAGGTTCCAATCTTACAAGAAGTGGTACGATGGGATTCGACAGGAAGGTGGTCGGCGGTCATCGCCAGAAGCTGCTCTAGCTCCGATTGTGTCAGAAGCAGAAGAGCGGGACTTTTTGGGACCACATTGGTTCTTTCCAGCAGACACATCCAAGGAGTCAAGAGACTTGATCGTGGCAATGTTGAATCCTAAAGCGTCTGATCGGTTGAGTGTTGATCAGGTAATATTGCATGATTGGTTGCAAGCGGAAGTAGGGCGATAAGGGGATAGCAAGTCGAAGTTTTGTATGTTACACTTTTCCTACAGTACTTTTATTTTAGTACGTTCCACAAGAGACTCTTGGATACACGCCTGGTGTACGCGCAGTAGAAGGGTACGATGTACGTGCTCGGAGGCAACGTTCATGTGCAGAAATGATCATCCCATTGCTTTCTAATCCAGGCAGGTGACACGAGTTTTACATCTGTGTTCGTGTCTACAACCGATTTCAAATGAGGCAGTAGGCATTTCCATTTTTCGGCATCTCTGAAGATTTCTTCACCAATACCTGCTTCATCGCTAGTCGAAATGATGCCATCGATATTTTCCTTCAAGTCGCAAATGATATGTGTTACTTGCGCATTGAAGCTTGAAGAAACTGTGGCAATTGGAACCAATAATCGAATGTTAGTACATCTCCTTGAGAGACTTGATGACTTCGCAATTGAGCCCAGTCTTACCAATTGCTCCCATGCCTCGAGCTAGAGGAAGTGTGGACAAGACGCAATCGCTTGTGGCGTCCAATTTTCCTTCTTTCTCAACTTCGTCCCAGTAATCACTATTTGCATCTGCAAGTCCCTCTTTGGGATCAACTTGATCAATTTGGATGTCATTGTAAACGTGAGGAAAAACTACGACTTGGCATCTGTTCGTGACACCCCAGTCGATAGGCCAAAATACCTTCTCAAACATCTCCTTCGAATTATCTTCATTATCATTCAACAGACCAAGCCAAAATGATTTATTCTGCCAAGGGGCGTCAAAGTCGTCGAATTGTTTGGCGATATCCAGCAAAGCTCGTTCGAAGTCAGTTTCTGTAAGGTCGCTTGTGTCCAGATCAAAAATGTCTTGAATACTGTCTATTTCCGCAAGAGCATCTCGGGTCAAGTAGTGATGTGCTTTTGGCACCAGCACGCTTGGGTCAGTCTCTTTGATCGAAGGTAGCATCTCTTCATTTTCTACGCTGGCTTTGCGCTCGTTGATCCATCGATGTACAATCGAGTAAACAAATATCCATTTCAAAACACCTTCGCTTTCAGCCATTCGCATCAATTCTTCCGTCTTCTTGCTTTTTGTCGTTGCTGTGCGAACTTGCTCCCTTGCATTTCTAATTGCTTTCATGTAGTGAACGACCCTAGCGTCGGTCTCTCTTCCACCAAGGACGAATTTGTCTCCGACCTGAGGCCCAACCTTCACTTTGCCGCCATGAGATTGAATGAATTCCATTACATGTTCCTTCCCCTTACAGTTTGTAGCCAACTCGTACCAGCCTTCTTCCTTCGCTGCTTTTGCATCCAGACTCTCCGGATCAAGCGAGTACTTGCCATCTAAGAACGCAAACATGTAGCCTGATAGAATCTTCGTCTTTGCAGAAACCTTTGGTACCTTTGACGATGGTAATATCTGTGCCTTTCTTTTCCTCTTTTTGGTCTTGCTCTTAAATTCTTCTGGCGTCAAAAAGCGTCTAGACACTGCAGCTCTATCTGGCATCGCGAGTGACTGTGAGAACTGAGAGGATTCCATTAATTTGGAAGTCTCCTCGCGCTGTCGAATGGTTGTGATGTAGGTGTCCCAAAGATCCCTGTCAGACTCAACTTCATTCGCGGCCTTTGCTCCTTCCATTTCATCAAGGCGAATCTTAATAATTTTCGGGAACCGAAGACAGACACCAGCTGAATATTCATCAGTTGTAATCAGCTCCTGTCCTTCGATTGTCAAGACAACAGAATCTTCCGGATTGATCCACATATCTGGATAGTTCTTATTCTTGCTATATTTCCAGCCATTGTAGTCTTCTTCTCCACGTTGCAAAGATCTGCTTGAAATGAATTCAGGTACCTCTTCACCTGGTGGCAGCTCACTTGAAAGAAACCACTTCCCCAACTCCATCGGACTATCTTTGGTTGCTTGCTTGAATCCAGTGTGTGCCAACAGTTTGTTGAGGCGATCGAAGCTTGTGGATGCACCATTTATATTGCAAAATGTCATAAAGGAAGACGAGTCCTCGTGATCGACACATCCACACAGAAATGATGAAATCTTGCCGGAATGCTTGAGGCCTGAAGCGTATGTACCCCCTAGTATAACAACGTCTATATCGACTGCGTTCCCAGTGGCCCGCTCATAATCGGGTTTGAACTTGAACCAGTGCTTCCGTCGACGAGATGGTTCTCCAAGTATGTACGGAGATGCCAAATCCTTGATTACAATCCCTTCCTTCCTGTGATGTTCCACAACAGTCCTGAAAAATTCCTCGACAGCTTGTGCCCGTCTCACACTAATTTCATTCGATGCTAAGTGACCCCGTTGTTTAGCATCAATCTCTTCAACTGAAGTGACCAGTCTCTTCATCGCTGTGTGTGTCGAATCGAGAAAAGTACGTTCGTATCCGTGCTCCATGACCTTCTGTCCATAATATTCATCGCCAGGTACACAGTCTCCATTCGGTCTGATCACTACAGATTTGCAGATTTCGATCTCATGTTCCTGTTCCGAGAGCAACCGCTGCAGTACTTGCTTTCGCTCAAGACATGTCAAATGGATGATTGACCCTGGTTTCACGTGTTTCAAACCGCAGTCGTTATGTAACAGGCGAGTAGCATCCTTTCCACCAACATACAAAAGATCAAAGACGCAATAGAGCAGCCAGCACTCCTTTCCGTCATTTTCATCTCTATCAGCATTTTTGACGGCCCAATCATCCTGGTTGGTCATCACTCGTGAATCAGTCTCCTCTTCGTGGAGCTTGGTATCGATGGCTTCGAGGAGACCATTTCGATCCATGTACGACCGTCGATAGTTTGCGATGGTACGATTGTAACCAAATGGAACCAATTCTTTCTTTTGATTGTCCCATGACATGATCTCTCCATCGAAAATTGCATCCACCGTGTAGTTTTGCAACGCCCTCCGCACTGCCGGTCCCAGTACAGGACTGTAGAGACCCGAGTACCACTTCCCATTGCGTGTGTGCATTCTAACTGTTCCATTTTGGAAGTGAATAATCATTCGCTCGCCATCCAACTTGGTCTCGGCACACATTACAGGGAACTCGAGGGCGAGACACTTGATATCCTGTGCACCCTTGAGGTACTCGGTATGGTTGGCCGTAACCTGCGCCATTGCCTTCTCGAAGGTTAATTTGGAAGAAAGCATGGGAGATAACATATTGCGTAGAACAACGGGCTGGGTTTGTGGATCCCATCGCGAACAAATACCTTGGTTGGCCTTCTTTTCCTCTTCCTCCTTTTGTCTTCTATTCTTTTCGTACTCCGGATTGGCCAACTTGTTGCACAGACTCAGAAGGCTATTGTGTGTACCCATAATCTCGGGGGCATAGCGGCTATAAAACTTTAGAATGGTCATGCTGCGCATTCCGAATTCTGGTTTCTTCATAATGATCCTCACCAGCCATTTATGCTCCAAGGGGCTCAGTTTCTTGCTGTCAATTACTTTTTTGAGCCACTTTTCTCGCATGTCGTTAAGGTTGGCATTCTTCTTTGGTTTGATTCCTTGACTTCCTTCCCTCCATTGATGGTTGTGATGGTGTGTCTTCTTCTTTAGACCGGCAAGCTCGTCTAGTAGGCTATTGATATCTTGCAATCGCATCTTCGATTTTGGAAAGGTTCTCCGATCCTTCATGACTTGTTCTACCACAAGTGATAGGTCACCAACTAAATGCGGCGGAGCGTGTTGACTATCGGTATAGTTTTTGAGCATTTTGGCAGTGCTGCCGTCGCCGAGGCTCAGAGCATTGATGTACGCCGTGGCAATTTGGCTTTCCTTCATATTATAAAAGCGCTTATTGTCAATATCAGGACAGTACAGTCTTAGCAGTGGGTATAAACTTTGCCCTTTCGTAGCTTGTATAAGCTTCTTAGGCATGATATACTCATACTTCTGCTCTACTTTGACCCCTTTCTTATTTTTCCCCCTCCGCAGCTGATACAGAGTTTCCATCCGAGAGCAAATTAGTGCGAATGACCACATGTTTGCAGCAGAGCAGTCTGGTTCTACAGTGTCGTCACTCGAAACAGAGGCATCGTCTAGATTATCTTCGTTGACCGAGGCTTCACCCTCGCCAACAGGTTCTTCGACAACTTGCTCCACATCCGACATGCTTCCAAAATAGATTTCGAGATACAGCATGCATGTCTTGTTTTCAATTTGAGAAAGTAGTCGGAGCGGTCCAACTTTTCAAAGTGCTGTCCGCAAGCCAGCGTGTGATTTACCACGAGCCAATGCAGAACACGACCATTTTTGGATCAGTTGAAGGAAAAAGAAACGAGAATTGATAAGAAGACCATAGGTTGGCTTCATTATTTGCCCCGGGTGAGTAAGAAAGAAGGTTGGAATGGTAGAATGCAAACCGAAGACGATTCAATTGTCACCAGCTTATTTGGAATTGACAGAATTGGAAGATTTGGCTTCGAATTTACGAAATTTGAAGAGGTCAGCCACGGTCCTTGACGGGAGTGTTGCGATGCATTCTGCCTCCATCGAGAAAGGTTCTTTTGTGGCAGAAAAAGGGCAGAAAACTGTGGGGTTCAAATTGTTTCGTTGTATGAGTGTGTCATTTGCGCTGACTTATTCGTTTCGATCCTGAACAGAAATTAGATCCAATTTATTTGAAATATCATGTCGGAAGAAACAAAGACAGCAGAAGGAGACTACGTCATGATGGGCGACTCCAATGGAGTCAAGATGCCAGGACTTGATGACCCAAACCTATCACAAGAAGATCGTGACCATAGGCTAGCAATCGCTCTTCAACAAGAGGAAAATGCTGCTGCTTATGAGACGCACAAGAGACGACATGATCAACGAGTTGCGGCCAACACCAATCGCACAGCCCGTTCGGGTACATTTACTCGATTGGCAGCCGTCCGTGACAAGGATCAAGGAATGCTTACGGTCCCCGCTGACTACACCACTGAAAATGCTTATGTAAAGAATGATGGAGAGTATTTGCCACCTGGTGGAAGATCGGATGAGGAGATTTTGAGGGGTGCTACTCCTCAACAAATTGCGGATTATAAGCTTGCCAAGGAAATTCAAAAGGTGGAACAAGCTGGAGCAGGCACTGCCCGTGAGATGTCAAAGATTGCCTCGGAAGATGCTGAAGAGGCCGAAGCTCAAGTCACACGCACAGGATACAGCAACTACCAAAAGTAAACGGTGTGCTACATGTTTGGCCTTCACTATAGAGTAATGTGAACAGACCAGTGGTCAAGATTTTAAAACAATGCCGATGTCTATGTATGATTTTACTACCGATATTGAAAGTTGTGTTCATGCCGAGACAGACAGCTAGTGGCATTTTTCACTTTGCGCAGGAAGATGAATGGGTCTAGAAGGATGCCGTTTTGCATGATGTTCTATCGCCTGGGACGCAGCCTGAATAAATGATTCTTTTGAAACACCAGATTCACAGTTCCACCACCTACAAAAATAGTGGAATTAGTCTTCATTAGTCAAACAAAGACACACACGCTTAGTACAACAGCATTGTAAAAACAAAATTCAATAAGCCCTACCATTGTTGCATCCCTTCCAAAATGCAATCCACATTCAAAGGCTCTTTTGGGTTTATTTCAGCAAAGCATTCACCTAACGCCCATCGTTGAGGAGTGAAATCCAAGCCTAATGCCCTGTCTCTGCTTCGATTTGGCTGGACCCGTCGATCTATCAGCATGCCTATAATGACCGTGGATGGCGGGCGCTTTGCCGGATCTACTGCCTCTTCCGCATCCGGCGAGAGATAGATGTACTTGGTTGTGGTGTTATTTTCGGGGCTGCAAACATCTTCCAAAGAATTGCAAGTGAATACCACATGCGATGGTAACTTGTCCGTTTTTAAAAGTGCCTTCGTTCTGTCCTCCAACACTGATCGTGTGTGATTATCGTGACATCCAACCACTTTTACAAGTGCAAGGGGTTTATTGGGATCATTCTCCGATGCCTCTACCTGCCATTCTAGAAAGTTCACAATCTGTCTTGTCACTGCATTTACTTTTTCACGTCGTGGTTTCTTTTCTTTAGGGAATCCATAGCCAACGTCGCATATCAGAGTATCAACCTCGTTGGAGCTCTCATTACCTATTTCCAGACTCGATAGAAGATCAGTAGCAACCGCGTCAATCTCATGTTGATCTGTCATCGCGTTTGTATGGAAGTTGAGAAACTGACCTGAAAACGGACGATGCAGGACGACTCGGTACAATCGAACGAATCATGCGTTGAGTCACGCCTTTCCCAATCTTGTTTTGCCCATTTCATTCATGCATTGCCGCCATAATAGCTTCATAAAACACCCTAATAATGCCTCCACCATCCCTCGTCTTGCCTCTCAAAGTGCCTGTGCGACATGACTTGACTCAACCTCTATCAGAATGGCTGGATTCGGAGGAGAACCCTGCAACCTACCAAGATACAAATGCCGAAGGAAATCTTTCGTGGATTGTGCCAAAACCTTCCTTCAAATCCACAGACTGTCGAGAGGAGATATTGAGACTGGCAGGACTTCGAAACACACTTTCTGATATTCTACAAGAGTCTCATAAGGCGTCATTAGAATCTCGATCATTGGAAGATTGCAACGAGTATCATGCTACTCTTCTCGAATTCGAGAAACGAGGATTTCCAACAGTTGATGAAGAGTCTAATGGGGTTGCACTTACCTGGAGAGGAGCGTTTAGTACGAGGTCAGAAGAAACGCATTATTCGTTACTATATGATAGAGCGTGTACCCTTTGGAATGTTGCGGCTTTGCAGTCATATGTGGCAAGCACTGCTGATCTCACCACGAAAGACGGCTGCAAAATGACCATATCCTTGTCACAATCTGCAGCCAGTATATTGTCAACACTTCGACAACTGGTGGAAAACGAAGACTATATGACTGTGGATCTTTCGAAATCTCTACTTGCATTCTGGGAGAAGTTGCTCTTGGCTCAGGGTCAGCTATGCATATATCGAATGTCCAATCTAGGTGGTAGCACTGTTCGACAACATACAACACTCGCTTATCTTGTGCAAGCTGCGGCATCGATCGTAAGTGAAATTGCATATCTGAAGGCAATTGCTCCCCAAAATGTGTCGGTCTTACAGCTTCCCTTCATCGAATCGTTCTGAAATGATCAGTACAATGAAGCATTGTCTGCTGCACAGGATCCGAGGTTAGAATCAGAATTACCGAAGCAAGCCAAAGAGTGGGGGGTTCACTGCAAAAACCAGTCACTCATCTGTCAGTCAAGGGCGGTATTTCACATTGCTATAGAACACCGCCTCCAAAAAGAGCATGGGCAGGAAATCGCACGGCTACGGCAATGTGTCCAAACACTGAAGGAGGCTCACGGCTTCGTCAAGACATCAGCGGTTCAATCTCAACTGCAGGAAGTGGAGGGTTTGGTCAAGATGGCTACGGATCGTCTGAAACATGCCGAGGAGGACAATAGAAAGATCTACTTAGATGAGGTCCCAAGAGATTTGCCAGAGATAAGAGCACAGACAATGGTGAAACAGAATCAACCACTTGCACCAACAATGACAGTTACGAAAGCGCCTATGTTTGCATTTGTTAGCTAAATAGCCTGGAATGAAGGCTGTAAAACAGTTTTGTACAACGCATTACCATTTTTTGTTATTTGGCTTCGTGTCAACTGCTTTGGGTTCAATTTTGCAATAGGAGTATTACCGTAGAACCAATGATTGGCAAAACCAAGTTGTCCATTTGAAATGTAAAGGCTTCCATCAAGGTTGCAATCGTCGATGCAGCAAAAAGAGCTAAGTGCTTATCCACAGAGATGAATGCAATGCCAGCTATTGTGATGCTGGTCCACATTGCCAGTGACCCTTCAATTGTTCTTTGATTCTGGCCCCATCGATGTTTTCCGTACCATGTTCCAACGACTGCTCCAGCCGCATCCCCAATACCCAGGCACAAGACCCCCCAATGCGACAAAAGCAGTTTGACAGACTCAGTACCTTCCCACTCTGATATCCAGAGAGGCATTGCACAACCAAGAATCAAAAACATGTGAGACACAATCAGCTCCGGATTGTCCTTCCTTGAATCAATAAAGCTTAGGTAGAATGATTGAAGTGCAGGGAGGTCCCGACGAAGGTCCTCCAGTACAGCTAAGGCGCATAGTGCGATTGCATAACTCAAGGACATGAGCTGAGGGAATGTTTTGGTCACAGGAGAGAAAAGAATTACGGCGACCGCATGGAACCATTTTCGTCGAATGACAACCGCCAGTTCCGTTGTTTCAAGAACCAGCCTTGTCGGGACAAAAGCAACAACGAAAACAGCAAGCCAGTATATCAAACCGAAATACCTTTGCAACAGAAGCGTAACATAATCTGAGTATTTGTGTAATCTGCGCCGTCGAAGGAAAGTGTGGTACATACCTAGGGTAGCCACCTTCTAGTGAAACAAGAAACCTTACAAGCCAGTCCAAGCATCGAGGCAGATAGTCTTTGAAGCATGGACTATATCCACGCCAAGCCAATCCTGTCTCAATTGTAACCAGTGGTCCAACAAGATGTAGTTGTAGTCGTATCCACCAAGGGAACCTCCAAATAACAAGTGTTACACAAGTTGCTAGACAACCTGCTCCACCCAAAAGAGCCACAAGCTCATGTGAGATACCCGTGCAAGAAGCGTAGCCTCTGATCTGCATCACCGTCTCTGAGATCAAAATAGTTGCTAAGGTGACGAGAACACCTGATTCTCCTTTCGTCAACGAATCATGACGATCTCTGGAGAGAGCCTTCAAGCACAACCATGTGCAAGCAAAAATAGCAGCGTGTATCGTGAACAAAGAATGGTCCAAACAAATTGCAACCATGAAAGAAATACAAACAAAAACCTCGTTGGTGGATGATACAAGAGTCACCAATTTTGCGAGATCGCTGTAATGATCCGCCATTCTGCATGAATGGAACAGGGACGCGAGGAGAGCTACTTGAATCAGACCACCATCATCACCCCCCTTTCGCCACTTGGCGCTTTGTGTGGTGTGGCTCTTTCGATGAAAACCTTTCAAAGACACCTCAATCACGTATTGCATCGTTGTCAACAAGACAGCCCATGACACCGGCTTTCGCTGGGCAAATAGAAGGACTATGACGATGGCCCAAAGACAACCCTCTGTGGTAAGCGATTTCCCACATCGCCAAATCATTTGATAGTCATCTAAGCCACATGGACCCTCTCCAGAACGTTCAACCAAATACAGTAGGAATTGTGTTTTGAGATTTGATATTGCGGTCGTAGGAGTCAAACGGTAGGCTGATTCCTTTGGAATGGAGTAGGGCCTGTCCTTCATATTGAGATATACATATACAAGGAAGAAGTACTATCTAAGATATACTTTGGAAACTTGCTCATTTTTTCACTTGCTCCAGGCTCTGTCCCAATTCAACTGCGATTTCCTTTCCAGTATACTGAACTGTGGCATCAGGATCAGCAGTTTCACCAACGCCGGCGCCATGGTTCTCCCGCACTACTACAATATGGAATAACCTTGAACTTGGCATACCGGGATAAGATTTTCCTTTAAGTCTTCCGATTCGAAGAATGGAACTATTCTCTGACCATGAAAAATGTATGGTAGTGCATGGTCGTGACGGCGAAGGATCAATACCATCGTCTTCAAACAAGGAAAACGACGAGTCCTTCCCAGTATATATCCTGACTTCTGATGATAGGAGGGTGATTGGATCATGGACGTGACTCGAAATGGGAGCGAGAACCACAATGGAACTTCTCGCGAACAGTAGAGTCTTGTTTGGAGCCACATTCGATGCATGGTGGTAGCCAGCAGCTACGACTGTCCCATTGTAGAAGTCACGCCACAACCCCTGATCCAATTGTGGCAGATAGTAGCTCCGACTGGAGTCAACAGTATGAATTGGGGCCACCATGAATGCGCTTCCAAACATGAATTGGTCAGAGATGCTCCTGACATTTGGATCGAAACCGAAATCAAAGACCAAACCACGTTGCATCGTAAACCCATTTTGCTCAACCAGCCTAAATCCTGAATATATGTAGGGCATCAGGCGGTAACGCAGATTCAAAGCTGATTGAACGATAATTGACTGCGTTTGGTTACCGTAGTTCCAAAGCTCAGTGTTTGCGTGACACCCATGTACCCTCATGATTGGGATGAATGTACCAAACTGAAACCAACGAATCATTAACATTTTGTACTTTTCGGAAGTGTACTGGTCATCCGGACGTAAATAGCCTCCAATGTCCATTGACCAGTACGGATCACCAGACAGTTGATAGTTGATACTCATGGCAATGTGCCTTCTAAGACAGCCAAATGAGGCTACTGTGTCGCCAGTCCAGACCACAGAACCATAGCGGTGCTGTCCGGCGAACGAAGATCGGGTCAACGAGAACGGACGTTTCGGGATCTTGGAAACAAAGCCTTCATAAAAGCTCTTCGCAACTTCGAGGGAATATGTATTACGAAACTGGTTTCCCGTTCCCAGAAATATTTTCTTGTTCAAGTGGTTATCGTACTCAGGTTCAGTTGCGTCGAGCCAAAGGGCATCTGCTCCAATAGAGAGGTGAGCATTTTCGATGAATTGAAAAAACAGAGCCCGTGCACCTGGATTCCAAGCATCAAAATATGTCGAGTCATCAAGAAGATAGCCCTGTGATTTCATTTCGTCAAAAAACGAAGTTGTATTGTCAAATTTCGACCAAACGGAAACCATAAAGGAAAGAGAGAACTCATTGTGCAGCTCTTTGATCATTCCAGCAGGATCTGGGTATTTTTTCTCGTCCCACTGGGGTCCCCAACCTAAAAAATCGAAAAACATAATGTGAGGAGAAAAATGCCATCGCAATTTCCTCTTTTTCGTGAAGTAATATTTACCCTTGTCTCCCCAATACATATAGTCTTGGACAATATTATCGACAGGGATTTCATGTAGTCTGAGTTGCTTCGCAGCCTCTAACAGCTCCTCTTGGCTTTGATAATGGTTCTTGCATTGCCAAAATCCATATGTCTTCTTGCTGAACATAGACGCAGACCCAGTGAGGCTTCGGTATGACGACATTACGGAATCTAGCTGTGTTGCGCCCGTACTGCTTTCGCCAACCATGAAGTAATAGTCAATAAAATCTGTGTCCTTAGTCTGAAGAGTTGTCGGCCCAGTTGGATCTTGGAAGCTCCAGAATACTCTCGGCGTTTGATCAGAATCGTAGTTGAGTACAACCTTGTAATTGTTGAACTGATTCAAACCATCAACTTTGCATAGAAGCACCTTCGGTAAGTTGTTTTCTGTAACGTTGCAGGCTGTCATTGTGTTCCCATCCTTGGACTGCAGCCCCCCAATTTGTAGTGAGATATGATGATTGGTATTGAAGTAGTAATCGTTCCTCATGTCCAAAGAAAACCAATAAGAACCGCTGTGTGGGGGAGTAAACGTCCCAGTTGCTACAGTTTCATGGCTTTGCTCACGACTACGAGCAGTTGGTTCCAAATTGATTTGGTTGGACTTGCGAGGAGGATTTAGCCACGTTTCGCCATACCCATCCCACAGGATTCCATAACCTCGAGAGGAAGCTAAAAAGGGAATAACAACCTCCAGATTCATTTGCACCATGTGGATTGGGGCTCCCTTGAAATCTAAAAAGTTGTTGACATAATATCCGCCACCGTAGATGGATTCTTCAGGTACCGACGACCAGCTCTGCTGTACTGACACCTCATTAGAGATACCATCGTCTCCTTGTGCCTTAGAGTCAACTAACTCACGAGTGTACAAGAAGTCTCCTGAGCTATCCAAGAACGCTAAGGCAATCGACTCGCCAACATGATCGATTTGAACAAGTAATTTTTCTGTTTTCAAAGAAAAAATATTTCCACCACCATCCAAATCAGTACTGAATTGAGAGAATCGTTTAGAGTGATGTTCTCTCGGATCGATCACTAAGCTTTCGCGATTCTTCATTGCTGATGCAGCATCTTTCCCTCGAACAATCCGAACAATTGTGTCACTACAAACAGCAAGAGCGAGGTCGCTTCGAATTGAAATGATATCACCATTGTTTCGACCACAAGATGACCCAACTTCTGCGCTAGAGACTCCTACGAATACAGCACATAGGATCTGCAGGAAAACGGCTATTTGTGTGGAATGGTGCATCTTCTTGCAATTTGCTCACATGCAATGGCTCTCTCTTGTTGATATGAGCCTTCATCTATTTGAATGACGCGTCGACGGCTTTGCCTTGTACAGTATCTTCGACTTCTCCGAGCAGAGAGTGAGACCCCAAACCAAATACTGTAGTATCTGTGACGATCTACTTACTCTGACTTAGCAGTCTGCTAAACTGTTAGGAATGTGAGTCTGATAAAATATTATTTGTCTATTCTTTGTTGAGATCGCAACGTCTATAAAGACTATCAATCCACTAAACTTAAGTGATTTTGCTAAAAGAAGATACCTCAAGAAATCACCTGAGCGTTTCAAGAAGCGGTTCCGAATCCATGCAACTATCTGAATTGTCCACGATTATTTCTCGGCTGAAGGCCGTTTGTAGAGGGAGGGGCGCCGATACCCATCAAACTGATTGCTTCAATATCAATGTCTTGTGCATTTGAACCCACTGGGTTCTGGAAGAGATCCATGTTCAAGTTCTCCAACATGCCTGATACGACATCAACATCATTCAAAGCATCTTCATCGCCATCGTCGACCAAATCAAAAAGTCGACCCCGGCGTGGTGCGGAACGCCGCTGATCTGTGTTACCAATCGCGAAAGGGTTGTTCGTAATGTTCGACCCACCGACCGGACCAAAATCTGAGTTCATGGTCTGTGGCGCAATTGGAGACACAGGAGCCGGACGCACGTCGAAGAAACTTCCAGAGGCGCCTATGCTAGTCTTGTCTGAAGCAAGAAGGTTGTCACTTGAGAAAGGATTTGATGGCAACAACGAGGGCTGACTTTGAGCCATGCTCGATGCTCCACCCAATGATCGAATGACTTCAGCAGTAGAAGCATCACCGTACGTTGCCCTCCCTGCATCATTTTGTAGGAGAACGAATGCACTACCTGAAAGACTGACCTCAAGAGAACTGTTCTTTCCGCTGTAGTAATAGTGCTTTCCAGCGGCGAGTTGTTCGAATCGACGAACAACAGTATTGTTGTCGCGCAGACGAGGATCCAATCCATAAAGATCATCTAGTGTTGGGATTCCATTAGAATCAAGGAGGCATTCTGCCCGAAGGAAGATTGCAAATGACAAAGGAACCGAGTCATTAGCGACCATCAAGTCTATCATGCGTCGCAGGTAGAGGGATGTAACCATGCTGTCGAGAGGTGGCATGACGGAGACAGATCCACCACGACGGGAGAGAATGTCATCATTGATGTCTCCAGAGCCAAAAGGCTTCAAACCACCAAAATGGTGATCCACATCCATAAATTGACCCCAGAACAGATTTGTGCTGAGGGAGCTGAAAGGGTCCGACCACACTTCTGCGGAGACAGAGCCCTTTGAAGCCAAGACAGATTGCGTTTCAGGTGGTAATCTGAAATCCATGGAAGTTTCAGCGAAAATCAAGCTCTTCGTATCGTAGCGCATCTTTGTGACGAACAGAGCTGTCAAAAATCGCGATGCAGTGCCAGCATAGCGTTCTCGAATCTTGCTGAACTGCAACGAAGGTAGGTAGATTTGGGCTCGGTTTGCCCAGTCGACAACAACCATCGAACCACTTCCATTTTGCATGAAGTCAGATGCGTTCATGCCGACGGTAGAGTCAGTCCAATCCTTGCGCAACTGATCATCCAATTGCTGCTGGAAAGATGTCAACTCCTTCACAAGGTTTTGACACAGGATCGACAACGCGGTTCCTGCCTCCTTTAGGGCCTCCATTCCAACAATTGCAACCCCGTGCGAAGAATTCTTTCTGCCCTCAGAAATGAACTGACGCTGAAAAAAAGCTGTTAGCTCTGTAGCGTCGACCCAACTTGGGATCATACAGTCAGCATAAGGGGACGATTGGTGTGCAGCCCTAACAATCCAGCGATAGACAACTTTCTTGATTGATTCTTCGCTTACTGCACTGAGAGGATCTGATGCTGCTCGCGCCATAGCACATCTCTGGAACAGCTCATTCAGCTTGTCACGACGGAAGAGAGAGACGGCTGGATGCTCCATGTGCTGAGGATTGAATTGAGGCTTAGTCTGACCGGTGCCCTGGGCTGGAGTACTGGATGGAAACGAACTTTGGATGGGTGTTTGTGAACCAATCAAAGTAGGAAAGTCGTTTGTAGTCGAGAAAGCAGGTGCCGCAGTGGGCGCCTGTGAAGATGTTCCAATAACGCCAGAAGTGTTGTTCTTGTTACCGTTTACATGCTTCGGCGGGAACTCGGACGTATTCGGTGCGCCCTGACTCGTCTGGGGCTGTTTGATCTCCTGTGGCTGCTTCATTAGCTTGGTCTCCCAACCACGATTCTTTCCACTCGGCTTCTGAGCGGTTTGCGCTTTGCTTGAAGCAACTGAAAGGCTCTGATTGGTAATCACCGCTGTACGTGCAGCGGTTGGCAGTGCGGCTCGTTGGCCCGCAGGCTGAGATAGTGGCTGGTTCGATTGTTGTTTGGCTGCCTTGGCTTTGATTTCCTTTCCAGCACCATTGTTTGTTTTACGCTCCTGAGCCGCTTTCAAACGCTCTTCCTCTTCCTTCTTTCTCAAGGATACAGCTCGGCGCTTCGCCTCCTCTTCTTCCTTCTTGCGTTGGATCGCAGCGAGTCGCTCACGTTCGGCTCTTTCGGAAGCTTCTTTCCTCTCCCTTTCCTTTCGAAGCTTTTCGGCTTTCTGACGTTCTTCAGCAAGACGTTTTTCTTCTTGCTCTTTTTTTAGTAGACGTTCACGCTCCTTCTTCTTTCGTTTCTTGGCGGACTTTTTGTTTGCTTGCTGTTCTTCTTCATGCTTCTTGGCATCCTCTTGTTCTAGCTCCAACAACAATGCCTCTTCGGCTGCTTTTGCTTGCTGTTCAGCAGACATTTTCTTCTTTTTCTTTTTCTTCTTGTTTTTCTGGCTTGAGCCTGAGGATAGCTTTTCTTCGCCGAAATCATCGTCATGTTGGGCTGTATTGGATTCGGTCATTTCTTCTTCGTCGGTTTCGTCTTCTTCGTCAAGCCCAATATTCTTGCCTTCACGCTGCTGCTGCTTGACACGCAGATTGATTAGTAGACGAGCGCGTTGAACCTTCTTCCTGTCGCGAGAGCAACGAGGCACACTAGCTTTATATTCGGTCACCATGTCCACTGCAGCATCAATGAGATTTTGTTCCACTAAGATACTGAGGGCTGTGTCTCCTTTCTTGGTTGTGACTGTGTGGTCAGCTCCATGATGCAATAGGAGCTTGACGGTACCTGGTAACCCCTTGGTTGCAGCTTGAAGCAAAGCGCTGAGCGTGGGATCCTCTTCTTCGGTAGGAGCCTCGCCGACTTCGAGGAGTAGCTTCACGACATCATCGTGACCCTTGTAGGCAGCAATGCTAAGGGGGGACCATCCGGTGTCTGTGCATTTGCAAGGATCAGCATCCGCATTGAGCAAAGCCTCGACTGCACCAGCTTGTCCGTGGTTAGCAGCCGTGAGCAGCGGGGTTTCGCGCCATTTGTTGAGAGCATGGACATCCGCCCCATTATCTAAAAGAAGCTTGACGGCAGTGAGATGACCATCCTTCGACCCCGCACAAGCCTTGTGAAGTGGAGTAGAAGAGTCTTCGGTGACACGACAGTTGACTGGAGCACCAGCCTTCAAAAGAAGAGCAACTATGTCGTCATAACCCTATTTATCGAGAAGTTAGATCAGGCGAGAAAGAGTATAACAATGAAACAGATGTTGGTACATACCTTGTGCGCTGCAAACGTCAAAGCCGACCAACCTGCTTCGCTGCACAAAGATGGATCTGCTCCATGTTTCAGCAAAGCTTCGACAGCTGTTCTATGCCCATTATTTGCCGCGATTAGTAAGGGTGTCTCTCGCCACTTGTTGCATGCGTTGCCATCGGCACCTTTTTCTAGCAAAAGCTGGAGCACCTGCATGCTACCAGCATTGTCCTCATTATTCTTTCCATTGCTTCCCTCAGAAGATGAATCGTCAGCAGTCGACGAGCTACAAGCCGTATGTAGGGGTGTATACAAGTCATCTTTGAATTGGCAATTTACAGAAGCACCTTGATCCAAACAAAGTTGTACTGCATCAGGCTTTCCTTCCTCTACTGCACACTTTAGGTAAAGTTCCGCATCCTCCAAGTCAATCGAAACCGAAGAACTCTTAACTGTGACTGAGGCCCTAACAATAAGGGAATCGTCCTGCACAAATCCCTCCTGTTGAATGCGATCAGATGTAATGAACTGTGACCATCCCCAATCGATAGCCTTGGGGCACAATTTGAATGTCTTATCAGGGTTTCTCTTAGCATATGATAGATTGGAACCACTAGGATGCTCCAATGTCAAGACGTATGATACAGCTTTCTTCCAACCAAACGGCAAGTCGTCAGCATCCGCAACCTACATGAATACAAAAATCAAAATTGAGTATCAAACCTCCACGCGAAAGTATCCAAATCCAAAAGTCGAATTTACCTGCAAGAAAAGACTGAGGTGATGATTCGACGCTCGTCCATTTCCATTGACGTAAACAATCAATCTCCAGCGGTTGCCAAATTCGTCTACTGTTGTTGAAGAGTACTCTGCTTTCTTGCAACCTGATTCTCGCTTCTGACTATAATTCGCGATGGTATGAGTGAACTCGCAAGTAGATTGTGTTGCCTGTGGCTTCCAAGGTATTTCGTGATCTGAGCCGTCATCATCGTCTACAAGTTGGGGTTCCTTTGAGTCGCTCTGGATACTTTGTTGAGCTTGCGAACTATCGTCATCATCATCATCATCATCTCCGCTCTCTAAAGACTGTTGGAGGGACCGCTGCTTCGACCGATAGGGAGGATCTCCAAGATCTGCAGCTGAATCGGCAGACGATTCATGAGATTGTTGACTATTATCCACACTTGCCGATGCGTGTGTCCTCGTTAAGGAAGAGGTCGAAGAGTCTGGTTCATCATTTTCCATGCTGGAGGAAAGGGCTGAGTTCGCCGAGATGCGTTGTGCGCCATCTTTTTCCTCTAAGCTGCTACTAGCTGCTGCTGCAGAGTCTCCGACACCACTAGACCGCCAGCGCATTGTCATTGATTCCCACCGGACCACAAAGTCTACAGTTTCCACAAAAATGGGTGCAAAAAAGATGAATAGAGAGCAAGAAAAAGGGTTAGAAATGCCAAAATGAGGCAAGTTTGGAAAAGAAAACTGCAGAAGCCGTTTCGGCATTATTCTTCCATTCAAGGAAGACAATTTGCAGTTGCTCAGATGGAAATATAGGCAGTGATTTGCTCGTTATGGAGTGTTGTTGTGTTTTGGTTGCTGTCTTGGAGTCGTAGAGCTTGGTACATTTTCTACGCATGAAAAAGTGGTGGCGGCAGCCCCTGCACTAACGTAGCAAAAAGAAAGCTCTGACCATGTCCACCATGGTGAAGTCGACTATGACAACCAAAGTCCACATTTTTCATTCCACTGTGACATGCACTGCAAATTGTTTCGTATCACGGTGCCATTTCCCAAGAAAATCCAGCCTCATTTGCCCCACATTCGCTTACATTTTCGGTTATTTTGGTGGAAACACCTGGGTTTGATTGAGGGTTGAGGGCAGAACCAATCACCAAAGCCTCGTCTTATTTTTTTGCCGTCTGCTCGACACCCGAACGCTGGAAAAGATTTGATATTTCTCAAGGCGTAGAGTTCTACGAGGATTTCGTACTGGTTGAATCGCATGGATGAGGATGGATCAAATTTCAAAATAACGACTATGTCTGTCGTGTCACCATCTACCCTAAAACCGGCTTCAGAAGAATGCAATGAAGCGATTTTGAAATATGTTGACAGCCTGGTGTAGGATGTCTTGTTGGTTCTAGTATTATTTCCAATTGCTCGCCAATCGTGATACGCTCTACCTCCATTGGCTACAGTTGACTGACGCACTCCAGCACAAAAAGAATTTCGATGTCCGACATCCGTCCGTTTTTTTCTGAGAACCAAGGATTTGTTTTGACACCTTCCAGCACATCACCGAACAGCCAACGATTTGCCACAACAAAAAAGAATATCGAACGTAAACATGATCAAGTCCATCCTATTGCTTATTCTTTCAATCTATGCTGCCGCAGCATTCACTCTTCAACCCAACTCTCGCGTCAGCAATTCTGCACTTTTCATGAGTGATGATTCCAAAACCGGAACTGTCAAGTGGTTCAACACCATGAAAGGATTCGGATTCATCGTCCCTGACGACGATGGTCCAGATGTCTTTGTCCATCAAACTGAGATCAAGTCTGAGGGATTCCGCAGTCTCGCCGATGGCGAATCTGTCGAATACGTCCCTCAGGTCGATGACTCTGGAAGAACCAAGGCTACCAGAGTCACTGGACCAGGTGGAGGTAACGTTCAGGTAAGAACATAAGTACGCGTGACCTCTGTTCGAACAATACATCTCCGAATCACTAACACATTTCCATCTCAGGGAGCTCCCTTCAACCCAGATTCCAACTTTGATTAGAGAGTAGGGGGCATATGTGTACAGGGCAGTACTTTCAGGACGGAAGAAAAGAACAAGGCCTGGCGTTTGATTGGTTTATAACAAAACCACTTCACCAAAGGGCATCCAAACCGAGACTCGAGTCTCCTGAACCTTGAGTTTTCTTTCGCAATGTTGGGTACTTCCTGCGAAGCCAAAGTAACGTAATCATTTAGAATTCATTTTTGTTGCGGTTGAAATACCGGCACCAAACCACAAAACCATCTAAGTCTTTTTGAAATATAGAGTAGGCCTTCGATTCCTCCCGTATTACCCAGGAAAAATGGCACAAATGCGATGAACTGTCGGAAGAAGACTCTGAGAAAAACTTGCTACTTCATCATTATTGCTAGCGACGTTGTCGTAGGCTTCTTCGCACTTTTTTACAGGCAATTTGACTCAGCAGTAGAGGTGCTTTGCGAGAAAAGAAGACTACCAGTGCTGCATGCTCACGCTTATTTCTTCTTTCGTCCACCGGTCGTCTTTTTCTTCTTGGATGCCTTCTCGGTTTCAATCTTCTTTTTTCGTTTAGCTGCCGAAACTGGGTTTACCTTCACAGTAAAGAAGGAATCCATTCGAGACTGCGGCTTCCCATTTTGTTTGTGGGCCTTTTCAAGCTTCTCAATACTTGCTTGCACACGTTCTGGGTTGAAACAGTGAGTATCGACGAGGAATTTCTTAAGTTCTTCGGATTGAGGAGCTTTCCATTTCAGTTCAACTTCGTTGCCTTTCAATACTTCGTGGTGGTTGAAGAACTTGCGAGCTTCCACATAGGCTGGAATAGGTGTGTTGTCCTCCGAATCGTCGTTGTCCTCGTCATCTGTTGCGTCTTCTTTCTTCTTGTTGGGTGTCCAATTCGCTGGTACTTCGTACTTTTTCTTTCCCGAAGTGTTGAGACCCTTTTCGAGGATGGTCTCAATGTTTCCGTGTTCACGAATCAATTTCAATGCTGTCTTTGGTCCAACTCCCTTGATACTGTCGCAGTAGTCACATCCTACAAAATTGAACATTAGAAAATACAAGTGTCAGATTGAAAGGCTCGGAAAAGGTGTGTATAGGGCGTAACAGCTACCGGTTACCATACTTACCAAGGAGAATGCACAAATCCACAAACTGGTCGTGATTCAGACCCAACCCTTCGAGAGCCTTTGCGTATTTCATGGTCTGAACTGTAGCTTTGGATGCATTCGCAAAGGTCATCTTTCGGACAAGAACTGGAGTCTTGAAAGTCAGAGCATCCATATCTTCAGTTCCAGTGGCGTAGACTTGGCCTTCTACACACAACGCCGCAGCTTGTGCCTCTGCCTCACAAGGCGCCAAAATGACGGGTACACCCATTAGTCGAAGAAGTTCCTTACAGTCTTCGTTTTCTTTGTGCCCTGCTCGAACCAATCTTTTCGAGTGCTTGTCTTGTTCTTCGACGTTGCCCTCTTCTGAAGCCTTTTTCAACTCTGCCTGTGCCTTTTCTCGTTTTTCGCGACGCTTCTGCAATTCTCCAGATTTTATTTGAGGCGGTTTTCCATCGAAAACATATGCTGGCTTGATTCCTTCTGTCAAGAAGCGAATAGTGCGGTTGAACATTCCCTGAATATGACTCGTTGTTTCGCCGTCAGCATTGGTAAGCATCGTTGCAGCATGGTTTGGTCCACCGCTTCTTACAGCAATCAGAAACTGATAGATAGCCATCGACGCATCGATTGCGATCTTCCGCCCGTGGAGGGATTTCAATTCTTCTTCACGAATGCACTGATGTTGGAACGATATAACATGGTGTCAGGTTTCTTGGAATCAATGTCAAACTTGCTTCAGAGATGGCGAATATCGATACTCACATCAGGTGCTTCATCAGATAGTAGTTTTGCAAGACCTTTAATCCCCATTGTTCTGTAAGATTGAGGATTGGTGCTCAAGCTTTGAAGTGGGGTTGCTTGGTTGTATGGATTGACAAAGGCCTCGGACTCGGTTCAAAAAGAGCAGCAACACAAAAGCGAAATTTTTCGCATCGTTTTTGGCGCGAAACCAGAAAGTCTGCAGCTTACTGTACTGTATACTCGTAGCTGTAAATGATGATTCATAAAATCCCGTACCGGTACACTTCATTCTTGTCTATTCCATATATACGAGGGTAACATTTCACCCTGCTTCATAATATCTCGTTTCATTCAGTTTTGTGTTTTCCTTTATACTAAAAAAAGAACTCTCTATTTGTTGTCTATTTATTTCTGAAGGAGGCTGAAAACGACGCTTCGTCTTTTTGCTTCATGGTCTCTACCATTGCAGCCAATGCTGCTTCTTCAAACACATGTTTGGCGTCTTGTTTCTCTTTGATTGGTTCGGGGCACGCTTGAAGAGTTAAGCCAAGATTCTTCACAGCCTTGGCACGTTTCTTTCGTGACTCCTTGTCCACACTTTGATCGAAGAAAAGCATTTGGCATGTCTCGTGAATCGTTGAGGTAATATCCACAACAGTTGCTGTCCAAATAAGGCTTAGAACCGACGATTGAGCAGCATCTTCGAGCTCCTTCTCAAGTTGGGCCTTTTCTTCTGGTGTTTTTGCTTCCTTGATTTTTTGTTCATACTCCTGCTGGAGTTGGATGGCGTTGAACGTAGCGCGCAAAGACTCGACTTGAGTTTGATTTCCTGCTTTCTTTTGCTTTCGTTTCGCCTTTTGGCCAGCTGCCCACTTCCCAATAGAGGGCATGCCAACCCCAGATTCGGTTGATCCCAAGAATTGTAGAGCCGTGACTTCATATGCCATTCCTAGAACCTTGACCAACTCATACCCATAGGAAGCCTTGCTAAGCTCCACAGCTTCGGTTGCCCACATAGTAGTACAAATCTCGAAATCATCCTTTACCCATGGTTCGACCTTCTCGGCCAATTTGACGGCCAATCGAGTGCATCTACGCTCCTGTAATGTACGCGAATCCTCTGCAGAGAACTTGGCACTGTCGCCCAACATGGCCGAAGTAGAAGTTGCCAAACGCCCAAAGTAGTCATTGAACTTGTCAGATCCAAAGAGGAATGCCATTAGAATGGATGGATCCATTCCGCTGCCATTGATATCGGTCTTGTCACCAGAGAGACCGTCTCGTCCTTCTTTGTCGTACGTTTGTCGAAGCTTAGGGTCACTCAGCACATGGTAAGCTTCTGCAATCTGCTTGAATTTGTCGGCACTCTCTTTGTCGTCCTGCCCAACTCTGTCAGGATGGTATTTTCGGGCCAAGATATAGTACCGTCGCTTGATTGCTGAAGGATCCGCGCTGGTGTCAATTTCCAGGGCATCGTAATAAAAGGTATCTTTCACCTCGGCCGACGCACTGCCTGGTTTTCCTGCAGAATCCAAATCATCCTTTATATTCTTGAGCAAATCATCATCGTTTTCGGGAATATTAGTCTCCTTCAGGTTTGTCAATGCCCATTCATGGGTGTTCTCGTTCCACCATTTCCCATCCTTTTTGGCTTTCATGGCAGCTGGTTGGGCAGCAGCACCACGGACAATTTGAGTCACTCCTGACACGGCCCCACCCAGAATCATTCCTACGCCACCAATTGCACCGACAACGACACCGCCTGTTCCTCCAGCGATCCCACCAAGTATTCCCCCTCTCTTCATTCCTGCCGCAAACCCAGCTGTTGGGGCTAACACGGCGATCCCAACACCTCCCAAAGCGCCGCCTACAATGTTGTTGACACCTTGGCCCAATCCATCGGCAAGATTCTTTGGTTTCGACTTCTTGAACAATTCATCGAGTTCTTTCTTAGCGTCCTCCTGTTCTTTTTTCAGTTCTTCCTCTGTCTTTTGCATCTTGTTTTTTGTTTTTTGTGACGCAAATATGACATGAAGACTATGAAAGAATTCTACGTACAGTACGTATGATTCGTACCAACGGAGATCCAATCCAAGACTCAGTTTTTATCTTCTGCTCAAACGAGTCGTCCAATTGGCATCGTACTAATAGTAATAACTTAGCCTAATCAAGCTGCTGTGATCTGCAATTTCTTAGATATATTTGTACTTATTCCATGGCCTCAGCATTCTTTGTCAAGGTGGCAAACATGAAATCATAGGCAAGCGAGGTCATGAAGGCTGATTGCTTGGCATCTGCGGCACCACCGTGCCCACCTTCAATATTTTCGTAGTAGTGGATTGGCCAGTTCTTTCCTTCGCCCAAGTCCCAAAGCTTCTTCACCATTTTTCGTGCGTGTGCTGGGTGGACACGGTCATCACGTGTACTTGTTGTCACGAGCATCGGAGGGTAAGACTCTACTGATTCATCAATGTTGTGATACGGTGAGTACTTGTACAAGAAGTCTTCCCAATCGCTGGTGTCCGGGTTTCCATACTCTGTAAAAGAAATAGTGTTGAGAGAAAAGCAAAGCTAGGTAGCATTGATCAGGAAACCATTGACTTACCAGCCATCCAGCTTGCACCTGCAAGCAGCTGATTGAAACGCTTCATATCGAGCAACGGAACGGCGCAGTGGACAGCACCAAATAGATCGGGTCGCATTGTGTACATATTACCCATCAACAAACCGCCTACAGTTGCGTTGCATAACGATGAAATGAAGTCAACTACAACATTCAACATTGAATAATCCAACCGGGACTGACTCACCATTTGAACCTCCACGGATTGCTAAAGTCTTTGGCTTGCAGATATTGCTTTCAATAAGATGTTCTCCAACCGCAATGAAATCTAAATTTGCATGGAGAAAACATTTGAATTGAGCACGCGAATTCCAAAATGGACCAAACAAGTTGTTTACATACCTTCATAAGCTTTGTTTCGGTTGGCCTTAAGAGCAGCCTGATGCCAGGAGGGTCCAAACTCCCCTCCTCCTCGGATGTTGGCTTCCACATAGACCCCACCGCGCTCCAGCCATGCAAGTCCAGATGTGGCAACGTAATGGGGCCCAAGAGAGATCTCAAAGCCTCCGTATCCGTACAATAGAGTGGGGTTTTTGCCATTCAATTCCATCCCTTCTTTCATGACAATGAAGTAGGGAATTTCAGTTCCGTCCTTGCTCGTTGCCATTCGTTGTTCGACAACCAGCCCAGACGAATCGTATTGCTCTGGAAGCTGCTTGAGCTTGGAAACAACAAACTTGTCTTCCGCACTTTCAACAGGTTCAACAACTTTATCAGCATCTGCGAGGAATAGTGTACTGGGTTGTGTGTACGACGAGAGAGTAAACCAAAACTCGTTGCTCTCCAGTGCATCGATTGGACGAACGCTACAATCCCGGATCTTAGGGTCGGAATCTTCAGAGACTAAAGTCAAGGAGTTTCCGTTGTCGCCAATCTTGTAGAAATGAAGCTTCGATTTCACGTTGTCCATGGTGGATACAATCAAGTAATCCTTTGTGCAAGTCATATACTCGTATGCTGTTCTGTCGGAAGGTTCAAATAGTTCTTGGTAATCAGAACCTCCTTTCCCTTCGGACAAAAACTTTTCCCAATCACAATAGATGATTGAGCCTGTCTTGTATGTTTTACCACCTTCCTTGGGCGTCCAGTCAGATCTCAGGGAAATGAAAAGCATGTTGCCAACATAGTCAATCTCTGCGTCCTCTTGAATTTCCAACTCCTTGAACTCCAACTCTGGAAGACCTTCTGGACGCTCTGATTGGGGGAGTAGATGATCTTCAGTAAGTTTTGCCATGTAGTACTTGCTGGTGTAGAATGTGATGGACCTGGAATGAATCTGCCACAGGGAGCCACCAAAGCTTCGTTCATCGGCAACATACCCATTCACAGCAACATCCGTCTTCTCGCCTTCGAAAACAGTAGGTGCATCCTCCACAGCGGTTCCACGAGCCCATTCTCTGACCGTTCGTGGATATCCACTATCTGTCAGACTGTCAGGTCCAAAGTCAGATCCAACCAGCAAGATATCTCTCGACTTGTAGGAGGCACGGGTTTTTGCTTCTGGTAATACAAAGGCCTCGCCTTCTGGAACAAATTCTCCCGAGAGCAAGTCAAACTCCTTCAAATGAGTTGCATCAGAACCACCACGAGAAAGGTTCATTAACACTCTAGTAATGATGCGTCCATTGTCGGACATTGGATCCCTCTTTCGAGCAAGAGCTTTAGCTCCTTTCCAGACCCAAGAAATCCCATCCTTTTCCGCGAGCTTGTCGACATCCAATACAACTTCCCATTTAGGCTCTTTTTTCTCGTATTCGGATGCAGTAGTCTTTCTCCAGATTCCTTTGGGATTTGCCTTGTCTCTCCAAAAGTTGAAGAGGATTCTCTCGCCACTTTCATCACGACCATACGACGATACATGAGGAATCCGATCCTCAGATTCCAGCACACTCAAGACACGATCATAGGTAGGACCATCTTTTGGATCTCCTAAAGTTTGGATGCACTTGTCGTTGGAAAACTTGGCAAAATCCAGGCATTCCTTGGCTTCTACGTCTTCCAGCCAAGCATATTTGTCGTCTTCCGCGGTTTTGCTGGTCATTCTTATTTGAAGACAACCTGCACGAATCGCTGGTAATATATGTGATACTTGTTTCACCTGTCGTCTGACAAATGGTGAGAATCCGGAGGCCTGAGAAGCAATCAACAAAGATACACAACGCAATCGCATTGCCAATTTGTGTCAGGGTTTTGATTTTTCGTTTCTCGATGTCCACATGAACAAAATTGAAAAATGGACTCAATGGACTTCTCTCAAATCTCAGTCGTGTGTGCAAGTACTCTATAATTGCCTTCAGTTACCACTACGGTATCGGTACCGGTACCAGGTACTGTAGGCAAGAACGAATTATGGACATCTTTACGGACATCGAAGAAAGTCATCCCGTAAACTCCACTCGTAGGAGAAGTACTAGACACAGTACTACTGTAGTGACTCAATTTGATCCAAACGACGGACCGGAAATAAATCGTTGTGTTTTACGACGGATTGCAAAGATTTCGCAAGCTTATTGTGCGTTTTGATTGCTTTCTAGTAGAACTGATAGCATGGCGGAAGAGTTTGACTTTTCTCTTTTTGGAGACTTCGTTGTGCGTCCTTCAACTGGTGAAACTGCAGATCCCATCGAAGTTTTGGCAGACAAAGTTGTACGTATCATGTTAGTGCCACGGTTTCCCGTCGTGCTGGATGCTAAATTCACAATTTTTCCATATTGCTATTATCAGATTTTGCTCTACTTTGGAGCTCTTTGGAATGAGCGTAAGTTCCAGATCTTGATGAAGGATTTATGTAAAGAAAACAGCGATCATCTAACAACAATATTTTCATGTTCGTCTCATCAGCCTCGGTCAAGTTCAATTTGAAACTCGGGCTTTTTGATTCATTAGCCAAAGTTCCTGAGGATTATGAGATTGTTTTTTGTTCTATGGATCGGTCTGAAGAAGATTATAACAACTTTTGTTCCAAGATGTCCTGGTGGTGCCTTCCCTATGCCATGTCGACACTTCCAAAGCTCATCACAGAATACAAAGCTCATGGGATGCCACACCTTGTGGTGATCGATAAAGATGGATCACTGATTACCATGGATGGAGTTCAGAGTGTGATGACTGATCCAGTAGGAAAGAACTTTCCCTGGAGAAGAATCCGTGTTGTGGATATCTTGCCAGAAAACTACGTGATTAAGAAGGATGGAGAAGAAGTCAAACAACCGATGTCTTATCTTGACGATAGACATCTGATGCTTTATTTCGCAGCCAGATCGGATGATTTATCAAAAGAGTTTACGCCTTGGATGACAAAAGCATACAATATTCTGAAAGGAAAGAGAGGAGACGACTTTGAAGTAAGTCGAGAATCGAAGTATGACATGTGCGATTAACTAGCTCCTGATTGCTCGATTTGCTAACCTCGTCCTTTTCGTTCCTCCAAAGCTACTGTATGTCAGTGGTGATGAATCAGAGCCGGCGTTTGAAGTATTTTTCGGAGAGATGACCTGCGGCGCAGTTGCTTTCGACGATTCGGATGCGAGGGAAGCTCTGGAGACTCGATTGGACATTACTGAATACCCAATGTTGGTCATGCTTGGACCAAAGCCAGAAGATGAAGATGACAATTTTGGAGATCGGCCTATAATCAACACGGAAGTTCGGACTGTTATTGAGAACGGAGACTATATCACGGACTTCCCATTTTATCCCAAACCATTTGGCGACCTTTGCAAAACAACGGATGATATCAATACGCACAAATGTTTGATCGTTTTCCACGAGCAAGGTGATGAGGAAGAGCAGTTCGAAATCGAATATGCAGTTAAAGATGCGTCGGAGGAGTACCGAGGGGAGGAATTCATAAAATTCTATTGGGCATTTGACCAAGACGCTGGTATGGCTGCCAATATATGGCAAGCATGTGAACTGATCGATTCTGGCACTCCAACAATGGTTCTATTGGACGTAAAGAACGATGGAGCCTTCTATGTCAGTGATGAAACCGAGATCACTCCCGAAACGATTAAGTTTTTCCTTATGAATTACAAATCATCACCGCAAGGGACAATCTAAGGATTGGTATGTGTTTTTGGTGCCGTGCAGAGTACCTTCCAGTTGTCATTTTTTTAAACCTCGCATATCCTCAAGCAATAAGAATAGAAAAAGAGTAAAAACACAAACTTTATGATGGTTATGGTACAACGTACGGTAGGAACAAGGCGAATGAATGAATCTTTGAAGAAGTAATGTTTCAGTTCTGTTTTTCCTTCTATCTTGAGCTCTTAAATGTATCTATCACCTTTCAGTAACGCGCTTACTGGATCACATACGCAGTTCTTATTTTAAAATGAAACAACAGAAAGTCTTGAATAGACTATCACGAGAATTAGTAGTCATATGGGTTGACTCCAGAGTATACTTTCTGATAAAAATCGATGGTAGCAAGAATTGTTTTGTGGTTGACAAGTTCTTGGCTGCAGAAACCTGCAACTCCAATCATGGCAAGTCGACCATTTTGAAGTTCTCGCGTTTGCATGTCGGCGAACTTTGCTGGTTCTGTTGGCTTCAATCCCAAAGGATCGAATCCCACGTCTCCTGGATAGTAAGATTCTCTCAGAGCCCAAAGACTCTTGAATTTTGTGGGCTCAACCCATCCAATGGTTGCTCGTTTGAGCTCCACGGCGCCGATCCCCGCACCAAAAAGCAGGAGCACCGGAAGAGGAAGCTGTGCAAGTTGATCGTTAGCAGGTCCAGAGAGGCCGAAAGGTCCTCCGAATGACTCGCCAACAAGATAACCTACAACGGCCAACATGGCAACACGACCATGCATCACCTCTGATTCCCGGTATCTCTTGACATCGTTAAGGCTGATTCCAGTTTGGCAGAATCCTGTATTTTACCAAAAAGAGTTAAGATTCAGAATTGTTAGATTGATTTGATAAAAATCTTGTCCGACGGGGACAGTCACCTACCAATTGGATCGAAGTATCCTGTAGGAGCAACCACTCCAGGAAGCCCGAAACAAGGCTTCGATTCATCCGGAATCCAACCGTTTGCAGTGGTGACTTTGTATAAGAAAGGGTTCTCAGGCTCTTCGATAACTTCTTGTTCCATTTCAATCTCAGGAGAAGGCGTTTCTTCTTCGGCCTCATTCAAGATCATTGCCCCGAATCTATCCGATTTTGCATGTCGTGTTGTAAAGCAAAAGGCACTTTGTGCCAAAAGAAGGATAGCAGCGCAGATAATCTTCATTGTCTAAAAATTGTGATACTACGTTATGGTATTCCATGCGCACCGTATCATTTTGCCAGCGACGAGATGAGGATGATGGTAGGGAAGTAGTCAGAATGAAAATCTTGCGTCAGTCTCCGTGACTACAGTCCCCCGCGACCAAATTAAGAAGCCACACAAAAACTTCATTCATTCAAATCCATCTCCGCCTACAGTATTGTGTGAAGTATCAAATCGCCACCCATTAACAAACTCTTGACAGCCAATAAGCAAGCTCAAAGACTTGCTTCGTCCACCAAATGAAGTTTTGGAGAGAAGATATATATTAATAGTCCTTCAAATCAGAAAACTTCGATGACATTGAATATTGCAACTGAATTTCAAACTGTTTGAATTAAACCATCCAGAACTCTAGAAATTCTGACTGAAGTTTTCAGGATGACTTTTCAAAATGATTGATAAGCTATTTGACTGTACAAACTGATCGATTTTCATACAAAACAATGAGTATTCGAAACTACACTTTACTACTTTTCATGATGGTGGTCGTTGATGTTGGACTTGCTGCCATTATTTCGACTGCGAACTGCAACTTTGTTCGGCGTAGCTACGACGTGACACTGCAGCTAGTCTACGCATACAAGATCCAGTTTGCTAGTGGAAGTGAAAATCAATTGGAAGGTTAGTCTTGAATGCAATACATTTCCTTTCGGATTCAAGATCTCATTTGATATTTTCCTTTGAAAAGGTACGGAGATAGCTATTGCAAACGCTGTTGCGCAAGCGTTGGACACTTGTGACGACATGGACCGTCCTCTATTTGCAGTGAAAACGGGTGCCAAACACATCTTCACTGGACAAGGTACGTGGATCAGTCCGCTGTCAATGACACTATATCTTGCCAAAGCCTTCTTACATTAAATCCGATACCGGTATAACTCCTAGATGAGAGCGCCGTTGCAGATGGAAAACCGAACACTTATTTTGCCACGGGTACAACAGAGATTCTACTGGATTACTTTTCAGCCCAGGCACGCGAAGAAGCATACGCAGCAATCAGGATTGCTTTCAAGAACGCTACTATTATTAAGATTTTTGATCAGACAGTTGTTCAAACAGAATATATACACGCCATAAATGAGGCTCTCGTTTTTCCAGAGGAAGACACAGCCAGCGGAGACCGAGAAGAATTAACTGTTGTCATTGCCATTGCTACTGGGATTGTTGCCTTTCTCGTCGCTGCACTTCTCTGTTTTGGGTTAATGCACGAGCGAAAGAAAACGAAGGCCCACTACAACACGAGCCATGGCTTTGATAAATTTGAGTCGATATCAAGCAGCAGAAGCCAGAAATCCGATCATATGTCGAGCAATAGGAGCTTTTCAAGACTAACAGACGATTTTTCGTCAAAGGAATACAGTATGATTGAGGAAAAGTATCATGACCAACATAATTACTTACCCTCGACCATCTGGAGTGTCTCAGACATCACTTCAGATGACTCTGGTTCCATCAGATCATTCCTTTCGCGAGCAACAACCAAACTCGAAAGCATTGAAGAAGGAGAAGAAAATGAAGAAATGATGGAAATGAACCGTCGTCGTCACAAACGGAGGACTTTGAAGGAATATGATTGTTTCCAATTCAAGACAGGATCTGTCTATATCTCGAACCTAGCGCAGTGTCAGAATTCTCTTACTATGCCCAAAACTGAAGATTTGGAGGTCGGAATGCCACAAGACTTACAAATCCTTGTTGATGGAACGAATCAGTTGTCTGCTGATGCGGTCCCAAAAGTGCAACACTCTAGCAGCCATGGCAATGCAGCGATACCAGCCTCTACATGTAGTGTGAAGAAGGATCTCGGGCAGGTAAAGGGTGACTTTGAAAAGTCGAAGATTCAGGAAATCATTCCTACTGCACCCATGATATCCACCAACACAGAAGACAGCGAGGAGCATGCAAGCGAGTGTGAGAGCATAAAGAATGCCACTGAGAAATCCAAACTACCAGACAATGGCGGAGATGGTGAAGAAATAGTGGCAAGCTCTTCTGAAGTTGAAAGCAATGACAGTGCTGATGAAAAGGATGACATCCGTTCAGTAATTGACAATGACAGCGTTGCAAGGGACAGCACTCCATCAAATTCATCAATTGAAGATTCAGCCCACTTCAACCACGAACGTTCAGTCAACATCATGATTGATCGACAAGATGATCTACAAATTGACACAAGTGTAGCTGTCAGTCCAGAGGTGGGTATCACACCAGTAACAAGCAATATAGCTGGTCCGGAATGTATGATTGATACTGGAAGTCCGTCGATACTACTTTCCAATGATTCAGAGATCCGAAGTGCGGAAGCACTTGCACTATGCGTTCAGCCTTTCGAGGCCTCTCAGCTTCAGGATTCTTCGGTTCGTTATGATGAAGCGAACTATGAGTTGGATCGCGAAAACACCAGCCTCTATTCATTGGATATGGACGAAACTATTGTTACGATTATTGATGACATTATTGCCGCTATAGACGATTCGAAGCTATTGGATACCACGGCTGAGCAATCGAAAGCTTCAGGCAACAATGAGACAATATTGGACGATATTCAAACGGAAAAGTCTGATGATAGTTTCTTCGTGGATGATGACTCTGCATCAGATATTGAGGACTCGGGTAGAGAAATTTCTACGGAAGTCCCGAGTTCTTCAATTTCACAGCCAAGACGCGGGTTTGTTTTGTCAGATGTCACAAACTCTTTTATGCTGAACGAGTTGAAGAAGAAGCGTGTTGCTACTGATGAGTCTTCCGACACCAATACTACCTACACACTATGATCTCGTTGTAATTGCTTCTACTTATTAAATATACACTGTACCTTGATTCGATTATCTTGCTCGCAACTTCGACTCCGGTGCAGGCACCGCTAGAAATGTGTCTAGGATCTTTCCAAATGACTTTTCCTGTGACGGAAATCTCGCTTTGGTTGTTCCAACGATCAACAAAATGAGGGTCGAATCGGCAACTATTGGTTTGATCCATAGCTGTCGCTCACTTTCTCGCATCGCAGGTGTATATGAAATGAATGTCACCGAAAACCTGTCATCTGACAATGGCTTTACCTTTACATCGACTGGAGTGCTATAGGCTCCAAACTTTCCTTGAGTCGCCAAGACGGAGTCAATCAGTAGCTGTTTAAAGATCTTTGGATTTTGCCAGTTGGATACCTCTGGGACGACCTGAACAAATGCAGACTCCGATGTTCGCAGGTCCCTGGCTTCTAGACCGGATGTGGTGGGCAGCAACGGCCATGGTGTCTGGAACTCGATTCGAAGAGGCTTTCCATTGACTGACTTGATCTCAGCGGAGACGATTCCTTTCTGGTTTTGAATGGGCGTTGAGCTTGCTTCAAATAACTCAACACCAGTCTGGGGTTTAGTTTTACCAAGCCCGCCTTTAAGACAAAAGTGCAGTCGCAACGATAACAATCAGCATTTCAATTTGCCTTCTTGATCATACAAAAACAGTGAATCAAGTCTCGATTGAGAAAACGCACCTACACCCCCATCAAAGGCAACCGTCATACTTGGAGCCGCTATTGATCCCAAAAGTATTCCTTGAAAAAAGGCTGATCTTGTGACGACTGCTCTTCCTCCTTCCATTCCAGATGCTCTCACACTATTGCAAATTGGATCTTTGGGTCTCGTATTTGATCCCCAAGCAGAGACATTCCAGAAAGCACAGGTGCCCACGAAAAATATCAATACGGCTGCGAGATTCATCGCAACAATCTCGGTTGTGGTATTCTTTCAGTTGTGATGTGATGTTGCTGGACTTCCAACAAATGATGCCTTTTAGATTTTCTTTTTTCTTCTGTTGGATTTGTTGTTGAAGTTGGTGTGAAAAGGACAGTCCCCAAGCACTTTCCTAGCGGCCCCCAAAACATAACCGTTTTTCCTTTCCAATATTTGAACTGGCTGGCCCGCTTGCATCACTCCGCATTGTCCATCGACTTTTTCGAAACGACCAACGTTGTCGCTTTCTGTGCAAGACAATACGGTCTGTAAATAATCACAGTATAACAAAAGCAAAGACAAACTAAAACACCATGACAGAAGTAGTTGCAGGATACGAAATTTGCCCGTCGTGGGCCTCAGTTTTGTGAGTTGCATAGAAAGTCGCCGAAACAAAGACTAAGACTTGTCATTAGTGCAAGTCGTGGGGAGACGTGAATTTCGAGGTTTCAAGTTTATTGACAACATGAACGCAGATGCTAACAGGTTTTTTTCTTCTTTTAACGCTTTCAGTGGCTACCTTGGTGCTAGTGGTTGCATGATTCTCTCCAGTTGGGGGTCTGCATGGGGAACGTGGCGAGCAGGACTTGGAGTATGTCAGATGGGTGTTGACCATCCTAAAGGTGTTATCAAGAACATTGTTCCTATTGTCATGGCGGGTGTTCTAGGTATCTATGGACTTATCGTTTCCGTGATCATAACACAGGCTGTGTCAAGCCCTGGTCAAGATGGCTACAATACGTACAGTTTATATAATGGATATACGCACTTGGCTGCTGGGCTATGCTGTGGGCTCTCATGTTTGGCAGCTGGAGGAACAATTGGTTTGATTGGAGATGCTGGTGTTCGAGGCTTCGGTTTGAAGGCTGAGCGAGGACGAAAATGGTTTTGGGTTGAAGGTGAAGGTGAAGATGATGCTGGCGGTGCAGAATTCGGAGGAGCAAGGGCTCTCGAAGACGCTAACAAGTTGTATGTTGGTATGCTAATTATGTTGATTTTCTCAGAAGCTCTTGCGCTATACGGCCTTATTGTCGCCCTCATTCTGAGCCAGCACAACTACACATGTGGATAAGCCTTGTGGTTGATGCAACAATCATAAATTACTATCCTAGAGAGAAAAAATACTTTTACATGATCGGAATGCGTTTCGTTGCATATTCAGTGCACATGCGTTATCTGTAAAGCACTCACTGCGTGTGAGAGGTTATTAGGCAGCAAATTTGCCTCATCGCAATGTTCCTTCGTCACCTTTCCTATACTACTACTATGATATATACAGTATGATACAAGTGCTGCTATCCGTGACCCCAAGATTTCCCATTCAATCCCCTCCCCTGAAAGTGGTGTCATCACCATATCAATCATTCACCATCATTTTTTCTTTGATCGATGCATGATTGAACCTTTGACCCTTGCCTCCTACTTGCTTTACGTTTATTTCATCGTTTCTAATATGTCAAAACCTAATAATAAGGAGCTTATTGATAAAGCGAAAGTCCTCTATGACCAAGAAAAACTGTTTGAAGCTGCCAGGTTATTGCGTCAAATCGACAAGGACTCCCCATTGCTAACAGACTTTCACCGAAAAATTCTACGCAATGCTTCCATATGTGGAAAAGCTGTATCAGAACTCTTGGCGCCCCCTAACAAAGGAGAGGCTGGTGGTCAATCACAATGGATTAAGCAGGGCCAATCGAACGGTAGCTATCCGACAACAATATACTACAAGGTTGAGACAGGTGCCAAATTGACATGCCGAATGGAAACTCCAGTCCCAACAAATCTATTGGTTCCCTTATTGAGTGTTTTGAATGAGAGCGAATTGTACGGAACTTGGATTCCTTCCTGGACTGTTCCCATCCGTTTGGGTGTCAAACAATCAAAGCAACTGATCAACGACACTCGAGGGCATCAAATCATTCAAGTCCAATGCGATGTTCCGTGGCCCATGTCAACACGGGAAGTATTGATGGATGTCATGGCCATTGACGATATCGATAAGAACGGGTTCATTGTAGCCAAAATGCAAACTCTGACAGAGGCGAGCCAAAAGCATTTGCTATCCGGTTTTGAAGTTCCTACAGCAGAATATGGTATTGAACGAATTGATTACGATGGAGCTGTACTCTTTCGACCTTGTCCGGTAGATCATCCAAATTATGCGAGTGCAAAAGAGAAATTTTCGGAAGAGTTGATTCTGCTTCAATTCGTCATCTTTTTCGACGCACACATGATGGTACCACAGTCCGTTGTAAATTTCATTACTAGGACAGTCGTTGGTCATATTTGGAATATGCTACTTCATGTAGCAGAAGAAGTTCGAGATGGGCAACGAAAGGAACATAAGGAGGCGATAGAGCGGAAGGCTGATTTCTATAAGTGGGTTGATGAACGATCGCAATTTATGCTCCAGCAGATGAAGGGTAAGAAAACAGGGAAGGACGTAGAGGAGAAGCGAACTATTGACGAAGACGGGGGCTGGACAATGGAAGACATTCTAAACCTGTCCATCTAGCACACACAGCATGCATCCATGGTACCTATAACGCTATAATGTAAAATACTGTATGCCCTGGATTTTGTCAAAAGGTAATCAAACCAGTCGAATTTGAGCCTCCGGGTTCGTACACATTACTCAGAACATTTTCGTTCGAATTCAAATTTTCGGGGCGTGCCTTGACTATGGACAACATTTCTACCGGCAAAGAGTCGTCGTTTTTCTTTTAAAAATGCTCTCGCTCTTCTCATCTTTATCAGCGGAACCAGAAGAGGTTTCGTCGGTGGAAGAGACTGCCACCACGGAAGGAAGCTTGGAAGCTCCACTGCACAATGCTTCTTTAGATGATATGACGAGACCGCAGTCAACTTCAGAGCCGTCTTCGTGGAACGAAGCTCACGATCGATATTGCAAAGATAAGGGCGTTCTACGTGCCAGTATACATGTCGTAATACAAGAAGTCTCGAAAGCTGTAGACTACGAGCTCCCTTGGGACCTGCCATCCCCATCTGCATTCGTTACAACCATTGACGAGGTTGTAGCGCCATCAACCAACAATGAACGAACGGGAGTCGACAGAGAAACGTCACGAGGCATTCGTCAAATGATGTGGAATGGTGCGAGGAAACTAGGTTCCTCTCTCGTATCTACAGTCTTTCAGGATGCCTTGGTCGATGATGTCGATTTGAACACCGAAGGTGAGGCAATTCAGGAAATTTCCAATACGACCACCGCTTCCTCCCCTGCATTGAATTGGGATCAACCCATTATCCACGTGGCGCATACGAATCATTGCCTACAGGTTATCGACGAGGTAATATACCGACTTACGAAAAGCGAGCAATCTGCATTCAAGATTATGGAAAAGTCAGAATTTAGACAGTTTTGTTCACAGACCAATGATGATCTTCTTTCACGTCTCCCACCTAACGACTTGGACTGGCTGCTAGAAATCTTGGTAAGAAAAGGGCAAGCAAAAGTGGTGAAGAACGAAGGCCTTTCAGAATTAGTCGTTGTTTCCAGTAGCACATTGCCCACCGTCACAGGTTCGACTATAGATGTGGGCATCGCCTTGCACAAATTGAAGCAAGCGCAAAATGCATTGGAACACCGAATGGAAGTGTGGTCCGTTTCTATCCAGGAGTGTCGTAAGAAAGCTGCCAGACACAAGGTAGACAAACAAACATCGCTTGCCATTGTGCAACTGAGGAAATCAAAACTTTTGCAAGAACGAATCGATTCTTCAGCGAATGCACTGCTAGAGCTGGAGAAAATTCAATCTACAATTGAAATAACGCAAAACAACCAGGCAATCTTAGGCCTTGTAGCAGAGGGTTCAGAACAACTCCGCAATCTGACCCAGCAAACATCTCTGGAAGAGATAGACGAAATCAAAGAAGGTCTCGAAGAAGATATTACAGTCGCCAACCAAATCAATGAGACTTTATCCTTCAATTCACCGGTGGACGAGGATGCTCTTTTGGCGGAACTCGAGATGTTGACACTCATTGACAATACGACTTCGAAGACACCGGGTGATGGATCAGTGAGGCATAACACTTCTAGAAAAGACGAAAAGAAGTTGACAACACATGCAACACCACCGGAGGTAGCGCAGGAAAAGGAATCCAGGCAACTGTTGGCGGCATGAAATTGTGGCTCTAACAAATAGTCAATGAGACGCGATTCATGCAAAATTCTATAAGGATAGTAAAAGACTGCGTTTCTCATCCACCACAGCTGTAGCTGTGTTGACTCAAAATCAGAGCAACAATAAGACCGTACAAAGCCAGGGCTTCTGAGAAAATCAACATGATCAGCATACCAACATACAGCTTGTTGGCTGATTCAGTAGCACTACCTCCACCAAAGTCTCCATCTCCAGAACTTTCACCCTCTCCGGATGCCCAAAACCACTTTCGCCCTCCTTCTGCTTTCAATCCGAATCCTCGAACTCCGGCATCTCCAATAACTCCAATTGTACCTCCAGCTGCCAAGCAAGAAAGCCCACAGCACAGCCCCGCGGCTAGATGCGTGTATCCATTATATAAACTATACGTATTACTCCCATCCTGGCCAGGACTTGAGATGGATTGTGTAATGATCACGGAAACAATAAGTCCGTAGATTCCAAGAACACCCGCCATGACAATTGGCACAATGTTCTTGATGACACCTTTGGGATGATCAATACCCATGTGACAGACTCCAAGTCCTGCTCGCCAAGTTCCCCAAGCAGATCCCCAGCTGGAGAGAATCATGCAACCGCTGGCACCAAGATATCCGCTACGCAGTACAGGAACATGATATTAGTGGGGATGCAATGAACATCAAGGGCTTGAGATCAACTACATAAGCCACTACTTACAATACGGATGCCCATGATGGACATACTTCATATCCTGCAACTACTTCAGTCATGATTTACTTTTTCAGCAGCAAATTGGCTTCGATGACTTCCACCCCCATCGTCGCTTGTTGCCGGATCCAGGTGGTGCGGGCAGATCGCTCGTGACGATTCTCTTAAGTATTTGTCCGTTGAAGACACGAATTACGACATCAGCAGCTGCATCCGCAGACAAATCTGGTGGCAAAAATCTTCTTTTGCCGTCTTGAGATTTGCCCTTTGATTGGAGCAAGCACTTTGGAGAGTAGAAGATAAAGACAAGAAGAATAGAATCATGGTTGATCAAGGCTTACCAATTGATGCACAGTGTCCATCGTCAGCTGCACTTCTTGGATATGGGGGAGTTGCCGCTGCCGTGTGTTTAAGTAATTGGGGAAGTGCCGTAAGTGACTCAAAAGTCTCCTCCGTTGGCTCATCTGGATCGAGTCTTATTTGCATCCTCTTGTATAATCTCCACTGTAGATGGGAACATGGAAAGCAGGTCAAAGCGTCATTTATACAGGAATCCGACACCCTTCTTCAGTGATGAAAAACGTCATTCCAATTGTTATGGCTGGTGGTAAGTTGAGAATATGGCTTTCATGTTCCTGCGATGTATCCGGCTTGCCGATGCTTACCCTCTGTGCCTTTCAGTGATCGGAATCTATGGGCTGATTGTCGGTGTGATTATCGGTCAATCAATTACAAAGCCATCAAATGATAGAGAAAACGCTTACTCGACATACACTGGACTGGCACACCTATGTGCTGGGCTGTGTTGTGGGATTTCAGGTCTTGCAGCTGGCCTTTGCATTGGAATCATCGGTGATTATGGGGTTCGCGCCGTTGGATATCGAGCGTCTGCAGTCACATTATTTCCCACCTCACAAACAGAAAGAGAAGGTTATTCCAATATTCCGGATAGCGATGAAGCAGCGGAGAACACCATTGATAATGTCAGTGGATCAGATGATCAAAACAAACTGTTCATTGGTATGCTGATCATGCTGATTTTCTCGGAGGCCTTGGCTTTATAGTAAGTACCTTGGAGGGTCCCCTGTCGATGCATCATTTTCTTGCCCTTTTTTCGCTCATCTTTATCGCTTGCTTTCAGTGGAATGATTGTAGCGCTGATTGTCAGCCAACACTCATATTCTTGTGTTTAGAAAGGGTTGATTTGATGCAAGAAACGCAAAATGATTTCCATTTTTCGGTTGATCTACAGTAGTTGCATTGGCACAAACTAACTTCGAACAACATCTTTTTTACCCAATATCATGCTTTCTTCTCCATAGAATATGCTAGCTACAGACAAACATGGACTCGCTGAATGTGAAGGAGATCTCTGTTCATTTTCAAATTTGTCTCTAGTGACAAGGTATGCGGAAATCATCAATATTATTGACTATCATTAGTGAACAATGAATTTACAGATATCAACTCTGTCAAAGATGAAATATAATGCCCGATTCACAGGACAGCCATGCAATATCAAGCACCTGCCGATAGCAGTTCAAACCCATGATTTTGGAATGAAAAAGAAGTAGACTCCCAGTATCTACTCCGCCCCACTCCATATGCACAACTCGATGTCAGCATGCTTAGAAGCTCAGTCCTTCTTCAACAACAGATAAAGTCTCATATCTGGCGCAATGTTTGTGAGGTTTCTTTGGTCCCCAGTCAGTCTCATTAGCAGACCACCGTAGCTGAAAGCGATGACTGCTGTTCCATCCTTTTGGTAGCTGATATCAAACACACGACCATGCATGACATATTCGTAGTTGTCTGCCAATGTTGGTTCACTGCTAACGGAGTAGGAAAAGTGATCAGCTGGACTTCCGTCTAGATGAAGAGTGGAAGCAAGCACAAGCGTGAACTTGTCAGTCTCTTTCAGAGAATAAATTGCGCAGTTGATATCCAACAAAAGGTCGCAGTTGAATGTGTTGCCTATCGCTTGTAGTCGGTTCACTCCCTCAAATTTGTAACCATCTGGATTCAGCGCTGTGACTTCAAAAATATCTTCGAAAAGGGTGACTTTGGCTGATGTCTCCATTTGTAGTATATTTGTTGAACTTCAAAACTAGTGCTGGGGTGTCTTATTGGTTTGCAGCTTTCAATCTCTTGTTTGATTGGAATACGATGATGGACTGTGGTTGGACTGATTTGATTTTTGAGATTGATCGCGTGGCTAAAACCACGGGTCTGTCCTTGGTCCACAGATTCTCAATAAAAATGGTTTAAAAAAGTGATCCTACAATACTTTCACCAGGTACGGCAGTTGGGATAGCATTGCTTTCTAAAACCTATTAATTTGGAGTCTTCTTCCGCTCAATTGCGCACACAGAACTGCTCATATTGTCTGGCCAACCCCAGATTACAGACACTACATATGCAGTGGTGATACTTTGATGAAAGTGTCCCTTGTTATTAGGGAAGGATACCAGTAACGAACAGCAGTACAATCACAGCTACAACTGCAGCTGCGATAATCATACTTTGGAGGAAAAAAGGAAAAATTGTCAGCCCCGTTCACTTTGAGCACGGTTATTACTTGTTTTGTGACATACCATTGCTTCTTTCTAATAGCCTTTTGATATACGAGCGCATGAACAACTTCTTCATTGCCCTCTTCAACGTAGTCATTGGCTTGCTTTACTTGGAACTCAATCTGATCCAACAATTCCCCTTGTTGTTCCGTCAACAAGGCAAAATCTAGGAACATCTGGTGAAGCTCGGCCACGGACTGTTCAAGTGTCAAGACATCCTGATATTTTCCCGCAACTTTTGCATACGTGCTCCTTCAATGGGTGTGAGTGGAGATTTAAGAGGGAATGACACCTATAAGGCCGGGTACTCACTTTATTTGGTCGTTAACACCACCCGCAAGAATCTTTTCTTTATACAAGGCATCTCGTCCACCTTCACTCCTCAACACTCGCTCGACGTCATCATCAGTTGCATCTGGCTTGACCACTTGTACCTGACGCTTTACTTTCTTCTTGATGTCAGTTTTATAATTTTGTTGCGCTTGCTGATACGCTTTCATTTCATCTACAAATTTCCTTGTGAGCGTGGTATTCATGTTCTTTCGAACCCTGCAAATATTCACCGAGAAAAGAGGGACAGTTAGATCGTCATTGATTCCTAACCACAATAGAGTACTTGGTAGCTACCCACCGAAGATCCGGATCACTAAGCTTATTTTCACTCTCCAGCTGATCGGTCTCCTCCTTCAGCAAACCTAACAGAGTTTTTGTCCGTTTGGCTCTACCATTTGTGGCGTCGATGAGAGGTTTCAGTTTCTTGGACAACTTGCTTTCCTCTTTTGACGTTGTGGCTTGCATTGATTGTTCGTTGATTTTGTTGATTTGCTTCGTTGCGCTTGTTACTGCATCAATGTCTGCCTTGATGTTGTCGACCTCTCGAAAGAAGTGCTCCATTAATGTTGGTGTCTTTGGCTTTCCCTTTTCAACATCGCCAACAACTTCGCCTTGAGAGCTGTCACTATCAGAGTCCTCCGTCGCCCATGCCGGGATATTACCAAGCAAATTGTTCATCGCGTTTCGCAGTTATTCAGATAAAATGTTATTGTGAACTGCGTCTGAATCTAGAATGCTTGTTGTTGTTGGATGTTATCTTTGCAAAAGTCGTCGTCATCACCACGAGTTGCGTGCCAATTATGATTCAGAATCGATCAAGTCGACCAAAGGTAGTTTTAATAATATCGCATACGGCAGTCCATTTCATTTGCTACAGGTACAATAATAGGTACTTGACAACTGTGCCCAAGAAAAAATGAGATCACTGCTTTTTAAATACATACACAAACCTCGAGGCCACAGCCCATACTGTTTACTCCAACCGCAGATTACAGACATTACATGTACAATGGTGACAATGAAGCTCCTGTCCCATATTAGGGAAGGATTCCAGTAACGAAAAGCAGTACAATTACAGCTACAACTGCAGCCCCGATAATCATACTTCGGAGAAGAAGAAAAGGAAATAGTGGTTAGCCCAATTCACTTTGACCATGATCATGATTATGACTCGTTTTGCGACATACCATTGCTTCTTTCTAATGGCCTTTTGATATACGATTGCTTCCACCAACTCAACATTACCCTCCTCCACATAGTCATTAGCCTGCTTCACTTGAAACTCGATCTGATCTAACAGCTCTCCCTGCTGCTCTGTTAACAATGCAAAGTCCAAGAACATTTGATGCAGCTCAGCCACAGACTGTTCTAACGTCAGAACATCTTGGTACTTTCCAGCAACCTTGGCATAGGTTGTTCTTCGAGCAGTGTATGAGAAAACAACTCTAGTCACTCATTCAAATCTAACGAAACACTTCATAACTCACTTAATTTGGTCATTGACACTTCCAGCCAAAATTTTCTCCTTGTACAATGCATCTTTCCCACCTTCACTCTTCATGACTCGGTCGACATCCTCGTCAGTTGCGTCTGGTTTCACAACTTGAACTTGTCGTTTCACCTTCTTCTTAATATCTGTCTTATATTGTTGTTGTGCCTGTTGATAAAGCTTCATTTCATCCACAAATTTGCGGGTCAAGGTTGTGGTCATATTCTTTCGGACACTAGATGGGTGTAAGATAAAGCAACACAGATGAAGTACATCACATCCTCGCTAGCACACTTACCGTAGATCGGAAGCATTCAGTTTTTCTTCCTTTTCCAACTTTTCTGATTCTTCCTTCAATAAACCCAATAAGGTCTTGGTCCTCCTCGCCCTATTGTTCGTCGAATCAATAAGTGGCTTCAGCTGTTTTGATAGTTTATTTTCTTCGGCGGTTGTGGTCGCTCTCATTGCCTCTTCGTTGATTTTATCGATTGTCTTGGCGGCTTCCGCAACGGCTTCGATATCTGCCTTGATATTATCTACTTCGCGGAAGAAGTGATCCATAATTGTCACCTTTTTCTGAGCCATTTCAACATCGCCATCTTTTTCCTTTGGGTCATCATCATCGGAATCATCCTTTGCCCAGTCGGGAATATCCCCTAGCAAGTTGTTCATTATTCTAGAAGCTTTTGAATATACCTATATTTCTTATTGTAAGATGTGCTTCAGTATGCAAACCGAAGAATGGGGGCTCTTGCCAAAGCGAGAATTATTGTGTCTTCACATTTTTGTCGAATGTCCAGTCTGCACGTCTCACGTATGCCAGTCTCATAGCAGGTATTCAAAACGGGTCTCAACTCGGAGCTGTCTTCCGTTTATAATTGGACACACAAACCTCGAGGCCACTGTTCACATCGTTTACTCCATCCCACAGCCACTACATATACAATGGTGACAATGAAGCTCCTGTCCCATATTAGGGAAGGATTCCAGTAACGAAAAGCAGTACAATTACAGCTACAACTGCAGCCCCGATAATCATACTTCGGAGAAGAAGAAAAGGAAATAGTGGTTAGCCCAATTCACTTTGACCATGATCATGATTATGACTCGTTTTGCGACATACCATTGCTTCTTTCTAATGGCCTTTTGATATACGATTGCTTCCACCAACTCAACATTACCCTCCTCCACATAGTCATTAGCCTGCTTCACTTGAAACTCGATCTGATCTAACAGCTCTCCCTGCTGCTCTGTTAACAATGCAAAGTCCAAGAACATTTGATGCAGCTCAGCCACAGACTGTTCTAACGTCAGAACATCTTGGTACTTTCCAGCAACCTTGGCATAGGTTGTTCTTCGAGCAGTGTATGAGAAAACAACTCTAGTCACTCATTCAAATCTAACGAAACACTTCATAACTCACTTAATTTGGTCATTGACACTTCCAGCCAAAATTTTCTCCTTGTACAATGCATCTTTCCCACCTTCACTCTTCATGACTCGGTCGACATCCTCGTCAGTTGCGTCTGGTTTCACAACTTGAACTTGTCGTTTCACCTTCTTCTTAATATCTGTCTTATATTGTTGTTGTGCCTGTTGATAAAGCTTCATTTCATCCACAAATTTGCGGGTCAAGGTTGTGGTCATATTCTTTCGGACACTAGATGGGTGTAAGATAAAGCAACACAGATGAAGTACATCACATCCTCGCTAGCACACTTACCGTAGATCGGAAGCATTCAGTTTTTCTTCCTTTTCCAACTTTTCTGATTCTTCCTTCAATAAACCCAATAAGGTCTTGGTCCTCCTCGCCCTATTGTTCGTCGAATCAATAAGTGGCTTCAGCTGTTTTGATAGTTTATTTTCTTCGGCGGTTGTGGTCGCTCTCATTGCCTCTTCGTTGATTTTATCGATTGTCTTGGCGGCTTCCGCAACGGCTTCGATATCTGCCTTGATATTATCTACTTCGCGGAAGAAGTGATCCATAATTGTCACCTTTTTCTGAGCCATTTCAACATCGCCATCTTTTTCCTTTGGGTCATCATCATCGGAATCATCCTTTGCCCAGTCGGGAATATCCCCTAGCAAGTTGTTCATTATTCTAGAAGCTTTTGAATATACCTATATTTCTTATTGTAAGGTGTGCTGGGTCCCCTTGAATGCCAAGCAATGCTATGGAGAAGATGCTCCAGCAAACTTGTTTGGACGTATGACAATGGTATACAATACTGGATGGTGGATGGTGGAAGCCGTTGAGAACAAGGTGGCACCTGCCTGCCTATCCAAAATGTGAAAATTTGGGATGTCGCAGAAGACACGAAGACATCTGTAGTGAGTAGACCGGTACCTGGAACTGGTACCAGGTAGCAACGTACCACCAACCAAATATTTTTTGGTACTCTGAACTTGTACGGCAGTAGGAATTGTCCCACTTCTGCTGGTTGCGTTGAAAGTTGACATGATATGCAAACTATCTGATTGACCTGTTACATTGTTAGCTGGTTCCATTGCAACAATTTCATATTTAGTGAAGGTCCTTGCTCATGATCACGCATTCCAGAAATGAATAGTCGAAGATGTCATTTGGACTAAGAAAGCTCTTATTCTCACACGACTGCAGATCGTGTCTGGCAGCATGTTTGGCCAAAATTCATAATGTGATTATTTTGTGTGAGATGGCTGGTCAACGGTTAGAAGCATGAATGAATGAACAGTGGAAGAATCGCCACCGCACTACTGGTTTCAATTGAATATCAACAAATGGCAAGACAAAAAGATTGCCGGAGTTCTAGTAAAAAGCAAAGTTTGGGGAATAGAGCGTCGCTCCCCGGGTGGGACGTACGGAGCAGGTTCAATCTGGAAGATACGACAACAAATTGTGGACGCAACATCAGTTATGATTCAGAAACATCGGGTCTTTACATTGAGGAGGAGGAAATTGGGAACGCTTCGGCATCACAAGGTAGTACGGAATGTGAAGTCTCCCTCACATCATCAATTGATATCAGTTCTGCAGCCGCACTAGCGACAGCGGTGCTTCGCTCTCAAAAAGCTCGAGTACCATCTTGGAGCGACTCTAGTGGTTCAACATACGTATCGAGGGAACTTCAAATATCTCCACAGCATTCCTTTAAAGAATCATTGAGAAGCAAATCCGATGATTGGTCGGTGAGCGATTCCAACAACCTTGATTTCATTTTGCAGTCTCCCGATATGAAAGACAACGAAAGAGAAAGGAAAGACAGGATGACAAAAAAGCTAGAGGGCATTCCGTACTATCCGTCTATAGAAGAAGCACTTAGTAATACGGATTTATCGGCAATAGAATCGTTGCAAAAGGAAACAGCTCAGTCGATTTTCTGCAAAAGATTGGTTCCGCTACTCATTCCGAAAAAGTCAAGAGATGAAGATATTTCAGCAGTTTCGATTGCCGAGGATCCACCGGAGAGTGTATTCGATACGAGATTTAATAGGCAGGAGAGACCAATTGAACGCTTGGAAAATGTCAACTACCTACCGTCTATTAAGGTTGCTTCCAACAATGAAGACATTTCGACGGTAGCTTACCGAGTACCATATAAAATTGCTGATCAAGCATTTGGTCGTCCGAAAATGAATGCCGCCAACAAATCGATGGGGCTACCGAGGCTGATCGTATATGCAAAGTCCGATTCGACATTATCTTCTCTTGAGAGCAACAGTGATCTAGAGAGCGACGATGAAAGCTATGGTGATGGGCACAGTAACGAAGCTACGCGGCAGGCAAAAGCAACAAACACGAACACGAAATCAAAATGTACACAACGTACTGAGCGTGTCAGGGACCTTGAAGAAGAACTGAGTGCCAAAGGTAGCGACGTATCATCATCAGATGCAAGGATCAGAGAGCTAAAGAAGAAAATTCAAAAGTTGAAAAGCGGTTCAAAGCTAGAAAGGGAAAGGCCAACGCAGCGTCGCGAGGGGGAAATTTCACATCGAGCAGAGGGGTTGCTACTAAGTCGAACAGAGCGGTTGCCAATACAGGGAAGAGAGCAGCGGGCCTCAGTCCCATATGATGTGGATGATTCCATCAGCAAGAAGATACACGAGTTGACGCGAGTAGCAAAGGATCAAAGAAGAAGGCGTGGTGGAAATTTTGTCGATGATCCGACCGGAGGTTTAGCGCACGGTCATCGACGTTTAAAATATTTCGACAATGGGCAAAACCGTATTGACTTCACATCCCAAGAGGTCAGAATATCGGAAAATAACCACAGTTTAGCATTTGGGCAAGCGGAATTTCCGGTCGTAATACATCAAACCAGGCAAGACGAAGTCTCAGCAATGCACGGCCATTCTGATACCTGTCAGGTATCCGATATCGAAACCGCATTGCGGAGTGCACTGGAAAGAAAAAGAAAAAAGGCTGCTACGAAGAGCAGAGAAGCTAGGGAAAAGTTTGAACTGGCAATGATTAACTGTCTCTCAAGGGGCAAGGAATTTATTTCGAGTGCGATGAAAGAATCTGCAAAAAATGAGCCGCAGCCTTCTTCGCAGCAGACTTGGCAATCTTGCATGGAAGGGAGAAGTACAGGCGAGAAGCTTCTTATCGTTTCCGTTTCCATCGCTCTCGTCGTGCTCTTCATTCTATTGATTGTTGTTTTGGCTGGCAGATAGTAGCATAAACATTGAGATTGAATGTCAGATTTTCCTCTAGAACAACATTATCTTTTCTTTCGTGTCTATTCCATCAGTTCTCTACATGGGATGCTCCCGTCACCTCCGTTGAGAGTGCAAACTTGTCCTGTTGGGTCTACTGGTAATCCTTCGCGTTTATTCCCTGGAGAAGCTCCAGCGAGTCTGAACTGTTCTGCTCGTCGCCTTGCTAGCTCACGAATTAATTCTTGGTCACTACAATCTTGTAGGCGCATTGCCTTTTTTGGGTCAGCTGTGCTCTCCTTAGTAGAAGCAGTGGTCTCCTTGCTGGGTTGGTTCTTTCCTCCCTTCTTTTTGTCTACTTTGCGACTCTTGGCTAGCGCCTCCTCCGTATATGATCGCAAAATTGCTGTAGCATCATCATGCATCAATGGCATCATCGACCGCTGCAAAGAACGAGACGAATTAGTCTATGGTCAGCGACTGCAATAGACACCGATCTCTGCTTCCCTTACCTTAATGTTATCAAAGAATCGTGGGTACAATGCTTCTTCTCGTGACAGCATCTTCTTGATTCGAGCTCTTTCCTTTGGTTCCTCAAAGCATGCTGGACAATTCTCGTTTATGATAGGCAGATTTGCCGACTTGGCAAATTCCGTCATGAGAGACTCTCGGACGTAGACAAGTGGTCGGATGACAGACAAATCACCCGCATTGATTTTGTAGTTTGCTTTCATAGTTCTCAAGAAGCCATTGTGCATTACACTCATCATGAATGACTCAGCCAAGTCGTCAAGCTACATGCGAGAAATCAAGGAGTGAGATCGATTGGAAAACTCGGGTGTATGCTTTGCCCGTTTGCACTTACATGTTGTGCTAGCACCAGCTTATTGCAATTGTTCCTTCTTGCGCAACTGTAAAGATTACCTCGCTTCATTCTAGCACAGTAAGCGCAAAGGCTCTTCACCACTTCTCCATCCTTCCCAGACTTCATCGCGCGCTCTACAATTTCGTCCCTGATGTAATGGTATTTCAACCCGAGTGATTCGACATAAGAAATAAGCGGCGATGGATCAAAAGATGGTGTCATGGGGTCAATTGTACAGACTTCAATGTCGAAATTGATCGGGAGCTTCTTCTTAAACTCCAGGAGAATGTGCAGCAGACTCAAAGAATCTTTTCCACCAGAAAGGCCCTATACATCCGAGACTTTACTGTGAGAGACGAGTTTCGCTGTCGAGAGAGAGACATTAATCCACGTACCAATAGCAGCCTGTCACCTTCTTGGAGCATGTCCCATTGAATCAATCCTTGCGTCACTAATCGCATCAACTTTGCCGGTGGTTTCACGTGTTTTGATCCCTTCCGCCTTGTAGCATCGGAAGTTCTTTCTTCTAAGCTAATTTGAGGTTGCAGAGACATCTTAACACCCTGACCCCAAGTTGCTGAGTCTCGTGATGGCTTTTTCTTTTCACGTTTTTCGACCACAGGAAGATCCTCCAGTTCTGCAAAGATCGAGGGCGTACTCTCCATCGTCTGAGAAGCATCTTTCGCCGTGGTAAATTCGTCAGCATGCATCGTATCGGCTGTCGATGAACCTGTTCCACTTGTGCAATCAGCAGTGGAATCGTCGGCCGCCTTCTCGTTTGTATCCAAGGAGTCATTTGAGCCGTCTTCTTTGTGGTCTGAAGTCGGAGCCTTGTCGCCAGTCCAGCTGCTCAATGATGGAGCTAGCTGTGATTGTGACTTCATGAAGTGTTGGAGAAGCTCCCACGCATCAGCATTCGGATTGTATATTTGACATAACTCGGACAACTCCCCATCTTCGTATCCTTCAATAATCTCATGCAAAGGCGCATCCCCGATGTGCTCCCCGTCTTTGAATCTACAACGTCTGGCAGACTCCGCTTGCTTTTGTTGCTGCGACATATTTTCAGGGGTTTCCGAACCGAACCAAGAAATTGGACGCATTGCTCCGACAAGGAGGTTTCTATCAAAGGTCCCAGGCACATCCTCCGCCCCTTCCTGCACAAAAGCGGCGACTTCCTTTGGGTACACATACCACCGCAAAGACTTCTCTTCAATTTCTTCAGTCATTTTCAAAGTTTGAGACAGACTCGAGTGGTCCTTCAAAACCATCTGAAGCAAGATATTGGCATTTTCGAGAGCCTTCTCATAATTTGGAGCTGCCCCGTCACCATTGTCTGCTTGTTTGCTTCTAAAGGGATCATAATGCGATAACCACCTTCTCTCCTTCTTCCCAAGTGGCGCTCCCGGACGAGATTTGTGTCGCCACTCCCCAGTGCGTTGATTACAACAGTACACATGCATGAACTTCCAACCGTGTTTTGCAACCCAGGCAATGGCATTGAGGACATATTCCTGTTGTTCTGGGCTAGTTCCAAGCGATGGCAACGAGAACCTTGTGACCCCAGGTCTCAGCGATTCGTCCTTTGCGTGTACCAGCCAGTGCTGTACAGCTTGGTTGTGCTCCAGCATCCCCAGTAGCATTTGCGCGTATGGCCCAGCACATTGGCAACCACCGCGAGATTGTATTCCGAAAAGATCGTTCAGAAGTGCACAAACATAGTTGTAGTGCAAGAATCGGTTGCCACATTTGATAAGAAAAGAGAAAACTGGAACCTTTCGACTGTCAAAATGTCCGTCCAAAAGCATTAGATTGGGGATTTCCTTCAGCCTGTCTTGAATTGTATTGGCCCGCTTGATCTCGTATTCCTCTAGAGTCTGTCCTGCAGGGAACATCTTCTTCAGCCTTTGTTTGAATTGCCATGCCAAGCCGAGTCTCCAAATTCCGACAACATTGGGTGTACCTCCTTCGTACCGCTCCACTCGATTCGACAAAAATCTGTGACTATGCTTGGTGACGTAGAAAACGGTTCCTCCCCCAGACATGGCAGGCGGGTTGAGTTGCGAAACGAGCCTCTTCTTTACCACCAGAACACCCTTGCAACAAAAGAAACAAAAGATAATTAGAATTGTCGTCGCCCCCTTAAAGACAATCACTTTGAGAATCTTCCAACAAGAGTTGAAAATTGAAGCTATGGTCTCGAAAAGGATGACTGCTTTCTTTTGCAAAGGAAATTTGTGCAACGATGCCAACGAGACCTTTCGGTCTCGACACCGCCTGGGATGCAATCCTTGCGTTCTCAACATTGGTACAAAAAGCAAACTTACTGGTGTTCCAACGCCTCCCAGAATCTTGTGACCACTGAAAACAATGGCATCCTTGGCAAGCAGTGAAGGATCTGGGTAATCTGGATGCGTCGGATTCATGTTCATATTGATGTAGGATGCTCCAGTTGCGTAATCCCAAACTGAGAGAGCACCGTGTTTGTGCAGTAGAGCTGTAATAGCCAAGTCGTCGGCAATGGTTCCTGTCAAGTTGCTGACGGCAGAGAAACTTCCAATCTTGACAGATCGATAGGCCTCTTGAATCAAAATCTGCTCCAGATGCTGCAGGTCAACATTCCCGTCGTGTAGATTCACTGTCTCTATATCAAATCCAAGTTCCCTCCAAGGCAACATGTTGGAATGATGTTCTATATAGAAATTTAGACCACCTAGTTTCAGGAACGATGACGCTGACAAATCCCAACCACTTACCAAAAGGACCCAAAATTATCAACGGTTTTTCGTCAGTGGCTTTATACAGTTTCAAGCCAAGGCAGTCTGTCAAAAGTTGGATGGCAGAAGTGGTACCATTTCCAGCAAACAGAACCACATCTTGACTTGCCTTCCCGGTGATTTTAGCTCCGCATGCCTCGGCAATTATCTGTCGCGCCTCGCTACAAAAAGCTGTCGATTGACTTCCTGTTATGGAAGTATTGGTATGTGTGTTTCCATAGAACGGCATGCAGGTGTTTTCAACATACTTTTCAATGCTCTTGAGAGGTCGATGAGAGGCCGTGAAATCACAATACACCAGTGGGACCTTTACGGCATCTCCCGCCTTCCACTCGAGCGGCGACGAAAAACTTGTTCCGCTTCCCAGCATGTCTTGGGCCACTGACTCTCGAACTTCGTCCATTGCCATCGAGCCAACATCACTGGTTGGTGTCGCTTCATCATGCAAGGGACCAGTTTCGTGAGCTCGTTCCGACAATGACCAGCCGTTTTCCAGAATCAAGGCATCGTCTTTGTCGTTGCTGATCATGTTTTCTGTAGAAAATGAAACAAGAAAAAGAGCTGGAGCTGAAACGAGTGAGTCAGTCAGTCAGTCAGTCGAGACAGTATTTGTGGACGCAACTATCGTCTGCACGTCGTCATAAATATCTCAAGGAATGTCCTTTGTCTACTTTATCGGAGCCACCGCAGTGGAAAGAGCTTGCTAGATCAACAGTATTATACGAAGACCTGTTTTGTGGAGACGGGTGGGCCGAGGAACACCACCACGAGGAGGAGAATAAGCAGACTTGTTGTGTTGTTCTCCTGTTGCTTCTTTGTCAAATGATTATGACTTTTATGATGACTAACTAGTCCTAAAACTTGTTTGCTGTGCATTTACTCTATTTATTGACGGCTTCGACATCAGCTTCATTGAAAACGAAAAGGGAGTTTGGATACAGCACACGTACAGTGAACCAGGTACTGTAGGTTAGTACGGGTCGGGTAGATGGTGCGACTTCGTTCGACTGGTTCGAATTCGACTTTCGATCTTTTATATCAGAGCGACGTTGAACGTACCAGCATTTTTTTCGCACCTACAATTTGTACCATGAACCCATCGTTGGACTAACTGGAGCTCTGTCGACCTCCGATTATTGATCCTCTCAGCCAATGCATTGATAACCAAAATCAATAGTAACTCTATCGACATTCAACCTTTGTCTCGTGACCAGAATACAGCTATTCTTGGTGCATTTGCCCTTTCGGATATAAGCAAAGGAGCATTGAGAAGACAGGTTGAAAATGTCGATGACGGCGGGCAACAACTCGGTCACATCGCAGTCGGACTATTGGAATGACGACTTTTTACCACTCCGAAATGCGGGCAAATCTATCCTGAAGGTGCTTCGAAGCGACGAGACGTCAACTCATGGCGATCTCTATCGCAGAATTCTATCTACTACTTCGACTACCAGCAATACTATTCCTAGTGATGCAGATCCCATCAACCATCATTATTTTTCTGATGGAAAATGGAAACACGCGCAATCGATGCCACTCCCGTCTTTCTTGCAAGAAAAGTTGGCAAAAGCAAAGCAATATAGCATGATGGGACTATTTCCAGAAGCAGAACTGGCTTGGTTGACTATTGATGATTCCATTTACTTGTGGACCTTTACACGGTCTGCCGATGGCGAACTGTTGTACTTTCAAGTACCAAGTCAACAACCGATTGTTAGTGTAGGGATTGCACCACCAAAACAAGGCAAGCAAGATTATCGCTTTATTGAACATACCCTTTTTGGAAGAAGCCTTTCTAACCTCCAATTTTCTTTTTTGTAGGCGTCTTTCGGGAATTGGTCGAGTGGTGTTTGGTTGTCACTACAAAAGAAGAGGCTATGTTGTGCGCCTTGGCGAGAAAAGAGAACCAAGCGTTGAGCTTGATTCGAACTAGATTCGTTATTCCATCGGACTTTGTATCATTCATCTCAATTACATCGACAAAAGCTGGTAGAATCTTTTTGGGCGGTCAAGATGGGAACTTGTATGAGCTTGACTACGATTTGCTGTTACAAGCACAGTATGCGGCCGACGATGCAGCGAAAACTCAACGTCAACTGGACAGTTTCTATGACGCAAGTGCGTCTTCATGCCCCGAGGTGCTTGTCGAGAAGCCCCAATCTGCAGGGATGATCACTACAGGAAAGCGTGTCTTTGCTAGCGTGATGGGTGCCAGACGACCACCCAGAAAATGCCAGCGAATTGATCACTCCAAATCGACGTTGTCGTCGTTCTTGCCAGATTACATCGAGAAGCTGATAAGTTCGGCGTTTAGTACCAACACGACGACGGGTGGTGGACCAATCAAACAGATGGTGGTGGACGATGAGAGACAAGTTCTCTATACCTTGTCCAGCCGAGGATGGATATGTGTTTTGGATATCGCTGAAGCCCCCAAAGTCACCCTCACCGCCGTTCTGGATACTGCTACCACCGCAAGATTATATCTCGAAGCTGTCAGTCGTGGAAAGATGTATCCGCCCCAAACATACAACCAACGCGAAGGAATCCTCAAGTTCCCTGGTGGGGGAGAAGCAGCCCAAGCTGGCGTTGGTGGCATGGAAGGAGCTCGAAACATTTTGAAGTTGGCCGAGACGAACAAATCAAGCCGTCGAAGGTCGCCATCAAACTCTATCCTGACTCCAGTATGTATTGAGGTTGTCCCAAACAAGGAGAGCACGCGTATTACTTTGGTTGCTGTCACTGCAGGCGGGATTCGTTACTACCTATCCAGTTTGACTCCCAACACGCTCAACGCCGGTCCTTCCCAAGTCCCGTTTGGGACACCTAGGTACCGAAGCCCTTGGAAGCCTCATACAAAATTGACTCTTTGTCACGTTCGCGCCCCACCATCTATGGACGAAAAAATGGTGTCGACCACCAGTCACCTCCCTTCCGTTTCAAAGGATCACCGTGTCGACGCTGCCTGCTATCAAATGGGTGTTTACTTTGTAGCATTCCAAAAGACGGGTGGAATGGATAGCAACGCTGGTGATATTTTGGTTGCAACTAGTCCGGACTCTATGCGACGAGTGATTCAGCAATACAAAAAAGAGAATGTAGCCAAGACTACAGAAGTTGCTCCAGGAGGAGTTTGTGAAGCCGTCTCCTTTCCAATGTCAATGGGTGGTTCCAACAACCAAATTGCCACAACCCTTCCTGGTGGTAGAGTGTGGGACATTTGTCCCGCCTACTCAAGGCAGCACAAAATCATGTCTCTTGCCCTTCGGTCGAAAACACCAACCGATACAGAGCTTGGATTTGGAATGGCGCCAGCATACGTTCCACCGTCAAAGAGAAGAGGGAAAGAGCCAGCTCGCAAAGTACAGAGAACTGGCCCTGTTGTGGCTTCTACACTCGTATCACAATCATCATACAACCATTCGATGTCCTCTGTTGCTTTAACAGTATTCTCGAATCTATTATTCTCGCGTCCTGTTCGTGAAGGCCTTGCCGTTCAAAAACCAGTCGTGAAGCAAGAAGAACGAGTATCGCTGTATAGGGTGTCGAAACGGAGTGGTAGCGAAGGCTATTCCTTATCTGCAGCTGACACAAAAGCAAAAACTTCCGGTTCTTCGAGATCAGCTCGGCTAAGTCCGTGGGTTTTGAGCCCTGATGTTGTTCCTTTGAATCCACTTGCGCTGGAGCACCTGAACAGTACTTCGAAAACAGTCATTTCGCTGAATGCAGGTGGTCTTCACTACTTCCAATCGCCCTCAACTTTGCACCAACTTTCCGCCGCCATCTTTGCCGCCGGCAGCAACGTGAAGTCTGATCCTAAGGTTGACCAATTCTTCAAAAGCTATGGATACGCTGAGGGTTGTGCAATGTGCCTCCAGCTAGTAATCCATGCCGAAACATCTCAAGACCACAAGGAGCTTGCATTGAGGGCAGCCATGAGTCGAGCTTTGCGTCCTGCACTTTTGCCAATTCCAACCGACGAAAATTCCGCGCAGCCTGTGGGACAGAATGATCCATGGGTGCCTCAAGGATACACATACACGTCTTCAGCTCTATGCGATGCCCTTGCTATGGTTCTTGCCAGACTGATGCGTCCAGTTTGGCACAAGCCGGCTGTTGTTGTGACAGAGGGACGAACGCTCAAACGTGGATACAAATCCAGGGTGACACCAGCCAAGGTAGAATTGCTCCTTGAGGATGATACGATCGAAGAAGTTCGACGACCACTTGTGATGCTCCAACAAGTAATGTCTCGAGTTTTTGGAAAGGCCATTGAGCATGTCCCGCTTACCAGATCAATGAAGAGTTCCAACGATCAAATGGACGTCGATGACGAGGATAATCACTTTTTTACAAGAGCTTTGGGATATCAAAGACGCGGTCAAGTGCAGTCATTGTCGGAATCAATGTTACGCCCAGACGAAGCCGAACTACTGGCACAACAGATTGAAGAGCGGGACATTCATTCTTTCTACAGATTGTTGTCACGAACAGTTCAGCTTTTGGGATTGCTGTCTCATCTTCGACGAGCGCATTCTATGCCTGACATGCCGGAGGTCGAATGGGGTCTGCTTCATGGCATCACTTTGGAAAAGATTGTTAGCACCAAAGAAGGACAAGAGAGAGTGGAATCAGTTTTGAACAGTCTCATCACGTCCAACGACAGCCTAAAGAGCGCGGTTCCAACACCATCTGCCGAAGTTACTCAACTTGCTCAGACTTTCGCAGATCAATGCTATCATTTCTTTTCTCCTGGATCGCGGTATGCCTACATCGGTTTCAAATGTGCACAAGAGGCAATGGCCCTTCCAAGCGGTCAGTCAAGACGTGCTGTAATGGTGAAGCAAGCTGTAGAAGCCTTCAAGCATGCCGCCAAAAATTGGTACAGTGCACCGGTTATCACAGGACGTTTGTTGCAAAGTGGGGAGTCCAGTGGCACCGAAGAGATTGTGCAACGTGCGCGAGAAGGCGATAGTCCGCTGGCAAAGGCCTGTGACCTGTTGGTTGAACTGGGAGATGTGGCAGCAGTGGTGGATATTTGTTTGTTGACTGCGTCCAATTTCACTGGCAAGAAAAGTACGGGAATGGAGTTGGTAGACGCTTTCCCCAGCAGCTCACGAGTACACTCTTGGGAAAAAGGACTATATCATCGACGACAAGAAATGAATACGCAGGGCAACGGACAAGGCTCGTCGGCGTTGGGAACCAACGTGACTTCAAAGGACGGAAACGAGACATGTCGTGCCATCATCTTCTACCACTTGAGCAAACTCCTTGATGCTCCTATCCAAACACCCGAATATCAGTTGGGAGAGAGCATGGTATCTGTTTGCGCATCGTCTTCAGATATGGATTTCCTACACGCCTTCTTCAATTACTTGTTTGAGAACAACCTCAAGGATGTTCTTCTCAAAATCGACAGTAGAGATTTGCAGAAGTGGCTAGTCGAGCAAAAGAAGGACCAGCCGTCGTTACTGCTACGCTTCTATCATCTACATGGAAAGCAACTGGAAGCAGCACAGGTGGCATGGGATCGTGCAATTGGTACAACGCAAGAGCTATCGCTGGATGAGCGAGTGGAATCGTTGGTACAAGCTTTGGATTCCTATGCTGCTGCGATGAATAATATGGGAGAAAACCAAGAGGAGCTAACCCGGAACAAGAAGATGGTAGAGGAAAAGCTTATGATTGCAAGATTGCAGGGTCGTATTCTGCAAGCGATGGATTCGACCAAGTACGAAGTCAAGGAGGAGAACCTACTTGAGCTACGCAGTTCTCTCTTGAGTCCGAACGTTCTGTTCAACAAATATGCGATGCCTTTTGATATGTTTGAGCTCTGTTTGCTTCTGCTTCACGTTTGTCGCCATGATGATGCAAGCCACGTCAAGCAGTTTTGGAAGAGTCTCATGTGTGACGAAATCTTCCCTGTCTCCACTCGAAGCGAACGCGTATTCCAAGCTCTTCGGGAATTCACTGATGGATCCCTATTGGACAACCCTGTGATCTCACTTGTGGATCAGTCCTCTCCCTCGAGCGATGAGTACTTTGAAAGCGGTCGGTGGATGAAGGGACTCGAAGGTCGCATTGTTGCTTTGGGAAGAGATCTGATTGGAGCATCGGCTCAAAACACATTTCCCATTGACTTCTTGATTTCTAGCCTCGAACAATTGCGGCTTGTTTATGCATCTGCTGGGTCTCCTAATGCTGCCAAGGAAACTCAGGGGTGGGCGTGCTCAATACTAGTTGCTGCCGGAGTTCCTTTCATGGTTGCTCTCACAGCATACGACCAGCTTGTTGAAAACGAGAATCATTTGACGATGGGGGGCGTCGACACCAACCGTCGCCGAGAGCACCTTCAGAACAGTATCAAAGTTTTGGAAAATTTCGTCTCTACCGCGAGAGCTGGTCTCTATGGAAACGAAAATCCCGCTTACACCGAAATATGTAGAGCAATGGCATCTGGCAATTTACAATCTGGATTGGAAGCCTTCAAAATGCAGCTTCAGGCGCTACCTGGTGACGTATCAGAAGAAGAAGAAAGACTGAAGGCAGTAGAAAACAAAACTCTCGAGTTCTATCGCTAGCATAAACGATTTTTTCTGGTCTTCCATTTTGAATAATTTGCTCACGCTGTAACGCAAACATGTAGTCATCACAGGCAAAAGTCATTATTTCCGGGCTAACAACGCTGTCGAAGTACTTCGATTGCAATACCTGTAGTTCCGGTACGAACCAGGTACTCATGGAGAATTATAATGATATTAATTGTGGTACAGTAGATTACTTTATCTTCAACAGCTGCGTACGGCAACAACTTCTATTTTTTTGGTTCAATCATAACAAGTGAAGTGGGTTGCTCGATAGCTTTTATAATATACAGGAATTTCGAGTATTGCACCACCCTTCGCCCATTCAGGGCTTCAATGTCTACATCCAGAACTGCCACCATTGTCTATCTGCAGCAGATCCAGGAGCTGGCTTTAACTTTCCGACGTAGTATCTATCCCAAACTTTCTTTCCCGCTTTCGAGTGAAAATGAAAGTCTTGAGTGCAGTCAACCACACCTCCGGACTTTCGAAGGATGCTCATCTCACCACCAGGATGTATCCGGATGTACTCAGTGGCATCATATATCTTATCACCCACAACAAGCCAGGCAGATTCAGCGCTGTTGTGTCGTCTCACTTCTTCCATAGAAAAAACGCGAACACCGTTGCAACCTACTTCATACTCCAAATCGATGTGCAGGGGTTTGCTCTTCACACTCAGAGGTGATCTGGAGGAGCTCTGAGGATGGATTTCTTCTTGTATGCTTGTTACGATTGCCATTCTTCTAATGTATTGTATTGTATTGTATTGTATTCTATGAGGTCTATCTGGTTCGTACTATTGAAAACGCCAGTGTTGTGGAATTCCGTGAAAACTGCAGCGTTTTCGGCACATTACGTGGAGAACAAGTCAAGCCCGTGGAGCGATTGAGTTTGACGCGTGCTTTGCAGCCCTCATCAAGAAGGATGATGCATGTTTCAAGGAATTCCTTAAACAACGTTGCCCCCTCCTACTAGAGGATTGAAGTATGGACGCCACCAAAACGTGTTCGTCAAGGCGAAGTTTTGTCAAAAGACGTCACGCCTGTTAGTTTGACCTCGGGCAGTCGTCAATAAGCGCGTGCTTGTCAGTTTGTCCAAAGTGCTGGGTGTGTCTTACCCAAATTGGAAATCATGCGAATTCAGAACGGCAGTCAGTATAGGTCTTTCTGTCGTCCGTATTGGAGGGTGTTAGCACGGATGACGTACTGACGCAATCTCCAACCAATGCTACTGAGTCATGAGTACCCGGTACTGGTACCAGTATTCAGTAACTAGGTACTGTACCAGCATACCGGTATACTCCCCGTCCCAGGTACCTTGATTGTTAACTTTAATGAAGGCTCATAGTAACTGCTTTATAAGGTCAAATAGTTGGTATCATAGCCCCGTTAAAAAAACGGTTTATCGCTTTGCTTTGGGTTTGATTTCGTTTTCCGGCGTATAATGGATGTATATTTCATTTGGCGATCCAGGGGTGTGGTATCCACTTCCCTTACTCCAATCATAGCTGCTTGCGTAAGCAAAGAGGTTGCCTTGGGCGTTAAAAGCTGCGCAAGGGATCGATCTTTGAATCGGATTGAAACCCTTCAATCGTTGTTTATTGTCTGCATTACGAAACATAGAGAGACGATGAGAATTTGTTTGTTTTGCCTGAAAGGCATCACCATATGTCACTTCAACTCACCCTTATCCCAAAAGTTGACGACACCGTCGGCTCCACATGTAGCAAAGGTTCCATATTGATTGTTAAAGGCAATGGCATTCACACTGAACGCATTGTTGTCTTTTCGATGACACTTGAAAGCAAAATGATCTTTGTTTCCAACCTTTTGAACGTATTGAATACCAACTCGTCCTTCTACTCCTCCAATGGCAAACCCGGTTTGATCCGGGAAGCAAGATACACATCGACTTTGGAATTTCAGTGGAGATTCTTTATTTTGCACCAGGGTGGGCTGCGGTGTACCGACGTTGTAAATCATCATTCTACGATTGGCTGTAATGACGCACATCAAGTTGCCCCGTACGTCCAGATCGTAGACACGCTCGGGCATATCCAACGTACCAACTGGATTGTTGGTTCTCATGTCCCAGAACTTCAGTTTTCGATCCCAACCTCCACTGACGACCAGGCTGCTAGGTTGCAAGAAGCCCACCGCTTTGACCGGAGCATCATGGTTTCCAATCTGTTGTGCGATGCCACCTGGTGGATTTTCTCCCAATTTCCACATCCTCACGGCTTTATCTGCTCCTCCTGAAAATACGGTGGAACCATCGGGACTGAAACAGCAATGTAGAGCAGGAGATTGAGAATCATGATTGACTTGTGCTTTAGGGCTGGCGCGTACTTGTCCCCCTTGTTCTTGCACTTCCCAACACCGGACACCACCGTCCCAGTTGGTGGATACCAGAAAGTTGGCTGCTGGCGACCACTTCAATGAACTGATTCCGTCGTTTCCTGCTTGTGGAACATTACAATCTTGGGGAGCAATGGAGTTTACTCTAGTTCCTGTGTTGGTTCCAAATGCGGACATTGTGGATATTTTGTGTCAGTGTTGCAGTGTACGATAGCAGGACTTGGTTCCAGGTACTGCTAATAATGTCAAGATTGTAAACCATCATCATGCCTGTAGCCCTCCCCCAAACGGGTTGGCGTACTGCGCGAAACGATCGCGCTTGTGACGTTTTTCGAACACATCACCACTTATATATCACTCATTCTTCATTCCTGAAGAAGTAACAAGAGCATTGTATTCCTAGGCTTTCAAAGATACCAGCTCTGCGAAACCATTTCTCTCAAAAGATGACAATAAATCTAAAATTCGACTTTCTAGTGATACTATTGATGTCACTCTTTCCCAAGTGTTGGTCGTTAACAACAACACCTTCAAAGAAAGCCTCCATCATCACCGGTGCCAATGGTTATGTGGCCCGAGAAGTGGTCCAAGAGCTCTTGAGTACGTTTCCAAAGCATTATGTTTACTGTTTGGTCCGGGAAGGGCGAATCGAGTCCGAATCCAACTATTGGAAGCAAAAATCGGATTGCATCCAAGTGCTACCTTATGACATGCTCGATGGAGGATCCACCATGAAGGAAGCCTTGAAGGTTGCGAGAAAAACTCACGAAGAGATTTGCGTCTACCACATTGCCTCTGTTTTCGGTCCTAGTGAAGATCATGTGCAAACTGCCAACGACAATGTCCAGGGAACCGAAGATTTGGTGAATGCCTTGTTGCCAAATGGACCGAAGTGTCGCCTAATAGTCATCTCGTCCATGGCAGCGGTCAGAGGATCAGGACAAGAACCTTTGAATGGAAGGTGGTACACCGACAAGGATTGGAACGACAAATCCAAACTTGGTGACAACTGGGGGTCATCCTATCAATGGAGCAAGGCGGAATCCGAAAAACGAGCTTGGAAATTGGCCAAGGAGAAGGGTATTGCTATGACTTCAATCTGCCCCTCCTTTGTCTTTGGACCACCTTCGGATGGTATGCTGACCAATTCCTATTCGATTGAGCTAGTTGGTCAGTGGGTCTGGGGGAAATCGGAAGTCCAGTCCCGGTTATGTGTTGATATCAGGGATCTTGCAAAAGCCGTAGTGGCGGCTGGCAACAATCCAAAGGCTATTGGCCGACGCTTCATTGTTTCCAAGGAGGAGCGAGTCCCATCTCAAGAAATGGCGGAGGCACTGCAGAGCGTTTGTGGGGAAAGTGGAGTGGGAAATGCCGACAACATCACATACGATGCCAACTTTAAAGGGGGCGCTATTCCGATTGGAAGCCGAGAGGTCGAGGCCACCGAAAAACTGGAGAATGTTTTGGGGATCACTCTGAGACCAGTTAAGGAAACCATTGGTGATATGGGACGCATTTTGTTGATGACCAAGGAGTGATGGAATGCATCAGGCATATAGCTATGGGGTTTATGAATGATCATGCCGAGTCGCAGTCGTGACCATTAATTCACGCAGCAGCATCGTTGCATAGCTACCTTTGGGGAGAACAAACTTCAAACTCATGTTGGTCGTTTGGCCGTTTTCAACTTCCGCGCGTATAGTCTTTGGAAGTACAATGAGTTTTCTGTATGCGCCCTTGGCAGTTGCCTCTGGGGGTGCTGATTTTTCAAACTTTACGTTGTCGCCAAGAAGAAGCTTCTCATATTCTTTACCGACCTCGTTTTCTGGATAGCATACTCTGTAACCAGGCAACGGAAGGACAACTTGTTCCAATGATATTGTAGAACATAGAGCTTCGTCGTGGATAACCTTCACATTGCTCAGCAGCGTGTCGTCCTTTTCCACATATAAATCACCTTTGGCCGGATTTGTACCAAAGCGAGCGATGCGTTTGGATGCAGCCTGGTTCCACACATAGGATTGATAGGCATTTATCCAAAACGTACGCATGCTATAAGACAGACACTGCAAGGCTTGTAATGGCTGGTCGGTGCCATATCGCTTGAGTCCTTTCAGAACAGACCTTTCTCGAGGCATCAAGTCACCACCACTAAGAGCGTCCAAGGCAGCACTAGGGTCCCCGGTTTCCTTCCATATCTGCCGCACTTTCCTCGCTGCTTCACTCTCCTGTTCTCCTTCGCGATGAAATGTTGTGCGACCCATCATTAGTACGTCTATTGCACCTTTGAAGTCCTGTTGCAGCATCAGATGCCCAATTTTGAAAGCGGAAGCTCCAGATTCACCAGGTGCTCCAACTCGTTGAGGACCGAAAAAGTTAATAAAGCCATTGTGGCGAATTCTCTCAGTCATTCGTTCTACATGCGAAGTTTGGCACTCAACAAGACTTTCCGTTGCCCTCTCTGCCTCGGCCACGGTGACGTTGATTCGCTTGACATTGCGAATACAAATCTCAAACTCGTTTCCATCCAAGTCGCCATTATTCAACACCCAATCAACCCTGTAAAAGTTACCTAGTTGGATCCCTTGACGCTCAAGTTGACCAAGCCTTGACAGGATGCGATGAGTTTTGGTGTCCCGAAAAGTGCAAAACTGGTACGTTACTGCCTGCATATCCTTGATCCCAGCAATGCCGATATCTGACTGTCGGCACCGGACAGTCTGTGTTATTCGGTGAAGCATTGATAGATGCTCAACTCGCCGTTTTCGGATGACACAGAGTAGATTCGGATACATTGAGGAGAGATCAGCACCAGCTTCCTTGCCTTCGTTTCTTTTCCTTTTTCTTCTTTCCTTTTGGAGTGCATGTCTTTGCCAGCCAACTGTGATTGAAACAGTCGCAGACTCTGGGCTCTGATTGTTCTCCGAGCTTGACGCTGGAGTTTCTGTAAGAGTACTGGTCTCGAAAAGCTTGCATTTTGACGCAACTAGCGTATGGATTTCCTTCCTTTCGATCTTGGAAAGACCTGGGCGCAGCTTTAGAATCACTCGGTTCTCGTCATCCATAGTCTTGCGTCCATCAGAATGACCACTTCTCTTCCCCTTAACTTTGCTCCTTTGGGCCTTCTTCTTCTCTTTAAGGCCATTAATACCCTGCTTCTGAAAGTGAAGCAACGCTAGAATATCGTCTACTGGTGACTGAAGGTATTGGATAAGTTCATCGTAAGTGACATCCACCCCCACAGCAATCCACCGTTCCCCCTCGTTCTTGGCAATACTATCCAATTGTAACAATGGGTATGCGGATTTCAATGCTTGAAACACAGCCCCTCTTTCTAATCGAGCAGCTTCGCTCATTGAATCCAAATTAGCCGGAGGGATCAAAACCGATTCATTGTCTAAATTCATATTGTCACTTCCATGCGATGCCATTCTGCCGATTCGATCCAAGGCGACTTGGTTCAAGTTTTCGAGCGATGATATGATGTCAAAGTCAGCGTCGTTTCGAGTCATGGTAGCCCTCTTCATGTAGGACCGCAACACGCCCTTTGGGGATTCATCTTTCTTCCAACTGACAGCAATTCCCGTGGTTGCCTCAGTTATGGAAGACGATTCGTCCCCATCGCTGCTCCGATCTGGTCTATAATCATTAATAGTCCTTGTTGCAAACGCTTCAAATTTCGAGAGGAAAATATCGAAAAACTGTTGTCTTCTCTCTTTCGTCACGTTTTGTTGAAGCCTTAAAATGACACAGTCTGGATCCAAAGAGTCTGACTCTGGAATTCCTTGCTTGTGAAATCGAAGTAGAATACTCATATCTTCTTCGGGACATTGTAGATACGGTATCAAACCATCATAAGAAGTGTCAACATGTGTTGCAACCCACGCATCTGATCCTTCTTTTTGGGCAGATTTTGAATGCAGGAGTGGGAACTTTGAATTGAGTGCTTGTAGCATCTCTATTTGCTTATTGCCAGTTTCTTCTTTTGTTTCCTCAAACGGAATCGGAATCCAGGTGACACTCAATTCATCTTTCCCGTGCTCAATGCACTGGCCTTGGGCAATATACTCTAGTCTCTTCACCGCACCATCATGCAAGGCTTTTAGAGTGGACTCGACATCTTTGTCAACATCCAACTTGTATGATTCTCGCGACGATCTGCTTCCGATTTTTGCTCGTAGTTCTGTGGTATTCTGGTTCTTATTACAGGCCGAATTATCTTCGTTCATGGCTACGCCAATAGTAGGCACCTCACTTTGGCTCGATTGTTGGTTGCATACCAACTTTTGATGCGGCCGCGTATCTGGGCCTAGCAAGGCAGCAGTCTGAAGGGTTCTGTGGTCATCACCCATCAACCCAGGTATCCTACGATTCGACTGAAAGATCTCACGGACAACAAAGTCTTCTGGATTTGACTTGATGGTGCCAACTACCTCCCAAGATTGGAAACTTGCTACGGATGTGTTCTCGTTGAGGTATGAAGATAGGAGTGGATGCGGAGGAGGCTCTAAGAAAACATCGTCAATTCCAATACTACCATAGTGCCTTTCGACCAGCTTCTCGGGAGAATCCATAACACTCCTAGTTTTGGTCCGTATCCCTACTGTGAGTTGGCTCGAATGTTGCTTTTGTGGTTTGGTTTGATGGGTGGATCAAACCAAAAGGAGTTGTTTAGTCTTATTTATTTTTTAAAGTAGTGCAAGAGTGAGAACACCCACTTTTAACATGAGGGATGATTCTCGCATCCATTTGATGCTGCTTGCCTCTCTTGGTGATCTTAGTCATCAATACAATTGATGAATGAAACGTGATACAAATCGACCGCTCTTCAGGCGTGGATGTTCCTCCAAATTCGAATCATCTTGCATCTATTTCGGAGTTGATCAAAACAATGACTCCCGGAAAATTTCAAATTTCAAGTTTTCGAGATGATAGATCAGGAGTCGACCACGACAATACTTTATCTCTACCATATATTGGGATGTCATTCATCTGATTGTGGACATTGCAGAGATTCACGATGGGAAACTGCTTGGCAAAGGCCCGAAAACACGCTCGGCTCGATGATTCTTCCGATGGCGGCTTTGAAATCAATCCATCGTACACTGAAACAATTAGACCGTTGCCGAAAAGGAGAAAAGGTTTCGCGTCGCAGTGGCACCAACCCCAGATTTTGACGGACTTTGATCACCAAGAAGCCTTTGGTATCCCAGAGGAATCTCCGCAATCTTTGGATAGCACATGTGCAACTTCGCTGATCTCTTTCCCACAGGAAGAATACTCAAAAGGCAGACACCACAGACATCATAGCTGTCAAGACGAGTATGTACATTCAATAGCTGCGAACAAAAAAGACTCGAGCTCTCATCCCATCGAGAACCCGCTTGATCAGTGGAGTGGAGGGCGGAAACGCGGTGGTGCGCTTGCACTCCGATTGGCCAGAAACAAGTATCTTCAACATGCTACATCGACACCTGAACTACAGGAAATTAGCCCAATATCCATGGATCCATCGATACAGACGCCGAGTTTCTTTTCCGACGGACAGACATCAAGCAACAAAGAATCCCTCAAGGACGAGTTTGAAAACAGCATGTCAAATGGGGTTGTATGGGAGGAGTACACTCGCCATCGGAACGTGACCGCAATTGGAATGTCTCGAAATAGTAATTGGATGGAGGAAAAAAATCCTCTTTTACTGGCTGTGGGAACAGAAGATGGTGTCGTGACTTTGGTTGAAATACTAGACCGAAATATGAAGACAGATGCTTCCCCTGGCGAGATGCTATCGACACGTGACAACTTTGGCGTCGAAGTAAAGATCACACTGAATGGAAGGATACGAGCCATCGACTTTTCCCCCGATGGCTCGTATGTGATTGCTGGTGGAGACGGATGTGTTGCATATGTAATGAAAATCGCTCGAGACTGTTCAACTCAAAGATTGAAGAACATTGAAATTTTTCGAGAAGTCGAGCGCGTCGACAGAATCTATGCAATTTCTATTAGTCCGGATAGCCAACTGTTGTCAATAGGAGGATTTGACAGCAGTGTTTCCTTTGGGCAACTAAGCCTGTTGCATTCGGAAGACTTTTTTCGACTAACGGAAGTTCCCTTGCGAGGCTTGGTATTATGCGTGGATTGGAACAAAACGAATGTAGCAATAGGAACGAGTGGTCAAAATGGATTTGCGGTAATCGACAAGTCTTTCAAGGTTGTTCATCACGTTCATCGTCAGGCTGCCGTAGACGTAGTGAAGTGGAAACCGGACGGATCACTCCTTGCGATTGGTGACCGAGAAGTAGTTCTCTTCGATGCTGTATCTTTTGAAGTAGTTTGCGAGCTGCGCGACATTATGCCGTCGCACAAGCGAACGAAAACCAAATATCGAATAAAAGCAATGTGCTTTAGTCCTGATGGTTCGTTCCTCGCTATTGGTGGATCTGATGGCATCTGTCACGTTGTTGAGTCCAAGAGTTTCGCCCTAGTTTACAGGCTGCAGAGACCCTCTGCCCCGGTAAGCATTGCGTGGGGGCGACAAAAGCTTGCAAGTCAAGGACGCAAGAGCTATCTCGGGATAGCTGACAATAGCCGGGCTGTGGTCCTATTCAAGGCAGGACTTGAAGCAGCCCATTACGAAGAGGATACATCTGAGTTCCTTCCAGCGTTAGAAGCTGCAAAGACTGCGAAAGGAGACGACTGGGTTCTTAGGGAGGGTTCATTTCGTGATATTGAGGAAATAACAGAGAAATCTCCAGAGCGGAGCAGGGCGATTGGCACAATCACATCGATTGCATTCTCAAGATCTAACAGAAGACCGAATTCATCATACCTGGCTTATGTTTCAAATGACTGTTCCCTGACGATACTCTCAACTCGAGATTGGAAACTCGTCCTGGTGAGTATCCACCGGTTTATGAAACAATGGTGACCCCTTAGCTCACACAATCCCTTTCGTCTGTGTAGCAAATGGAATTTCCAAAGCCAATTCGATCCATATCATTCTCGTACTCCAAGAACTTACTTGCTCTTGGTGGAGAAGAAGGTGTCTTGTATGTTCTCTCCGTTCCGAACCGATCCATGATACTGAACATGATCTACGATTCTCCAATCCAAACGGTTGCATTTAGTAGACATGATGAGCGGTTGTCGATAGGTATGATGGATGGAGTTCTTAGCTTTCTTTCTCCAAACGACGATTGGGACCCTTGCGGCGAAATCGACTACAGCGATTCTCCAATTGTTTGTCAAGATTGGTGTTCAAGCAATCTAGCAATCGGAAGAACTGATGGTTCAGTGACGGTATTCGACAAAGAAAAGGTTATGAAAGGCGTCTTCGTACCTGCTGCCGAGCTATCAGATTCATCGAAACCTATTCGGTCAGTTTCATTTGGTACCGGGGGGAGATTTCTAGGTGAGATAAAGTCGGTAACAATTTTACTTTTCAGGAACAGACACTCACCTTGCATATTAGTTTTTGGTGGAGACGCTGGGGATGTATCGATAGCGAATCGTAAGGAGGAGTGGTCATCCAGTCAAATAAACCTGAGGCGCCAAGTCTTGGCAACGAAATGGAGCCCTGGTGGTCGATATGTTGTTTTCACTGGTTTGAACCAGGTAGGAGTAAACAGACAATCATCGTGATGCTTTAATTTGTCTTCTCGAACTGATCTTTCTTTGTTGTTCTGCGCACAGACGCTGAGAATGATAGATACTCTGACCGGAGACGAGGTCGAAGGTATTCGTGCGAAGTACTCGGAAATAGCCAAAGGGAATGGAGATGAACAGGACTTGACGTGCGTCGATTTCAGTAAATGTGGCAATTACATTGCGTTTGGTTGCTCCAATGGGAGTGCTCACATCCTTAGAGGCCCTGATTGGGAGTTGGTAGGACCGCCAATCTAGCGGGGAAATTGAAGCTCAACGAGATTCGCAACGTTTGATGACGGTATGGCGGAAGGATGAATCAATTTACAATTTACAAATCCTACGCTTGGTTTGTATGCTAACAAGCGATACAGCAAAAAGAAACAAGTTACAAATATGACATGGAGCTGAAAGAAGTCACTGGATGACACAAGCTGAACCGCCATGGATCTTCTTGAGTTTCTTCACGTTGATCCATGGGATCAGTTTCTTCTTGATTGGGCTCCACTGATCTTTCTCCTTTCTCAAGCGGCTTTCAACATAAGAGATGAACTCCTTCCAGGCAGACAAGGGATCAGGAATTTCTTCATACTGAGTCCCAAAGAGCAAAACGCAGAAATCTCGGAGTTCTCCTTTAGTCAGGGGTCTTTCGTCAATCAAGTCGAACAGCCGATCATGATATCCCAGCTCTCGACATCGGTGCATTGGAATTGCATAATTCAACCAAGGATTCTTTTTGGAAACTTCTTTGGCTTCTCCCATGAAGTCGTCAAGCACTTCCAAACTCAACTCTAGTTTTCCATCCAGGTTATTGTAAAAGTCAGTCACGTCGTCCTCGTCGGTACACAAGCGAATTACCAGCCATATTGGCAATCCTTCGAGCCCACGTAGCGCCCGAACGAACTCATGAGTGATTTCTTCACCTCCATTGCCTTGATCATCCGTAGGTAACCCATCAGTAGCGATTACAACAGCGACCTAAATCAAACATTAACTCTGAGATACCACCCGCAACACTCCAAGACGTCAAACGTTAATATTTACCTTTCTCCCGGTCCGATGAAGCTCTGGAAGCATCGATCTAATCTCTGAATGAATCTCAAAAATATGCCGTGTCACTAGATCGGAAGGCGTGTCGTCAGAAGAGACGATATTCATCAAACCAAGAAATCACACACAAAGTACTCACGTGGAGTGACACCATCAGGCTTTGTTCGATTGATTACCATACGAGCGTTTCGAAGCTCGCTCTCAACATCATTCCCATACATACCCACAGAGAACTCCTGCACCCCAACTGACTTCCCTGGCATATTCAGAAGCCTAAATTTTGTGAAGGAACCCAGCAACGCCGCCATTTGACTATGGTAGATGACAGTGTCCTGTATCTCTTCCCACCTTGATACCGGTTTCATCTCAATAACTCCCCCGACAGTATTTATTCGGTGCCCATCCCCGATTTGCATCGAACCTATGACCATTTTGTTGTTCGGACGTATCAGCGACAGTATTCAAGCAGTAGACAGTGGCAAACTGTTTGTCAAAACTTACCTGAATTGTCGACAATCCAAACTCGCTGATAAAACGAGGACGCGTTTGTTGCGAGAGCTTTTGCAAGACCTGAGCTGAAACCTTGCTTCTGGAGCAGCGAGTAGTGTTGCTCGTCAAACACAGGTTCCGGATTCACGTTTCCATAGCTTTCTACAACTGGTTGGCTCTCTACAATTGGAAGATCTTGGTGACTTTCTGCGATAGGAATTGCATCAGTTTGATCTCGGTTTTCCCTGTGACGCGAACTAGAAGTCCCATGTTTTGAACGACTTGATTTCTTTGATCTCGATGAAGACTTCTTTGATGACGAAGGCATGGCTACCGATACGGTACTGTTGAAACGACAACTTAGAAAGCCGGGTAGTGCGATAGAAAGAAACTTTTCTTTCTGCAAATTTGAAGTCTAATCTAACGCTCGTTGATGACTGAGTTTGGCTGGGCTGGCGCTGTACACGTGTACAGTACACGAACTGAACTGTAAAACAACGTGATTACGGCCATCTCGCGCTGAGCGGTTCAAGAGCATTAGTTAGGCCCACATCTCTGTTGCTAAAGTATTTAGTGAGAACTAGACCAGAGGATCAACACTCGGTAGACTAGAGAGGTCCTAGATGATATCAGCTGACCGAAAAGACCGTTCCAGGTTTATTGAACTTCATCGAAGAGCCGCTTCTGTAATTTTCATATACCCGGAGTTGATATATGATACTGGATGCAGGCTAGCTCAACAAATAGAGTTTTCAATTGGCCTACCCTCGTGAGCGTAGCGGGTTTACTGTTTAATTGGTCCTCAACGCAATCCTGTAGGAATCATTGTATGATAGCATTTCAATCACCTCGCCCTCAAGGGAATCCTCCGCTCCCCCGATTCTCATCAGCTTCCAAGTTGGGCTTCTTGCTGTGAATCGAGAATTTGTCACGTTTGACGTCCGTAGCATATGGCGTCCAATGCAAACAGGATGGATCGACACGAGGTTCCTTCACAGGGTACTTCTTTGCCAGTGTACTGAGTAACCCTTCTTCTGCTGCAATAAAATAAACGCCGTTGATAATCTTCAACAATCCCAACTGGTTTAGTGTAAAGACGATATCCTCGGCCATAATTGATGTTAGTTTCGAAATATCCATAATGCTTAGACTGGAGGATTCTGACACTTCATTTCTCAAGAAATCAATAATCGTGGATGCCCAATATGGTTTGTAAGCCTGTTGACCAAGATCTGACATGGGCTTCTCTGGTGACCCAACTTTCTCTTCTTTCTTGGTTAGCTCGTAGGAAAAGGCTATTAGAAATCGGCCGTAACCTTTACGTTGATGACAGGGAAATGTCAAGATACATGCAAGATTGTAGCCAACGTCCGAGTACTTTTCCTTGCTGTAGTATCCGACTGGATGAAAGCCTCGTTCGTCGACTTCGCACAGGACGTAGAACAAGAATGGATCCACATCAAAATACAGAGTCTTGTGATCCAAAAACAGTTTGGCGATATAGCACAAGTTCTGGCAATAAGTGCGCTCTTGAAAACCATCGACCTCAAACACTTCGAACACAAAGAAAACATTAGAAATCGAACTGTGGGATCGAAAAGAGAGCATCCTCATACTTACTGGAAAGGTTTCCTCTACGGTAGATTTCATTTCCAGGGGGATGCCTATCTTGCGATGGTAGACGAGCTTGGAAACGCTGTAATTCGCTCTTTCGTGCAAACATGGAGAAGGTGAATTCGCAAACGTACAAGACTTCTGTATACCCTTGCTCCGAGAGTAGCTCCTTCGGCAAAGGAGAAAAGTACCAAGTTTCCATTTGGTATGCTCCAAGTTCCAAAAAGGCTACATTCTTGACCTTGGTGACTTCCTCGTGTTCACGCAAGGCAGCATCGTCCAGCCCTTCGTGCTCATCTAATTCCTGTGCCGAGATGGTATGAACCACGTGTTCTCCAACTGTGGTGGTATGAGTACCTGCCTGAGTTGGCAGCGCTACGATTCCCTTTTCAGCCGCCATGACTGGGGCAACAGGTTCGGGTTGCGGTTCGGTATTCTCATTGGAGGTCACAGAGCCAACCATGGTCTCATCAATGCTCTTCTTGCGAGAATGACGAGTCCGCCGTGGCGTTTCAGGATCCAGATCAAGCAGACTGGGATCCGCGCTACCTGGAGGCTGAGTAGAATAACGTCGGCGACTCGCCCTGGGAGCCGACACATCTATATTCTCTTCTTTCTTAACCTCTGTCCGCTGCTTCTTCCGTTCCTCTTTTTTCTTTTCCTGCTTGATTGCCCGTGCCTTTGCGTTTCCGACACTAGGAGGAGATATGATCCTTTCCATGCTGATCCATTCGTCCATTCGTCGATTGAAATCTCGATAGTGCACATAATACCTCCACTTGTCCCCATGAGGCACCCGATCGATCACATCGCACAAGCGTACCGAAGTCCCTGGTTTGTCCTCGAATTTCTTTTCTTCGGAATCCTCTGACCACCAACCCTCCTCATCTTCACTATTTTCTTCGACCCCATGCAAAACCTCAATGACGGATCCTCGTTGGTATGGATGATTATCCATTTTGGCATCAGGCCTTGGAGACTTCCCTTTGTCTCCAATTTCCGACTTTGTCTTGGAAGTGTCTATTTTCAGCGATTGCCTCTTTGTCGGCTTTTTTGGATTCTTTCCCGACGCCGTTAAATCGGGGGCCCCAACGGTGGGATCACTAGTGGTTTTAACAGCGGGTGCTGGTGGTCGTCCTCGACTGGGAGTCTCTTTTTGTGGAGCGGGTTTCGGCGTTTGTGCTACCAGTGGTGGTTTGGTGTCATTGGCTTTCGCTGTATCATCAGTCGTTGCAGTCTCAGGGTTGCTGTTGTTGCCAGATGTCGCTGTTATTGAATCTTGACGGGGTGGTTTGGGAGATGCCGATTTTGTAGTCTTCGCGTCTTCTTTCTTCTCTACTGTATTATCTGGTACTTTCAGAGATTCTGCCTCCTTCTTCTTCGGATCAGGTGTGGTCGCTGGAGTATCTTTCTTCCCTTTGGAGGCCTTTCTAGGCATGGTGGCAGTTGCCAAACTGTCACCTTTGTCTGATAGTCTTGATTTCTTTACGCTATCTTTCTTCCGAGGAACAGTTGGAGTTGGCTCTGGTGTGGTAGCCATTTTTCTTTTCTTTGAACCACCATCCTTCTCGCCTTTTCTTCCTTTGGTTGGCATATTTCTCTGGATGATCCAGAACAACACCGTCAAACGTTCACGATGGACTTGGTTGTGATGGTGTACGTGGGGCAGACAGACAGTACGTTCCAAGCATAGAAGTTGATCATTGTATCTTGTATCATGGTACGAACCTGGTACGGTAGATCTAAAACTGCTGTGTTATTTTACAAATGGAACCCCTCTCCAAGTATTGCCTTTAAAGTAAGTGGCCCGAAACTTGATCGCCATTGGAGTGTCCGTTGGAATGTCCATTCGAGTGATTTTTCACTGCACCGTTTTCCGGAGTGGATGCCAACACAGGGAATCCGTTTTCGTCAACCTTACCCGACATGGCCTTGACAGATTCTCTCAATACAGAACCATCCGCATCAATCGCCAAAGCTTCACTTTGATCCCTTGGAGCATTCTGGCCAGCAGATTCTTTGCGGGGATACAAGTCTTCTCCCTTTCGTTTCTTGTAAACGACGTAGCTAACTACCGCAAAGATGACCAGAATTGCAATGACAATCCCAGCTATTGCTCCACCTCCCATTCCATCTTCTGGTGATCTAGCTATGACATTGCTTCTTGTGGCAATAGGCCAGTCTTCGGGGACTGCACCGTTGATGAATTCACAGTGCTGTGGGAAACGGGAAAAAAAGTTGAGAAACTGTTCATTCATTTGACAGTATCCATGCATAGAAACGTACCGGTCCGTCGAAATTATTGTTACATTGACAAGTCCAATAGTTGTCCACTACTTTACATTCACCGAGATTGACGCAGAACCAGGAGGCCTCTACATCGGAAGCAAATTTACATTCCGTTTGAGCCTCATATTCGCAATACAGGCCAGCAAAGTTTCCTCCCACAGCCGTGGAACAATCACAATAAAAAGATCCTTCTTGATTGGGGTCTTCCTTGCAAAAGGATCCATTCTCACACCGATGGCCGTCCTCGCACCTGCGGAAATAGTCTGTCATTGTCAATGGTTTGTGTTTGTATGTGTATTGGTTTGGTTTGGTGGTTCGTTTTCGAAACTCGTAGTTGGTTCTGAAGGGTTTAAAGTCGAAAGCTCTGCACAAAGGTATGTTGTATTTGCTGCTAGCTAGAGGCTGATTGAGATTCACTCGTTGTAGCAATGACAAGTCCTTTCTTTCGTTTTCCAATATCTCGCTTGTCGTCGTTTGTGGAACGCAAAGATTGTTTTGACTACCGGTATGATTTCATGTTGTGAGGAAGAACCTTCCGCGTATGCTCTACGAATGTTAAAGTACTGAACGGAATCGTGAATCATCGTGGGTACTCCCGCCACATTTGGAGAATGAGTTGTGCGAGGTATTCCAATGCAACTATTTCAAAGAATAGGTACATCACACAATCCTCACCATGTGTGGGAGCTGTGGTTACTTTAATATTGTGTTTGTGTTTGTTTTTGTCCTTTTACTATTACTTTGCTGGTGTCATTGCAGTATTCAACACTTGAAAGCCCGCATCCTCCAAGCGTCATTGGTGGCTACCGGCCGGTACTACTTTTCCTGCTCAGCACTTTATCAGAATGAAATAGAGGAGGAAGAATTAGGCGAATGCAGTCTACAACACATGTCTACGGACAAGGCAATATTTCAGCATATTCAACGCCAACTAATACTTGTAGTACCAATACGAACTGGAATGACAAAAGAGTAAATAGCATTTTTGGTTCAATCTTGCGAAGGCAACTTGAAACTGTGGAATGAAGAGAGTATTGAGTCCCACTAACTGTACTGTACCTGGTACTTTTCTTTGTTTGAAAAAAAAAATGACCCATACGTGAGCGTATGTCTGGCCGGCATCCGAGATTGGAAAGAAGTTCCAAACTTTGTCCATTTTCAATTTTCAAGTTTGATAAAACTCTTCCCTCTGCGATTATTGATTCCCACTGAAAGGGAGAAAGACAACAATACTTCTCATACTAGGTGCATTCCAGCTATTAGTACTATAATGACACAACGACGAAATTCTTCCAAGTTGTTTCTATACGCATTACTTCTGTTTTCAGCGACAGTATGCATGATGTTGTTTGGGGTCGAATCTTCCGACAAATCTGCCATTCGTGGAAGCAATCTTCGCAGAGCACAAATTACATCACGTTATCTAAATACAGAGTCTAGAGCACTAGAAGACGAAGACGATGATGAAGATGGTAACTCTGATATGAATGAAGACGAGGAAGAAGATGAAGAGGAAGGTGAAGATGCAGACGAAAATGATGCGGACGAAGATAGTGATAGTGATGAAGGTGGGGAGCCAACAGATTCAGGAAAGAATTCATCAACCTTATTTACCAGCGCTCCAGGAGATGGACCGAACAATCAAATGGAGGGTGAAAACAAAAACGATCGGAAAGATCCGGCCGCCAATCCAGTCACTCAACAAATCAACCAGACGGCTCCTTCAAATAGCCCATTGGCCAATGTCACTGGTGGCGGCAGTATGGGCTTTCCACTATCATCACAACCTGGTCAAAGTGTTGTCCCGTCAACCCCACAGCAAGGAGCAGGTTTGGTGCCGCCAGCGAATTCGACGTCCCACAGTGGAGGATCTCAAGGTGGAAGCCCTCCAAAAGACACAAATGGAGTACCTCCCGTCGATTCTGCATCTTCATCCGTTCAAAAAGAGCAACCAGCCGCCCCAGTTGGAGGCGGAGTCCCAATCAATCCAAACACTCCTCCTAACCAATTTGGTGATACTCCTTTTCTGGGACAAGGCGGGAACGATTGGAACACTACTACCCCACCAATAGGCGGTGGGACAACTACTACCCCACCGATGGGGGACATGGGAAATTTGATCACGCCGATCGAGCCGACCGATGAAGAGCCAAGATATGCCCCCCCACCTTTAGACAATTTTGGTGGTCAAGGTGGCATCGTTAATCAACCAGGATTTCCAGCGGATGGAAATAATATGGCATCGTCATCTTACTCGCCACCTCCTCCACAAGGTGGAGGTTTCAATCCACAGTATGGTGGTAATGGATCTTCACAGTTTGGCAATTCTCAACTTGGCAATGGGGGCGGCCAAGCTCCAAAGAAAGAAGGTGGCTTGGCAGGAGCCTGGAAGAGCTTGAAGAACAAGAGTGCGGAAAAAGGCAAGTCTAGTGTAGGCGAAGATATTAAAGAAGAAGAAGCAATGGAAGAGGAAGAGCTAGCGGATGAAATGGAGGGTGGCTCGGATGATGACAGGATTACAAGTGCAACTGAGCAAAGTGGTAGTAAGCCAGCTGATGCCGATGACGAATTCGAGAAGATGATTGAGGAGGCCGAAGGCGAGACTAGTAAAGAAAAGGGAACCGATAAAGAAACCGAGGAGACGGCCTTTGAAGATCTCGATATAGAGGAAAAAGAGGAAGTCGCAGAAGAAGAATTGGAAGAGGTTGAAGAAGAACTGAAGGAAGAAGAAGAAGTTGCTGCTGCGGCTGGAGGAATGGGATTTCTTCTTGCGATCGGGGGAATGATATTCACAGCACATCAAATGTCTGAAAATCCTGATGGAGTTTACGCAAGGTAAGAATTCACGGTGTCACCTTTTGTCAACTTTCCATTGTCCACTCAAAGGTAATATGCTGACACTTTTGATCTTTCAGTGTTTGCCGACTAGCGATCACGATTTCGGGTGTGATTGTCAAAATAATATGCATGCCATGCAGAAAGGTGATTGGAACTGGAAATCCACATTACGCTACACACATGCCAGTTAGCACGTCAGCTGATTATGGTATGGGAGGGGCTAATGCTGGTTTTGAAATGTCGTAAGAGTTTGACATTGAACCGCATGATGAATAGTAACTTAGGCTAGGTTATCGTAACGCTTGAAGTTTTCGTAGCCTCGTTGCTTGGGTACTGTTGGGTCTGCCTTCTTGGCCCATTCACCCTTGGCTCTTTTCTTTCTCTTTGTGCCTAGAGTTGGCTTTGTTTTCCGTGGCACCTTTGGCTTTTCACCAGATGCCTTTGCAATCTTCTTCACTGTTTCTTCTGGAAAGACAAGAATTCTCTTATCTGATGCCCCAGAGCTTTCCAGCAAGTCATCAATATCAGTATCAATGATTGCTTGGTCCAATAGCTCTTGATCTATGTCTCCCCCAATCATGTAGAGCAAGTGTCCGTTCCTTTCAAGAAGGTTATTGATCCAGAAGCAGTAGGTTGGGATTGCAGCAACACTACGGCCAACACAAACATCGAATTTCTCCATCAGTTGTTCTGCTCTCCCGTGGTGGATCTTGACGTTGGTCAATCCAAGCTTATCCGCCATATCCTCCACAGCAACAAGTTTCTTCCCAACCGAATCGACCAACAAGAAATCAACATCGGGATAGGCAATGGCAAGTGGGAGTCCGGGAAAGCCTCCTCCAGTTCCCACATCGACAACACGTTGTTGACTTTTTATTATTACGTCTTCTTCATTCATTCCTTTTGGCGCTAGACTGGGAATGATATGCCTTCCAAACACAACTTCCTTCGAACAATCTTTTCGGCTGATAAGATTGATTCTCGTATTCCAGTCCGTCACAAGCACAGCCAATTTTGCCAATTGCTGATGCTGTTCTGATGATAGGGATAAGTGATTCATGATAGACTTTGCTTCATCTCCTGTTGGGTCCATTGCAAAATCCAAAGAAGTTGATCCATTTTCGTCGTCAATGGCTGACAACACATTGTGACTCTCAGTTGCATGTTTTGTTCTCGGCAACGCAAAACCACCGCAAATTGATAGCTGAGATAGCGCCACTAATATTGTGAAGGAAGCGACGAGACACGGATGCATCGTTCTGTTTTGGAGAGGAGTTTAGGTTTTTGTTGATGTTTTGGCAGAATCGCGACAAGTTGGTGATCGATACTCGGAATTGGTGATGGGAGAAAGCGAGAATATACAGTAGAAGGCAAAGGTGAAGGTGAAAGGATTTGATTGATTCCCGCATCCCGTCTGACCGCCGTCAAGTCGTACCTGAAAGGTACGTCATCGCGTCGTATCGAAAAGACTCAACAATACAGTGCACCTCATTGTCTCATTTCAAGGTCAACAGCCGCTGTCAAACATACGCTATCTATCTGTGTCCTATTGCATTGTAATGCGAATCCGATTGTGCGCATCGCACAGTTCAACATTGAGACCAACGACCGCCATTTTCAAAGCATTACTTTTCATTTCCTTCCTGATTTGTGGAGCGACTGCCATCACATCTCCAGGAGTCTCCTCGTTAACCAATATTGCAACTTTTTCCAAGATGACTGGCAAGACAGAATCCAGCGTCCTTGGGGAGCTCAAAGAAAAAATTCTTGAACAAAAGGCCGAGATCGAAAAACTAAAACAGCAGCTGAAAGGGCCAGCAAAGTCGTCGGGAGGCCATGGCGGCCATGGAGGAGGAGATGTCAGTGAGGAAGACATTGCAAACTATTTGGATGAACCGTTCTATACTACAAGTTTGAAGCGAGTTGGATGGCTTGGCATCTTTCTTGCTTCTTTATCTTTCACAGCAATTATCATGAACAGTTTTGAACATACACTGGAGAAACACATTGAGCTCTCATATTTCGTTCCGCTACTGGCTGGTCATGGAGGAAATACCGGAGGACAAACAATCGGCACACTTTTATCAGCTCTGAGTGCAGGAACTGTGCAACCAAAGCACGCCGCGAAAGTCATTTTTAAGGAAGCGCTTGCTGGGGTGTTGTCGGGAATGATTCTGGGGGTTATTGTAGGCCCTGTGGCCTACAAGCTCATGGGCATCTCCTATCACGTCACAACAGTACTTTTCCTCACAATGCCCCTTTTGTCCACGGTTGCCGCTACTCTGGGAGCGACAATTCCGTTTGTGTGTATCTGGTTCGGTCTGGACCCAAGTGTTATCGCCGCTCCGGCAATGACGAGTCTGGTTGATGTCTCTGGTCTATTAGGATATTTTGTCATCGCAAACCAAGTTTTCAAACTCTATGGACTAGAATTCTAGGATACTGTAAATTTATCCGTCGGAGAGAAAACCACATGGGCTACGAATAAATCATCACGTCGTAGCCCGCAATGCTGAATACCTTCTGTCCAACTGGATTGGATTGATCTGCAAATAAATCCCTTGAAAAACGCATCTTGTTGGAACACAAAGTAGACATTTAAGCTGTAGTAGATCACTAATCCCAGGCACTTGACGGGAAGTTAGACATAAAATCTCGTACTTGTTCCTCATTTTCTAGCATGCAACGAATTGCCCAGTCCTCATCGATCGTGAGCATCATGCCAGAAACAGACGATGGGATCTTGAAATCCTGGCTTTTGTACCTCGATTGAAGGCCGTATTCAAGGCCTAGCAAGTCGGCTGCTGAGCTTTGCATCAAAGCAAGAGCTCCAGGAAAAGTGTCTTTCAGATCTTCATCTTCTCCCGAAAGCATTTCCAAGAATGACATACGTGGTGGCCACCTTACAACTTCTGCATTTCCGTCTTTCGTAAACGAACGTTGACAGTACGCAATAGCTTTTTGCAAACCACCTAGCTCATCAACAAGACCAATATCTTGGGCTTGTTTTCCAGTCCATACTTTGCCTTGGGCTACATCTTCCACAGCATTCATATCCATCTTTCGGCCATCACTGACAAGGCTCTTGAATCGCATGTAAGCTCGATCGGAAAAGTTTTCAAAGTTTCTCTTCATTGGATTGTTGATCGGTGTGAAGGGATCAAAACTTCCAGATAAATCGCTTGATTGCACCGAGTCCACGGTTACTCCGTACTGTTTTGCAAGCCCTGTGAAGTTCATTCGCAACATAAAGACGCCAATTGATCCAGTAATAGTTGTGGGCAAAGCAAATATTCTGTTGCTATGCGTTGAAATGTAGTAGCCACCACTGGCACTCACATTTCCAAACGACACTACGTACTCCTTCCCAGTATTTCGCAACTCTTGCTGAATTGATTCACATGCCGTGATTGCTCCACCAGGGGAATCCACACGAAGAACCAAGGCCTTGACGTTATCTGCTCCCTTCAGCTTTCTAAGGGCTTTGTTTACCCTTTCCGCCGTTTTGTCTGTAATTGCACCTGTGACCTTCAGCACTGCAATCTTTTCTTGATTTGAAGTGTCGAAGCTAAACTTTTGAAATTTTTTAATCGTGCTCTCTTTCGCATATTCCTGAATCGAAACTGTTCCTTCGACTTCAAAGTCTTCAAATCCCGTATTCTTCGCGATCCAGCTGTTGATGACATCACTGGTTCTAATGCCGCCTTTTGTCTTCTCTTCTTCAGCTGACTTTGCTTGTTTCAGTGCCGAAATCACATTACCTATGGGATCCAAACCCACGACCCGGTCCACCAATCCAATTTTCTTAGCTGCATCAGCGGGCAGCGAACCGCTAGAATGTATCATATCCCAAAATGCTTCGTACTCATCATATTTCTTGAAGATCTCCCGAGAATTAAAAATTGTCTCACATACCATGTGATTGATTGATGTCACGAGATTCTTGACGTTTTCCTTGTGCTCTTTCGAATAGCTTTTGTGAGTGAATTGGTTGGCAAAGTTCTTATATAACCCATGCTTGAAGACATCGACTTGGATACCATATCGTTTCAGAAAGTCTCGATAGAACATGTTTGATGTTGACAAGCCAAATAGATTCAAGTCACCTTGCGACTGCAACATGATCGTCGAAAACGCTGACGCTAGATAGTACTCCCTCATGTCGGCCTTTGGCAAAGGACTCGAGAAAGTGTTTGAGTAAGCTACTAACGGCTTCAATTTTCTCGGCGTTTTGATAGAATCTGCGGACGAATTGGATGTTTCCGGGTGATCTCGATGTGATTGCCGAAATACGGTCAATGCGTTCCGAATCTCCTCGAGATGGGCCCAACCTCCCGTGCTGAATCCAAACCCGTTACCGAATATCCCATGAATACCAGTTATGTTTGGATCTTTAGCTGCCTCATGAATCAATCCCACCAGTTCGTCAACAGCCATCTCAGTGGTCGAAGACGAAAATGATCGAAGGTTCGGTTTGGTTTGCTCTACAATATTCATCTTGTAGAATGGCAACACCAAGATCCTCTTCTTTTTCATTTCCATCTGCTTCTGACGACTACGATAGGCAGTAGAAATGACAGCTCCTGAAAGGGCAAAAGTCTTGACTGGATGTCTTCTGACGAGGCCCTGGAACCGATCCATCATGATCCTATTTTGCCTCTAGAGAGATCTTTATTGTAAATGACGAGTTCTTTGTTTTATTTGTCTGATTGAGTAGGAACAGATAGAGTCTCAATTCTGAATATCAATAGTTGTGCTTGAATCGTAAGCCATAAGAATCTCTCCCACTAGATATCTATCATCCCTGGCGGCGTCATGGGCAACACGAAACCATTGTTCAATACGTCGACGGTGTGCAGTGCAGAGTTGCACACCCACGTGACCAACTGCGCACAGTCGGAATATTCCCATGCGGAAAATGCCATATTCGACTTGACCAAATAAAGGCACCATAAACCCCCCATTTCCGGCCTGCAGTACACTCGGGGCAATTTGTATTATAATTTGCCAGCATATCGTCGACCCGACTAGAGCACTAGCAACTTGTCGTGCAATAGGTCTGGAAAACTCGTCCAATAAGGCCACTTGATCAACGTATTCCCATTCCCAATCAAAAACAACAGATCGCCAAACACTGAAAAACTGAGCCACTCTCCCGGTCTTTCCTTGCCAACTGCCTTTCCCAGATGCTTCATTACCCGCATTGACGTTATTTCTTGCCTCCCTCACCGCATTGTCATCGGCAGGTTCCACAATGGCGTTCCAGAAGTTTGCCCAAAAGTCTTCAGTGAAAAAGCTGTTGTAAGATTCAAATGCCCATATGTTCAAGACTACAAATCCCAGAAACCAAGACATGAATGCAGTCTTTACATCAATGAGAGGATCTTCCATCATGAACCATTTGGATGATTTCACGGCGACAAGCTCGTATGTGAGACCAAGAGCGAAAGGTGCGACTGCTGCCCACAAGAGCGCAGATTCGAGAAGAACTGATATTTTTCTCAATGGTGGCAGGTAGAGTTTTGAGAACCATTCTCGCCATGTCGATATAGAACTTCCTTCTGCTTTCTTCATAGCATTTACGACGACGGATGTACATGGAAAGAAAACAAATGCTCCCATGACGAATGCAAAGGGATCGTGAATGTACTTCTCAGGAATGCGGAAGAGGTAGTAGAAGGATCTTCCAACAGCCAATGGAGCAGTTGTCAGCCCAAAAACTGTGCATGTGATGGCAATCCAACTGAAGATAAAGAAGCCGACGACTTTAAGCATAAGGAAAAGAGGACGGCGATGCTGTTCAGAAACTCGAAATGTCTTTCGATGTGCCACACTTCCCTCAACCACAGACTTTCTCTCTTTACCCCAAGCCCATCTACCTTGGACATATGCTCCACCGGCACCAAGATCGTCCCATCCTTCGGGAGGTCTTGGAATTGTATCACCTGGAATTTCTTTCCAAAATTCTATTCTAACGGAGGTGCTGGAGCCGATTGTGCTTTTCTTCAAGCAGTAACTTCCACGTTTTGTCGGGAGCAAGCACCTCGAATTGGAATCATCGCAGCCGGCAGTCTCTGGCATCTTGATGAATCCCAAAGATGAATCGAGAACTCGGATACCATTTGCTTTTGCATCTCCAACAAGACTATCTTGTGCTGCGTCTGCTATTTCAATATTTGACTCTACAAAATAGTCAATATTTTTCTCCTTTGATGCGAGCTCATACCAGAAGGGATCAACATTGTATTCCGATTCTTCGTTTGAAAGAAAAACCCGCTTCGTTCCCGCCAGCTGAAACTTATCCACAGCTCTCGGGAGTACATATTCAGTAAGACCCATGTGCTTGCACATCATCACCATCCATGTATGCTGCCAACCTCCAATAGAGTTCTTATATCGCTCAAGTAATGCAAGCATTGATAGGTGGAAAATTACGAGCTCAATAGGAATCTGTAGCTGGGGCATGACAATGTGCCAAAAGTTGAGATGATAAAACGCCAAGAAGTCGCCCAGTCCTATCCAATGAATCATCCTGATAGGCACGTAAACGTGCAGTGTCAGAAGTGGTGCATAGATACCAAGAGAGAGAAACATTCTCTTCATATGGGTGAGAACAGTTTCATGCATCAAATTTCCAAGTAGATCGGGTTGTGGCTCTTGTGGTCTGATCACAGCTGCAAGCAGGTCTGGGTGCGCCACTTCTCGGAGTTGTAAGAGAAACACTGTCACAAGAAGCATGAAGGTGATGCCAGCAACCCAATGGAGAAGGATGAATGAGAAAATATCTGCCCCAGCAAACTCGATCCTCCTTGCCAAAGAATGACCAAAAAGGGGCATTGTTGATACATCCAAGCAAAGGCCAAGTGACAGAGGGAGTAGAAACATTTTCAGGAAAAGAAGCACCCCAACTTTTACTACTGCAACTGTGGCATCAAGTGCAACTTCAAGAGTAGTCCCATTCTCATCGACTTCATCTCTTTGAGCCCCGTGTCGACCATGTCTTGCTTCGCCAAGACCGGCAGGTGGTTGCAAAGGGGCAGTCTCATCTTCAGATTTCTTTTGCTGAAGCTGCAACAGAAATATCCAAAAGTACCGAAACATGACAACAACTGCAGCAATGGAAAAGTAGCCAAGTGTGACAGTGACAATGTCAGGCAGTCGAAAAGTGGTCTCTTTGTCGGCGCTCTCCTCGTTCAATTCACGAATAATGTATGAGACAGTTGTAGCGTTTTCATTGTCTGAGTACACATATGGAATTTTTTTCAGTATGTTATCACAGACCGTGTTGTTGAACAACCCAGAATATACTGTAGATCCAACTGCCTTTGGAACAAACGAGAAAATCCCAAGGTACGTCGCATTGAAAGCAAGCAACCACAACAGATTCCGAATTAGAGTGCTGAAAGGGCCCCGGAGGCCAAGCAGCTCGTCCAGTGCAACATTTATCTCCATATCCTAAGCAAGTAGACAGGCAGGTGAGAAGTGCAACCCTTTGACGGAGCTGTAGCAATCAACGTACCACTTGGTCATCTTGCAAAGCTGCCGGATCTACCTGCGCAAAGCCATCTTCTTGAGGATCTTCTTCTTGCGGCCATATATCGGGGTCTTGCTCTTCCTCCTCAATGCCCGGGTCATCCATTCTCTCATCCATTTCATGTACTAATCGAAAGATATTGTCTTCCACCAGGTCCCGAACTCTTGGGGGGTTGTTAATGATATCATCGTAATCAAGATCTGGTGGGTACACCTCATCGTCGCCATCCTTATCTGCCCCAAGATGTAATTCGTCTAGCGTTGCGACCTTGTTCTCCATTGAATCTTGATGATCCAGCGGTTTTTTTTTCGGTCCCTCCGCATCACTATCGTATTTTTCGTCTGCTCCTTGCATAGTCTCCCGAGCGAAGTCGTGGGATCGAGCAATCTCCACAATGGTTTCATCAATCCCATTCTCATCTTCTGTATTATCAGCACCATTCCCATCAACCTCCTCTTCTTCACCAAGACCTGGTCTCCGTCTTGGCCCTTGTTGCCAGTGAACTCTCAAGAAATCCGCAAAACTCATCAGACTAAGGAAACTGATTATAACAACAGCTGCAATTATTGCCCCACTGACAATATCAGACGGTATTGTGTCCCTTTTCCATCTCGTAAGAACGGAAGATGGGCGATGCATCCATCCGTGGTATAAACATGATGTCAACATTGGAGCAACTATCAGCCAAACAAACAAAGCAATTGAAATCCGCAGCCCAAATGGTAACCACTTCGCGAGTGCTCGGCTAGTCAATCCCAGAATCACTTCATGCGCAGGTAAGCGATCAGGAGTATTATCAGCGTATTGTGGGTCAAACCGAAACTTTGTTTTACACAGTTCACAACGCCCTGCAAAAGAAAAAGTCAGCAATGGTAACCCAGTGTCGTTGACAATGAAAATATCATCCATCTTACCATCTCCTCTTGTAACTTCCAACCAGGAAACTAAACAGTCCTGGTGGACAAGCCCGATTGATCCGGAGCATTTGCAAGGTTTGATGAGTTGTCGCCTGTGGATGAAAACATAAAAAGACTTGTTAGAAGGAAAAAAAACGAACAGTTGCAATGCCACCAAATGTCCTACTGGGTAGGCAAAATGGCCTTGATGGCTTTCAATAAACTCGTTGCAGCAAAGACTCTGGTCTTCCTTTGCCAACGCTGTCTATGGTAAAGTTCAATATTTATGTCCATGTTGCACAACATGTTTTTCCACTCACCCTTCTTCTGCGGATCCGCGACAAACTCGACATTCATGCTCTTCATCAGAATCATCAGCAACATCATCTACTGCGATGTATTCTTCTTCCTCATTTTGAGAGTCCATAGGTGTCCTTGACTTCTGACAGTCTACTTCTTTTTAGAATTCGTTTGCCAACGGCTCTTCCCAGTTTTGTTTTGCGTTTTGTTTGAAGATGTCCGGACAACGCCTGTCTGTCACCAGATCACACTGCGTGATGTATTTTGAAGAAAGAGTTTCAAATCGAACTTCAGTATTTGTTTAAAAGAACTGTTATATACTACAGAATGCTATAACCTGGTGCTGAGCGCACACCAGCATCTGTAATTCTCTCTCCATTTGCTAAAAATGCAAGTGCGTGTTACTATGCGTGGACCACAGGAAGAAGGAAGGAAGACGGGGACAAATAGAGTAGAGGAGTAGCAAAGAATGGATCTACTAGATTTCATCAGCAGGTTCATCATCTATTTCTGGAATGCTCATTCCTAGCCCAACGTCAGTAAAGCTTTTATCGAATGTAACAACGGCTTTCTTGTAATCTCTGTATTTGAAGTACAGAACCTTTGTTGAACCTCGAACAATTTTTCGTTTTCCCATGTAGTTCATTGTGTTGACTTTCTGTACAGGTAATCCATATATTTTCGTCAAATACTCCTTGATTTCGTGCTTAGTCATTCGGGGGAGAACTCTGAATATTGCTCTAGCAGGTTCTTTGGCAGTGGCGTTGGTGGCTGATGTCATTATCATGGGCATGTTTGGCATCCACATGCGGAAACCGTTGGATACTCTAGACAGCATGTCGAAATTCTTAGCTGTTGATAGTGTAACTGTAGAAGATGTGATAATTGATGCTTCGCAACGAGATAATTCGATTCTCTCGATGATTTTGATCAGGTTGTTGTTGTTACGTTGTTGTTTTATGTTGGTTTCATTCTCAAACGATAACGTACGGACGTCGACCAGGCAGGCAGATCATTTCATTTTCAATTTGGGGATTCTAAGTCGATTATTGGGCATTCCCCCGATAGTCATTCCTGTTGATCTTTTTCTAGCACAGCTAATCTAGCTTGCTTTTTTGCGCTACCATTTGTTTCAGTGGAAAATTGAAATCGGAAGTTGAAAATCGAAGTCTGATCGAACAAGTCAATATTATTGATTGCGTTTAGCGAGCGACTCAAGATCCCGATCGACGAAAAACCATAAATCTCAACTCACAACTCCAATTCAGCGATTGTCGGAGGCAATTGATCACTTCATCACTGCTTTCACAAATCCGAAATCGGAAACTTTTAAATACGCACCAGAAATACAAATCATTGAAACATGGGCAATCCTATCTACGCTTTGTGCTGGTTGATCCTTCTTGTGTTCATCGCATGGCCAATCTCCTTTTTCTTTTCCTTCGTTTGGATCATCCTCCAACCGCTTGAGGCTTGCTGCCCTATCTTCAAGTCCTGTAATGACTTCTTTGAGCGATTTGTGACTTGGCCTCGGGATTGCGGTTCTGCTATCAAGGATTGCCGTTCCAACTGTCCTCAGCCTTAAATCACAAAAGATTATACAACGGCCGGCCGGTTTCTTGGATTATGAAGGACCATGTTTTATTGACTGTCACGAAGATGTAAACTACAGAGCAGATACTGTAACAAGATATAACTAAAGAACCAATTATTGCAATAGAACTACCGCTTTTTCGTTTTCATCAAATTGTGACTTGAGTCTGTTCACCGCAGTGTCATGTTCGTTTCGAAGTGAGTGATGGTGAACAGTTTGATGTTTTGTTAAAGACATGGTAATGAACTAGGTACTTTCCTTCCTACCAGTTCCTTGCTGCACGGTACGATATGCACCACGAAGGATGACTGAGCGAAAAGAAATTGTGTTGTTCTTCTATTCTTAGTCCTAGGTAGAGATGGTCTATATGGCTCTGCACTCAACTAAAGCAACATTGCAGCGACAAATTGTCCAGAATTTTAATCTAGTTAACCTTCAAATGGTGCATAGAATCACTGGTTGTAATGTAAATGTTGAAAGTAGCAATCCAACTGGTCGCATTCCGAGAGCAGAACCATCGACAGAATCGGCAGAAAGTTTAGAACCATTTCTTCTTCTTTGGTGGCTCTGGAACATCTTCAGCAAAGAACTTTTCGGAAGAGTCATCATCGCGGACATACCAGAAATATTGGGCCATAGGAACGATGAAGGAGCCAACAACCAAGATGGCAAGAATGGCAGTGTACTTTCCTGCAAGTTTAGAAACAGGAACAGTATGAGTTTCTACGAAAATTTCAAGTTCACAGTACCGAATTGATCCAGTTACCCTTCTTTGTCTTTGTCTCCTTGGCGCTCTTGAAAGTGGATGATGCATCATCAACGGATTGCACAACATCGACTTCGTAGTCTTGGTAGAGACCTTGACGAACAACCTTCTCGGCTACAACATTGGTGGAAGAGAAGGCGAAAGGCTCTACAGCATCAGCAACGAAAGGGGAGCCCAAGACGCTGGATCCAATGGCCAAAGCAGCGAAGGTACTAGCGGCAGCCTTCTTGAGTTCGACTGCCGGATTGGTCTTTTGGCTTTCTGGTCTCAGGAACAGGTGATAATTCGAGCGATTTTGGAGTGAGTCCAAGTCCATAACGTAGGACTGTGCAACAACATTACACTTACGAGGAGTAAAAGCATCGGCACCAAAGAGGGCGATGGCAGCGATAAGAAGAGTTGCAAACTTCATATTTTATCAACCTTCCTGTTGTGTCATGGTCTGTCACTGTCGATGACGTAGCAGAACAAAGCTACTGAAGGATCCTGAAAGAGCACTAAGTAAGTCCCCTCCAAAACATCCAAATCTCAATTCCGTTTGATGCCATACATGTACCGTAGCAGAGCAGCTCTGAGTACAGTTTGATTTTCCCCAATAAGTTGAATGATCAATGCTGACGTAGAAAGCGAGTGACTTTTTTATGAGCCGCCAACTCGATAGACCCACTGGGGTTGTCGGCATCCTCATTTTGCTATGTGTAGCATTCAACATTTACGCGGCATACAATGTGCCAAACATTCCCTCTCGGATATTTCCCCAAACGGAGATGAATGAAGTGAAAAAAGGGCCGGCAATTGCAGAATCATCGGTTTGGAAATACTTGCTGAAAGAACAGTCAAGTTGCGAAGGGAAGGAAAAGAGCGGCAACCCGAGTTTTCGAAAGCAAATGAAGCAGTATGTGAATAGTGATGCTACAAGCGAGTGTTCTATTCCACCACCTACTTCGTGTCAAAGTAGCAAAATGTCGGTAGTCCTACTATCAGAGGGGGGAGACATGCGAACCATTTTCCTGAGTCTCTTATCATTCTTGAGCTATGATCGAGGATTCCTCAGCGATAGCCCAATCGTCGATGTATCATTGGTAATCACCATCGACGAAAAAGACCTCGCCAACGATCCTAAGTATGGACAGCGCATCTTGGATTGGGGGAAAGAAGGTACTGTTAAGATTGTGCAAGTGAAATCTTCATTCTGGGATGCGATGGAAAAGTTGAATCCTATGGGCGAATCAGTTATATGGTTCAATGGAGATGTAAAGAAGGACTGGAAGCTTTCAAATATTCGAAAGAGTCATTCGTTGTGGAAAGAGAATTCAAGTTCGATTGTTGCTTCCCGTCTGATACAAACTAATGCTCAATGTCGGTTGCCGGAACTTCACCATCTCACGGTACCAAGAGAGTTTCTATGCTTTCTCGATCACCCGTTGATGGATTCGTTTCGGCGCAAAGCTACTGGGACTAACTTTGATGTTTTTAAGAGCACAATGGTTCTTTTTTGGGCAGTTTTGACTCGCGGAAATGTTATTCTTTCACAAGAAGCAAACAACGAAATGATCATCAGGACGGTCAACATTCCTAGTGACATTTCTTCATTTTTTGGCTGTGCTTGTTCAAAGCAAACGAGAATAAAATCAGTACAAGAAGCAAGCAGTGCATGCGCTTCCAATAAAACCAACAAGAACGGTGTACCCAACGTTCAATAGCGGGCTAAAACTGTTAATATCCCATGAGGACTACATTGGTGCTGAAGTCTGAATGCTTTTGTTTGGCTGCTCCCTCGAACGCATTCTGAACTTTGCTGATGTCCCTCTCCAATCGTGGGGCCAGGAACTAATAATACTCAAAGAATTTACCGACAGATCACGACGTCATACGTCACGGTTTTTTCCCAACCAACGGAATATATCCAAGCGTTGCAAACGATGTAGTGCAGTGCAGTGAGTCACCAGAGAATTTCCAAATCTGGATTCACAACGACTTTGATATCAAACTTATCAATCACCTCTTGGTCCACATAATACAAGAGCTCACTTTCTTCTCCATGAGGGTTTCCAACACCTCGATGGCATTGACGACTTCCATATGAAATATTCGATTCTTCTACAAGGTGAATTAGCTCCACGTTCTCGGCATTCAGAGAGAATCGGTCTTCTTCGTCGACAAGAAACTCCACTAAATTGTCAAATACAGGTTGGTTTTGCCACACGGACAATGGAGATAGCGTCCCATCCTCTTGCAATGCACCAAGATGTTTGGTGCTGTCTGGGTCGTCTTTTGTCGAGTATATCACAATATCCATGTCCATTAGAGAGTCTATCTCTAAATCGGATGCAGAAGAAGAGGTAGAAACTTTCGACGAAAGGTGGTTGAACTTCGGAAGCAAGGTGAATGCCTCACAGACTTGGAATTGCAACAAAACAGTTGCGCTGATCAATATGTTGTGCATCTGAAACATAGGCATGTATTTTGCCCTCTTCGCCGTGCAATAGCTTTTCAAGCCAACTTCTTTACAGTAGGAAGATTTGTGCCTATTACCGGTATCAATTCCATTGACATCGCTTACGTAATCAAAGCAAATCAATGTGACCACTACGACTACACCACACGACTAAAAAGTGCATCAAAATCACCCTTAACCTACACTAGTGTGGATGAGAGCAGAAATAAGCCGCATCATCCAGCATTTCTATGAGCATTTCTATGAGAAATCCATTCGCCACGTTTCTTCATATCAAGGAGGCAATCATCACTTCTTCGGTCTAAAACGCCGCCACTTCTTCATCCACATCCGGTTCATCCAATTTGTCCATAGCCGACTTAATCATTTGATTGTCCTTCGGATCCAAGTCCAAGGCAGTCAAAAAGCAACGCATTGCTTGCTCCGATCGTCCAAGACGTTTCAGGACCTTACCCATTGCGAAATGTACAGTTGCTTCACGAGGAGCCGCATCACGGACTTTCTCAAGCTCCTTAAGGGCATCTTCGGGACGGTTGAGTTGAACGTATATAGTTGCTCTTTGGAATCTAGCTTGAGGATTGTTTGGATCCAAGCGGAATGCCTCTGCCAAAGTATCCAATGCTTGCATAGATTTTCCATTTGAATATTGGGACATACCGAGATTGCAGCGCAGTACAGAACTTTGCGAGTTGATGGTGACGGCGCGCTGAAAGTGATACTCTGCTAGATCGTACTTTTCCTGTCGATGGTAAATTGCACCCAATCCATACCAAGCATTGTAGTGCCGTTCATCTAATCGAATGGCATTCCGGAAACAGGCAACCGCCTTGTCAAAGTCTTCGTTTGCCATGTACTCGTATCCTGAAAGCGTATGTGTGTATGTAAACGATGGATTCAACTGAAGCGATCGACCAAAAAATACAAGCGCGGTTTCATGTTCCTTTTGCAACGAAAAACAGTTTCCAACAACACACCACGCTTCAGGTGATAGGCGATCAAAATCAACTGCTTTCTGCGCAAGATGTGCAATTTCCACTTCTTTTTTCAACTGCCAAAGAACTGTGGACAGAAGCTCCAATCCTTTCATTCTATGGGGCTCTACTCTCTGCATCAACTCTAAAGAGCGCTGAGCGTTTTCGTAGTCTGCCATTTCGAAGTAGGCACGACCTTCTTGATTCAACACCCAGCCTGTGTTTCGTTGAGTCCGTGGCAACGCCTCAAAAATTTGTAATGATTCGCGACAACGGTACTAAAGGATGAATGAGAATTTTTGAGTTTTCGAGACAAATAGCGGTCAAAATGGCATGCAAATCTTACGTTGCATAATTTCCAATAACCACCCCCCAGCATGCACATCAACTTCAAGACTTCGTCAACGTGCTTGTGACTATCAATGAGCTCCTCTTCTTCTTTCATCGCTTCCACGTGAGGATGCGGCGTAGTCTTTGTGACCTCATGAGGCGGGGCGTGATTGTCATTTTCTTCTTCATTCTGTGATATGACTTTTTGTTCCTCGCCATAGTCAATATTTTCGACCTCGGTAACGTCATTCGATCGATTGTTCTCGGAAGCAAGAAAAAGCGCCCTTGGTTTACGTGCGGTCGAGAGTTCGGAAGGTCGTCCTCCCCTTCGCAGCGGTGTTTCTGATATACTGCTGGTATCAAATAATGTACCGCGCCCTCCGAGGTATCGAGAAGGGTCCCGACGCGCAGAAATTGGGGTTTCCGGTGTGGGTTCGTAGTAAAGCCTTGCAGCAACTTGTTTAGCCCTTCGAACCGTGCTTGGATTAGGCATATTCATAAAATCTGCTGACGCTGGTTGGTTTGCAATGAAAGAATGATCTTGGACGGTAGGTATTGGTGTCAAGTTGGGGGTTTCAAACTGAAGCTGATGTGGTGTCACGCCAGAATTTTGCGAATTTTGAAACAGTGTCTGAGGTAGAGGTGATGCACTCGAAGGTGTTCCCAGCTGCAAGTTCTGTAGCGGTTTCGGCGTTTGATGATGAGATAAGTTAAAGCTTGGACTAGATATTGACTTTTCTTGCAACGGTAATGCACCATTTCCCGCCTTAGACATGTTTTCTTTCAATTGGTCGATTTGAGGTGGATGTACCCCAAAGACGGACGTTGGATCGATATCTGTAGCGCCAATCTCACACAGAGCCTCATAACTGCTCCACAATAGTGGGTCAAGCTACATTACGAATCAACGGAGGCACTGACGTTAGACTAGAAAGTATGTTCGAGAGAGATTGACATTGGCTCCTTGGGCTCACCTTAAGTGACATTTTGTAGTAATCCTTAGCTCGTCGTTTTCGATTTGATCGCCGACATACATTCCCTAGAAGATAAAGCCCTACAGCACCATTGGGGATTGGTGCTGGAGATGTCTGAACAATCCATTCGTCCATAGACAAAGGTGAGGGGCTGTTCATCTTGTAATCGCGATATAGTTCACGGGCTTGATGCAACAGTGCTTCCTCAGCTCTACCGTACTGCTCGAGGTCATAACAGCATTTTGCTGTCAAGTACTTTGTTGACGCATTATGTTCCTTTGCATCATCTAACACCATCAAAGCTCTTCGTGGGCTCGAGGAACGAAAGTAGCAAAGCGCAAGCAAATAACGAGCGTTTGTTGACTGACATGCTGCTACCATACGCTCAGCCAGAAAGGTAGCATTTTCCAAACACATCACTTGTAGGTATTGTTGGATCAATGAAGTATACGTAACTTCAAGGTCAGCTTCGGGCTGACTGGTTGTTTCACTACTGTTTTGATGCGCCGGTGAAGAAACCGACAAAACTGAAGGAGCACCCATCTATTTCAACCAGGCCACTAGCGGGGACGCAAAATTATAGACGTTTCAGAGTCGCTCTTCGGCTAACAAACACGGCGTAAGAGCTCTGATCCAACTACAAGTCTCTTGTAGAGCAAAGTTGTTGATGAGGTACAAGTACAGTAACAATTTTTTTGTTCAGAGCTTGACGTGTACGTGGTTTCTACAGTCCCGTAAGTACTAAAATTTAAAATATTCGAATGATTTGATTCAGCCGATTCATGTTGCTTCTACTTTTTCTTTTTGGTTTCCTCTCCTTCATCCCCTTCCGGCTGGTTGGTTCCCTCCATTTCCTCCATCATTTCCTCAAGGGCGCTTTGTGAGTACGGGTCCTCTTCAAATGCTGGCACCAACATCCACACAAACCCAAATACTGTCAGGAGAAGAGCAACAAGGCTGTATGGGAAGTAGGAGATGAAGTAGTGCTCCAACTTGCCCAAGACTCCCTTTCTTGAAGTGCGGGAAGCCGTTTCAGACTGGATCTCTCCGTCGTCAATGGCTTTGATGAATTCAAATAGATTTGAATACGTTTCGTTCTGCCAAAACGTCTTCGTTGGACCATCCAACACCAGGAATTGAGGAATGTGTTCCTCTCCCACATTGAACTGTCCCAGAAAGCGAATGAACTTCTTCCCATCCATAATTCCGTAGTAGTACTTATCGTTTTCGGAGCTAGTTATATATTTCAACATGTGTTCCTTCAGAGCCTTCACTTGTTCTGTATCTTCGGTATCCGCAACAGCAATGGCCAATGGACGTCCCATCTTGCTAACCTTTTGGAAGTTGTCGGGTCCCAACATATTTACCAGAGGAAGACTCTGTTCGGTGAACCATTCTGCCAACGCTTCAGCGGTCAAAGATTCAACATTTTCTAGGAAACGAACTTTGACATCGGGTTCAATGCGCTTCACAATAGCAGGAGTCTTGATGCTTTCAGGGTCCGATGGTTCCAGCCAAAGAAAGTGGCCTGAAGCTTGCTTTCTCCTCGCAACCTTGGAGAACACTTGGTAAAACCCGGATGGAACTTCGTCTGGCTTGTTGGTAGGGTCGTATCCAAGAAAAATGACACCATCTTCTGCTTTTGCTGTCGCATATTCCATAGCCTCCTCGTAACTTGCGACAATCTGTAGTGGTGGAGCACTCATCTTTCTGGCGAATTTGACGATGGAAGCCTGATCACGACCCAAAGGATAATCATCGATTTCACCATCAATCGAATATTTTAATGTAGGATAACCACGGACCTTGTATTCATTGCAAAGTCCCTTCTCCGTTGTACAGTCAATCTTGCCGATGGCCATTTGCCCTTTCACCTGAAGGGAGGCCTTCTCGAGAACAGGAGCAATTTTCTTACAATGCCCACACCTTCATGCAAATCGAGAAACACCACGATTAGACTATCTCTTCAAAAAGTTTAAAGCAAACTGGAAATTTTGAGTCTTACCAGGGAGCGTAGAATTTGAGCAGCCACAAAGGATTGGAAGGATCCTTGATTGCTTCTGGGAATGACTTGGTGTCCAAAATCACGACTTCACCATTGATCTTCCCTGGAACGTATTCCGAGCGACATCGCACTAATAGCGAAAGAAATGCAACTAAGTGCGCCAGTTTTCCAACAGATGACGCAAACATTGTTAGTGGATAGTTGCCAGTTGTATTATATGATACTGCGCATCCTCTCAAGTTTGTTTTTACTCACTCGTTGTCTTGGATGTAGTCGAACACTACGACCACAAGAAGTCGAACTAATCATCGCACTTTTTTAAATGAAGTAATGCTGGCGCATTTCCCGCCAATGCATCGTCGTAGAATTATACGAGATCGGCAGGATTTAGCCGATTTAAAACCGACAATGCAATGCGAAAATATTTTTAGCAGTTTCAAGTTCTTCGCAGATCAATCATCAAAACACTTTGATATCTACTTCTTTCAACATGGCCAACTTTGTCTTCTCTCTACTTTGGGCTGTCCTTCTCATCTTTATTGCATGGCCAGTTGCTGGAATCTGCTGCGCCCTGTGGTTGCTTCTGCAGGTTCGTTCAAGACAGCTCACTTGTTTTGACAGATCTTTTTCCAACTTCTCACATATCAATCTTGCCCGAACAGCCATTTGAAGCTTGCTTGAGTTTCATCAAGGGAATCACTGGTTTCCTAGAGAAGTTGATTACCTGGCCCCGTGATGTCGGTCATGCCATCGCCAGTGGTTCCTCTTCATTCCCTGCTCCGTTGTAAGGTGAAGAATTTGAAGATGCAAATGGAGCGTTTTGATTTGCTTTGGTTAATACTTTTGTGAGGACGAAGTAGTCTGATGTTTGCACTGTCAAGTTATGTCAATAGTAGAAGGCTTGTCCTTTTTGTGATTGACTAGCGCGCATAACCTAGACATTGTGAATTTTCTAAATTGTCATACTTGACATCTGTGTCCTTCTATTTCAAAATTTGAGTAGGCTAAACCAGAGACTCAAAACTAGTTTTCTTGAACAATGATTGACATGATTGTAAAAGAGAGATCCCAAACAGTACTGTGCCGGTACAGTAGTGAAGTTTAATGTTCACTGCCATTGCTGCCAAAGACGAAACAAACATGTTGTCTCACGTCTGACGATGTACTGTAGCCTGTCTGTTGTCATCCTACTGTACCTATAAATCAGACAACGTCTGTAATCTCCCGAGCCTCACGCACAACTGCAGAATTCTGGCAGTCAATGGTCGTCAAACCTATCTTGTTATTATATTGGCAACTGTGGTTGTGAATCAACCGTGCCTTTACAATCTATTTTTGCTAGACTTTCATTGCTTGCATACGAACCTTTCGTGGCGCTCAGATAAGAGATTTTTTGTAACCCATCATTTTTTTCGAACGCACCATACCAACAAGACATATCCAATATGACAACTGAGGATTCATCCAACGCTTCCAGCAGCGGGCCGTCTGTAGCTGAGACTTCGGGATCTTCCGTCAGCGATGATACTGGTAGCCAACCAGTGGGTATGGAGGTAGTCGACCGGTCCAAGGAAGACCAAGCGGCCAACCTTGAAAAGGCCCTGGCACTCAAGACCAAAGGAAATGAACAATTGGCCATGGGTCATTTTCTTGAGGCAATTGGATTTTATTCCGAAGCCCTCGAATTTGATCCAACTAGTGCAATTATCCTGTCAAATCGAGCGCAAGCTTATATCAAGGTTGAGAATTACGGTTTGGCCATGACCGACGCTACTGCAGCTATGGACTCCGATCCAAAGTACGCGAAAGCATATTATCGCCGAGGCTCGGCTCATTTTGCCTTGACACACTACAAGGATGCCAAAAAGGATTTCAAGAAGGTGTGCCAGTTGAAGCCAAAAGATAAAGATGCAAGAAAAAAGTTCCAAGCTTGTGAGAAGGCCATCCGCGAGGACGCTTTCAGGAAGGCTATTATTTCCGAGAAAACTGCCCCTTTGAGTGACACCTATGATCCAAACGCCATTTCACTGCCTTCTTCCTATGATGGTCCAAATGTCTCCCCCGAAGGAATTCTTGAGAACATGGAATTGGAGGCATCCTTTTTTGAACCCGGAAAGCTTCCAAGGGATTTTGTTGTGGTAAGTACCAATACAATGAATGAGCTCTGGACTAGCAGATTTTACAAGAGCACGACTCACAATACGATAGGCGGCCATGGAGCACTTCAAGAATGAAAAGCTTATTCACAAGCGTTATGTTGCACGACTTCTAATATCTTGTAAGCGATACTTTGAGAATCTTGCTTCATTGATTGAGGTCTCATTGCCAGCAGAACCACCCGAGCACGATTCCAGCGCCGCCCCAAGAGTTACCGTTTGCGGAGATACTCACGGACAATATTATGATGTTTTGAATATCTTTGATATGAATGGTTACCCATCAAGGAACAACCCATATTTGTTCAATGGTGACTTTGTTGATCGTGGTTCGTTCTCTGTTGAGGTGATATTGACATATTTGATGTGGAAGTTGCACGATCCGATGTGTATCCAATTGACAAGAGGAAACCACGAAACAAAGAATATGAATAAAATTTATGGTTTCGAAGGAGAAGCGAAAGCAAAGTATGACGACAAGATATTCGAACTCTTCTTGGAAGTCTTTTCGCATTTGCCTCTTGCAGCAGTTATAGAATCCACTGTCTTCGTGACACATGGTGGACTCCCAACGGAAGAAGGTGTCACTTTGAATGACGTGCGAAAGGTCAAGAGAGGTTGCGAGCCGCCAGAAAGTGGGTTGATGAGTGATTTGATGTGGTCTGATCCACAACCTTTCCCTGGAAAAAGCCCGTCGAAGCGGGGGGTGGGTTTCTCCTTTGGACCTGATATCACGCGAAGGTTCCTTGATACCAACGGTTTGTCGCTTCTAGTGCGGTCTCACGAAGTCAAGGAAGAAGGCTATCTTGTGGAACATGGTGGGAAAACCATTACAATTTTCTCTGCTCCAAACTACTGTGATACGATGGGAAATAAGGGAGCATTTATTCATTTTGATGCGTCCATGGAACCAAAGTTCACTCAATATACCAACGTGCCTCATCCTGACGTGAAGCCCATGGCATATTCGGCCGGTATGGGTGGAATGTTTGGGCTATAATGATAATATTGGCGGATGCTTCATTTCCAAGAATTGGTGTTTTTAAGCAGTATTAACCTACTTCTTTTGTATTTGCCCTCTTCGTTTCCATTGTCGCAAAATTCGATGCTTTGTGAAGATTTCCTCTTTCACAGATTCATGTTGTGGGGAGAGCTCCTTTTTCAGAGCCAGCAACTCGTATAGTTTCAGACTTTGTTTCTTTTCTAATTCGCCCTTCCCACAAGCGATGCTGCGTGCGTTTAAGAAGGAGGATACCAACGAAGAGGTACTCAGCCTAGATACCAGCGGTTTGGAAACACTGCTTTCGTTCGGTGTGAACAAGAATCCCGTGGCTCCATTGATACATTCAAATGGACACAGATTATCTGTGGCTCCTTTTTCTTCGTCATAAATTGATGACCACCATGCCCAGCATTTTGAGGAATGGAAACGCACATCTTGCCCACGGTTTTCGTTGTCTACTTCAATGATCCCTGCCTCATCAAGGTACACTCCCGTGCCCATTATGCTTGGGTGATTGATCGAGTAGGCTTTTTCCAACTCCTCTGACGGCAATGCAGGGAGACGGCTGAGCCGACAGCATACAGCCCGACGACAGATACATTGCGTTAGTTTTCGCCCTACAGTTAGAGTATTAATATGGAGTGGTTTCTCAAGAAAGCTCGCTAGTAACGATCCCTGAATTCCCAAGCAGTTCCAGAGACAAATCTTGTCTGAACAGCAATGAATGCTACCTTTTCCTGTTTGAACAATTGTTGTGCCAGGTGGTGTCCAATCATCAGAGGCATTTGCAGGCCAAACCTTTCTCTTCTTAGTTGGATTTGCTTCATCGTCTTTCTCGGGTTCTGTATGGACCTGTGCGAACGGATCCTTCTTCACTAGAAGTGCAAACTGGCCTTCTCTAATGGCATGCCCATTGATAGGCTCATGTTTCGGCTCCGGCCAATTATCGGCATCCATGTCAATAAACTTTTCTCTAGTCATCTTTGCAAACTTCTTTAACGTCGCGTTGCCGCATGGCGCTGAGCTCGTGTACATGTGAAGGGTGACGCCAGGTTTCAAAGTATACTTGATGCTGTTGTTTGGAGAGCTGTTGGACGAGCGACAAAGAATAGATTTCATATCCATGCCTTGTGCTCGGAGATCTCTCAGAATCTCGGCTGTCAATTGGCGACGAAATGCCCTTCGGGCTAAGACCTCCGCATGTGAACTTGTGTTTGTTGAATTGCGTTAGCGAAAGAAGAACGATTGATGACACAATGAGCCTCATTGAGACCAGGAACTCACTCCCGAACTCGGATCCCATAGTTTTCAGAATCCACTTCTTCCTGCAAGGTAGATTCCGAGACAAACTTGGTCCCGATGCCCATGCTCAAAACGCGAAGGTCCCCATCGTGATGGGCAACAATTGTTGCAACGCATGTTTTTTGTGGACGATCTTCTTCAGGAAGCAAATGGAACTGATCCACCGACACTTGAGCCACTCTATCTGCAAATTGACAAGTTGCAGATCGCCGTTTCTCTGCCAGTCGAAAGGGTTTACAGCAATAACTCTTGGGATCTTCGTCAGCCATTTGAAAAGAGTTTGTGGTCTTTCGCGAGAAATGAAGTTTTCGCTTAAATCTGATTTGTCTATGTCCAGCCTAGACATCTCAAGTGTCCGTCAGCCTAAGATTCAGGTACACTAGCCGCCAAATCCAACCAGCGATGCACAAAGAATACAAGATATTCGAATTTTCTTTTTTGCTATTATTCAATCTAACGATAAGACTTTTGGAAACGGGAACGGGCACTGCGTCCACCATACTTCTTGGGTTCACAACGGCGAGGATCGGAAACCAAAAGAGTTCTGTCATAATCAATCAAAGTCTTTCTCAAGTCGTTCTTTGAGCTCTCATCCACGTACTTTGCATGGTAAGCAACAATCGACTTGGCAATAGCAGCTCTGATAGCGTAGATTTGTGCGGTGATACCTCCTCCCTTCACTCGGATTCTAATATCCAAATTAGCAAACTTGTCTTGTCCGACGATCAACACGGGCTCGAAGACCTTCAAGCGAAGAACCTCAGGCTCGATGTTCTCAATTGGTTGTCCATTGACCTTGATCAGGCCACGGCCTTGCTTGGCAAAAGCAACAGCAGTTGCTGTCTTTTTCCTGAAAGTAACAAAGCAAAAATGGATTAGCATACGATGTTTACCAAAATGCTATCATGTTTGCATCGTGTTTATTGAACAGATTTGTAACAAAAGAATGATTTTGCTTCTCGAATCCGATGTCTCGTAATTATCATCCTCCTTCAGACAAGATCATCTCTTGCATAAAGCATCCGATATCGCACTCTCTTCCCTCCTCAACATTATCGTCATCTACATATTGTATAAATCGACTCACTTTCCGAAGACTTGAACAGAATTAACAGGTGCCATTGTTGATTGCTTTGGTTTACTGCTCTTGTTGTAGCAGATGCAATTTCTCGGTCAACGACTCGTGCGACTACCGAAAAAAGTACGCAGGTAAACACTATTTTCTTCAGGACTTTATCTGTACTTGTCAAAGAATTCCCGAACAGAAAGAAAAAGATGAATGGCCTGGAGTAAACAATACCAGGGTACCTGATACCGCTATATGATCATTGAATATCGAATTGCAAGCCCTTCACGCTATTCACCGGAAGCTATACTCTATTTGTTTCGTTCTTAATTTTAAAAACTAAAAGTCTGCATCAAAGTTTAACTGATTCTTGGCTGAAGGGTTTTCTAGCGATGCCATGACTCCACTTTTCTGATACTCTGCCACTCTTTTTTCGAAGAAGTTTGTCTTCCCTTCAAGACTTATCATATCCATCCCTACAAACGTGTAATAACTAAGTCAGCCTACATGACATCACAAAAAGAGAAAGCAAACGTAGCATATCTTGAACTTACAGTCAAAGGGATTCTTGCTCCCAAAGAGTGGTCGGTATCCCAAATCACTCAACAGACGATCTGCAACAAACTCAATGTACTGCGACATCAGAGACTTGTTCATTCCGATCAGGCTCACAGGCAATGCGTCACAAACGAAGCCCTTCTCAACCCCAACGGCTTCTCCTATCAGTCGGTGGATATCCTCCTCGGAAAGCCTTTTCTCCAGCTTGTTGTAAAGCTGGCAAGCGAATGAGCAGTGAAGGCCTTCGTCTCGGCTAATCAGTTCGTTGGAGAATGTCAATCCTGGCATCAAACCCCTCTTCTTCAACCAAAAAATTGCGCAGAATGCTCCCGAGAAGAAAATTCCTTCCACAGCTGCAAACGCAACGAGGCGCTCCGCGAATGAGGCATCCGATCCAATATACCGTTGTGCCCATTTCGCTTTCTTCTCCACACTTGGCACACTGGTGTGCGCTGAAAAGAGAACTTCGCGATCCTCTGGATTCGTGATGTACGTATCGATAAGAAGGCAGTATGTCTCTTGATGAATACTCTCCATTGCCATTTGGAAACCGTAGAAACATCTAGCTTCTGGTACTGTTACTTCTCGGCAGAATCGTTCTGCGAGGTTTTCGACAACAATACCATCTGCTCCAGCAAAAAAAGCTAGAACCATTGAAACAAAATGTCTTTCATTGTCCGTTAGGTTTTCGTGCCAATCTGTCAGATCGGCGGAGAGGTCAATTTCGTCTGCCGTCCAGAAGGACGCTACGTGTTGTTTGTACATACTCCATAGATCCGAATGTTCAATTGGGAACAAAGAAAATCTCGAACAATCATCATCGGTTCGGCATATTGGTTCTACAAACCCATCTTTGTCTGCGAGGAGGTCTCTCGACCATTTGAAACTCTCATTTGGCATCTGATCTTTCTTAACTGTTGTTGATCCACCCCGTGGAGGGTTTGTGAGGGCTGACACGTCGCTAGAACTGGAGTCTGGTGGGAGATGTCCTCCTCTGTGGTTCAAAAGATCGGCGCTTCTTGTTCGGGATCTTCCAGCAAATTGGTTTGGTCCCCATGATTTCCCCGCTCCGAATAGTCGCCGGCGCTCTCTACCAAAAGTTGCTGCAGATGAGGATGACGCAGCAATGATGAAGAGGAAAACCCATTGTAGGCGATTGGATCTTGAATCTGCCAACATTCGGAAATTAGTGACGATAGGAATGAGGAATTATTTTCAAGGATTGCAGAATATTATGTAGGTGGATATCCTGTGAGCGTTCTTGGTGAGGGAAGTTGAGAGTTTGGTGGAATCTCTAGGGTTCGAACTGATGATATGTGTAATGATTTGTGATCTTTCAAAATGCTAGACTTCCGATGGCTAGACATGCTTCAGTTTGATGACAGTGCGCTATTGCCCGCGTGGCACACGCAGACGAAGACGGTTAAGCGATGGCTTCCAGGCAGACGAACAGACGAACGAATGATGTGGCGGTGTGGTGCAAAGAAATCGAAAGTTTTTTTCGGAATAACGGCAGAATTTGAGCACGATCAGTGAGTGAGCTAGTTGAGTAAAGGAAGGTCGAGAATTTGGAAGTTAAGATGTGAAAGTTGCAGGAGTAAGCACTGTAAAGTTTGTAGGCCTGTCTATTTTATACCAATGCTTGATTTTATCTCTATATCGCGCCCTGGTTGCGTTATAATCATGGTAGCCTGGCTCCATTCCCCAAAAGGTCCCACACTACCGATGCATCAGTCATTTTGCATCTTTCGTCGCTCCGTTCAGCTCTGGACTTTCTTTTGAGGCCTTTGCCTTCTTCTTTGGAGGCTCGTAGTTTTCTTCGGCCGTTTCATCTTCATCTTCATCGTCACCTGCCTGACATTCCATGTCGTGCTGTGCAATTTCTTCAGGTCGGAAATGTTCGTTTGGATCCGGATGATATTCGCGGACTCTATCTTTTTCTCCGAACGTTATCCGTCTTCCTGGATTCTTCGACTTCTTATTAATCCTTTCATTCCAATCTACAATTTCGATATTTGGCACCTCAACATCAAGTTCTTTTGCAATACTTGCCCGTAGCTCTAATAGTTCATGCGTATTTGGACCCCTTCCATTCTCTTCTCGATAATGCCGTAACACTTCATTCATTACCAAATTGAACATTGCAGACTTGTCCTCTTCGTCAATCGTTTCGTTCGGGTCAAGCTGATATGCCTCTCCTTCTTCCCCTTCTTCCGCTTCACGATCCGACTCCTCTGATGATTCCTCTTCAATATCGGTCCGCGAGGCAAACGCAATATACTGACTTTTTGTGTAGTCAAGAAAGAATTCGTCGTTCGATGGAACGTTGACTTCCGGTGCTTCAGATGCTTCGTCTTCGTCGTCCAATTCTTCCTCTGTCTCCGCCACTTTCAAGATCAAAATGTCACCTCTCACAACTTTTTTGTTCAGCGGAGGTTGTAGCGAATGAGGATTGACGGGTGGAAGCTCTGAATCCTTGATCAAAGCATTCACAAGATCCGATTTTTCCAGCATACCCTCCATGTTAATGTCCCGTTCTTCACAAAGACTTCTAAGGTTTGATAACTTCTCTGAACCCAGGTCTTCCTTTTTAAATGGGACAGCATCCTCAGGAATATTCCGGATCATCAAAACAACGCCTTCGTCTTCATATTGACCCAGAAAAGTAAATGAGCCGCCTAACGTTTTGCTCACCATGCTTTTTGATGGCGTTGTGTCTATTTCAATTTCATCTATCAAATCAGGTATTACACGTCCTTCCTCGGCGGTGCTTGGCTTCGCACTGGGTTTCTTATCCCCGTCTGTTGTACCAGTCTGTGGAGTCGCTCGAAGCATTACACACTTCACTATAGGCCCTTTTGAAGAAAGTACCTTGGCGATATCAGCGCTTTCTAACAGTCCTGCTCCATTGTCATTGTTGCTGTCCGGTGAACTACTCATTCTAATCGATTTCCGCCGCAACGTTTGTCAGGTCTGTGTATATTTGCTGGCCCAGATAGTGTCTCAGCGCTATCAAGGGCTGTGTTTCAGAGTGATAGCGCTGTGTTTCAGAGAAGTGGAAGCTGCTTGGTGGTCGGAATGTTGCATACAGAGGTCAAAGTTGGGTATCGGAAGTGTGTTTGACATGAGTAGCATTGGAAACATAAACCAATATTTGGAGAACAAAAATTAGACTCAACTATCAGCACATCCGGTATGATGTAGGTGGTTAGCATACTTGCCTTTCACGCAGGATACCGGGGTTCGAGTCCCCGTACCGGAAGCTTCTTTTGCCTTTGAAATGACTTCTCTCGATGATTATGTAGCAGGTCAATTTTAAAGCTTTCGGAACCTTTATTATTATTACTGTTGCCCAAGCTTGGTGACTGTACAAGTTATTTGAACTGCTTGAGACTACAAGTAATTTTCATCATAGTATGCACATTTGTTGTGTTGACTCGTGATTTGACCCAAATAAAAGTAGCTGGGCGCTACAGTCTAGAGTGGGCGTCAGCACATTAAAACAATCCGGTATGATGTAGGTGGTTAGCATACTTGCCTTTCACGCAGGATACCGGGGTTCGAGTCCCCGTACCGGAAGCTTTTTGTTTTGCCATCGAAAAGATTCCTCTCGATGATTACCCCTGGGACGCACCACGACGTCAAACGCACGCCCGAAATTTGTCCGTTTAGATTGTTTTGAGGATTTTTTTAGCTCTAAATAATTTTTATGTGTCCGTTAAAATGCTCTGCGACTTTGACGCGGGACGTTTCTTTTGACGCGGGAATGACGCGAGTTGCGTTAGTTTGACGCGGAGTTGCGTTGGTTTGACGCGGAGTTGCGTTAGTTTGACGCGGAGTTGCGTTAGTTTGACGCAGAGTTGCGTCAGTTTATCGCCAATTCCGCGTCAACTGACGCGGATTGCGTCAATTTAATGCGGGCCTGCATGTCTTCGACGCGGGACGAAACCCGCGTACTGGTATCAGTTCCAAAAAGATTATTGGAGTGTGTGAATGAATGAGAGTTTGAGTTCCCACTCTCATTCAAATGAGAGTTGCCCATTTTTTGAACAATGGATCTGATGGAAATTGACAAAGCTGGGACACATAATGGCAATGATGCTATTTTCCAAGCAAGAAGCAACAACCTTATTAATGAGGAGTTTGAAGTCCTTGATGAAATTCACCAACAGATATCCCTGTCTTGCTCATCAACGGAATCCCCCAGATATAGTACTGCTCAAAAATCTTGTAGAAAACATATTTGAGAATGGATTTGGCAATATTGGAACTGACCTTTCTTCCATAGGCATACTTGGCCAGGGATCTGGCAATGTCTCCTATTCCTTTCAGGATCTTTCTGCTCTCCTTGTCTCAATTGTTTAGGGACTTATTGCATCCAGCATTCTTGTTGAACACCAACAAAAGAGGTAGTATGTGTCTTTTGCAAGATGAAAAAGTTCCTTGGCGATGCTAGCGATCGTTTACGTGCCTGTTTTCGCACACAATTCAATTAATTTTCAGACAACAAGGTTTTACTGTACGTTTTTCCTTTGTCATCACCCAACATCAAAACAAATGGGGATATTTTGGCACAGTGGAATAACTGGTAGCAAAATGAGTTTTGCATTGATTTTTGACGGTGACACAATCTGACTATGGTCCTAGTGCTCAAATAAGCTCCATTCAACGAATGGTGTATAAATGGTCCTGGAATCTGCTCTCATGGGTTGGTGGGACATGGTGAAGCCAAAAGAAGTGGCGAAATATGCCTTGGGGCTACGAAAATGGCAATTTTGTGGTTTCCGAAAATCGATTTTGTTGCAGTTTTCTTTCTCTGCTGTCTTTTTAAATTGGCGTCTAGGCTACCACATCACATTTAAGACTTTGAATTAGATGTATTTACTACATATTGGTAGTGAAAACTATGGCTTGAAAGTTATTGTAGGCTTCTCTGCAATCCATTCTTTGTCCCATCACGAAAACTGCCAAATCGACTTTCTGCACAAATTAGCTCAATTTGGCAAATCGAGTATACGTAATTCTGGAATCTATACTTGGATATACATTATCTAATAGTCTGAAATTTGTCAATTTTCCAACAAGTATATTGGGAAGCCACAATCCAACATCGAAGTGCCATTGCCACTGGTTTCGTTTGAGTTTGATGTAAAGTGATCGAGTGAGTCGATTCGTTTGATGAGGAAGAACAGAAATAGTCCAAATTCAAAATTGAATACACAGACGACATCTAGCTAGTAAAAGGGGATGTTCAACACTCTGCAAACCTACATACCTGTACTTATACAACTTGTACCAGTATAGTACCAGCATAGTATCTAGATTGGCACATGCAGGCAAAATACTACTGTTCTGTTTTGGTTACCTATGTGTCAAGGGTTCTGGTTTCTCTCCAACGTTATGCACCGCATACGTTAGCGGTCTCTCTCTCCCCGCTTTTTGTTTTAACCTGCTGACGCCCACTCTAGACTGTAGCTCCCAGCTACTTTTATTTGGGTCAAATCACGAGTCAACACAACAAATGTGCATACTATAATGAAAATTACTTGTAGTCTCAAGCAGTTCAAATAACTTGTACAGTCACCAAGCTTGGGCAACAGTAATAATAATAAAGGTATCGAAAGCTTTAAAATTGACCTGCTACATAATCATCGAGAGAAGTCGTTTCAAAGGCAAACCAACAAGCTTCCGGTACGGGGACTCGAACCCCGGTATCCTGCGTGAAAGGCAAGTATGCTAACCACCTACATCATACCGGATTGTTTAACGTGCTGACGCCCAATCAGGCAAAAGAAGCTTCCGGTACGGGGACTCGAACCCCGGTATCCTGCGTGAAAGGCAAGTATGCTAACCACCTACATCATACCGGATTAGCTGCCAAACAATCCAAATTATGGGATCAAATATATTCTACAAAAAAACTTTCCTGATCACTTCCGATACCTACTGTACTGTACTGTACTGTACTGTAAGGTCTTAATGCAACATTCCGACCTCAAAGGATAAACTTCCACTACCCTAAAAACAGCCATTGGTAGCGCCGTGACACTATCCGGGCCACCAAATAGATATAGTTCTGACGAACGCTGCGGCCGAAATCGATCACAATGAGTCTCCTCCAGCCATCCGCCAACAACAATCATGCTGGAACAGGACTGTGGAAAGCGCTGAAAGCAACAAAGGTATCCGATAGTTTCTTCGAGAGGGCCTAGCGAAGCGTTCAAAGGGTATCACTTGTAGGTTGCTGTGCTCATGCTTTCAGATCTCACTTCAAACTCAAAACCTCAAACCTTGTGCAAGTTGCTTTTCACAACTAGTTCTTGAACTGAAGATTCTTTTCCGTCTGTCGACGTCCGTCCAAGATCGGGAAAAAAACAGTATCCGAGCGGTGACAATCAAGTCCTGGTACACCCAACAACTACCGACGTAACAATCGATAGAACACAATGGCAAGAAGGGCACCCAACTCACGCCCTGTTCATCCTTGCTACTTATCGATATGGGAGGGCAGTGGAGGCTGCGAGTTTTCGACGTGGGCCAGTATTGACGCTGAAACCGAGAATGATGTGCCAAACTTGGTGACAGCCCAGGGATCAACTCTGACAATTTTTTCGATCGACCAAGCCACCGGGAAGCTACTGTTCCTTGAAAGTTTCCCAAACCTCTATGGAAATGTTTGCTTCATAGAGACATTGAAGAATCCAAACCGAAATCACAGCGATTCGCTACTGCTCGGTTTCTCGGGCCTTCCACGTTTGGCAGTTGTGTCTGTCAAAAAATCAAGCGAAAAGCTCCTCCTTGGAACAACGCTGCTCGACTTGACATTACCATTACAGGAGCTCTCATATGGTTCTGTGGCGCCTTTAGAACAAGATCTGCAGGCAACCCTGCTACAGAATCCATCCAACACTGCCACAGTCGTGGTAACCCTTGGAGGCGGCGTGTCGATGGCATGCTTGCAATTAAAGTACACGCAAGCAGCAGGCTGGCAATCGATAAATGAGGAACCTTATGTGTTGCCACTTCAAAGCTTGTCAGCTGCTACCCTGGATGAATCAGCGGGTGCAAATGTCCTTGGCTCTGGGAATAGAGATTTGAATCAATCAATCGTATCAGGATTTGGGGATATCTTGGGCACAGCATTTTTGCCAGGTTACTTGGAACCTACCATGGTAGTCTTACATTCCAATCCTCTATCCGGGGGTCGAGCATGGCCAGGTCGATTAGGTCGTGAATCGGGCGGTACGAGACATGGAATGATACTTTCGTCAATTGCGTTGACCGTGAGCCATTGTCGTTCAGCGATTCTTTGGTCGACACAAGTACCAGCAGATGCATTGCAGGTATATCCAACTAGCAATGGGTGTCTTGTCCATTGTGCAAACTCCATGCTTGCTGTAGGTAATACGGGGCAAATTCAACAGTGCCTCGCTGTGAATGGATGGGTCAAAGCCTCTGTGCCCTCGGAAATCACAGTAACCCCGAATCCGTGGCCTTTTCCAAAACTTGCCATTGCCTTGGACGGTGCAAAAATTTCTTTTGTGACTGATAAGGCTGGTTTCTGTGTCTTGCGACACGGGCAAGTTTACCTTTTGCAATACACCGATTCTTGGTCTCTGCTTCCGCTGTACACGAACATAGGAGCACTTGGGCAAATTGAGAATTTGACATGCTGGCCCCTAGGCAAAGTCATTAGTAGTAAGGTCTTGGAAGGAAAGCTCTCTGGGATCGACAAGTCGAAGCTCAGTGTTATGGACACGGGGCTATTGTTTGCTGGAAGTCGTCTCGGGGATTCCTCTCTGCTTGGCTTTGCACTTGAGACGACGTCTGTGGCTGATGCATTGGAAGGAGACTCGATAGTACATCCAAAGCTCGAGCCGTACTCTGTTTCAGCAATGCCTGGGGAAGGCGAGAGTTCCGAGTACGACATGATACTTGAAGCCGAGGAAGAGGCTTTATACGCTGCTCCAACAACGACAGATGGCAGTCCTACCTTAATCCCAGCCAGCGATGATGAATATACCGATTCGCTGTCCATACAAGAGAGAAAGCGTGCTAGATTGAGTCGGCTATTCCTCGCTCGCTCGCTGACAGTCCTTGATTCTCTGACTGCACTGGGACCACTAGGATCTGGATGTACAGGGCCCCTTTCTGAGGCCATTACGCCAACAACAGAGGAGGAGATTGTACTGGAAGAAAAGACACCCTCGCTAGGTGCAACAGGATACATTTTTCCTTGTGGTTATGGATCTAGCGGTGGGTTGGCGCTCTTAACAACTCCTGGAAGAGATGACAGAAGCATTGTAGCGGAAGAAGATTGCGTTAGTACTTCTGCGATGTTTAGTCTCCCGGCGCATCGCTTAGTAGTTCTAAGTATGGAGGTTGGTATGCGTTTCCTTCGTTTAGAGGAATCCTCTGGGGCGAATAGTAGCGTGAAAGTCGACGAGGCTGAGCAAGTCCAGCAGGACAATGCGGTACTGAAAGAAATTGATTTGGAACAATGGTGCACAGCAGATGCACTTCAATCATTGAGCATTAATAGTTCTGTGCTCTTGACGGCTGGCGAGATCGCTTCCCAAGACTTCTTTGTCGTTCTTGGAATACCAAACGAAAACGCATCTATGACATATAGCTGCCTCCTCCTGAGTGAAGGCTCAGGTCAATTGAGCGTGAAATTTAATTTTGACATGTCGATACCAAATGATGAGGTAGTCTCTTCGTTGACACCGTTCTGCAAAGATACGATGGGTACAGAAGTGCTAATCGCATGCACTTTTTTCTCGGGTGGCTCAAAGTTGTTCAGGTTTAGCAACGAAGGTGCCTTCGAAACAAGAAACTTCGACGCTGAATTGGGGATGGATATCGATAGCGAAAGCAATGAAGACGAAGAAGCAGCCTTCTACTCACGAGGCAACGTCGTGTCTATGGACGTTTTCCATGCGCCAAAAGGGGCATTTTCGCTCCATACGTCAGATCCAAGTGACAAAGAGCTTCAGATGACTGACAATAGTGCTGTTAGCGATGATGACGACGATGATGAGGGGTTGTATGGCAGTTCGAACGATGAACATGATGAACAGAGCAGGAGGCCTGCACAGAAAGACGATGGCACTCCTGAATATGGCACTCCTGAAGAATTTGTGTCCCTCGTAGCGATATGTAGGCAGTCTGGCAAGCTGGAAATCTATTCGGTATCAGATGTTTTTTCAGATAAAGAGGCTTCGCCACTTTTTGTTGCCTTCGGAGCAAGCCATGGTGTTTCCGAACTGCAAGGCATCACAGTTCCTAGGTTGCCGCGTTCTCACACCGTCTCTGCAAGCGAGATCAGGTTTTTCTTCTGTGGTCCCTCGAGCAAAACAAAAGGAAAGTTTGATGCCTCGCGTATCTTTTGCCTTGCAATAGAAACAAACCATGGAGACACACTTCTGTACAGTGCAGAGCTGTCTCGTCGAACGAAGACTGTGGAATCATTCACTAGAGTTCCAACGAAGCACATCACCAGACCAAGTCGAGAACAAGGAAAGCACCTCACCAAACTTCGCCGACATCGCATGGTGTCTCAGCGTGACGAGGGCAAACAACAATTCCGCTACAACCGGCTGTTTGCCTTTCAAAACCTCTCTGGTCAAGATGGATTGTTCGCTGCTGTTTCTAGACCTGCCTGGTTCGTCGCTGAACGGGGTCGACCAATGATGCTATGTCATCGATCTAGGCATGCTGCTCCGGCTGGTGCTAGTCCAAGGCCTGTAACCGGATTTTGCTCTGGACTTTTGGTAGGTCAAATCTAGAATGCAAGCATTGTAAGTCGGCCTCTCGGACACTAACGTTTTATATTCTATTGACGTAGCAAGCTGCTCCAGGATTGGATTGGGGATTTATGACTCTCCATGAACGAGTTGGTCGAGTAGGCAGTCAACGCATCACTGTTTTCGACAGGCAAGTATCCTTTGGGGTATCCTCCTTTCTGGTGTTTTGAATCTCTAACACTTTTGTCTACAGTTTGTTGGATCTTTCCTCATCGCATGGATTGATTCCTGGAGGAGGCATTTTTGTTCAAAAAATACCTCTCGGAGTTACGGTGAGGCGAATTCAGTTGATCGAGGGTACAGGCTCAAAACCGCTATATGCAGTTATGATATCCAGAGAAAATGAATCAGATCTTAGCCTTTTGAATACAGACGGCTTAAGTGCAGAAGAACGGCAGCGAATAGCCGAGGAGAAAGAAAACGCCATGATTAAGCGACAAGTAGAAGCTGATCTAGGAGGTTTTGATATGGAGCAAGAATGGGTGGAAGAGATCGAACGTGAAGACTGTTTCCAAGTAGACACAAAACTTGGCGGTGCTCCGCCAATTCCGAGTAGCACCCATTCTCTATGGATAGTAGATCCATCAGCTGGTTGGGTCGTGATGGATTCTTACGAACTCGAACAGCATGAGCATGCAATGACGATGCAAGTTTTGAACCTGAGCGAGGTAAGATTGGACAAGTTTGTATATTACCGGAGCGTCTCGTACCACTAATTTCACTTTTGATTAGTTTACAGAGGTACCTGGAACAGTAAATGATACATCAATCTCCGAAGAAGACCTGGAGACCCGACCATTTATTGCGATTGGAACCGCTATTGTTGACAAGGATGGTGAAGATGTCAGTGGAAAGGGTCGAGTGCTTCTCTTTGAGTTGAAACAAAACGTGAGCAGGTCCTCCAATGCCCAACCAGAACTTAACTTTGTGTATGAGAAGACTATATTCCATGGACCCGTGACATCCTTGAGCTGCCTCATTAGTGAAGGAAAGAGTCGCCTCGTTATCGCTGCTGGAGCTGATATTAACGTTGAACAATGGGGTGCAGATAAGCTGACTCAAGTTGGATTTTTTAGGGCGACAATGTCAATTTCGGATACAAAGCTCTTCAAAAACTTTATGGTTTTGAGTGACGCGTACGACTCGTTATACTTTCTAATTTGGAGAGAGTCTGACAAGAGTTTAACCTTACTGGCGAAAGACTATGACCCCATTCCTGTTTATGCTTCAGGGCTGTTGAGCCGGGGTGGATCTCTTGACATTGTTTGCCATGATGACAGGGAGAATTTGCAATTTTTCCAGTATGCCCCTGGAGATGCAGCGGCAAGAGGTGGTAACAGGCTCGTCTGTAGGGCAGACTTTCATCTTGGATCCCAGACAACGGATCTTCAGAGTTACTTTTGTAGGTCTAGTCTTCTGGTGAACAGTTCGACCCCATCAAGTTCACTTGCAGCTCTGAAGCAACAAGACAAGCTTTACGGAAAAAGCGATGATGATCAACGACTAGGAGTTCACTTCGGCACAAGCGATGGAGGCTACGGAGCGATTGTTCCGTTGAGTGAACCAATATATTGGCGATTGACTGCATTGCAGAGTGTCATGGTCAACGCATTAGAGAGTGATTGTTCTCTGAGTCAACGTGCATGGAGGCTATACAGAAGGACCCCGAGGAGAGGTGGGTGCCGCCAAAATGAAAGAAAGAAGGGAGTTATTGATGGCGATCTAGTGACAAGGTTCATTGATCTACCAATTTCTCATCAGGAAGAAATTGCCAGTGCAATTGGATCTACTGTCGATTTGATTCTTGACAATCTTCTTGAGCTCGCATGTTCCACAAAGGTAGTATAGGCAGACTTGAAGTATATATGTTCTCGCCGCTTGTAGGATTATTCGTTTCTGGGGCATCTCCTCTTGCGGACTTGATACAGTCCGGAATTTCTTTATTGACTGTAGTCACTGGTTCGATTACTCCATTCGGAGGTATGGGTTTTGATTTTCTTTCCAAGCATTCGAGCCGTGGGAGGATGAATGAAGCCCCAACCTGAGCACGAATGTCGTCTGCTAGTTGTTGAGTACTTTTGCTGTCATTTAGAAACTTCAATAGACTGAACGCATTACTCAGCAACTCCTTCTTTTCAATTTTGCTTGTAGCTTCTTCGCTCAGAAGGATTTGGGACTCGACATATTGTAGAAGGAACTGCTGGCCCTCTGACCCATGAGAGAAATATTTCATCAAGGCACTCATACGCTTTGACGTCGCAAGAGCATCTTGGAGTTGTACTTGACTTTCATCTTTTGTGTCGTGAAGCCGCTTGTGCTCCAAGCCAATCATTTCCTCAAGCGATCGCATGCATTGCATGATTTCTCGACCAATATGTGAAAAGAAAGAATCAACGTTTCCGCTATCCATCCTTTCAAGATACTGGCTTGCAGACTCCAGGATAAGGAGGAGAGATCGAGGAAGGCTTGACTTCTCGACCTCCAATAGGACAGTCGACAGGAAGCCGTAGTCTTGAACTGGTTCTTTCAAATACATTTCCGCAATTAGTAGAAGCAACCTCCCTTTGATTGTTCTGTTGTCGCGATGGTGTCGCCAGAGAGTGCGAGCATAGGAAGGAAAATTTATAGTGCTCAATTGAGATAGATCTGAATGAGGAAGTGGCAAGCCCAACTCTTCGATCTCTTTGGCGACATATGCAGCAAATGAACATTTTTTCAAAGAGCTTGCCGTGCCAGCAGTAAGGAAGCTTTCTTCGTCTACCACATCTTCCAATGCCTGCTGTGGACAGAGAATTGAAGCAGCTCTTAATGCACGATGTCTCATTGCAAAAGTGACTGTATTTTGCCCGTCAAAGGAACCTGTAGCCAAGGCGTCTGAGCTTCCTGGTTTAGCAAAAACAACTCGAAGGAGATCTCGGCTATGCTCAATGACACTAACACAACGCTTTTCACTTTCACTTTGTCCAATTTTTGAAAGCAAACCTTTTTTGCCCTTTTGCTTCTGCCCTTGTGTATTAAAACTCTTGTTAGAGTTTGATTCCTTATTCTCCTTGGCTGTGTCTTGGTGGCCTTCGTCGGCTTCGTAACCATCGGTAAAAGCCATCACAAAAGCTATGCGTAATGCGGTTCTTCGACTGTTGAAATCTGAAATTTCGCTTGATGAGCCAGGGAATTTGAGGCTGCTCGGCTCCTCTTCTGAGGTGTACTTCTTTTCCTCAAGTTCAGAATTCTGACTCGGTCCAATGTTTGCTGACCAGACAGTCTCCCCTTTCAGGCTAGAAAGATCCATAACGAAATTCATTGTATCCTCTTCATCCTGCATGATGTCTGGGAAGAGAGGGAGCACAGCGTCATTTTTAGCAAAGCTGGTGGTTACTGTACCATCACAAAGTACTCTAGTATCCTCGCTGGAGATCGAATTGTCGCCGTGCGCTAGCCACTGTTTTGCTAACTTTTGAATCGTGGTGCCAACATGAACATGTGAATACCTCTCGGCAACAGATTTGCAAGCTTGATGTACTAGACAGCACAGTTTCCGGAACTTTGCAATGGAAAGTGCCCTTTGGTTGCAGAGGCTTGCCTCTGCAGAGAGAAGGGAAGCCTCTGTCAAGAAAATTTCAACAAACCTCTCTGGGTCAAACTTGGACTTGCTCCAGACCTGTTCATCAAGTCGTTTCATTAAATCGTCAATAATGTTTGATAGAGTACAGAAGCTCTCTGAATTGATACCAACCGTATTGAGAATTGCATTAATCGCCAATCTGTCTACTAGGAGCTCCTTGGCGCTTCGGATACGTTTGAGCCGTTCCAGAGCTTCAAATTCGTGTTGAGAACTTAAGGTAGAAGATTTTTTCTCTGCATCAATGGATGCTTGTATCGCAAAGTTCTTCGCGCGATCAAGACTTCGCAGCTTGTCCTCATCTTCAAAAGTGTATTGTTTGGAGCACCATTCCGCTAAATCAGCCATATCATCTGCGGACTTCAGTTTCTGGAGGACCGGCAAAACATCACCTTCAAACGAAGGGTACGAGACCCCTTCCAACTTTGACTTTTTGAATCTCAAAATCAAAGACCTTGCGTGTAAGTAGCCTGTTGGAACTCCCAGCAATGGGCAAAGTGATGAAAGAGTCGAGAGAGCTTTGTCGCAGCTTGAAATCAATATGTCTTCAAGTGGACGCAGAGGATCAAAAGCACCATCTTCTTGTCCGCCAAGGATGCTTATCCTAGGTACTTTGGATGCATTGGGATCCATTTGGTCCAAAGCCAATGGAAGAGGTCTGAAGAGACTATCCATCGTAGGTCTCTGTTGCTTATTTTCAACTTGCATGAAAGATGAAAGTAATGCCAGCGCTTCCAGCCTCCTACCCACCAATTCAAGTTCAATCGTAGCCGGTTTATAGAGTGCATGTTTCTCATTTGCTGTACGAAGAAAAGAGTTCAATTCCATTCGATATAGAAATAAGACGATAGAGAGCCTCTCGTAGTCCTGACAGTTGGCGGATGCTTCGAGGCGGATAGAGCAGGCTCTCAAAATCTTGAGACGATCGAGAGGGCTTGCTAGCTGTTGAATTAAAGTTTCTGAGAGAGCTTGCAAAGTTGACAGGCTTGATCGAATTTTGCTTCCGTTCTTCTCCTTTAAGCTATCCACTGGACATAACAAGTATTCGACGTATCGCTTCGTAGCAATTTCTTTGCATAGCCCAAACGCTTCTGCAAAATCACTTGTAATTTGGAGTATTCTTCCACTCTTTATGTCTTTTTCTGTCATTTTGCTTATCAATGAAGGCAGCAAAGTTTCAGGATACTTGTTTTTGCCTCTGTCTTCTTCTTTTGATCCACTGCTACCTTGCTCAAAGCGATAAAGGTCAAATTGCACCTCAAAGGATTGTAGCTTTTTCCACCATTTTGCCCGCAGAGCCAACTGGCGACACTGTGACACAAACTTCTGCTGCCGTTTCCAAGTCTTATCGAGCTTTGAATTTCCCGGAGGAAGAAGGATACCACTCGTTCCAATCGCCTGACCGATACTTGCAAGCTTGATCAGTCGCTCAAAATTGCGAGTTGACATCGCTGTCGGAAGTGAAGATTTGTATACCTGAAAGAAGGTACTTATATCAGCTATTCCATCAATTCAGAATACATTTTTCCAGTACGACACTTACCTTGAACGCCTTTTTCAGCGGAAGGCACAAAAGAAAGGACCCCGAAAGTTGAGAGTCTACTACCCCGCTAAGGATACCATTGCCAGAGCCACCCAATGAACGTTCAGTCAATGCAACAAGACTTTTTGTGTGAGTTGCTGCGAGAGCCTCCAATCGTTGGAAATCTGGACGATCCCCTTGTACTTGACACATTCCCATCACAGTCGAGTAAGTGAGCAATCTCAAAGCAAGGGAATGAGCTCCGCGGCCCTCAAGGAAAGCATAAAGGCTAGCTGCTGCATCGATCATGGAAGATTTTGCCAAGCAACGCTTGCAGAACTCTAGTCCGCGTTCCAGTGTTTCAGAGGGCGGTAAGAGGAGACCATCACCAACATACCACGTAGGGTGCAACGGCGACAGATGCGTGGAGGCGGAATCAGTTGCATTCGTAATCGAGTTGCTTGTAAAGAAAGGGTTGGACAAATTTTTGCTGTCCGTGAATGTGTGCAACATCTTGCGATACTCATCAATCTCTTCGCCTACACCTTCATCGGCGCGAGCCAAAATCTGACTCGTCATGTCGCACAATTCTGCAGTAGCCGTTGCAGAAGCAAGAAGTCCTGGGGAACAGCGGGTTATGGAGAGGTCTCTGAGTAATGAATTTGAAATCACCACAAACTTCATTCGGGATTTGATGTCAAAAGATCCGTGCTGTTTCAATGCTTTTCCACAGAAAGTCAACGCAAGTGCCAAACAGCACCTAGACGATAGATCGTCTTTGATAGATTCTAGGACACCAGTATCAGAAAGAAACTCCAGACATTGAACACCCAACGTTTTCTTGGCCAATTTACAGGCTAAGGATCCAACAGCAGTAAGCCAAAGGGAACTGAATGAAATCCTCGATGTACCAGACAGAAGCGAGCAGATTTGTTTTGCTCTGGCTGTAACCGTGCTTGAATTTTTCGTGTCGCCTTGAACATATAATTCGACCAGTGGCTCCATGGACCTTGTTGCATTGTCGACAAGGACTTTGGGATCATCCAAGTCGACAAACGATAGAAAAATACCGTGTTTTGTCTGCAGCACTTCCAATCGGTGAAAGTCCTCTACCATTTCTTGTAGCCGATATTCATCGTATGTCGCAGATGAATATCCCGTCGAATTTGTGCCAATGTGAGAGTGAACATAAGTCAAAGCAGTCTTCGAGAGTTGGAAAGCGCAAGATGTCGCATTCATTACTTGTTTCTTCCGCAATGGGCTTGCCCCCGGTCCTTCTTCGATGATGTCTATGCAGAATGAGATCACACATGAAAACGCATTCTTGGCAAGAACAGAATTTCGACGATAAAGTAACTCCATTAGAGCTGAGCAGGCATCTTTTTCACCTTCCAAGAGCCTGTTCTGAATTATACGACTGCACACCTCTTCTTTTGACAAGTGCCCAAATGCATCACAGAGGGCTAACGTATCTGACAAAACAGACTCATCAATCGAACGTTGGTGAGATATGAACTCCGCTAGACGAATTGCATGTCGTGGATTGTCCACGTGAAAGAGCTCCTTTGCCGCGTCTCCACAATAACGACCGACAATCCCATCAATGAGCAAGAGTCTTGAAGCTTCCTCTAATTCTGATCTCAGAGCCGAATCTCCGGCAGCCCACTCAATCGCATCAAGCGAGAGCTTTGATAGCCATTCGGGCGAGTAATGACAAAATTTTGCAGCTCGGAGTGTAACAAGGACGACTTCGCATTTTGTCTTTGTCGCCATGCAACATTGTGATAGTGATGCTGACTCATCGACAGCTCTTTTTGTTGTCATGTTTCCACCACACAAGTCCTTCGTATATTGTTTGATAGCCTTATCAGCATTGGCTGACGATTCAAGGCAGAACCACTGGAATTGAGAAGAAAGCATCTCTCCTCGTTGCTTGTTGTCTCTTGCGCTTTGAGAAAATAGCCGTACAAGATCCTTTGCAATAAACTGTGCACCACCGCAACTCGAATATGTCCTCAGGGTTATCAGTTTCTTTTCCAAGCCTAGTTCTCGTGCATGTTTCAGACACCGGGCTGCAACCAGCTTCGATTCTACACAATCTTCACTTTCGTCGATCGTATCGATCGATGAATACCGACGAGCTCGTGCCTTCTGAGCCCCTCTTCGCATTGTTGAAAACTCTAGGAGAGTAGGTGCTGGTGTTTGTTCGCCTTCCAATCTTTCGTCTGTCGGAACTTTCTCCGATTGTTGAGAAGGGACAATTGACTTCACACTTGAAAAGCTGAGATCTGCAGACATGGGATGGGGCGTGTAAGAGTTCTTCTGTCCAATCCGTCTTTTCTTCTTCATAATTCTGTCGACAAAGGGTGTGTAGGATGCGAAAGAAGAGTGCACATTAACGCGAAGTTCCTTCGTTCCGCGTTCCAATATCTGTAAATTGCAAATGGACGAATTTCTTTTGAGATGAACCACAACAACACCCACCACTTTCACAAATTCAGACTTACTTCTAGAAGGAAAATTGCATTCTCAAGGCCATCTCCCTCAACAGCATCGTCAAAGTCATCGGCCATGCGGCAGGACCATTCGAGAAGCGGAGGGAGGAGTTCGTGATTGATAGAAAGACTAGGAACAACGACCTCGCTCAACAGACTGGCATACTCCCGAGGGTTTATCTGTGACGAGATATCCAAAATTACCGTAACCATTGCCTCAGTACTCAGTTTTGGTTGAAGTGGAGACCTCCACAGCTGCTCCGCTTGTGGAAAGCACTCGCTTTGGACGAGGCAACCGAACATATGCTTGACTGACACAACAGACGCAAACTGAGGATTCAAAGGAGCATTCTTCCCCATTATAGATTGGAGGTATTGCATCGCAATCAGCCTCTCTTCCAACTGATTGGTCTTAGCATCGAGCTCTGATGATTCAGAAAGCTGTGTAGAAACCGGTTTAATCCCACCGATGATCCCCTGCAGTCCAACCACTACATCCCACAGTGTAGTTTGGCCCCTCTGAATAGCTTTTTCATCTGGCCAATTTAGAATTGCATCTGCTGCAGATAGGAGAGTTTGCGTGCCAAGACTGTTCCCCGACAAAGCCCCATTGGACAACTGGTTCAAGCACGCTCTTGAGAGCCTTGCTGATTCAGCATCACGGACGCCCCCTCTGGACAGTAGCGCATGCAATTCCTGCAGTGCAATCTCAGAAGGATGGAATCGTGCGAAAGGATCTGCCTGCAATGTCTGGGATCCAATTTCGGCAACAATAACGTTTGCTTGTCGAAAGTGGTTAGTTCTCGCCAGCAGCCGGATTGATCCAAGGGAAGATCCGTTGGGAATAAATTCGTGACACTCCATTGATTGTTGTTGCTCACATGACGTCAAACATCGAAAAGCATAAGGCTTGTCTTCGTCAGGCAGGGGCGAAATAGACATTGACGTGACTGTGTTTGGCACAGGAATGTAGTAGACAGGGTGTAGTTCTCCAATCTTTCCATTGATTTCGTCGACACTTCCTTGTATTAGCCTCGACTTAATAGCTGGTGCAAGACCATCTTTCCCGGATGGTGAAGTGGTTGCTACCACCATTGCGAGCGAAGTCACTTCTGCGGAAGACGTGACTGGTTCGAGTGCAAGTATGCGTGTGCGAGTGTTGTTCCCACTGCTATCTTTTGAAACAGCATAACTCCCTGCCATTTTCAGTTTTTCGAGGTCATAGACTCCTACCTGACTTTCATCAGTTGAGCTTGCAGCAAACAAAAGGAAGCTGTGCTGTGATCCGATATGTTGTATTCTTAGTCCCAGCGTAAAATCAACCCCCCAATTCTCTGTTTCGTCACCACCGACGGAGACATCTTTCGTTATCGTCGAGCCAGTTTTGCTTTCAATATTGTAATCATGAATGGCGATGTTGCCATTCCCATCAACCAATGCGAATCTGACTTGTTGCCTGCTACGATAGTATCCCTGAATTGCTCGGCTGTCGGGGACTTCCTTCACCTTTAGTTCATGAAATACAATGCATTTCACGGCATCCTCGACAATTCCTTCTTCAGAGTTATTCAATCGATTACCGTCAATATGGGATACCAAGATGGCAGGAACATTTGCTTCTGGCGGTTCTACGACCAAGGTGTCGAGCTGTGTTCCTGCAATGGCGGACCGACGAACAAAAGAAATCTCCGCTGGTATTCGTATGCCCGCTGATGCAACACGTCGTGAAGCCAGAACGTCCCCATTGCTGCCTTTGAGAACTGCGACTGTCCCATTGTCAATTGCTGCTGCAATGATGCTCCCATCTTTGTTGCAAGCCACGCGACAAACGCGATGGGGAGCAAAGGATCTCTTCCATTTTGTCCACTTGTTGTCATTGGGATCATGCAAAGTTGTTCCACATACAACAGTCCGGTGGGCTATTGCATGGGAGGCAATCGAAACTCTCTGTGCTTCCCAGGAGCTAGAACGATTCTTGTCGGCAATGGTTTGATCCCATCCGGCTATTTGAGCATCCGGGTCCACGGCTTCATCCAGCGACAATCGATTGATTTTGGACATTTGATATTCACAATAAATTCGTCGTTTCCTGCTCTTTGAATGCTGCTGATAGTGAGTTATAGTATAATGTGGGCTGAAGTAAAATAGCAAGACAATAGCCAGAAAGCCAAAGGTACAGTAATGGGTTCACCGTAAATTTTGTTTCTTCGTCACATGATACTGGTACCACAATGTCGAAAAATAACGGTCGTGCTATATTTTAGTCCACTAAATAATTCGAGTTTTATTTTGAATTCAAAATTCTGAAACGACTTCTTCGAATGACTTTTTTCAAATACACAAAGCTATTTCACGTTTCCAATTTGTCCAAAACGCTTTCACGTTTCCAACTTTGCCCTGATCGTCTCCTTCATTCACCATGTCCAATGATAAAACCAACACCATCGACACCAATCCTTCAGATACAGCCATGAGCGACCCAAATCCTGACTCTACTCAAAAGAAGACAACGCGATATGAACTTTTGACCAAACTGATTGACATGACCTTGTCACGAAGTCGTTCCTCCCTCAATATGGATCAGATGGTGCGGGACACTTACGGCAGCGATGCTTCCATCTTCGGTGGACAAGAAATACTTGAAGGCATCGTGGATAACATGCTTGATAAAATGGAAGATACTGTAAAAGAAAGGATCAATCAACACATGGAGAAACTAGGTGTCAAAACACGTTTGGACGAAATTGAAGACATTATTCACGAGTTGGAAGAGGAAGCTCGACGTCAGCAGCAAAGTGAACAAGACGATATTGATTCGGCGAGACAAGCTTTTGATCAAGCTGTGCTCCCAGAAGGTGTCAATCTGGGGAAAGCTATTCATTATGTCGCCTATCAAAAGAAACTTGAACACAAGGAACAATTGGCCAAAGCGCTGCAAGACATGGAAGATGAAATTGCAGCTCTCAAAAACCAGCAAGAAGAGGCCGAAAGCAAGGTTCGGAAGAATTCTCAAAAATTGCAACAAGTGGCCCAAACGCTCGAAAAGTCAGCGGATGTTTGCTCCATGGTGACTGCAGCTTCGTAAGCTACATTGGTCTGGCTTGGGAGATCAAATATGGCTATTCACCATCATGACAGGGAGTCATTTCCTCATGAAAAAGACTGGACGGGTTTGATAAATTTATTCGAAAACAAATGTAGTCGACGGAATGGGGAGATATGCTTTGTTCTGTATCCTTCAGCTTTGAAACCTTGATATGTGGTGTTCATTCCTTTTGTTTTTATAGTCCTTTGGTTTATTGTCCTTCGCCTTGATGAATAACACTTATAGCCCATTTCTACTGCTCTTAGCATAGTATAGGAACATGCAGCCGGAATCTCTGAAGGAGCCATTCATTCGTATTCAATGGCCTCGTTTTACTACCGAGGTCGAGAACAACAGTTCGCCATACCTGTACTCCAGATCCTTGGAAGATCATCATTGCAAGGATCGACGTCATCTCACTTATATGGGGTTATGCCAGTGCAGTTTCCACATGGTTTCAACGCATGAAATCTACTATTTTAGCCGCCTGACTTTTTGTTCCCTTAAATAAGCCGTAAATTGAAATTTGAAAATACCTCAAAGCAAAATTTCCATCGTAGGCGATTCAAGTACAAACTTCGTAGATTGGACAATCCAACGTCGGCCGTACCAGCTGTGGTAGGAGACCTCTTGGCCTACCAGGTCCATGAGGCAAAAAAGAAGTTGGGATTGAACCAAGATAAGGTCCAGGAAACCATCGTTCCGTGCTGTGGACAAGAGTTTAGAGTGGAAAATCGTTGAATGACTGTGCTGTTCTTGGAAGTCTGCTTTTCTTTGGTTTAAATAGTGTTTTTCCTTAGGTTTTACGGGCAAGTTTGGTGAAGCCAAACACTCTGCAATCATCTCCATGACGCTGCCAAAAACGACCGAAAGTAACTCCCAAAAAGGATCGGCTTCAGGGCAAGCGCAATATGCTAAGCTTCCGAAGAATTTGGCACCACCGCCCCCGCCAACAATTACCAATGTAGCGCCAGGAGCCATGGGAGGCCCAACAGGACCTCCTCCTCCTCGGCACGCTGCGCATCGGTTTTACACGTTTCCAGGTGCAGTCCCATTCGATCCCACGGATCGAGGAGCTCCTGGTCCGTACACTGCCGCGCAATATGAAAAGGCTCGTGCTGGGATGGGCTTACCGCACTACGCTCAGCCACCGCCACCACCAGGTGCAAGGGGAGTACAAGCATCGAATTCTGGATCGCCCAAATCTCAGTTGAATCGGGGCAGAGACCAAGCGCCTCCGCGTCCTCACTACCCCCCGCCCATGCATGGTCCTCCAGATCGTCATTCTGTGGCGCAGCCTCACTCAGGATCTTACCCTCAAATGGAACACCGTCCTCCACATTGGCCTTCTGGTGGTGCGAGATTCCCCCCACCGACTTTCGCCCAGCCATATCCCCACCCTCCTGGAGCAGATCACGTGCATCATGCCCAACCTGGTCCGTATCGGTATTCCGACTCATCATTGAGAAGAGAGGCTGTTTCAAGGCTCACCAGCGCGGATCGATACAATGTTCAATTAGATGATAGAGAAGGGGCAACTTCTCCCAGTCAGATTGAGACTTCACACCGGGAAGAAGTGACGACAATGGGATGTACTTGTAAAAAGACAAAGTGCTTGAAGTTATACTGCCAGTGCTTTGCTGTGAAAATCTACTGTGGTTCAAACTGTCGGTGTCTGGGATGCTGTAATACTCAAGCCTATGAAAAGGATCGCAAGGAAGCCATACGGAACATTCTTGCCAGGAATCCAACTGCCTTTGATACCAAATTCAAAAAGACTTCGGATGGTCAAATTATAATTGACAAGGCAGTGCCGGCACCAGCACCATTGGATCGAAGTCTAGCACACAAGCTTGGATGCAAATGTAGGAAGAGTGCCTGTGTGAAAAAGTACTGCGAGTGTTACGCTGGGGGCGTCAAGTGTAGTGCCAATTGTCGGTGTTCGGGATGCAAGAACATGCCAATTGGCGGTTTTGGTAATGGTCCACCCAGTATGACTGGAACTCCAATTCTGCCTTCGACTGCAACAACCCAGCCTGCCCAAGGCGGAAAAACCAATGGATCACCACGCCCAGGGTGGATGATGAATGCTGCCCAAAATCTGGTAAGTTGACTGATTTTCATTATTTTTTTATGTGTTTTGCATGAAATCATAACTAATTCCGGATGTTCCCTTCACCAGGCATTCCTTAAACACGCTTCTCCGGCCGCACAAAAGGCGAAACGAATGTCCATAGAATCTGTCGATATGGGGTCCATGCCTTCTTTAGCCTCAGAAGGATCATCATCACCTTCAGCAGAAGCGCATGGTAATGGTAGTACAAAGACCAAGACAAACGCAGGTGCAGGTATAAGCGCGAGCATTCCCGCAAATGCAACTTCTGGTGCAAATACCAATCAAGCTGGAGATAGGGGTAAAGCCACCGCGGCAACGGCGACGAAAGGAGCCCAGAAGAAGATAGAAGAAGCAACTTCTTCAGAGAAAACTGCAGTTAGCGCGTTATTGATGGCAGCTGTGGCAATGACGGAAATGGTCAGCACGGATGATGGTGAAACTGCAACTCCGCCAGCAAAAACGACGTCTTCGCGAGAACCGATGGAAGTGGACTTTGAAACTCCGCAAAAGAACCTTCTGGACAAGTTCAACTCACCAAAGCGAAAAGTAGGCGACAGAGAAGTGCCCAAAATGCCGGCTGAAACCGGTTCCATGAGTGAAGCGCAAAGCAGTAGTGGTGATGATGACTCTCCGAAGAGGGACTTCGAGGGGAACAACACCCCGCACAGCAACCAGCAAAAGGTGAAACGAAGTCGGATTGGGTCGCATAAGAAGTTTTCAAAGACCTTGGGGAATGACTTGGATCCAAAGCAAGTAGCCAGTGACGTTATTGCTTCCACAGACTTTTCAACACCGAATACCAAGGGACAATTCAAGACGGCTGACTTGACTCCTGTGTCCGCAAGATGTATAGACTTTCGCAACATGCATGTCAACGAGACAACTACTGCCAAAGCGGAAAATTAAAGCTATATTGTAGGCTGAACAATCGGGACACCTGCTTTCTAACAAGGCATATACAGATATAGATAAAACCCAATTTCAAATTAGTAGCCGGAACAAGAGTGCACATTTTAAAAAATTGATCTAGCAAAAAGTGAATATACCATATGCTAGTACCCCTCATTGCTCCAAGTAATATCATAGTCGTTATATCGATCATCTCTTTCGACTACTGCTTTGCTCATGGCATGATCCGCGAGTCCGAATCCATAACTGTATCCGTAAATGGAACACGTCTTATTCGCAATATCTAAGGCAATACGTCCACCTCCAAGTATCCGAATCGAACTGTAATTGTTCCGCTCCAGTATTTCAATGAACGGCTCTGCTGCATCTCGATGGTACTCAGCCCCCCTACGACTAACAACAAAGTTTTCACGGATGTTCCCTCCTGGGAGACAAGCGCTAATCAGCACGTACTTGTGGGCACCTGCATCAATCGATACGTTTGGAACTCGAGCAAAGTCGTTGGACGAAGTCGTCGCTTTGTCACCAGCATTTGCTAGTCTCGCTTGTAGCTCTGCTGCCTTGCGCTGGTCTTCTGCATTTGTAGTGGCCATCGTGTTCAAGATTTTGTGATTTCCTGTGTGAGACATTCAACAAGTGAGTTTTTATACACAGGAAACGACGTTAGTCGACTGAGTCAAAGTACCACACCTTCGAGCTTCGCACGCATCCATCCAATCCATCATCTTCATTACAAGTTCAACCAGCACTGTACCTCTACAAAAGCTATAACAATAGATATGAAGATCTCCTCAATTGCCGTTTCAGCTTCCCTACTTGTCTCTGGCACACATGCCTTTGTGGCACAGAAGCGGACACAAAGTATTCGAAGTGGATCCACACCTCTCTTTCTTGAACCATCGGCCATCACTGAATATATGGTGAAGGCACACGAAGATAAATTGAAGGCAGTGCAGCAGATAGAAACACAGAAAAACGAAGAAATCAAGGTACGATTGAATATTACATTTTGGCTCTTGCGCACTGCCACAACTAATCCTGGCTCCTCCATGTTAATTTGTAGGCACTCAGAGCTGAATTGTCGGCGGCTCAACAACAGGCATCTTCCTCTTCCTCTGCCATAACGCCAGCCATCAGTGGACATATTGCCGACATGAGCAAGGAAGAACTTGTACAGAAGCTCGTTGCCTATCAACAATTTATGTCCAAGTACATCGTGGAAGCTCAGCAAAACAAGGCGAAGGCCGTCCTTGCTGCCGAAAATGCGATGAAGCAGAAGTATGAAGAGAAGCTAGTTTTCCTACGAGGCACAAATCCAGCACCAATGCAAGCGGCTCCCACACAGGCATCAGTAGATACCAAACTATACCAGGAACGCAGTGAGAAAGTATCCGCCGCTGCAAAGGCTGGAAAGTCGCGATGGGGTGATATGGAGAACAAAAGAGCGGCTCAAGCAGCAACCAACGTAGTAGCACCTGCCGTTGTTGCTCAAGAAGTAAAACCTGTTTCAATTGAAGCGCCAAAAGGTGGTGATCGAAGCCTCTACGATAAGCGTATTTCAATGGTTGCGGCTGCAGGAAAAGCCGGAAAGTCGCGATGGGGTGAAATGGAGGTGATGAAAGCAACAACTGCAGCGACTGCATTGCCAGCTAGTACCGCTGCTGCGCCTACAAAAGCAACACCACAATCCGTGACAGCATCAAAGACTGTTGGAATTTCTGTTCCCCCTGAAGTTGCAGCAGCTGATCACGGGTTGAGAAACGATGGCGGAGTTGGTGGACCTTCTCTAGCAGAGCGTATCAACCTAGGGGCACAGCTTTTGCAACAAGGCTCAGCTGCGGTTGCACCCACTTCTGTCGCTGCTCCAGCTGTAGCACCTTCGGCATCTGCTCTATCATTGTTCCAAAAGCGGAATATGATGGTAGCTGCAGCAGCAAAGGCCGGAAAGTCTAGATGGGGTGATTTTGAAGTCAAGAAAGCTCAATCAATTGTTGCGACATTGCCAAGCGCAGCGGAGGCTGCTCCAGCTATTGCAGTAGTTGCAACCCCACCGGAAGTTGCAGCAGCGGACCATGGTTTGAGAAACGACGGTGGAGTTGGTGGTCCTTCACTAGCAGACCGTGTTAATTTGGGTGCATCTCTCCTAGGAAAATGAATATGATATATTGTAGAAGTAAATTACGTTCGTGACGACTCCTCGGTAGTAGCTAGGTTGGATATTGTTCTTACCTGCTTACAACAGTATCAACTCTGAATTTGCCCATTTTTATTCAACCGATTTTGGGTACCCGGATGTCTTGTACCAAACGTACGGGTGCGGATCGATGACCAAAGTGCAGCCCTCGTAATTCATTGCCCAAAGTGAACACCAAGGAGACCTTCAAGCGATGGAAGCAACACAACAGGCACCATCGGCATCGTCGGAATCAATCGGCCGAAATGGCGAGTCAAGACGGAAGCCCAATCTGACTCAACAGCAGAGCTCAGCGGCTCAAGCAGCATCATCACTCGCATTGTTGCTTCGCGAAGATCCATTCTTGACAAAACTGGATATGCATGTTTCTGCAAAAGGTGATGAAACCTCATTTGCTTATGCCGCATCCCTTCTCGAGACGAGTGATTCTAGGAGCCACCAGCAGTGTGCTGAAGATGCGTTGGGTGAGGTTGGCCGTAAGCTCGCTCTGGTTGAGTCATTGGCAGAACGAGTCTCGAGAACGAGTCCAGAAGCTGTTGCTGCTCCCTTGCTGCGTCTTCATGGTCATGTTATCGAGGAAGAAGCTGAAGAAGATGGAAATGAACGCTCTACAAGTGATTCAGGAACATCGACTCTAGTGGCTACGCGTGAGAGATGTGATCGATTGAAACGACAAGCTGAAGTGTTGGAAGGTGTCGCAACGCGAGTGGAATCTTCGCTCGGCAGGGGTCTGTCCCGAATGGAGAAAGCAACAAATCGGTTGTCATGTGTTCTTCAACTTTCTGCAACGCTGAAGATGACTCTTCGTCTACAATTCGAGGCATCAAAGTTGGAGGGATTCTATTTGGATGACCTCAGAGATTTGACTCGGGCGGCAGCTTCGGTAGCAGTTATCGAGGACTTGTTGTCAAAACCTGAACTAAGCAAGGGGCACAAGATTGATATTGTGGAGGCAATCCGTCCACAGGCTGAAAAGACTGCAGCTGCTGTGCGAAAAGCTGCAGAAGCTCTATTAGCCGAGCATCATACAAGTGACAGCGCTTCATCTACCGGAGCGGTCATTAAGCTTGGGGCCACGCTTCAAGTCTATTTCCATCTTGGAGAGCTTCCACAAGCAGCATGGACGGCTATTAATCATGCCCTTTCTAAAGCAGGAAAAGCTACAAGCGAGTTCTTGTCTCCTACAACTCTTTCACGCCTCAATGACACAGCAACAACAGAAGCAAAATTAGCAACCAGTGGTTCGAGCAAGAAGCTTTCGGACGCGAATGTGCAACGAGCATTGAAAAAGAAGCTTACGGAGCTGCGTGCCGAAGCAGCGAATAAGTGGGCCACCGAGATTTCCGAGAGTGCAATGCATGCATGGAATCTTCATCAGGTTCTCTGCCGCAAATCTGATCCAGTATCTCGTCAGTTGTTTGTTGATGTTGTATCTGCTGCTCCACTGCCTGAGAAATTTCATCAAGTGAACAGCAAAGAAGGCGATTTCAGTATCTTTTCGGTTTTTTGGGGCTACCTTTGCCAAAAGATGGGAGATAGGCTGAAACATGTGTTGGAGTACGAGAATGGAAAATTTGCCAAGGATGTGTCAGCACTGTACCCCACTGTCCGCTCGGCGTCTATTAAGATGCTTGCCTCAATAAATGATACCATGCAGGCTGGGCTGGGTGCAGTATCGCTTGAAGACCCTACTTCAACATCTTCGAATGGGGTTCTTGGAGGGTCTGCAGGTCTAGATGACACTTTCTTGAAGTGGAGCACTATGTCAGAGTCTCATCAAGGCCGTGGTCACGGCCCTGTCAGCGCTGATACATGGACGACATCCAAAATAATGACAGGTGATGTCGATCGCTCCACAAATTTCAAGACGTCAGGCATTACCATGTCAATGTCAGCAGTCTTCAATTCTAGCGAATGGATGACACTTCAAGGTAGCCATGAATCCAGCAGTGGACTTTTCAGACTGCAGCAGGCATTTCTAGAGACATCTAGCCAGCGCCTTTGCGCTCCTCTTCAGTACATGTTTCCAGACAACGTGACAGTAGATGAGATGGGCAATGCAATTTCACACCTCCCACTTCTTCCATCGCGCCACGATGTCCAAAAGTTCGATATTAATATTCGACAAGAACTCTCCTTGGCTGATCCAAGAGAAGGAGGCGGCGACTTGTCTTCGGTATCAATGATCGCTGAAAACGTCATCAACATGATTTCTCAATTCTGCGAGCAAGCGAAGAACGGCATCAGCCACGTGGGCGAAGATGGGCTCATCAATGCAAGTGATGACACACCCAGCGAAGCTTTGTTGCATGACATGAAGGTATCAAAGATCATGAGTGCTATGGCAAAATCGCTCCGAACTGCACCAGAAAAAGTCTTCCTCGAGCCCTACCGCCCAGCTGTTACGTCGAAACTGGAGGATGCCGCCAGCATTTGTGAGCAAGCTCTTAGACCTGGCTTACTCGAAATCGAAAAGTTTGTCAAGAAGAACATTCTTGGTCCCCTTTCCAGAGTCCTCAATAGGCGAATTGCCGAAGCCATAGGAAGAATGCACTACGGTTCCTATCTTCACTCTGATACAAGCGACCCAGATGCTCCGTCCTTTGTTCAAAAGCACCTTTCAGGTTTGTTCGATAGACTGGCCATTCTACATCTATCGAAGTTGCCACCTGAATATGCATGTGTAGTGGCTTCAACAGTCGCTACCTACGCTTTGTACAACTTTGTTTCGAACGCTGCTCTAATTAGACCACTAGGGGAAGCTGCGAAACTGAATGTTACACAAGATTTAGCAGACTTTGAATTGGCCTTGGAACAATTCATTGTCAAGAGTGGAAGCTCAGAACATCTCAGTGAAATTGGTAACGGTAAACCTTACGCGGAACTACGGGCAATGCGCAACATGCTCTTTTGGACTGGTTTGGAAGATACTAGCAGATCTTCCACTATCATTGCCAAGTCTCTTTTGCGAGAGGTCTGGATCAAGGATGTTCGACCTTCGACTGTGTTCCATTTCCTCTTCTCGTTTGCACCAAGCTTGCTTTCTTCACCCCATCATTTCAAGAAAGTCAAGGCTGAAGACTACGCACGATCATTGCAGTCTTTGTCTGGTGAAATTGAAGAGGGGGAAGCGTCAGCATGGATGACAACAATGGCATGTTGCGATTCGTACAAGCAACGCGAAAGTGCTCAGGCGACTGGTGAAGGTGATGCACGCATTGCCTCAATATTGATCTCATTGGGACCGGAATTGTTGAGACGTCGTAGACCCTGAATAAATGCTATCCTCCGCTACTTTATTTCCCTATTTCTCCATTACTTACAGTAGAAATCAGATTTTGCCAGATGGCCAATGAGACCAGTTTTCACATATATGACCGTTTTTCACAATTAAACCACTTATCACTAAATTTCTGCAGATTCAATTGCCATCTGTTGGATTGACGACTCAAACAAGAAAAACAACATAGTACGTTTGCCATGCAACAAATCGAAATAGGATGAAGCAAAGGGTCGGAAGTGGTGAACACGCAGCATTGGGCGACAGTTCACTAGCAGAAGCTATGAGCCAAGTACATCGACAAGTCAGCATGTCTCAGCAACGAGCCCTTCAGAATGCACAAGCAACTATCTCCAACGCAACACCACATGATGTTCAAGTACGATTGCCACAACATCACCAAGTTGCTCCAATTGCCCCTGCACTATCAATACCCGCACATGCTTTCATTTCGTCCCAAGCACAACAGCTTGTACACCTTCAACGCCTGCCCAATATGCAACAACATGCTTTCAATATGTATCGACCACCGCTTGCACAAGAGACTACATTCAAAGACAAAAAGTTGAGAAGTGGGAAGTGGACACCAGAGGAAGAGGCTTACGCAGATATTCTTATTGAATTATTTGTTAAGGGTCAAGTAGATTTAGAGAATGGAAGCACCCTTCGTTCGTTTCTCGCAAAGAAACTGCACTGTGCTCCGATGAGAGTAACAAAGAAATATGCTGGGAAAAGCAAGGGAAAGGCATCGTACTTGGGGAAGAAGAATAGCGTTGCAATAGACCCTGTAGGATATCAAAGAAATTTGACAAGACTACAGACGGCGAAGAAGAATTTTCTGAAAGCAGTATATCCCGAAATGAGTGTGGTCAGTATATTCTCTAAATGGTCGTCGCTCTGAGAAGCCTCGTACTCACTATTTTTTTCTTACATGGAACAAGTAGACTCACAAAGCAATACCGGTACGAGCTTACTCATTCACGTCAGAATTGTTTTCCACAAACGGCTCACGTCTTAGTTTCGTTTTTCCTAGCTTGGAATCGTCCCCCTTCTTCCCAACCCAAACTCGAACACGCCTTCATGGCCTCAGTACTCGTTTCCTACATCGAATTTGACTGTGTCACCAAACGCAGCATCATATGCTGTGGTATCGCGGAATCCAGCGGTTGAAATGTCATCCAGGCCTAGACCTTCCATTTCAATGATCGGGGGAGCAAATCGCTCTCAGCTCCATAGCCACCCTCCTCAACCTAGTGCGTCGAATTCCAACATCAAAAGTCAAACACTGCACGAATCCTTCTTGAAGGCTGTTCAAAAGAACTCAGTGACACAAGCCCAGGCTACCAGTGCACCAACAGTAAAACCGCACCCAGTGAAGCTCCTCCATAATGCGTATGTGACTGCAACAGAGGCGACGGGCATGCCACCTCCTTCATCATTCATCCCTGCCGCAACGATAAGTGCACCACCCCCAAGTCATTCGGCCGCCATCAGACCAAAAATATCTAAGATTTCGATCTCTGGAAATGTGCCTCAAGCAAGTGAAATGCCAGACTTCTTGAAAGGATTCGACGAGGTCACTGGAATGGAAAAATCACCAACACCTGGCGCAAGTACTTCTGATCACCACACGCCTACCTTCACCAGTAAATCCTTTGACGACTTCCATCGCTTTCTAGGCGTAGACATCTCGCCATTAAATTCACAGCAGACTGCAAATGGCAAGCCGGCAAACCAGAGTGTCCCATTCTTGCCAGGAAAAGATATGTCGAAATCAGACTCGATGGTGCAGCATCGCGGCATACCTGGAATAGGAATGGGTCGTATCCAACAACAAGGTTCTGGAAATGACACTAGACCACACCGAGCAAATCTCGGAAAAAATGACAATCCAGATTTACTTGCGCAAGCATTCACAGAAGCAATGTCGCATGCATCATCGAAGAACCAGCCAGTCCAACACCTTGGAGCTGATTATTACACGTTGTTCGCCCAGCAAACTGCTCTCGCTGCTAGTCAGCACTCGGCGTATATGGGGGGTCCTAAAGCCGAATCAACTCATACGCATGTCCCCAGGGGTCCTACCACAGTGTCAAGGAGAAAGTCCGCTCTAGTCAGTGAACCCCCGACGACGTCTGGTTCTGACCGCGGCACAGAAGAGAGTGATGACTTGACAGCTGAAACTACCTGGGGATCTTCAGATACCGCATCGAGCTCAAATGACTCGGACGGCACTAATTCTGAATCTTCGAGAAAGCGAAAGAAGGCGCGGATGTCACGTTTGTCCCCTCGCAAGAGGATGCATGGAGTGCAAGAGAAGCAAACGGCACCATCAAACAACTGTCAAATATCAAACGATGTGGCGAATACACTTCATAGATGCTAGAGTGTGTTGCTACACTACAGCAAGACTAAGCATAGACTATGTGTGATGTTTGGCTTAATGTTATGAGCTCTTTGTCGTCGTCTGACGCTCTTTCCATTGTGCGTTGACATAGAATCGAAGCTCTTCGTTTGCTTTGATATTATCCGTGTATAACCGTTCAAGACCATAGATTCCTGCCTTGACATGTGTCTTGCTGTAGTGCTCTGGTGGTTTCTCTTGGTTCGCCCTATCATCGGCATCTGGTAGATCTGTGGCTGCCACCACAAGGTTCTTTTCCAAGAATGTGAATCTATGGGCTCCCATCTGTAATCAAAACGAAAAGTGTCAGTTTTGGCAGAGGAACAACTGATCTCAACATCCACGAACTTGACTGTTCTCTACTTACATCCCATTTGTCTTGGTGCAAAATGATCGTTCGTCCAGGAATTCGCATGCTAGGTTTGTCTTCAACTCCAATGACAAACTCTTGTTTCTTTGCCAATGCTTGTTCCTTGCTAGCCTCCCAGATATCGATTTCACCAGCCTTGAATGGAGTCTGTCCGTGACGTCCAAGCACTTTGTTTATCATTGCTCCCAAAATACATGGACCTGCTGTGAAGAGAGTATCGAATGCATGAAGAATAGAAAGTTCGGGATCCGGGCAAAAGAGATTGTCGACATCAACGGAAGTGAATCGATTTCGAACATTGTTGACAACAGTTTCAATGACCTTGGCCAAGAAAGGATGGCCAGGAGCAGAGGCGATAAGACCATTCCAAAGACACATTCGAGTTTCGACTGGTGTACCGGGCTGTCATCATATAGCAATAAATGTAACACAAACGGTCGCATTAGGCTTTCATATAATCCATATGAAACATGTACCTCCAAAGTGTTCACGTACCTCATCTTGGGGAACCATAAAACCAATGTCAGGTTCGACTGCCAAATCCAGATTCGTCTCGAGCATAATGTCCATATCGGCATAGACACCTCCATGAATCAATAGTGCACAATACCGGAACAAGTCAGCCTTAAAGGCCCCCGGTCGCAAAGTATCATAAGCTTGTCTCACTTCTGGAGGAAAGTGGGTTGACAAGAAATTTTGAGCCTCTTCATCCGTGTAGAAAACATAACTCCAACCTGATTTCTTGAAGGATTCAATGAGACGGCTCATGTTGGGGTACTTTTCTTGTGTCACATCTTCGAACCATGTTTGGTGAATAATTTTTGGAATAAGACGAGAAGGATCTCGCGCATACAAAGGTGGCCGAATGACTAGCTCTTTCGAGATAAATTTTTCCTCCACGGGTGTGTGACACAGAGTCTTACAATAGCACGGACACGCCGAAGCACATTTTTGACAATTAGCACCCTTCTTATCTCGTAAGCAGTCACTGCACTTCTTATCAGAAGGCAAACAATCATTCTGCAGCAGGATATCGAAAAAGTTCGGCGTGATCAATGGCTGCTCCGGTCGTTCCAAGACCTTTTCCGAGATTGTAGAAATATATGGCAGATCATCTTCTTCGTAGTGTCCAGCCTCAGCATTAAGAGGTTTGGGAAGATCCTTTGGATGCGGAAGCATTTGATACGGTAGCATCAAATGTTTGGTCATCATGTGCGTGGTGTACTTTTGAGGATCAAAGATACTGCAGCAAAAGCCGTTTGCTTCTGGGCAATTTTGATTCAAGCTGTAGCCAAATATACAGGACAGACAAACACGTGGTGAGAGATACGCGTTGGAGGGTCAGCAATATGGGCATATGGGATGTACAATACTCACCGATAGGTGTTCAACGCATAACTTGAAATGGGAGCAGAGACCTGTCTTCCTCCGAGAGGATTGATGGTACACTTGTGTTGCAGCAGGTACCAACCGTTGCTTACGGTACCAGGAACCAATGTTCCAACTTTGGCATCTGCGGCAATGGCATCATATAGACTTTTTGTAATTAGGAGTGGAGATGCTTTCAACACGTCCAGGGAAGTTGTTGTAAGAACTTCGACCATTTGTTTGGCAATAGTCCCATCCTTCAGATAGAGCAAGGCCCCGTGAATCGCTTGAGACACATATTCGTCATTGAGTAGTGCAATATTGTAGGGCAGTTCTTCGCCCAGCAAATCCTCCAAGGTTGTCAACATGGGACTGTCAGCATCCACAAACAAACCGCCATCATTTTGAGCCAAAGCACAATATTTGAGCAACTCCACTGCCAGATGTGGGTGCGTAGATTGAAATTCGTCATAGCGAGACTGCCCTTTGTTACAAGCTGGCAACACAAAATTGGGAAGCGTGGTAAACTTGGCGTTCAACTCCACAACAGTGCTCACCAACGAGGACTGCTTCAAGTCTTGTTTCAACTTGTTGGCATTAGGAGATTCAGAATTGGAGACAAATACTGCAATGGTAGAGCCATCGTTTTCCGCGGTCAATCGTCGTCGTTGAAAACCATTGGAAGTGTCAATCGCCGCGTTTTCGCCAGCAATCAACTGTTGAACGGACCTCCGAACATCATCAGAAACAACCGCAGCAGTTCCCACGACGGCTAGCAAGGCACAGAAAACTTGTAGAGACTTGGGCAATCTGCTCTGCTGTCTATTGGAGGAAGAGGCTTTGTCAACCATCTTTTGCGGTTGGAATGACGAGCTCGAAGACAACCAACACTTTCAAACTCGTCTACCGAGCATTAGCATTGGACGTTGTCGACTCCCAGCTAAACAGCTAAAGAAGTCCGCAGATCCGTTGAGTGAAACTCCGCTTTTATGTAGTAACTTCATGTCGTTCACTTGGTACTGGAAAAACTTTAAAAGTCTGTCATGACACGTTTTGCTGTGACGCAAATGCCACCGACGTCTTTGGTTCGCGACAATTCAAGTCATCGGTGTTGTGTGTGCTGCAACATCACGAACAAGGTCTTTAGCTTTCCAGCATGTTTGAGTGGGCGCAAAAGACATTTGATCAAATCTCACAGACAGTGGCTCCTCCACCAGAGGACGGACCTGGTCGATTTGCTTACAATGTCCAACGGAAGGAGGAAGATGTAGCTCTGGGATGCATTGGAGAGTTCGATCCTGTTTACACCGTCGTCAACCAAGGGAAAGGCTGGTATCCCATTCATATGGCATGCCAGTACTCATTGACTCGACTAATTCGTCAATTACTGCACTATCCGGGCATCAACATTGAGCAGGTGGACATGATAGGAAACACTCCTTTGCACCACGCTTGCGCCTCATCGGATATGCGAGCACTGGAAGTTGTCCAGTTTTTGGTGAACGAATGCGGGGCGAACGTTTTGGCCAAGAATTCACAGGGACAAACTCCATACGATTTGGCTTCTAGCAACAATGTACGCCAGTTTTTATTGCCAATTCAGCTGCAAAAGGAAACTCAAATAGCTCTAGACAACGGAGGACAAGGATTGCCTCCTGGGATTGATTTGGGAGGATTGCGTATTAATAACTCCAATATAGCTCCACCTCCAATGTCTTTTGGTGGTGCGGAACCTAGAGCCCAGTCGACTCGCATGTATCCACCAACTCCGCTTCCTGTTGACCCAAATCGGATTGCATCGGCACCCGCCACAATGGTACCCAATACGAACACTACGGCCGCTTCCAACACGGCAGGAGGATACTCGTTAAGAGGATCATCTTCCGCAGCTATTTTCTCTAGCAAATACTCGGCAGATGGCTTTCATTCCTCTTCTTCGGATGTCAATTTGCAACAGAAGTATGGACATGCTACTGGGGTACGACAACAGGTTACGGCACCGCCTCCTTCCTCTGGCAATGCGGCAAGCCTAAGTTCGTTGTCAGAAACAACTCCAGCATCGGGGAATTTGGGGGGTGATCCCATGAACAATCCGTTTTCCCGTGGGTCGGCTTTACCCAAACAACGATATGTCTCGTTTGGGCCTACAGCCACACAGCCACCAGTTCCCCCCTACGACCAATTTGCACCAGCTACAGCCGCACCAGCCGTTCCATATAGTACATTTGCACCTGGAAATACTCCCGCTCAAGTATCTGCACCCGCAGCTCCTGCGACACCCTCCCAAACAGGTGCTCCGAATTCTGCCAATGTCCCCAGCACGCCATACATGCCTCCGCCACCATACCAAACTCAAAATTACGATTCGCCTTCCAAGCAACCAGGCTTTGTGTCTCCAGCAGCTGCGACCTATGGCGGTTCACCGATGACTCCTATGGTCCCTGCAGTGGCACCTGTGAGTGGTGGAAGTGCTCATGATCTGTTTGCGGCCCCTTCGAATCCATCAACCGAGACAACTCCTGCCCCCATCAGTGCCGGTAGTGCCCAAGAGCTCTTTGCTACACCTCAACCAGCAGACTCTGCTCCCAAGGAACCAGAGGTTCCAGCTGAGACTGCCCCTCAATCGTCTGCGGAGGGGCCAGATGAAGAAAAAGAGCAAATTCCACGGGTTGCACCAGCAGAAGAAACGACTGCCGAAGCTGCACCAGAAAAGCAACCGGAAGTTCAAGCAAAGCAGAAGGAGGAAGTAGATGCCGCAACGGGAGATGCACCACCGGTAACAGAGGTGACAACAGACCAAAGCCTTACAGAACCTCAGCCAAGTCCCGCGGGCGAGACTTCCGATTGGGTGGAGACAACAGATCCATCAAGTGGCCAAGTCTACTACTACAACACTGTAACTCAAGAGACCTCTTGGGAAGACCCTCGGGCAAAGGCTCCTGATGAAAGTACATCGACTGAATCTGATTGGGTGGAAACGGAGGATCCCTCTAGTGGAAAGATGTACTACTACAACAAGGTGACCCATGAAACATCTTGGGAAAAGCCTCTGGAACTCGCCGCAAATGAAACTTCAATAAACGATGAAACGAAAGAGGAATGGGTCGAGACTGTTGACCCAACTAGTGGACAAACATACTATTACAATCAGCGAACAGAAGAAACGTCATGGGAGAAGCCAGCTTCCATGACACAAACCGAAGATGAAAGGGCTACCACAAGCAGTGGCAGCAGTGAGTGGGTAGAGACTGTCGACCCAACCAGTGGGCAAGTCTACTACTACAATCAGGTGACCCACGAAACGTCCTGGGAGAAACCAGCGTCCATGACAGAACCGGAACAATCTGCTGCTCCTGCAGCTGATGGGGCAGCTACGACAGAGCCAAAAAATGATTCAACCCCGACTATCGACTGGGCGGAGACTGTGGATCCTAGTAGTGGACAGACCTACTACTACAATTCAAAAACTGGTGAGACGTCCTGGGAGAAACCAGAGGCAGCGAAGGAACAAGCAGCCGAGGCGCAACAAGCTCCTGTTGCTCAGGAAGTTTCCAACGGCACCACCGCTGCTCAAGGAGTAGAAATGACCATGGGCGCGCATGATCTTTTTGGCGAATCTGCACCAGCAGCTGACCAACCCGCTTCTGACACTCCAGTCGAAGCCGAACAAACCGCCACAGAGCCAGAAGTCGCAACAAAGGAGATCTCAACTAGTGCTGAGACCACATCAGCGCCTGCGACATTCCAACCTCCACCAATGTCATCTGAAAGTGCGACAGACACGGCCGATGCGGCCCAAATGTTCGGAAGCCCGTCTGGGGTAAAGTTCGAGCCTCCACCGATGTCATCCGCGGATGCTCAGAGCGTCCAACCTCCGCCAATGCCGTCTGAAGATGTGCCACCCGCCGAAAACGCGACGGCAAGCGAAGCAAATGTGTTTGGTTCCACAAGTACTGACACTCCAGCTCCAAAAGGAGAAGAGTCACAAGCTCTTGTCGATGAAAAGAAAACAGTGGAACAAGACTTGAGTGGCGAAGGAGAAATGCTGGATGTCCCTTTGTCTCCTGACCCTACCCCAGCACCGACGAAAAATGTTGACCAAAGTGCTGATTTGTTCGCAGCAATTGGAATGCCACCACCTCCATTCCAAAGCAAGCGGTGATAGACTCTTTGATTCTTGCTAAGCTAATATTGCCAAAATTCAAAAGAAGTTTCGTTACAGGTTACCTGCTTCCAACCATTCAATCAGACTGTCTACTGTATCCGATGCTTGGGTGTAGAGCAAACGCTCCTGAGAGGTATCCGATCCCAGTATGTCTTCAGCCCGAGCTGCAACATCCAAAGGTGGTGCCAGGAGCGGGGTAGCGTGCCCGCCCTCAAGCGACCTTCGTTGGACATCCACCCCCACCATCGGTCTCTTCATTCTGGTAATACTCATTGCCTCCTTCAAAATTTCTTCAATCTCATCCGACTCATCAATACCGTCGTCCTTGAATCCCAAAACCAAGGTTCGACGTGCTCGATACGCCTTGCCCACCGACGCTTTGACCGCCGGCGGTGGAGGAGAGAAATCGCGGGCACCCGTTGCCACCTTGTCCAAGTTGGATATCTGATCATGTGAGTACATTAGGATTTATGGAATAAGTTTGTAACTGCAAGTCTTGCACATACCTCATCCACTAGCTTTGGAATTTGCTCTAGACTGACAAATAGTTGATTTAAAATAGGCAGCACTCCTGCATCGGAAAGTGCTTCCACTGACGGCGAAAAAGTCTTTTCAAATGATTGTCGGAAAGTTTTTGGAATTTTTATGTTTGCATTGGTCTGAAACGGTGGCAGAAAGCTCACCAACTGTTGAAGTTGTTGATCCGATGGAAGTTCTCCTAGAGATCCAACGCAGTGGTTGTGAGTGAAAATTCGACAGAATTTTATGACAGTAGCCTATAGTGTGACTTGTGCATACAGCATAAGTCCACATTTTCAATCTTACCTTCCGTCGCAATCCGTGCCAGATTAATGCCCATTTTCAATGCTTCATTACTGCTTGGCAGTGTACCATTGGGCGCCGCCAGTGACGAAAAGGCAGGCGCAAAAACTTCTTCGAAAAAGGGAACCGCCTCACCAATGGGTTTGTTATTGTAGCTCATCAATGCATTTGCAGCTCGAGGTGTATCGGGAAAGAGCGAGGTGATCAATACTTGGAGCAGTGCCCCACAGGAATGTCCGACTCCAACCACAGGCAGTGCTCCATATTGTCGGGCCACTGACGGAGCAAGTTTTTCAAATTTGGTAATCACATCGTCGCAAATTTCTAAATGATCAAAAGAGAGTTGATATGGAGTAGCTACCACCAAGAAGCCCTTCTCCGCCAGTCGCTCCAGCATGTATCGATAGGTGATATGGGGAGCAGCTCCAACCAAAGCTCCTCCAAGGAAATGTAAGAGAGCTCTGGGTGTTTCACTGGAAGGAGGCCGAAGGACCCAATTGCCATGGATTTCTTCCCAGTTTCCAACCTTCCCCGTCACTGACGATTTTGTTGCCTTTGTCTCACTACTGGGGGACTCTGATGTTGATGACGAGACCGTAGCCGCGTCTAGTCGACTCGAGTCATAAGAATAGGGATTCTTTTGAGTATGATGAGGAATTTGGAATTGACATCTTGGATTGTCATGCCGAGCGATATGTGAAGATTGAAATGATTCCGAAAACTTTACTGTTCCACTCAAGCAGACCGCCAACAGTAATTGAACCCGTCTTATCGTGACCATTTGTTTTTCTTTCTTCGTCACGTTGAACCGTAGTGATGAGAATATAGCCTTTTTATCACCAACACAGCGTTGTATTCATCAGGAAGGTGGTAGGATTTTGTGTTGGAACAAGCAGTCTGCGTTGGAGTCAGATTGCAGAAATCCGCGACAGTACAGTACGGTTGTATGACGTCATGTTTTGGGACTGAGTTGGTACCTTGGCCCAACGCGTTTCCCTCCGCGCAGGGATTAACACTTGTGACTTGCGATCAAAATTGGCATTTTTTTCTCGCTTTACGAGTATTGACCAGTCAATCATCGTCAAGCTGTGTCCAAAAAGGAGTTTCGAAGTTTATTCGGAGATTTTGTATCATTCCTCTTTTTGTTGTTTAGGTTAGAGGGGCATCGGACCAGTTGCTACAGTAGAAACACAGACGTCTATTTCCACCCTCGCATCTGTCAAAAGCAACATGGCAGAAGAAAACGAATTACCAAGACGCCGCAGTCGGTCCCACCAGGGACTGCGAACGTCAAGAAGAACCCAGAGAAAGCAACGACAACAAGAAGAGCGAGCTGGAGGTATTGGAGTGGAGGGAGAGCAAGAACTTGGGGGAGAGTCGGATGATGACAAGCCCGTTCGAACACCGCTTAGACGTAGTCGATCCCAAAACTCTACCCTGCGACAATCCCGACGACGCCAAAATCGAACCTTCCGCAGTTCCAATCCAGATGGCGACGCCATTCCTGATGACCAATCTGTCAAATCCACCAACACCACCAAGCTGGTGCGAGGGAGCAGACTTCGCAATAGACGCAGTGCCAATGCCGCACCGGAAGACCGAGATCGGAGTCGATCCAGTTCCGGAAGAGGACTTGATGGAAAAGAACGACGATCTTCCTTCGGAGCCATTGCAGCGGGGACAGGTGTGGGAGCAGTGGAAAACAGTCAGTGTTCGTTTACCGATCGAGGAGACTCAGTGGCTTCTGACGAGAAATTCTTGAAAGAACGGAAATCGCGACAAGACGAAATTATTGGTACGGTGTTGAGTGATTGCCGAAAGGCAGCGGAAGAGGATCCCAGTGAATCGGCAGATCTTGAAGAACCGATAAAGCCGAAATCCCTTCTTACGAGACGTCCATCGCTAACTCGACTCACTGATGCCCGCAAGCGAGTCCAAGAGCGAATTGCCAAGGGATCCTCTGGAGAAGCCGCTAAAGCATTACAAAGTGACGAAGAAGGTGAAATGGAATTAAAGGATGATTACGACCCGAGGCAATTGGAGGACCGACAGAAAACATCACTCGTCCAAAGAGTATCTAATGTAGTGTCGACTCCCGAAAAGACCAAACGCAAAACACTGAGAAATTTGACTTTGAGTCCTGGGTCACCCCTTGACAGTGGGGGGAACAAATCGAATTGGGATATTTGATACACAGTATTTCCCATAGTATGATTGCTTCTTTTTTTTTATATCGTTCGGTATCTTTCTATTCCGCGAGTTTCATTATTCTATCCTCGCATCGGCACTGGGAAATCGACATGTTTGATATCACCGGGAGGATTGAGATTTTGACCTTCGTTTCTTATCTCGATCTCTGCTTCGAGGCGATTCCGATCGTGACCGAGACCGTCTTCTCCTATGTCGTCTAGATGATTCTTTATGGCGACGTCTGGATTCTTTAAGACTTTTCTTTCGTTTCTTGGACTTTCGCTTTCGTCGTATTCGACTGTCTTCGGAACTATCGCTGTCATGAGATCGACTGGAAGTATCACTGTATCGGCGCTTGCTCTTTTTGGAATCTGGAGGATTGATGACTGTGGAGTTGTTGCTAGGTGCTACTCTCGCGGGACCTGTCATAGCAAATGGATTCCACCCAGTTACTGAACACTCTCGATCACCTCTTGAATGTCCCCATTGACCACAAGCCAAACATCGTACATTGCGTAATTGGGCTCCCAACGGTTTGAATGACACATTGACGTCGGTGGAACTCATCCCCTTGGCCATAGGAGCATTCTTCAATTGGGGAAATCGAGCAAGCTGCTCGTCCAAGGTGAGGGCACCCCCACGGTCTTTTCGTCCAACAGCTTTTTCCAAGGCAGATCGTTGGTCTCCTTCCCCTTGATTCTTCTTGGGATTCGATTCTAGCGCTGGGTCCATTTTGCTTCCTTGCAAGACTGGTGTAAACTTTAAAGAAGACTCTTCATTTGGTTCGCAGTCATCCTCTACTTCTTCCTCGTTTGTTGCAAGTGAACCCCCTACCGAGGACGCCAACATTCGTCGAAAGGCAGCAGCTGCTGCATCGTCTCCGGGTTGACTTTGTGTCACATCTTTGGATTGTGAATTGGATTTGTTGTTTTCGGATTTCTGATCTTCCTCAATCTCTTGTTTCGTCTTCTCTAACCCTGGTGGTGCATCATACATGAATCTTAATTGGGCTTGCGAGCCATCCCCGTGCTGGATTTGACAAATTTCTTCATCTTCTCGTTCACGTTTCAACTCGTCCTCTCTTCGGCGAATTCTCTCCTGTTCTAGCTTTGATGCCTGTTGGGCTTCCCACACCTGCTTTCGATTAGTTTGATTTTGAGGGTTGAAACCCTTTTTGGAAAGGAATTTCAAACCTTGGACCATGGTGGTGATAGGACAATAAGTTGTACAATACGAACTGGTCAAATGAAATGGAAGTCGAAGTTCGTCCTTCTCCCGAAATCAAGGTCGAATGGGTCAGCGAAAATAGCCTCCCAAAAACTTCACTTACCGGTGTTACTTGTTTTGTACGTCAACCGTCAATATTTCCTCATCCGATTTCCCTCCTGCATCAACATTAGCAATTCAGCAACTTTGAAGGTGTGTTTTGACCATGGGAAATTTGATTTCAATCTATCGTAGACGCGGCGATATTCATTAGGATAGCCAGTGGACTAGTTTTGCGTGGCGGGGACGAAACGATATCGGTTTTTAGTCATCTGCAACCAACAACAATATCTCATCCATTTGTTCCTCTCTTTGTATTGATTAGAATGACTGTCTCTGGAATTATGAAGCAATTTCAGGTTGTGGGCCGCAAGGCCCCAACCGATGCCGTCCCTAACCCTGAGGCATACCGCATGATCATCTTTGCACCAAACGCTGTTATTGCCAAATCGAAGTTCTGGTATTACATGCATCAATTCCGAAAGATGAAGAAGACCACTGGTGAAATCTTGGATGTTGTAGAGATCGTCGAAAAGAATAACAGAATCGTCAAGAACTACGGCATCTGGTTGCGCTATTCTTCCCGATCCGGAACACACAATATGTACCGTGAATTCAGAGACGTTTCCTTGACTGGAGCCGTCTCCCAACTTTTCGATGAAATGGCCGGTCGTCACCGCACTCGTCCACGATCCATCCAAATTATCCGCACAGCCACTGTTGCTACAAAGGACTTGAAGCGTGTGAATGGTATGCAATTCGCTAAGGCAAACGTCAAGTTCCCCCTTCCCCACCGTGTTGCAAGTGCAAAGAGAGGACAAAAAGCTTTGTCCAGCCGTACATTCACAACTGTTCGCCCTACCACTTTCTTCGGATAAGCAGTAAATTAAAGAAAAGAAAGAACCTCAATCAATTGAATTTGTTGTAGAGTTTCTTACATTATGTCAGATCATGATCGGCATACAAAAGATGGCAGCCACTCTTTTTGCTAACGCACAATTCAAATCAAATTACGGTAGTACTTTGCAAATGCTTCCGAACTCGCTGTTTGCATCGTTGAATATATTACACAGAAATCAGTGCCAGGTACTTGGTACTTGGCTCTCTGCGTGACAGCCACTGCGGGACTAACTTGCATTCTTGGTTCTAGCAGTTCACTACGACTATCGTCATGATCGATCATCATATTGGATCTAGAAAATGTAACACCCATTTACGGCTCTATTCTTACTTGAAAGGATTGCCCCAAACGACCGAGAATGAAAGGGCCAACATGGAGAAGAAGACGAAGCCTTGACCATTCTTCCTCGCAATCCTGTGCAATAAAAGCATTCAGGGGAATATCAATACTACAAAAATAATACATTACTACCATCGTGCTAACCCCGTTCTCAAGAATTGGGGTCACAGAATCACAACTTTTGCATGTTACTCCACGGTAGAGAAGAAGGATCTCGAGCAGTGCTGATCACAAAAAGCGATTCATCCTTCGCAACGAAGATGCTCGAATCGAATGAGAGTGCAGGGGCGGCGCCAGAGAGCTAAGAAAACCATATCATCATTCGGCTTCGTAGTCCGGTAAGCAGAGGAGTCAGTTAGGGACAGATGCTGTTCAGTCAACTTGGTTTTGGTGTCAAACGATCCCTTTTCTCTCGGTTTTTGCACTTCAAACGTTGTCATTTTCTTTTCTCGCGGCTTTTTCTTCTTCTCCGTGGCTTCTCTATTTCTCTGATCATTGTTGGTAAAATTGTACAGAATGGAGAAGAGACCCGTTTGAAGATCAAGATAAATACAAGCATGTCAAAACTATTCATTCGCCATGCTCGAATACTGGGTGTCCAATTGTCTTCTCTACGTTTCCTCATGGATGGGGAACGCATTGATAGAGCGAGTACGCCTCAAACTCTTGAGTTGGTAAGCCCCAATCATTATTCTGCTGTGGAGCACACAGTGGCTGCACCAAGCTTATTGCATAATTTTGATTCATGGACAACATAGGAAAACGACATATCATGCTGGAGCAAGCAGGTGCTTGCGTATTATATGCGATGTGATTTTGATTCAACATGTACTGGTTGATTCCATACTGACAGGAAACTAGTGCAAAGGATGCCGTGCAAAAGATTCAATTTTGTCTTATACGATGGCTGACTGTAGGTCCGAATTCTGTCCACTAAAGTTGACAATAGTTGGCTTTACAAAAATGGTCAGCTTTAGCATCTCTCTACCTATGCAATCAATTGTTTCGGGTGACAACACATATATTCCACCGAATAGTCGTATGTGAAGATCGTCCATGCTATCCACGACGACAGCAGCCTCGCAGTTAATATCTTCGAAGAACAACATCTGATGGACCCGATGCCTCAATACTTTTTTCGTGGACGAGGCTTCAGTCCATTGTAAATTGAAGTAACTGCTATGGACACAACAGCGCCGCTTAACCAACGGACGATCAATTCATGATGAATCTCTGGGAATTGGTTATCCCAGCGCCTCAAGTCGTTTCTTATTTCAATTTCTCGATCAGCACGGTCAAAGCTTTGTTCAATTGATCTCCAACCTTTCATGAGCCACGAATTCTCTCCAGCACCTCTTCCTGGAGCGAGACAGAGTGAGCATCTGGGCTGCAACCATACAACACATCAAAATGGAACGACATTACATTACCTGGGGTAACAATGTCAAGGAACAGCTCAATAACCTTGTCGACGACCTGTGCTGGTTTCACCTTCACAGAAGGAAAAATAGAGATGAGATTGGTGCGAACAGTTCAATTGTTCTATTGATCAGATACTCTACCTTATTCACAGTGTACCAGAAAGATACTTGTGATATCACCCACGAATCCATGATGCTTTGCAAGGTTGCTTTCTGTTACTAATGCTAATGCTTTGCAAATTTGCGATTGTACTTTGACAATGACGGCTGAAGGAATTCTGAAGTATAATCGAATCAGTCGGACTTTTCTTCTTTTACCGGTTGTATCTGTAACATGTGAAAGTACCTAGTATGCTACGCTACAGTAGCCAACAAAGGATTCATGCATTTTTTCTCTATATCTATTCAAGAACAAGATGCCTGCCTACAGTGTGATTCAGCCTTTTCTGTGTAGCCTCAAGCTCCGACTTCGTCGCTTGAACCTTTTCAAACAGTCTTGCTAGGTAATCGTTGATAGAATCGGGACCTCCATCATCTTCTTTTCCTTGGATTCTCTGCGACCGAAGTCTCTCTTGCTGTCGAGGGCCAGTGCTTTCAGCCCATGAGTTCATAGAGCCTACAACATGTGCATTTGAAGTGGAGTGATCACTGTCGCCGTCTCCGTCGCCATATCTGCTAACCTTCCGAGTTTTTGGAGCATCACTTATAGGATCCAATCTTCGTGCACCATGACTTTCTCTGAGCCCTTCCTCTGGTTGGCGCCTTAATTTCGAGTCCCATCCCTCGTTCCAATTACCTATTGGCGACTGTGAATCAAAGTACCACGGACTACGGTCTTTTGTTGACGACTCCATGTGCTTTCGCTGTCCATAAGCAGTGTTTCTTCTTGATCTCGCCATATGAGACGGGTCTTGATTCATTTCTTGATGACTTCTGGACGAAGGGGTTGGTTTGATGTACATTCCAAGCTCGCCATTCCATTTCCCATCCTCCATGATGCGAGGCTCGTTATAATCTCTACGCATTCTGTAACTTTCGTCCATGGGCCTTAAAGTTTGCAAATCTGACTCCTCATGCCATTGCTCATCGCCCATGCCTATCGGGTCGTCAAAGTCTCGACGTTGTCTCATTCGTCTCTCCTGTGGAAGATTTGATGTGATCATATCTGGTTCTTCATTCCACTTGTGGTGCTCATGAAGACTGTATTCATCGTAATCTCCATGTCTCCGTCGTGTATGGTCCCTGGGATTCGATGTGAACTTGCTAAACTCTTCATTCCATTCTTCATCTCCAATTGCTTTGGCTTCCTCGAAATCTTCTCGGCCCAATCGATTCTTGCCTCTCGTGCGTATGCCGTGCATACGAGGATCACCAATGTATTTCTCCTCATCCATATCACTTGCTTCGTCGATATCCCTATTCGTCTTTCGCCTGTCCTCCAACTCGTACATTTGTGACACATCATTCCACTTCTCCATGTCATTGGCTTCATCGAAGTCTCTATGAATCCTTCGTCTTTCGGCGCTAGGCTGTGCCTTGTGCATATCCATGTCCTCGTCATATGCAACTATTGATTCATCGAAATGACTGTGCTTTATTCGGGTTTCGTCTCTCAGTCGCAACGCCTGTAAATCAGACTTCTCATTCCATCTGTGTTCCTCAGCATTCTGTGACTCGATAAAGTCGTGTTCTTCGGTCTCATCGTCATCCCATTTCTCGCCTTCGGGCTCATCGAAACCTCCACGTCTTGCTCGATTCTCGTCGTCAGTTTGTAAAGGAAAAACATCAAGGTGGTTCAAATGTGGAGATGTGGCAACCAAGCCACGATCTCTTACTTGATCAGCCTCGGTTGCAATTCCCCGGGCGGGTGGGTCCGACTTTGTCTGGCTTTCGTATTCAGGTAGTTCTGGGGCGTGAAGGTGGCTATATACTATCCCATTGTTGTCGAAACTCTCATTCTGAGGTATATGCAAGTTGGGGTTGCTTGGAAGTCGACCATAATCAGGTTGTAAGTGCTCCAGTGCTCGCATTCCCTTGTCTATCTCTTGACTCTCTGGGCTACCTTGCTCTGCTATACTCGTTTTCCTCAGATGCATGTCATGTTCAGGCGGGTGGACTTTCTCTATCGATCGCGCTCTCTTGGCGTTCTGTTGATTCTCTTCGCTCTCCTTTTCTGACTCAAGACTCGTTTTCACATCTGGAGGTTGATATGGGAGATCTTCTGGTGCGCTTGACCTTGGTCGCTGGGCCCGTTCTGTAGTCGAGCTTTGTTCTCGCGAACCAGCAGTCATAGTTGGCCCGCGCAGTCTTTCCCAACTTGAGCTCGCTTCTCGCGCTCCTTCTGCGGCTGACCTGGGCTCTCTTACTCTTTCTATAGTCAAAGTTGTTTCCTTTTGTCTACTCGCTCGTTCGGCATTTAAACCTGGATCTTGTACTCTCTGTGCACCTAAACTCAGCTCTCGTCCCTGTGCTCGTTCCGAAGCTAAACTTGGTTCTTGTTTTCTTTCCGTTAATTTTCTCGTCAGGCTTTGGATCAAGGCTTCCTTTTCCTCTAAATCAGCTTCTTGTAGCTTGATTGTTTGCCGTGACGCGTCAGAGTCATCTCTAGCTTCCCGAAGTTCTTTTTCTAACTCATCCGTTCGCTTTATATTCGCTCCTTCGCTAGTGCTTTCGATACGACGTCGCTTCAGCTGCTCTTGAGCACTTTCAAGCTCTCTGTTCAAATCAGCAACGACCTTCGCATACTTAGCACTTCCAGTGGATTTCTGAGCTATGATCCCGGCTTGCTCCAAGATCTTTTGCTCAAGTAGTTGAATCGAAGAATCCTTATGCGTCATCTCCATGTCCATTCGTTCAATGCGATTCTTTTGCTCGTCCATTGCATTCTGCAAAGACACCACGTCTTCTTTCCACGTTTCAGCTATACTATTCTTCTTGTCGAGCTCGATTTCTAGTTCAACGAGTTTCTTGTTCAGTGACTTTTGAGTTGCATTCTTCACGTAAAGCGCTTCGTTTTCTCGCTGCAGATCGTCAACTTGTTGCTGCAACTCTGAAATTTGGTCCTCTTTGTGAATCATTTCTTGCTCCAGGTGCCTGGATGACTGCTGTTGGTGCAGGGTCATCCTTCTGAGCTTTTTGCCCATGAAGTTCAACTCGTCCTCTTTGTCCTTCAATACCTGGTCTGCTTCTGGAGCTTCGGTTGGATTCCTGTAATTTACTTGCTCTTCGTTCAGGCGTTGACGTTTGTTCCTTTCTCTATGTAATTCCTCTTCGAGTTCGTCTACTCTATCATTTGACTGCTTGCGCTTCTCCCTTTCAGTCTCGAGAGCAGCTTCTGTGGTGCTCAAACGGCTTTGAAGCTGTTTCACCTTACGGTTTTCCCTTACGTAAATGTCATTTTTCTCTTGCTCTAGAGACTGAAATTCTCCTCGCAGCTGCCGAAGGGCTCCACGAAGGTCGATAGACTCCTGTTCTTTGGCACGTAAGGCAATTCGACCACTCTGGGCCGAATCAATTGCCTGCTGCAGTTGATGCTTCTGAGTATTGACTTCTTCTTGTTTGGTCTCGAGTTGTTTGCGCAGCCGTGCAACTTCCCTGTCACGAGAAGCTCTGGTCCTTTGCTCGAGAGTTTGAATTAGATGCTTTGCTTCTTCAAGCTGTGAATTTAGGAAGGACACATGGTGCTCGTTGCTCTTCAGCTTCTTGCTCATCACTTCGTTCTTTTCTTCCAAGACTCTACCTTCTTTTCTTGATTGCTGGAGCTGATTCAATACAGAGTTAATACGATCATCTTTTTCTCGTAGTCTCTTCCGACTCTCTACTCCAGCTCTTTCTCCACTTTTTAGCTTCGCATCTTTTGAATGTAGTTCAGCTTCCTTATCTTCTAGCTGCTTCTTCAATTGATTGAGCCTCACGCGATCGCGATCGCGACTTCCTCCCATTTTCCTCTCAAGCGACTGGATTGCTTGGTTTGCTTCACGAAGCTCACTGCGTAAAAAGTCGATTCGTTTTTCTTTCTTTGCTAGATCTCTTTGGCTCTGAATCTTGCCTTGCGAAAGAGTTTGGATCGTCTTTTTCGCCTTTTGGAGGTCTGCACGTAGAGAGGAGCTGGCCCCATCATCCCTCTCAAGTTGCTCGATTTTGCGCTTTTGTCCTTTATTGCGAATCTCCAATTCCTGTTTTGTGCTTTCCAATTCCGAGGCTTTATCCTGTAGTGCCGATGTACGCCTCTTTCCATTGTCTATCTCCTTACGCATGGACGCAATGATTGCATTTTTCTCCTCGATTTCTCGGCGGTGTTGCATCACTGAAGTCTTCTGGTCTGACTGCGACAAAGCGTTGCTTCTAGCCTTTGCGAGCTCCTTCTTCAGCTTCGCTATTTCTGCAGTCTTCCCACTCAATTCTTCAGTCTTCTCCCTCAATTCGGCATTCTTCGCAATCAATTCTTTAGCATCATCTTGAGGCTTTGCGGTTTCATATGCTTGGTTCAGCTCTTCTGTCAATGTATCGATAATTTCTGACTTAGTCTCTAGCTGCCCTTCGTATGCCATTGCCTCATCTTCTAGATCCTCTTGAATGGCAGCCAATGTCGTATTCTGAGATCGCAGTTCCGTCGTCTCCTTTTGCGCCTCATCAAGTCGTCGCTGAAGATCAGCTATGATTGAATCCATTTCTTGCAACTTCATTGAGTCGTCTTCCATTCCCCGGTCGGTATCGTGATTTGGAGACTCCACTTTCTTGGCTGGTCGTTTGAACTTTCCGGCATTTGATGACGGCTGAAGCTTGGCCTTGCTTTCTTTCTCCTGCTTTTCTTTTGCCTCCGTTTCCTTTTCAAGCCTGTCTTGCTCCTTCTGTTCCCATTGCAGTCTCTCACGTACGAGTCTCTCCTGTGTTTTTCTCTCGCGTTCGAGCTTGTCTCTTTCCTTTTTCTCCCGTGCCCCCCTTTCTCTATCCAACCTGTCTCTTTCCTGTTTGTCCTGCTTCTCTTGTGCCTTACTCTCTCGTTCGAGCCTGTCTCTTTCCTGTTTCTCGAGCTGCAGTGTTGCCTTCCTTTCCCTCTCTAGCCTCTCTCGTTCCTGTTTCGCTTTGACCTGCTGCTCGCGTTCCAGTCTCAGTCGCTCCAGTTTCTCCTTTTCTACTTTTTCATTCTCTTGCCTTTGCCGTTCTGCTTCCTCTTTTTCTTGCCTCTCCTTCCCTAGCTCCTGCTGGACTAGCCTTTCCTTCTCTAGCTTCTCCTTTTCTTTCGTCTCTCTTTCAAGCTTTGCTTGCGCCATCTCTTCTTTCTTGTTCCTAGGGATCATCTTCTGGAAGCCACCTCCCTTCGAGCTCGGGATTGCTTTGAAGAAACCTGATGCACCCTTTTTGCCTTTGCCCTTCTTGGGAATATTCTTCTCCACCTTTACGAACCCCTTTGGTTTGGCCTTGATTGGACTAACTTTCTTCGGAGACACCGGCTTCGAGATAGACTTTGTCTTCTTAACTGGCGATGCTGATGCATTCGAAGCAGTTTGTTTGTCGTTTGGCGTCTCAACCTTGCGCTTTTTGTTATCCGTTTCCATTTCTTTCTCGTCCTTTGGTTTGCCCCGCTTCGGTGGCTTCAATCCCAAAAATTCACTCATATCACCAGCACTCAGATAGATCTTATCATAATACTTGAAAAACTCTTGCCTAGTCAACCAAAATACTCCGGGAGAATCTTGGTCAGGGTTTAGTTCACGCTTCAACTTCGGGTACTTCTTCCACCCAGGGCCTTTTCCTCTGGCAAACTGTCCGTTTTCTAGCTCACCTCCTTTGCCCCAAGGATTTCTCAGCTGAATCATGTCCATACCTGTCCCAGCAACGTTATCTTTGCATTCAACAACGCCATATGCATGTTTGTTTACTATGCCGTCAGTGTTTTCTCGATCACTCTGCCCCTTGCTCGAACAAGCCATTAAGAAGTTTCCGTCATCCCAATCACACATTTTGCCAAAGAGCTGCACGTCATTGAGTTCAGAGGTATCTTTGAAATCATCAAAGCCCGCACCTTCCGTTTCTGGCCAAGGCACTGTATATACACTTTGGAAACCTTTCCACGGATCATTGTCGAGCTCTGCGAACTTTTTTGAGAATGGATCATATTTTGCATAGCAACCCCAATTTGAATTTTCGTCTGCAACTCGAAGGATTGTACATTGTTCTTTAACTCCAGTCAGAATAGCCCATGCATGATTACAGTTTGCGCCGTAAGATATCTTGTCCCACCCACCGCAATGAATTGAGACTGCTTTTTCCAAGTAAGGTACCCACAACTCGCCATCGTCTGAGGGTTTTGCTCCCAACAATTTCATTTCCCCCCGTCGATTTTGCCCATCCGGTCTACTGCATAATCGCTCATCGACTACAATATCAACCTCTGTCCATGTCGATATATCCCAAAGTGTAACGGTATACATGTTTGGTTTGTCATCAAACGGCATCAACTCGAACTTCTTTGTTTTTCGAAAAAGTCGTTGGATTCCACCCTCAAATTCTGCTAAAGTCGAAATGCCACTAAGGAGCCAGCAATCGGCAATTATACCTTGCTTGACATCTGATGGATCGATGGTCCCAATCAACTTCATATTCGGCTGATCCAGTAGTCCCATTCCACGACCAGGCATTAGTGGTTTGTTCGCTTTCGTGTGTAGTTTCTTCCCCTTGTAGATCATATTATCAGTGTAATCATCACGGCATAGCTTTGGCAAGGTGTCGCTTTTCAGTGGTGGCAGCCGTCGATATTCCTGAGTCATTATTGTAAATCGGCCATCTGGGCCAACATCTGCTGGAAAAACCTTGGATCCTTTCTCGCGAAGGATAAGAGCGTAGCCCTGGTTACTTTTTGGTTCCTTCATTTCTTCAGTTATGTACATTATACCCATGTATTTTACCGGATTATTTTTGAACTTTTCGATACCATCTGTGATTAGCTGACCATTGACTTCTTCTTTGTTGAACCCGCCTAGGAATTTGCCATTGAATGTCTGTGTTTTCACAAACCACTTTTTGGGATCTGCTCCATCGTAAAGAGGATCGGCTGTAGCAACTGTTTGCTTATTCCACTGATTTGATATCTGGATGGAGCTCCGCCGTGGTAAACGGCTTACCCGTTGCCGATTCATCGTTGAACCTGCAGCGAATGTGTTGGATGGATTGGAACGATTACTTTGCAATGAGACAAGAGAATCTCTGTGTTGTGCGATACATTATTCACGACTACAGGCAAAGGAATTCGGCAAATGACCGGCCGAAAAATACATAGTGAGTGCTGCTTTGATGGTCACACAGAACAACTTTTTGAGACAGAACCATATTTATTTTTGTCACCAAGAGCCAACCAACAAGATCAAATGGCCCTGATGAGAGTCACAAAACTGACATTGGACAGTTCTCCCTCACTGTCAATATTGTACATTTCAATTCAAAGTTGGTAAGCCGCATAATATTATTATAATACAAGTGCAAATAGACTGCACACTTCCTAGTAGACCACAGCAAAACTCCATTCAAAACCCAAATGCCCCTTCCATTGATTTGATCCCGCTACGTATGGTGGTAGTGAGCAGCATATGGATCGTAGAAATGATGCGCTTGCGGTGGTGCATAATGCATCTGGTCGTATGATACAGGTATCGGCGGAGGGGATGGTGGAGGTGGGGGTTGTGCTGCTTCTTGATTGGCTTGATAGTCTTGCATTTGGACTTGGAACCGAAGCTTATCTTCCGAAGCCATATCTTCAAACCGTCTCTTTTCCTCAGGAGCAAGTGCTCTCCAACGTTCACCCATGACCTTTCCAAGCTCCACAAAGCGAATACCAGGGTACTCTTTCAAGACTTGCGGCCTCATCTCATTTGTAAAGAAAACATACGCCCCACTAGCTCGTTTTGGCGCTGCAGGATCTCTGGGTCCCCGTTTAGTTCGCTTTTTTGGTACTTGATCCATGATAAGTACACCACGAGCATCATGACCAGGAGGCGGAACGTACACTGCCATTTCAGCTTCAAATCGGGCCTTGTCTTGTTCTGCACGAGCTTCCCATGTTGCCTTTTCGTCTGGTGTCAGATTCTTATACATGTGACTTGTGTACTTTGCAAGTTGTCCAAAAGTCATCCCTGGATTTTCCCTCTTGAATTGGTTCCGCATCGCATTCTGAAAAGAACATGACGATGTCAGGCGCCAGGTTGAATTGAAAATGAGACAACGTGAAAACTACGATTGTGCTCGTACCTGATATAGCAAATAAGCGGATAGATTTCGTTTAGGTGCATTGGGATCTCGCTCTGGTTTTCCCTTGCGTCCTGGTCTGGTGTACATTGATGAGACAATAGCATCGCCCTTTTCATCATACCCTGGGGGAGGAATGTAGGAAGACAGTTGTTGCAAATATCGAGACTTGTCCGCTTCGGCACGTGCCACCCAAGCTTCCTTCTCGCTAGGTGAAATATCGCTGTACATGGCAGAGGTGTACTTGGCAAGCTGGCCAAATGTCATGCCTGGATTCATGGCTTTGAATTGTGCTCGCATAGAGTTCTAAGAAGGAGAATTCACGACGATAAGTATTGTGATGTCCCGAGCCGAGTTAGCACAAAAGAGATGCATAGCCTACTGACCTGATACAGAAGATACGCACTCATGTTGCGCTTGGGTGCGCTGGGGTCCCTCCCTGGTTTCTTTGCCATTGTTAGCTCTAGTCTCGAAAGCGGCGAAATGAATGAATGGTGGTGAGAGAGGGTCGAGTTTGCAGTTCTACCGTGGTACGAGCAGCAATGGCTTTTTGGGTGCAACATGTGAAAGATCCAAAAGATACTGTTTCATGTGACAGGCATAAAACACGAAGATTGGATCGTGCCACTACAGAATGTTTCCTATCAACCAATCAATCATACTTGGGTATTTTGGACATCAACGTGTGGGCAGTTGCAATGTTGTGCGACATGACAAACGCGCAAATATGCATCCGACAAGTTGAAGTCAAGTCAAAGACATCGTTTGTGTACAGGAAGTGTCAAACAGAAAATGCCTTCAAGGATGTGCAATAGCCATAGTGAAAGGTTTATTTGTTGGTTGCAAAGTGGTTACGAAGATGGAGTGTCCATTGAAACGATTTGGCTAAAGGTATCTTTTTGGTGAATAACCTCCGTAATGGCCTACACAGGTCTTGTGACAACAACACTGGTACACACCTTGCTTGTTTCTATCGTATGTAGATATGAACTTGTTTGCCACAGCTGGTCTCGTTGATTTGTACGAACTGCACTGTTGGGTGGCCAACTGCTCACTTCTACGCTCACTTCTACGAGCAAACGAGCACGCCGTGCCAAAGACGAAATCCAGAAGCACACAACATAACGAATACAGTTTTAGCGTGTTTCTAAACTTTTGTGATCATGGATTTTTCTATCTTTAGTACTATGAAATATATCAAATCATGGGGTTTAGCAGTCTCACACAAATCCTTACATACGCACACTTTCCATGACCAACCAACTTTACCATATGTTTAGAAACAATCTGCCACATTGTTAAAAAACTATGTGCGTAGGATGGAAGGCAAAGAAGCTGCAACTGCGATTTTTCGAGCAGAAAGTTCAACACGACAAGCTGCCGAAATCCTCCTAAAAACTGCTCGTCACCAATCACTTGTCACGGAACATCTTCCAAATTTCCGGCACTTTCCGTGCACCCCAGTATGATACTACTGGACTTAAGTACTAATTTTCGAACAGATGTCTCCCATCGATTTGCATTCTGTCTTGTCGGCAGCTTTCGGATGGGCCTGTCTGCTGCAACCATCAGCCATCAATCTTATTCTATAAAAGATTGCAAACATCACGATGTCCAACTACAATAGCGACAGTCAAAGCTCCTCTTCTGGTACCTCAATGCCGGATCTTGTGGCGGAAGGGTCCACCAGAAAGGAAAAGGAAGCTAGACTGCACTTTCCTTGCAAGGTTTATGATATGTTGGAGGATGCCGATCAACAAGGTCACAAAGACATTGTTTCTTGGAACGCAAGTGGAACAGGTTTCACTGTACACAATAAAGATCTATTTACCAAGACGATTATCCCCCAGTACTTCAACCAGACCAAGTACAAGTCCTTTCAGCGACAGCTAAGTCTGTATGGATTTCAACGGATCACAGGGGGTGAAAACAAGGGCTTGCGGTATCATGAAAAGCTTCGACGAGGAATGAGAGATCTTTGTCGATCAATGAAGCCAATAGGTTACAAGCCGCGAAGTTCTGAAGCCAAGGAAGTCATGAAAGCACTCTCTTCGCCTTCTCCTCTCCGTGCGATGGACGACGCACTACCAGCTGTCATCTCATCGAATTCCTTGCCAGAGAGTGATGGGATTGAAAAGGCTGCATTGATTCAAACTTTGCATGCTCCTGTCGAATTTACAGCAGATGGCTTTCCAGAAATGGGTTGCTTCGAGGGCAAGACCTTTTATCTGATGGACTCGAGATCTTTTGCTCACCTTACCAAGACAACCACTACAACTGCCGCCACCACTACTGCTGCTACACAGCCCGTTGCTCCTACTCGACCATTACATAATGCCGATACAAGACCTGTCATGATAGACGGTCAAATGAAGCGAGCTTGGGAAATCGGCTTCGAAATGGCAATGGCAATGAAGACTGGACAAAATTCCAACCACAATCTTGAACATGCCGGGATCGATCTTTCCAGCCACCAACAACCTTTATATGTCGAATAATTGCCTTTCAATAGGGCATCGCAGATAGACTTAAACACATATAAACAACCACTTGTTCATACTGTATAAATCTCTAGCTCTCCTGAGCGACCCCAACATCGGCATTTTCGAGTACAATCACCATCGACTTGTTCACTGTATGCTTCAGTAAAGAAACACCGAATCATGGATCAAACACAGCCATTCGAAGGAGCTATATCCAAAGCCACTCAGGAACAAGTATTTGATTGTGAATTGTTGAATTCCCTTGCTAATCCATTTGGTATCATCTTTCTTCAACTAGACCTTTTTTCCTTCCACATGAAAGCTTGCAGTGGCCGCCGTCAATCCGTCGTATGCATACATGGTTTGCCGATTGTCGAATAGTTGACCGGTTGTATTGCTCATCGGACTCCACCTTCTGGCTATCATACGAGGTTAAATCAGCAATCTTTTGCAGTGCACCCAGCTGTTGTTTGAAAAAAGTTTGTTGCATATTGGTGACAAAAGGCCATGCAAATTTTCCTTTGAGCGAGTTCCCAGGCTTGCTAATGGAAACGATTTCGACATCGACATCTTCTCCCCTATCTCTTAAGGCGACGGTCAGCCGCTCTTCCCCGCGAATCAAGTGTCCTTTCATTGTTGCGTAAGCACTCGATGTAAAGGTGGTACCAGAAGAACTGCAAAGAAGACAGTACTTTTAGTTCCAAAGAAACAGCTTCGTCACACTGAAGCAGACATCGCCAAACTTACCGCTGATCTACCAAATCATAAATCACCATTACGGGGTTCACCGCGTATACCTTTCTGCGAAATGGCAATTCGGATGCGCTGAATGTGACCATGCGACGAAAGGATCCAATGCCCCTGTGGAATGCAAGTGGTTCTTGAACATCATTGATTGGATCTCGTCGCACAGAATAACTTCCTCTTTCTATTCCATTTTGCTCGTTCACCTTGGAAGCCATCTTTTGAACAGATGACGCAGATGGGATCTTCAACATGCCCATCACACCATCGTTGGTTTGAAACTCCCAATCTAGCGCAGCATCTCGAACTCTTTCGTAACATTCTCTTCCTTTTCCAACTCTTTGCCGATAAGTCAGTATCCGCCAGTCCTTCTGACGAGATGGAAGAAAGGAATTCGAAGGCCACCAGGCATTTTCAGTTTCCTTCTCCTTTTGTGATGCCGGAATTGTAAGTTTCATATTGCCAGTTTCAGCAGCCAGGAGCACCGCTTCTTCGCATTGATCAGCAAGGTGAAGGAATGGGTTCGTCATACCCACATAACCGTGATTGAATTCCTCTGGCTGTACGCATTGCAAAAGTTCATCCCGACTGATTTGAGGTCCAAACCAGGTAGCCACTCTCTCCGAAGTCGGTTGCAGGAAGGTCAAGATAGAACCAGAATCACGCCCATTCTCCCCACACCCTCGTACTCTACGCTTGGGCTTTGATTTGTGCCGTATAGCCCACGATTGCAATGTCCTATGTGCCCGATGATTTCTAGTTGAGCCAACACCACTCATCCCATGATTTTGCGAACCCTCGTGTCGCCTCGCTTCCGACCCAAAGAGAAGAGAGAGGAGCAGTGCTGCACTGACAAACACAGTAACCCTGTGGAACGCAGCTATTGCGAGCATGGCTTTCTGTGATGCTTGCTAAAAATAGCTGACCTTTTGACGAGTGCAAAACATCTTGTGGTTTGCATTTGTATTATCGGTGTCACAGTGTCAGCCAATGATACTACGTCAGAAAAAGGCGAAGGAAAAATACTGCTAGTAATGGGTTTATTCATGATTTAATGCGCAAAGCTGTCGCGCAGTTGTTGATGTGAGCGATAACTACGGTACAGTTACCGGTACAGTTACCGGTACAGTTACCGGTACAGTTACCGGTACAGTTACCGGTACGGTAAAGGTACTATGTCGTACTGGTACTATCGAATACCGGTAAGCTATTACTGTGCTGGTAATACACCAGTGCTGCCGGTATCACTTCGGGTTTTCTGATGAGGACCCACTATTGAAACTCGGCTCAGCCATTTTCACCGCAGTTTCTATCAACGGCTCACACACGAGTTGGAGCCCAAACAACCATGTTTTCATATTTCTGAAATCCATTGATTTCGGAGACCTCCAAAAAAATGCATGTCAGACGAGGCCAACCAACGAGGGCTAAATGTCAGCCTCTTGTGATTATGCCTCTGCGCTACCAATCCAAAGCCACTTCAGTTTGAGTGACTCGCTACACACCTGTCGAAGGCAGTTGTCATCGTGGGCGAAGCAGCTCTTGCGTACTGCTGCTGCAGTGACCGAGGGGAGATTACCGGAGCCACCACAGCCTCTCCCTAGCAAAATATTTGTAGCTACAGGTACTCAAGCGGTGACTGAGCGCTCCCCGAAGGACACTTTCTTGATGCCTGTTTTCCCGGGCTCACCAGACTTCTTCAACGAAGCACCGTTAGATTCCTCTTGAACCGTTTCGAACGCAAAAGTATTCGCACGCTTCGGAAGCTCGAGGCTACTCTGACCTCGGAGCGAAGGCAAAGATTTCGTAGAACTTGGGGCGGTCACATCGATTGAACTATCAGAAACTGCATCGCTCAAATTGCTGTAGGAAGTCGACCTGGTTGCACTGTTTGCTGTCGAACTGAACAGAAAAAGAACAGAAAGAAGGAATGTTGCGGAATATGTAAACAGGATGCGTACTGTTGCATATGCATCATGTCTCCAAGCACCAATCTCAAAGTCTTTGCACTCTTCCTCAGCCTGATCAAGCGAGAATACGTGCTTGTTGAGGGCATCGGCAATGGTCTTTGACTCCATCAAAAAGTTCGAAGAACAAAAGGTTTTCCAAAACGTCCATTGAGATGAAGTCCTCCAAAACGCAAGGGCAAGAGAGAAAAATAGCATCCCCGTGCTTGTCCCGAGGACAATGAGGTGAACGTTCTGGGTGTAGAATCGCTTCGCTTGCCGTCCTGCCATCCGCCCCAGTTGAAGGGACGAAAAAGCATAGATCATGGCAACATAACAGAGACAGAAATGTACTGCTGTTGAGAGGAGAAGATATATCATAGCAGCGATATCATATCGTTGGTCTTCAGAAAGAATGTCGACTGTAATACGTTCAGCAATTATTCTCTCGACAAACGCACTTCCGTGCATTAGGCCAAACAGTCCAATTACCAGTATTTTCATGAGAAAAACACGGGTAATGGCAGAACGGTTTGCCCATAAAGTCACCCAATCATTCTTGACCTTCAAATTTGCTTCTCGAAGCAATTTCATTGCATCCTTTCCTTGTGGAGGCATTGGTGTTGAGCTCGACTTACCGAGACGGATTTCCCTAGCCGTTCGCAATTCTTCAAGACGTGATCTCGATGATTCATCCAACTCTTTCGGCTTGAGTCTATTGGCAGCTCGTTCTCGAGACTTTTCAATTTCACGCAGTTTCCTTTTTTCCGTTTTCAACTCAAGCTCTTTCAAGTACTTGTTAATTGGATTACGGCTCCATTTGCTCGTCTCAGTAGTGCCTGATAAATGTGATATCTCTGATATTGAATCCGAATCGACGGAGTGAGTTCGCAGTCTAGGTGTAGGAAGATCATCGGTTTCCCCGGCTTGCCGGCTCTCCAAGAATGCATCAAGCTTTTCATCGTTGATCGTCTGGTACATTTTCATTGTTCTTCTGTTGTCTTTCTTTGTCTTCTTCTTAAAAGCTTCTTCCGCCCGCTCCAATTGCTCTTCGGTCAATTCAAAGCAGGTGACAGGTGGCATGGTCCAGTTTCGTATTTCACAAATCTGTTGGAATTTGGCCATGAGCCATCCCTTGTAAAACGGTTCTTGAAGCCTCATCAATTGCGCATGGTCATTATAAATTGGGTCCTTCGCAACCTTCTTGGCAGCACTTTGTAGCTTATTCAGCAGGACACCACACAATTTTTTCATCAGAAAATCGATGAGACTCTGTGGAATCAGTGGTAAGTTCGGATCCACATTTGCCACGATCCGAGTTGTGGCCTCAGTTGGTGATTCGATATGAATTATTGCTTGGAATGTTCGAATGGTCATTCTACCCCGTCCCATTCCCTTGGGCACTTCTGGGATATCAAGAGTTTTTAGGACTGGATCTTCCGTCAGGTAGTCGAACCCTCTGCTCTCGTTGGAGGCTTCCGCATTTGTTTCCAATGTGTTCGATTTGACGCCATCTTGCGGTGTATCTTCCAGCCCTTGCCCCACCAACATAATCGAACCATCTTCGAAAATGTTGTCGCATCCCATTGCTCGAAAGCAGGCATCTCTCATCAGTCCAAAGTGTGGCAAACCAACCACAAACCACCCGACAGTGTCTAGCTTATTTAAGTGCGCAAGTGTCAAACTAGAAGAACAGAAGGGTGCCCATTTCGAATGCAAGTCAACTTCTCGTAAAACAGCTACTTGTTCAAACAAGGCGGTACCTTCTAATCTTCCTTCCATCTTGATACTCAAAGATCCATCATCTTCCCTACGATAATAGGTAGTGACTCCAAATATTGTCTGTGCAAGTGTCCAATCATCATCGACGTCCAGGTTCTGTTTGGCTTGACGGAACATTGCACATCGTTCCTAAAGAAATAGATATGGACACCGTTCATTAATACACTATCCAATTTGAATACCAAATGACAATTGATGATGATTATGTGGAAACATACCTGCAAGCTTTCCAACACTTTCTGTTTTGACTGTAATAGTTCTCTGGCTTTTTCTTCGTCTTTTCCCTTATCTTTGTTGGGTTTTCGTCCCCGTTTGAATATCTTGCTCAGTCTCTTGTTCGGACTACCGCTCAACTCAGGCGTAGGGTCTAATCGGTCCAAAAGATTTTGGTACAACAAAAGCGCAGAAAGATGCCTTTCATCTTCTATCAGAAGAAAAACTCGCATTGCATCGTTGTAAAGCGAGTCCGTGGCAGAAGCCGCATTGGCAGTTGTGGAAGGTGGCTTGATTCGAACTGGTTCCATACTGTGATGCGGCTAACTGGAGATCTTCTAATAGCTGTGAATTGCGTGTGTTTTTTATATTGTATTCGACTTTCAATCGCAGTCCACTTCCAAAGAATGGGTAATAGCGGTGTGACGAGAGATGATTCGTGTGGGCGATGATAGGGAGTTAGCTAGGTATTAATAACGCCCTGACAAATTCAGAAGGGATTGTTGTTCACTTTACAAACCTTCCAGCCCGGATGCAGCTCCAAATTTCCAAAATTCGGCCTTTTTCATGGCAGCAGCCACGACCCGTGACGCCGTTACGGGCTCTTACATTATGCAGGTGCAATTTTTAGTGGGTTTTCAGCCAATGAGAGTTAGTCAAATCACTAAAAATCAACCCATTTTTAGTGGTCTGAACCAATCACAGCGGGCTATTCACTAAAAATAGACAATCTCCACTAAGTTAGTACTCGTCATTACTTGCAAATGATGATTATAGGGGGATAGTACCTGGTACCTGGTACCGTAGGCCCAGGCTAGATACGGCCCTGCCACTCTGCCATTGTATTATAAAGCACTGTCGCACCTTGTTTTAATGACTCACCTTACCACTGGATTACGAGCTAGCGATACAGTTACCCTATGATCACTTCTAGCTGCTCTGAAGAACGGGTGTGGCAGCCACCAAACCGAATTGACAAGCGCTACAGCATGAGGTGACGGATACGCCCATCTGTAGAACCTTCGTTTTCAATCTTCTATTTATATTATAGATTAATTTCTATCATTTCAGTGTCACTTATGGTAGAGCATGCCCCTGTAAGAAACTGATAACAACTGCCATAGTTGCTAGTAGTAGGTGTCACTTTACCTTTGGAATCTAATCATTGTCTCAATTCCGTGCACCAAGGCCTTGTTGATTGTTTTCTCGTCAGAATAAACCCATCCCCTGTGACCATACGGTAGTAAACTGTCGTAGCGCGGCCTTATGGTGGAAACTTGGCCATCAAGGAACCCAGCAAGAGTTTGCCTCTGTTTTCGCCTTTGCATCTTACTCAAAAAACGGTTGATTATTGCATTTCTTCAATCATGTAATACACATGTAGTCTCTTTGGCGGCGAGCTTGAGCCTGGATTTGGTCCTTCCTCACCTTGCTTGATTCCCAAAATATTGAGTCCATTGACGACGCAAAATCTGACTACCATCATCAATGACGTCAACTTCTACGCTGCATATCTTGAAATGTTCGTGACCTCAAATTCAGAGTGCGATAAATCTCCGATTTCTGATTGGATCTGCGATATGAAGGCACAGATGATGTTATTAGAGGTGATCGAACGTCATTTCAAAAGTTTCAGAGGCATCGGTCAACATACATCAAACAATCATTGTTACCTTGTTCAAAATCCGTCAAAATCCTGGGATCATAGAGCATATATTCTTGCGACGGTATGCATGAGGCCAGTGCTGTGTTGTAAAGACACTTTATTGCAATCCTGTTGCTTTCTCCTCTTTTCTTTTCTTTCCTCTTCGTTTTCTTTTCTTTCCTTTTTCTTCCTCTTCCCCCTTATTTTTCCCCGGGGGATTTAGTATAAATAGTTGCACCAGCATAGTATAAAAGCCCCGTTACGGACACCGTGACCTCATCTTAATCCTTTTGGTCGTGGACCGAGCATGTCCGAGTTTCGTCGGCCAGCTCGCATGATTTTGATTTTGGAAAGACACGATGTTGCCACACGAAGAGGGTTGGCTCACTTTGTTTTACAGTTGAAACTGCAACAATTTTCATAATGCCATTGCCTGAAGCACCTACACTAGAATTCCTGGAGGCTACAGAAGTAAGTTATACATTTAGACACGTTCTTTCCCACCTTTCCATTGATGTTTTCGGCACACAACTTCCGATGATGGTTATTCTACATGAGATTACCGATATCAAGGCTCTTGTCTTGATTTTTGACGACATGGATGTTTACATCTTTTTGCAGAGGATTTTGAAAAGTGAACAGGCAATATGCATGCCCCTCGTTCTTCTCGTTGAAGAAAACACAAAATATGTTACAAACTGATCATCAGTGACGACCACATTTTGTTTTGCTAGATAGTATCCGAGAGAAGAATGAACGGGCTTGCATACGAATGACCAGGTTATATATCTATCGTTCATCTTGTCATGATTGCTTCGTGTGTGCGAACCAACACGAGATGTACTATTGATTGGATTATTATTGACATGCTCATTGACCATTTTTTTTAACTCCCCATGTTTGTGCCGTAGACCACTATTCAATTGGAGTTCAAGCCGAATGTATCAGTTTCATCATATGAACTACAATGGAAGCCCATCGAAGCAAACTGGGACAGTGCCGCCTCTGCGGCCGTACAGTCGAGTGGGACAATCAAGACCTGCAAAACTGAAGCCTTTGATCTAGAGCCTGGAACAACATATTGTGTGCGGTTGGTGTGTGAACAGGATGGGGAGAAGGGAAAACCTTCAAAGGAGTTGATCCTTGATACCGAACAAGTGGGCTGTGCTCCAAAGAATGAGGGTGGGTGTGGGTGTATAATTCAATGACAATGCTGTAGTATTTTACAATACAATGTACATAATATAGGAATGTTATTTTTTCAAGTTACAGTCTGCAGTAGAGCTCTCATGGTCAGTGTTTCCGCAAAAATGATAACGGTATAAACAGATGTCCATGCAGGGTACTAATAATGTAAGTCATCACAACTATCTTTGGCTTTCCACATACCGGTAGAATTGCAGGCAAAGGACGAGGAGAAAGCGAGAAACGGCGATTGGAGAAACACGGCAAACCAAATGAAACATCAACATTGAACAACGCCCAAGAACGAAATGCTATCCTTTTGCCGGATCTGGCAAAAATTGTACTGGGTATTGTTGTCGCACCTAATACTACTGAATATCCATTGCTCAGTATCAACTTCAATATCTTCAAACCAACCAAACATTCATGCGTTGATCGTTTCCTCGAGTCGATATTGGTTCAACTATCGCCATGCAATTAACGCCCTAGCAATCTACAAAATACTGAAAGACAACGGTGTTCCGGACTCCCAAATAGTCTTAATGATTGCAGACGAATACGTTACCAATAATCGAAACCCACTCAAGAATGGCATGTTCGCCAATGGGGTGGATAACGCCAACTGGTATGATGAACACACGGAAATCGATTTCCGAGGAAGTGATGTAAACGTGCAGAACTTCATAGATGCTATGTTAGGAACATCACCTCGTTCGATACAATCCAATTCGAATTCTAGTCTACTGGTGTATGTCACTGGCCATGGAGGTGATCAGTTCTTCAAGTTTCAGGACGAGGAAGAAATCACAAGCCAAGACATTGCCAACTTGATGGACAAGCTCAACGCTGGAAAAAAGTTCGGCAAGGCCTTGCTCATAGCTGACACCTGTCAAGCGTTTACACTTTTTGACAAGGTTGAGACGCCCAACGTCCTTTCCTTGGGTACTAGTCTGCGAGGTGAGAATGCGTATGCCCATCATAGTGATCATGTGCTTGGCTTGTCAGTGATCGAGCGGTGGACAAATGGATTTGTCAATCAGTACTCTAGGTCAAATAGTCCCAAGAGCACTTTGAGTGACCTGATGGTCGCCCCTTTTCCAGGAAAGGCCGTATTGGGAGCTCACGTTGGGATCAAAGAAAACGCTATTCGTTTCAAGGACGTTTTGGCATCTGATTTCTTTGGCCCAAGGAAGTCTAAGAAGATGCCTCCAAAAATGATGAAGAGCAAATCTCTTGATCAGGCAAACGAGCAAGTTGCACAAATAGACACCGCCTCAAAACCCGCCATGGAAACGTCGGAGGTCAAGCGATCTCTGGCTGAGGCTGAACGAGAGTCATTCACGAGACAGAGTTCCGGGATAAATGAGGGGACGCACGATGGTACGAGACAAAGCCTATACTTGGAGTCAGCTGACCTAGTGTTTGTCTCGGTTCTATCAGCGCTGGTGAGCATCATCCTTGCTGCCAAAGTCATCGAAAAACGTGATACAAAAATATGATTCGTTCAAGAATACATCGAATTATTGTGAACAGATTTTTAAAGCCCTATTGTTAAAATTCTTCTACACATATTCCCACAAAAGACAAAGACTTAGACATATTGAGCTAATGGGTCTCTAATAGACCTCAACGTGCCATTGCTTGGCCTTCTTCAAGCCCTTGAGCCACTCGTCGTAGTCAAGACCCTTCTTCTCGGCGACACCCTTAAGCATGTCTTGAATTCCAGGCATCATTCCCTTCAAACCACAGAAGTAGATGTGGGCACCTTTCTCCAATTTGTTGAAGACCTCATCGGCGTATTCCTCGACCTTGTCTTGAATGTACATCTTACCTCCAGACTTGTTGGTTTGCTCACGGGAAAGAGCATAGTCCAAGCGGAAGTTATTGGGGAACTTGCTCTTAGCCTCTTGGAACTCGTCATCGTACAACAAAGCGTCAGAGTTGGCAACACCAAGGAACAACCAAGCTTCGCCCTTGTAAGCGTCGGCAGCAGGGGTCTTCTCGAAAAACAAACGGCGGATGAAACCACGGTAAGGAGCGATTCCAGTTCCAGTGGCAACCATGATGTAATCAGTGGTAGGGTCTTCTTCAGGCATCAACATAACCTTTCCGGCGGGTCCAGTCATCTTTATCTCATCACCAGGTTGGGTATCGCACAAGAAATTGGAGCAGACTCCCTTCTTAGCTGGGTCATCAGCTTTGAGCTCTGGGCACCAGTAGGTAGCACGGCGGACGCAAAGAGAACCAGTATTTCCGGTCATGTCATCACCATATCGGGAAGAAGCAATGGAATAAAGTCTGACCGAGTGGGGCTTTCCATCCTTCTCGCGGTTACCTGGTGGAATAACTCCCCAAGATTGTCCCTCCCAGTAGGGAAAGTCGCCTTCGTGGTCAATGATGATGTGGCAAGTCTCTCCCGTTGCCTTTGGTCCAACGATACGCTTGGTGGAAACAATCTTTCCTGTGAAAGGGGCCTTGTTCTTGTGAGTGTTGACTGGGACAGTAGATTGATCATAGTAAGGTTTGGCTTCCAGGAAGTCTTGCTTCTTTTCTCCTCCCAAGACATTCATTCCAATGGCACCAGCACCAATAACGGCGGCTCCTGCGGCAATAAGTTGCTTGGTGTTGTCGGCAGTCTCGACAACCTGCTTTGCGGCGTGTGCGGCAGGTGCAGCACCAGTGGTTGCCAAAGCGAAGGCACCAGCTGCACCGGCAACCTTACCGAGGTGCTGTATGTATTAAAAACACAAGGATATACATTAGGATTTGCTTGTCTCGTATGTATAGGATCAGAAGAATCATAAACTCACCTTCCTCAAAGCCTTGCGCTTGGATCCATTGGCCATGTCAAGGGAGACATCGGATCGGATGGGGACGGATGCTTGTGGGGCAAATGCGCTTGCCCCTGCAACAAGGGCGAGGGTAACGGTAGTACTCAACTTCACCATGGTAGTCAGTATTAGGTCTAGTTGTCCATCCAACAGCTCTTTTCCCTCTTCACGCTGACATACGTCATCTGTTGACGTGCGCGAAGCAGACGAAGATCGCGAAGTTGAGGTCGTGACGGGTGGCAGACAGGGAAACTTACACTGCGTCTTGATGATTCCATGTTGTGTCAAACGAATCTTATCCTTTTGGGGTTTAGACGGTGTACAAAGAAATGAATGATAATAATAATCCTTTCGATAGTAGTGGCTCCAAACTTATCATCAACGACGCTTAAGTTGTTGAGGTGTGAGCCTATGGTTATTTGTAATCCGTTGCATCTGGACGGTCAGATTTACAGTGAATGTTGACAACAAGGATACACAAGTATAGAAAGTGCGAGTCCTCATCTCAATCACCTGGCCAGATCACGTTGTGCAACGGAGCTGTGCAATTTGCAACTGCGCATAGCTGCGTCAAAAGATTTCTTTCTGGACAAAAACTCAAACCCACAGGATATATATGCCCTCGATTAGCTCCCTCTCGTCATTTTACACATTTTCAAGATGCTCGACAAGTGGTGGGGTAAATGCTGTTGAAACACAATCGTATCGATCAGATTCGTACTTTCGCTTCACAGCAGCAAGAGTCCGTCGAGCATTTGTTGATGTCGTTTCTGGGACTGTTCGTTCCATGAGAGAAGCAGCATCGCGGATCTCACAGATGGAAAAGCCAGTGTATCGAATCAACTTCTTTGGGATGCCCGGTTGGTGGCCTTCGTCGTCATTTTCGGCAAATTCGACAATATCTGGGTTGCTCATGGCAAGGGAAACGGCAGCTGCTGCTAGCACAGATGGTCTGAACTGCAGACTTTCGTGTTCTTGCAAGGTTCGCTCCATGTAGAAGCTGGCAAGATTTTTTGCAGTAGAGGATGCCTTCATGATGTCCAAGTATCGTTTCAAGAAGGGGTACCCAGTAGACACACTCAGTCTAAATTCAAGAGTCATCACAATGTGGGCTTCCATGTCGAGAACGTCCTGTCGAGTGTATGCACGATCAGTGATATACACACAGTCTTTGACTTCGGGAGGATAGATCTCTTCGTACTTGCAAGCCAGAAGGAGCGATGTTACCCCAACCAACTGCAGCTTTCTCCGAGGTACCGTTTCCTTGTTCAAATATCTATCTAGGATATTGACAGACAAGTAAAGAGTCTCGGGCAGAAGTCGAAACTTCATGTGGACTTCGACCAACCAATCAATCAGAATTTCTCGCATCAAAGTGTTCAATGCTGGTTGACTATTTATGAAAGGGCGTGGACTGGATTTTGACTGCATTGCAAGTGTGAGTTTTCCATTATACAATCAAGACCATCTCAAGAGGATGCTCCATCTCACCTCTGAATCAAAGAGTCGCTGAAAGATATCGGTGACATACTCATGCGCCTCTTGTGGATCGTCACTCTTATCGTTGTCGTGTACAGAAACCCCCGCTACATACTTGGAAGCATCAAAGGGGTGTCTTTGTAGAACATGTCCAGTGTTGATGATATCCGCGCAAAGTTGTCTGCGTACTGTAGGTTCTCCGCGACTTCCATTCCTAGGTGCCGAATTTCGTCGACTTTTTCGTGCTGGTCCTGAACTGTCCGAATTCAAAGATCGTGACCTCTTTGCGCCTCGTGAAGATGTTCTACGTGATCGCTTGTTGGATGGTTCCGACCTGGTTGCAGTTGCTGTAGCATTCTGGGTGGATGTATCTTCATTGGATGCAGCATTGGATAATCGGCGTGATCGTCTCGGCGCTGCAACACTCGTCGTTGTTTCATCCTCGGGTCTGCTTTGACTTTGATTGGCGCTTGAAGACAACCTTTGCGACCGACGGGTTGATTTATTAGCCAGCTCATTGTTGCTGGTCGACGCCTGGTTCGAAACATCTCCCTTTGAATCAAACGAAAGAAGTTAGAGGACACACGTGAAAGGCAACGACGCAAACAACGAGAAACCTGGACGTACCAATGCTCTACGCGATGCCCCAGTAGCATTCTGTGCCGATGATCTGGTCACTGGACGAGTCGCAGCGTTTCCTGCCATTTTATTACCTGATTTCCTCGTAGGATTCCAAGACTAAAACAAGAATAAAACCAATGCGAAGAATGAGAGCGCTGTTTGATTTGTCAAAAGTGGAAAACAAGGGAAGTTGGATTCTGTGTTGATACGGAGCCACTTGTAGTTTCAGTGTGTTGCTAGTAATACCGAGGCCTACTGCGGCAGTGAGTGGCATTGCTCGGTGCCCGAAACTTTTGACTGTTGGCGTCATTTTTTTTGTAAAGAAACACAATGGATGGATGGATGAATGGATCATGACGTTGAAAGGGCGCAACACACAATTGCAGCACCGAGATGCAAAGCGCAAATCATGTTCCATACGATTTGACAACCAATCCAAGCTTTTTCCCCCTCAGAATTCTTTCCGAATCATTTCACAATGCTTACCTGTGCCAAGAGAACGGGGATTCAAACAGCAACGATCAAGATAGTGTACGAACGATGACAACTCCTCCAACTAAAGGATCTCAATCATGAAGCAACCAAATGCTGGTTTGGTTGAAGTGTGATGTTTTGGCTTTGCGTCCAAGGTGCGGTTGTCAAACCAAAGATTGTCTGCGGTTTGCACGGGGAGATCTGGGACATCATTCTGTACAGAACTGGTGCGTTCGCCCTCGATTTTTTGGGCGCGTTAACGACATCGATGACATGGTTCAAACCATTTAAATATACGCAATATATATATTTCAAGACGTTGAATATGACGACGAAAAGACAGGCTACGAAACGCGGACTAAAACCCAATTAATGTTCTGGTTTGAAAACTGGGGTACGCAAAAAATGACAGGCACAGATGTCTCATGTCTGTCGTACCGATAGTCGATTTTTATCAAAAAATGCCAGCGACAAATTTCGATATCCCTCCAATGCAACGGCTGTACCCTGCCTGGTACCCTACTGGGCCAGCTCTTGGTACCCGTTGGGATCGTATCGGTACAATTTAATGTCGTGATTGAATGAATGAGGTAGCCCAGTAGTCGTTGAGAAGCTAGTCTTGACATTCTCCAAGGACAGTTTTCCCCAATCGCATGCTGGCAGAGGACGATCAGGATCGCAACAACGTTGCATTACATCCAAAAAGTACTCCAGCTGGGTGACGGCATCGGTCCAATCAGCATGGCTTACAGATGTTGCTGATAGTGTGCCAGCCGGTCGCACAAGGTCTACACAACGGCCTAGAGAGAGCAAGGCGCTCTCGAGTGCCACATCTGCACTCATCGTCCCACCTTGAACGGGTGTCTTGACGATTGTCTTTTGGAGTTCTGCCTTTAAATTCCCCAGAGTTGTAAATGCAGACTCCTGATTGTTTTTGGTTTCATGGAAGGAATTATTGACTTCTTCAACCAACCCCACCAATGCCCGACGAGTTCCCACCAACGCACGGTAGTTATCGCGTTGAAAAAATTCTCCCTATAGACAGGGGTCATGAGTTTGGAGAACTGTGTACTGCTGTAGCTAGCAATCAATACATCACGTCTTTGTGACTCACCTCGTTGGCAACACCCCGGAGATTGACAAGGAGGGGGCGTAGTACCTGCGACATAAGATAACATTTTCCCAAAAAGGCAGCTACCTCACTCTTGGAATATACGTAGGGATAGGTGGCGTACCGGAAACACCACGAGGACTTTGCGATACCTTTGTATACGTTTGCAGCGTGGTCAATTTTGTGTTGCAAAGCATTCAGGGGTGACTGTCGAGGCGATCGGACATGAATATCATTGAGATTGCACAAGTGGTAGTCCGTTGAAACTAGAGTCAAGTGAATGTGAATGTTCTTTCTCTGTCGTTGTCGCATCAAACCGTATTCATCGGTAGGCCTTTCGTAGATATCTGATTTCTCCAACCAATCCTTCAGATATCCTCGTCCAATCACTTCCTCTACCAGAGGATGCAATGATGATTCAGTCCACGATAGCTCGTCTTGAGCTTGCGTTATTATGCAGAGATTTGTGTTTTCGAGAGAGATGTCGTTGGCAGAACACAGATGGCGAAGGAATACAACCCCTGCCGAAGTTGCCTTCACAAGTCCGTCGTCTTCCGCCTCTGGTGATCCACAAAAGCATATTAAAACTGGTTGGTAGTTCTCGTATTTCATTGATCGTGCCAACGATACCAGTCGACTCGCGTATTCGGTTGTTATTTGATCGTCGGAGAGCGGCTTTGAAAATACAACAGCCACATGTCGACACCCGAGGGATAGCGATAGCCCTTCGTCTGCTTCCGCGTTATCATTATGATCCAACAAAAGTCTCATAGATGAGGTTTCCCTTGATGGGCGATAGCCATCCCTAGGGTGTAGCAACTCTTCGTCAATGGATTGTGCAAGCTTGGCGATACTGGATAGGTTCGAATCTTCCTCCTCTTGCCAGCCTCCAGAGAATTTCTTGGGAGTTCCATTCTGCCCCCTCTTTCCAGCAGCTTCCTTTGCTGCTTTTGACAACCTTGAAGCTATGGACCCGGTATTCTGATAATTTGGCGTCGCACCCTTCAGATCCTTCGATTTGATGGCCATGTGAAGGTGCGAGCTTCTTCCATTGGGACTGGGTCGTGATGGAATTGGAAACGGTCGAACTGGAAAGGAAGCCAAAAATATCAATGGCATCATAAAGCGGAGAATATTCATCGTTTGTTGACCGGGATCCATGCTCTTTTACCGTGGCGCAAAGGTCATGAGTTGAGCTTTAATCGTTGAGTTGGTTGATGTTGTGATACGATACATCAAGAGCGTTTTGTTTCTGTTCGAACTAGTCAGAGCACAAAACTCTGTGAGGAACGGAACGGGACCGGAAGGAAGCAGATCACATAGATCTATGGCGAATAATCCAAAGGTTCGGATTGTTTTATTGTATTCTACAACTGCTGGCTTTCAACTACGTTCTTAGTTGATGTACCATTGCAAAGTTAGTTTATTATTGGAATTACTTAGACTCTTGCTTTGCCCTTCAGCATAAGCTCTTTGGCTTCATTGATTTTTCCAGCCATATATGTAGATCCTCCTGTATCAGGATGATTCAGAACGAGCAACTTCCGATGGGCTGCTTTGATTCGTTGAGGCGAGCTCGACTCCCGCACGCCTAATATTAGTGCTGCCTCTCGTTTGGTCATTGTATCCTCAAAGCCGCCTTCGTAGTACTTTGACCCTACACCAACACCAAACCATTCCTTAAACACATTTTCTCTAGGCTTGTCGCTCCCTTTCTTTTCTTGTTGCTTTTTCTTTTCCATTTCTTCTTGCTTCAGCCTTTCTTTCTCCTCCTTCTTCCTCTCGGCTTCCATTTCTTCGTCCGATGGTAACGATGCCTTCCATGCATTATATGATTTTACCGCAGATGATCCAGCAAATGCTAGTGCTGAGACAGAAGTCAGTCCTAGGATGATAGCAACAGCTTTCTCCGATGGAGCAGTAGTGTGATATTTTCGTCGCGTATCGCTCTCGTCATCGCGTCGAAGAACGAAAGGGTCTGTGTTGACACTGATTTGAGGCTGATTTCCAATTCCATATCGCCCAGCAACGATTGAGAAATTTTCTCGACGTCGAATTTGGGATCTCGCTGCCCTTGTAAACAAGGTTCTGGAATACATCATCGTGACTTCGTTCCACTGCCAGCTATTGCAGGCTGTACCGTCGAGAGTTGAAGAATTCTGGGTCGTGAAGAAGCTGACGCATGACAGACATGGAAACAAATTGAAAATGCCACAGTGATCAACATTGATGACACATGTAAAAACAAATAGCAATTGAGCAAATACTATGCTATGTTGTTTTAAAACGGCTGCTTATGTAATTGATTTATAATTGAATTGCACGTCTTTCATCCAATTCATCCAAATTATAAAAGTAGTTCAAGATCTAGCTGCATAACCGACGAAGGATAGTTGATGTCAAAGTTCTTCAAAACATTTGGGTGCAAGATTCCAAAGGTTCCCAATCGGATCTTGTCCGAACTTCCTGGTTTCGTCAACATGACTTCCGCAGCACGTCCGGGGAAGTACATATTCTCTTCGTAGGCACCAACTGGCATTGCTGCAACTGTGTAATACCATCCTTCTTTGCTTACTCTATATCTTGATTCCTCGGCTTGATCCTTCTTTGTGGATGTGGCGACATACGATGCTTCTGGAGCAACCTCAGTAAGAGTCATGATTCGATCAACCAATCCATGAATAATTTCGAAACCGGAAGTTGGGCCGGCATAGACTGCAGCAAGCTTTCGGATGTTCTTAGCTCCAACTCTGGTCTCGGTGACAACATGCTCCAAATCCACTTCAACAACATCACTGATTTCGAACAATTTGAAGCCATTGGTGAAAGATGCAGATTTGTTGTGTTGCAATGTCTTCAACAGGCCAGGAAGCAAGGTAGTACGAACAACTTGGTATTCAATATTCGCTGGGTTGGAAAGCGATACAGCTTTTTCCAACTGTTGAGGACATTGAAGGGCGTCAAAGTTGTCATGAATACTGCACAATCCGTGAGTCAAGACCTCGGTGTACCCAGCACGCCCGATTTCTTCTCGAAGCAAGTCTCCAAGCTGATTCAGGGGGAATTCTCCTCCAACTGTATTCGTTGCTGGGACTCGCTTGACAATGTTGTTGTATCCAAAAGCGATACCAATATCCTCTGCAATATCAACAGGATGCAAGATATCGGAACGTGTGGGTGGGACGGTAACTTCCAAGATAGTATCATTCTCCAACAGCTTTGCGGGACCCAACTGCACTTTATTACACAGCGTTTGCATTTCCTGTGCAGTGATATTAATACCGATCAACGAATTGCAGAAATCTACCTTGGCTGTTTCGCGTCTAGTGGAAAGAGTTGGGGTCACATAAGAGTCGACGGTCTTGCCGGCCGCATCTTCATATTCAATCTTCACAGGAAGAACGGTAAAAGGGGAAGCGCAGTATTCGCTGAACATTGTAACCATGGTGTCCAAAACGATGTTTGCTTTCGTCAAGTCCGTTGCAGTACATTCAATGAAAACGTTTTTCGTATTCAAAGTAATTTTGGAGTGGTCACCATTGATCAGAGGAGGAAGTGACAAAACTCTGTCTTTGGAATCAGAGATCACTGGGTATAAAGGCGAGTCTTTGATGATAGGAACGTAGGGCTTCAAGTGCTTCGCAGACACATCAGTTTCATAAAAATTCAAAAGGTCATTGGCGTTGAAGCTACGATCGCTCGGAGTCAAAGGAACGAATTCAATTTCAGCTCCAGCCTTTGCATCATAAACATAGGGCCCCTCAATAGTATCCATATCGTGAGTACCAATTGCCACCAGAGTACGTTGACGGCATAGGTTTCGGTGCAGCTGATCTTGCAAATCAATGAACGAATTGTATCGCTCTTGAGTAAAGGTGATATCCTTGAGAACGGCACAAACCACAAAGGGACGGATAGTATCAGTGTTTGACTTCTTCACTTTCATAGTGGCAGCTGGTTCCTGCTGAGCAAGCTTGAAGACAGGAGGCTCCTGGTCCCCAAGGAAAATCTTCAATGACCTACTCAAACCTTCGATACAAAGAAGATCGTATCTATTGGCAGGAACATCTATCTTGTAGATAACCTTGTCTGAAAGAGCAGCGATTTGTTGCTCGCTGAGTTTCACAGTGGTGGACTTTTGAGCTTCCTCGCGTTCCGATGTAATCTCGTCCAATTCAATTCCAAACTCGAAGCAGAGCTCATCGAAGGCCTCATCGGTGTAGCTTCTGCCCATATGGGCGAAGAACTTTTCCTTTTCTACAGCAACGGTGGGCATTGTGATAAATCAAAGTGTCTGAGCCGGAAGATGTGGTACAGCGCTACTGTCAACGACAGAATCTTGTTGGATTCAATTGATGAAGGTTTCAAGTTTCAAGTTTACGGCAGTCCATGTTGCGCTTGTTCGCCCGTCAGCCGGGTGGCAAGGTTCAAGGTGGAACCTCTTGTGGGCGGGCAGACATTCGCCAACGGAATCTGGAACCTTTTGACTTTGAGAGTGGTATCTTTTCTCATTTGTGTTTACAGCTGCAGTTCACCTTCTGCTGTTAGTTGTGCCATTAGCCACTAGTAGACCTACAGTACCGGTACCTATCTAACCCTTCGTGCTGGTACGCTGCCTACCTTTGAAATCGCTATATAATTATCTATATGAAATTTACCAACGCAAGACTTTCTTCCCACAAGTTCAAAGTGTAATGAAAACGAAGATGATCCCGAACAAGATTGCAGAAATACGCTAATCACCACCACCACTTCCGAGACACAAGTCCAGTCCGCATGGCAAGACATTATTCTTCTCATTTTCTTCCTCATCTTCCGACTTGGCGCTGAGCTCTCGCTCTCCTGGTGTCCCATAGAATGATCCGACCACAGATACTAGATCCTCTGTAGTGCCCGCAGCATTTAGGTCCGGTGCTGTGGTGTTGTTTAGGAAGCAGACAACAATAGTGATATCATCGACTCGATCCTCGTTTTCTATCCACTGCGTATATGCTGCCTCCCGGAGTTTCTGACAAGCGTCAGCTGCATTGTCATTTTCTTCAACAATTGAACAGACCTCTTTGTTCGTCAGAAACTCAAAAAGACCATCACTTGCAATAACAAGGAATTTGTCGTTTTCTGTCAGCCTCCTTGTGATAATTTCAGGTTCGGCGACGACTCCAATGCTCTCTGCAACAGTATCTCCAATTGATCTTGTGAACGCAGTGCCAGGGAAGTCACTACCCTTCACCCATACGCGCGGCGGATCGCGAGTTGGGTTCACTAGTTCTCCATGTACCATGTCTCCCCAATCGTCATGCATTTCTTCCCGTCCTTTCAGTTGGTCTATTGATTTGATTTCGGCTCCTAAAGCTTGGACTCTGTCTCGTTCATCTTTTCGGTACGGAGTTTGATCTTTTGACAAGGGAATTGGGAGAATCCCATCCTCATTGAAATGTCCTAAAAGAGCTCGACTGTCACCAACGTTGCACACCGTCATTCTCCCCTTGTGAAAACTGATTGTTATAGCTGTCGTACCACTTAGCTTGTCATTGATCTATCCATCGCACAATTAGCAAACGGTCATAATTGAGCAAGCATTCTGATTTGGTACCTACCGTTTTGTCATCGTCAAGTGCTTTGTTTGTTTCGGCAAATCCCTTGCGACAGCATTCTTCGTACTCCTCAACCTCCAGAAGAGGCCAAAGCTCGGGCTTGAAAGCTCCCTTGGTTGATTTTCCTTCTGCTTTGAGTTTGGAGACGTAGTGCTGAGACCTCGTTTGACGAACGAATTTGGCAATCGATCGAGGCAGGTCCTTGTTGACAAAGCGAGCACAATCATGGCCGGATGCTCCATGACCATCACAAACTGTGAACATGACATCAGTTTCCTCTCCTCCAAACGTCAATGTAATGGAATGGGCGTCTTGGTTTTGCTTCCCAGGGACTTCAATGAAGGATTAGATTGATGCTTCGAAAGAAAGAAAGATTTAAGGTTGAAAAAGTAACTTACTGTCGGGGTAGTATCCTCTTTGCGTCACAGTAGCATACTATAAGGAGATTCAATGAAAGCTACTTGAGCGAATTGCTGTAAATGATCCAAATCAAACAAACTCATTACCTCAATGTCTGTCTTTTCATCGTCCCCAACAGTTGTTGTGCTCACAGATTCGCTAGCAGTTATCCGCTTTTGAACTTCCTCTGGCGCCAAATGACCATCACTGTCTAGCTTCGGAGGAGTGTGATCCTCAATCGCTCCTCCTTTTGTTGTCTTGTACATCGAGCTTGATCTTCTCAAATCAATCGGTTGCCCGTTGTCTACTGATTTGCCCACCAGTGATTTGGGGTCGGCCTTCGAACTACAACATCCCATTATCTCTTTTTTAGCACCTTCGCTTCTCGGCTCTCACTTTGAACTTGTTCCTGAATCGAATGGAAGCTTCTCGATGTAAATCACGTAGTAATGTTGTGTTTAGGATCAGAGATTCGATGGGTCGGTTGTCCTTGGCATTTTTGGCATGTACTTCTTCAATCCGAGCATGTCACGTTTTTTCAACGGATGTTTCCAATGGAAGCAGGTCTTGGGTGCGGTCGACTCGTGAGTGACTCAGTCAGTCCTTTGTTCTTCTCATCCATCCCGGTATATTGATCCATCTTCAAAAAATGAGGAAAACACGTACCGGTTATTACACCACCATCACGCTGCGGCACAACACAAACTGTAGTATGAAGTTAAACCCTATATCTCTCGTTCGTCTGTTGATTAGTGTTTCAGTTTTCGAAAAATGCCAACCACTGATGACACCCGATTCGATTCCCATGAACTATGCCTTTGTTCAAATCCTATCGACAAACATCATCCAATCAACACCTTCTTCGACAAGTACTTCGGCAATAGATGGGGGAAGTCTATTAGTTTCACTAAACAATGCCAACGCCCGCGTAGCGAATTATCAAAAAGATGGTTTCCAGAAAGACACAGTAATGCGAATTTTAGACGGCAACACCATCAAACTACAAAAGGGTGGGCTGGTTTCCATCGCAGGTGCACGGTTCCCTATTGCGTCATCCAGCAACTTTCAGTTTTCAGAATGCTACACATATGGTCCGACGTACAAACTTCGTCAGCTAGTTCCAGCAAAAACTGAGGTTTGGGTCAAGACATCAGGCAGCAAACCCCAGGCTATCATTTTTCGACAGAAAGACTCCTTGAATGTAAACCAAGAGCTTGTCAAGTCAGGTTTTGCGAAGGTTAAGCCAATCAGTTCCGAATTTGAAGCCTACCTAGACCCATTAAAACTCAAATCATGGGAGGCAGAAGCCAATCGACTGGGACTTGGCATCTTCAAGCAGTGTGATGCCAGTGTTGAGAGTAGCTTTGTAGCCGAGTTTGAACCATTGGAATATGATGTGGTGACTCAATGGGGCAACGATGGTGGAAAACAAATTGTGAAGCAAAAAGAGTCTACAGCTATCGTGCCTCCTAGAAATCCAGGGGATGTTAGGGGATGCTCCGACTTTGAAACCTACGAAGATGCACTCAGTTGGTTCGAGTACTACAAGCCGTTCTATGGAGATATTGGCAAACTGTAAGTAGAACACTAAACAGCGTCCAAGGATGGCTGAGTTGTTGCATAGAATACCTCATCAAGCACCTACATTCATGACACTATAAAAACAATCTGTCCAATCCACAGGGATCGAAATGGTGATGGCGTTCCTTGCCCAGGTTTGCCTCACACCTCTATCAGGGAAAAGTATCGCATGAAGAAGCCGCTAAATCAAGATCCGTCTACGCTTACAGGTAGAGAAACCAGGTGACATCAATTGCAGACGAAAGGGCCCTTAATTTTTCTGCCAAAGGATAACCTTTTTTGTCAGAAGCCATTCACAAAATATCTTGGTGGATTGAGACAGTATCGCTAGTTATTTCTGTTCCAAGCAAAGATCAGGCTTCAATACGACATCCTAAGGCTTTTGGTGCCAGTGTTCAACCGACTAATTCGAGACCAGAATGGCCGTCGGCAGAACACGATGCTCTCACCAATGCCCAGTATCGTTTTATGAAAAGAATCAAGACTCCTGGGTTGTTACTTCCGGATCCAGCTTGGCAGGACTTGCAAGTACATCCATATCAACACTTTGCAAAGTCGAGTCAAGATCTTCCAAATTTTCAAACTGGCAATGTGGAATGCTGAAGGATGCTGATAACTTCGACAAGGTCGAGTTTTCGAAATCTTCTTCAAAATCCGAAAGCAACTGTAGGGTGGCAGACAACCCCATGGGGCTAGATGGTTCGAAGGATGCAAATGGGGATTGGTCAAGCAGGTTATCGGTTTCAGCGAGAAAGGAATTTTGGTCGGTTTGCATTCCAGACCACCAAGGTTCGCCCTCTCCGAGTGAGCCAAGGATATCACTGGGAACATCCAAGTCTGGAGTTACACATTCTCCTGAAACATCTTCTCCCCCTTGGCCTTTTTCTTGTAGCGTTTCTTTGTCGATTCCCAGGTCTGGAGTTACGCATTCTTGTGCAATACCTGCTTCTGCTTGGCCTTTTTCTACCTTCGTTTCCTTGTGGCCATCGTCACGGGAAGCAATCGGAGTGAGAAGTTCCTCAGTGGTCACAAGTGATTTGATATGTGAACTTGTTTCAAGAGGTTGATAGTCTGATGAAGGCAAGATTGTGGCTACTGGGATATGAGAATATGTTTCCTCTGCCGCTTCCTCGCCGTTGTTGCGAGCCTTTTTGCTTTTTGTTGGGTATCCTGTGCTCGAATCAATATCTCGCTTGTTTGAACTTTTCACTAGCCGCTGAGGTTCTGTCCAGTTGTATCCTAGCTTTTGGTAAGAGGACAATGCGCCAAGTTGCGGAGAGCTGTAGGTTGTGGAGTTGAGAATACCATAGTTGTTTTGGGGCAAAGGATTCGGTTCGAAAACAGTCCCCACTGGGACAGCTCGAAGGGGTGATCCTGGGGATTGTGGGAAGAGATGGGCAACCAGACCACCCAAGTGATTGGTTTTGATCCAGGCAGTGGTTTCATGAACTGGCATGTTTGGGTCTTCGACCGGAACATGGGATCCTGTAGAAGCGACCTTTGATTCATGGGCGTTCGCCATTTTGCTCGTTTGGGCAATGACTACTGTGCTTCCCGTTGCTGCAACCCGTGATGATCTTCGAGTTGAAATTGGTAATTCCGAAACAGTAGTAATATGAGTAGTAGTGCTTGTCCGAATGACTTCTTGAGAGCTGTCTAGATCGTTTGATATGGAATGACAAACGTCCTTTTTCCTTTTGGTCTGTTTTGGCTTTGCAGGATGTTGAAGACAAGAAGATTTTGCATTCTTCCATTTTCGACAAGCAGCTGATATTTTTTTCAAGACACTTGTGGGTGGTGCGTCTTCCCAACACTCTTTCTCGAGATTATGGCGAACGAAACGAATCCCTTTCGCTTCCAAGAGTTTTGCGATCCTTTGGCTTACTACCTTCTTTCCATCCGACTGAGCATAGTCTTCGGCATTCTCCTCGACTACTTTTTGATACATGACATGGAGAGCAGCAATATCGTCATTTTTGTTCCAGTTTCTCCCCATTGGTATTGCGTTGGGTGGAATTGGTTTGTTCTTTGGATTATCGACGACTCTTGGATTCAGCATTTTGCTATCAGGAGAAGGCATGGTACGAGCATTGTTAGATGGGCTGGAGAACATGGTGGTTTGTTTCGTTCCTCTCTAAGGATCCTTGTGGTGGTAAGTGAAGACGAATTGTTTGTTACAGGGACCAATGCTTGCTGTTTGACGGATTGTTTGTTGACTGAACAAGATGTTTGAGGATCAAACTTGCCACCAAAAAATGGGCGCGAAAACGATCGGATCAGTCGAATAAATCCTCGCATTTTATCTAATCTATCTACCGGTATCGTACTGGTACCAGGGTACCGGTACCTTGCAATCCACCCCGCATACCGGTATTAATAGATCCGATGCAACTACGAACTAAAGTAACCATATCGACAGCAAATGAAACATTTTTCTTCCTTTGCTTGTAATCCAGCGATAAACTATGCTTGATCTTCGAGAAGTCAAAACAACGCGAAAGAATCGCAATGAAGATGAGAAGTGGGACGAAGGAGAGCCGCAAGTCGAGGAACCCGTTTTGGAGGAAGAAGAGCTCTTGAACCGTTGTCGCAAAGCTAGGTCAGAGGACGAATTATCAAAAGCCATGGATGCGCTTGTTGAGAATGTAAGACAAGGAAGGTCGTTGAGTTTGGTGGCGAAGGAATCCATTGTACGCAACGTTCTACTGGAAATTCCATATCGCCTCAACAAAGACAAAATGGATTTAGTCTTTGATGGTTGTGGAATTCTCACAACGATGTCGGCGGTTGCAAATTTGATCAAACAACTGTCAACTGAGTTGGTCCTGCCATCATCTGTCACCAGTAGTTCTACTGCAAAGCAATCAACAACAAAACCGACAACCGATCAATCTTCCCCTGCACAGCCGACTTTGCAAATTCCAAGTGTCTTGCAAGCTTGCTTTGCAACAATCTATCGAATGCTTCTGTTGGTTCCGACATCATCAGAATTATCGTCTTCTTCATCTATATCCATAATGTCACCAGCTTCAACTTCACAGGCTGTACTTCTTGTCGAAGATTTGCGGACAGAGAACGTTGCCACCTTTGTGCAGATGATTTTGCTGTTTCCACAAATAATATCCAATGCTTGCCACAAATGGAAGCTTCATCCGCCTGCTTGGGCCGCGGCTGCCCAATATCTTCCAAAGTTGGTGACCACAGCCTTCATTGTAGCAAAGAAAGGAAAAGCACCAGACCAAACGAAAGACTCTAGAAATCTGAACCCGCTCATCATTGAGGTTGGCAACACTCCCAAGAAGCACCACGCAAACGACGAAAGAGACAACAGCAGGGAGAATTCATCCTACTTATACTGCTCTACCCTTCTGAAAAACATGTTACGAACTCTCAAGGGCGATCATGTAGCCAAAGGATTGAAGCACCAACATCCTTGTGGAAATGAACTCGTTCGAGTTTTGCTACCAAATTTCTCTGGGAGAGTCGATGACGACGGCGACAGTGATGATGATGATAGTGTTGGCTATGAGGCTCGACTTGATGGCAACTATATGGACACCATGTTGACTACGAGGGAATTCACAAGCTTAGTTGTCTCCATCCTTCAGCTTCATGTTGCCTCATCACAAAACGACAAGAGGAGCTTGAATGCAACTGCGACCACACCAGCCGCGCAGTCTTGCCTCGAAGTATTAAAAGCATCAACACGAGAACACCGAGAGGCGCTAGTACAGTCAGTAGCTCTCAGTGGCAAATTCGACCCGCGTATTGGGCCTATCTTTGTAAGGCTGCTGTACAATTCCAACTACTTGTACCCTCATTTGTGCGAGATTGCTGAACATTGGTCACAATGGACCTTTGTCCATGAAATGGAACAAGAGAAAACCCAGCGATATGTGACAAACCTTATTCTCGAGGGGCTGAAGCTCTTGGTGCAAGAAGAAGACGGGGACAATAAGAATTCTCGTGATCCATCAAGGGATGAACTGACATCTTCTCTACTACAGGGTGTAACACACCGACTAGAATCTGCCTTTCCCCCGATTCGAATGGACGGAATGATGGTTGGTCAAGAGTTGGCCAAACGTTTAGGTGAAAAGTTGCAGTTTGACGAACTGATGGAAGCATTTGGAACAGAAGCCGGTAGTGAAGGTGTCGGTACCCTCAGTCAAGAGGATACAAATGATAGCAAAGTCGCACCAAAGAGCAGAAGGGAGAGCGACAAAGTACACAAGATTGCCCCTGATGTTGTCTACGAAAGTAACCACGAGGGAAGGTATGACTTGGATGATGCGAACAAAAGCCATGATGACCAATCTGTCACCTGGAATGATGACTTAGTCCCTTATGATCTCGATGACCCCGAAGAGGACCTAGTGGAAACGGAGAGGCCATATCATTTGCTTGAAGCTTTGGAGCTCATAAGGACGGTAGAAAGCGAGGAACACGCATACAGTAACCACGAGACTGGACTGAAATACTTTCCTGAATTGATTCAGTCAAGACCGGACAATTTGCCTGATGTTGCAGTTTCGCTGCTACTTTCGCTTTTGAAGATGGAAAATAAATTTAACATAGAAAACTTCTTGGAGATGAGACAAAAGGCAATCACGTGCCTCGTCATTCAGGAACCACGACTTGTTGGCGAAACGATGATCGAGGAACTTTTCAAGGATTCTGGCTTGTCAGACCGACTGAATATTCTGGTTGCACTCCAGGACGCTGCATATGTTTTGTCTGGCAGCCAATCCTTGGTCAACAAAGAAACGAAACCGATGCAAAGGTACGTAGGAATATGCTCCCATTTCTACAGTCTGTGCGAAACATATATGTTGACGTCATTTTCTTCAGGCAATTACAAGATGGTACACCCAAGATTAGTAAAAAGCGACTGACCTCACTTGAGCTGAAAAAGCAGGAGCAGCTCATTAGGATCGAAGAGAAGACTCGACGGAAGAGAAGTCGCCCGACGCCTCTAGCGGTCGTTCAAAATCGATTCACTGCTATCGCTCCTATGTGGTTTTATTCCATGCTTCAAAAATTTATTGACAACAACGAAAACGAGTCGTTGTGGAGAGATTCATCTGGCTCTCATTTCTTGGCAAGCTTCTTCAGAGTCTTGGCTGCAATAGTGGAATTCTCGGGCATGCACAGTGCGCAAGTGTTGGGAAAAGATTTGTTTGATCTTGTGTGGACTTTCCGAGATGCAGATGTAGCAGAGGTTCGAATCTCTGTGTTGGTAGCGACCGCAACCTCATTTGCCACGATCCCTGTCGACCGTTTGCTCGCACTTTTCATGGATCACGATATTCTCGCCATTTCATTGGCATTGAATGCTATATCTGAGAACGACCCAGATAGCGGTTGCAGGACGATTGCACAAACAATAAAGCAGTCATTGAATGAAGTGTCAAACAGATCTGTAATTTTGAATTAATCCTATAGTTCCTTCCATGGTATAAAACCGAACGACCAACTTCGAAATGGTCAGTAGAAAATCAAACAGTGAAGGGAGTCTACACCTCTTCTTCTGTAATTTGGTCCTCTTTGAACTGACTCTTTCTCGTTGTCCAGCCTTCACCAAAGCCATTTGTTCCGTCAGGTCCCTGTAAAGAGTGGACATGTGAGATAACAAACGCGAACCGCGAGAACAGGGCAAACGCTGGAGGTCTTACTTTCGCCATCATCGATTGTGCCATGATAGTGCCACCTCGATTCTTCTTGACAGTGAGGTTTAGCTTCGGCCTTTCTTTGTTTCTTGTTCCCAACTTGGACTCGAGATAAAGGTCTGCGGTGCGACAGATTCCGTAGAGCTTGCCTTCATGCAAGATCGCCTCCACAGGCTGTTTGTCTTTCAAGGCAGCGACATCGCAACTCACTACTTCGCTCAAATCTACATCGTACACTTCTTCCTTTTCGTTCGCAGTAACGAACTTAGCTGTCCCGGAGTTTCGATTAGATGGGTTCGTTGCGGGCTCAATTTTCTCAAGGCGACCCTGAATGAATTTCGCTGCACTCCTGGTAACGATTCGCACATCACGAACACCAGAACCTTTTTTGGCTTTCACGAATGACACCATATCGCCGCGTCTTGGATTTGTTGATCCGTCCATGCATGAAGATGATCCCGTACCGTGAATTGCGATAGCTCCGTTCTTGTAGGGGAGGTGAATTAGTGTTCGAGGTGACGTATCAACATCAGCGTCTAGCTTTGCACCGCCATCCTCCATACCTTCAATGCTTAGGCCATCGTCGGTGCTATCGAAACTATCCAGGCTCTTGGCATCGTCGTCATCACTCGACGCAGACCGTGCCTGTCTCCTTCCGTGTCTTGCAAACATGTCGGTCTTATCTTCAAGAAGAAGGATGACACCATTGCCGTGGGTATCAACGGACTTGTTATGCAAATCGTCCCATCTACCCCCTGATTTGTCGGTACCTGTCGACATGTGAGACAGTTTTTTTCTTAAAGGCGTATCAGAGAGGCTGGTATGCGATGGTTGTATAACAATGAAACCATGACATGCATTTGCTGCCGCTTTTGAAGGAATAGTTCCTTTTGGCAGCACTTCCACGTTGGTCGCAACCCGTTTTCCACTTTTCTCCACTGAGATATCGAACTTGACTTCATCACCCCGACGACAAATAACATTGTTCGAACCTTTGTCCTTCGGTAAGTGGAAAAATAACTCTTCTTTTTTTGTCGCCGTTTCGTCCAGAAGGGAAATAAATCCAAATTTGCGTTTGGGGACAACTTCCTTGACGATACCGATCCCCGAACCAGCTACAGTTTCTTGAACATCTTCTGGAGAAGGATTCCTCTCAACAATCTTCAGATTATGGACCAAGAAACGCCCAGTCCGTCTGCTTTGGCCAACATCGAAAGATACTAAATCACCAACCCCTGGCGGAACATTAGTCTTCAAATCTTCGATAAGACTTGATTTGTCGTAATGTACTTGACGATTGTTGGAACCTTTCGACGGTTTCTTCTTTGTTTTTTCACCAGCAGTGCCTTCACCTGGCTCTGTATCTCCCTCTGAGGCTTCCGCCACAACTCGTTGGATGGACAACCTACCAGGGTGAGCAGAGGGACCTGGTGCAGGAATGTGCGAGCACTTCAGTAGCCCGTTTCCGATTGATTTCACCATTTCAGTCACAACACCATCCTCTTTGATGCTGAGTATGTCACGGAAAACTAGTGAAGATCGCCCATTAGGTTTGCCGCTTTCTTCCAGGAACGAGTGAATCATTTTGCCAACCAATGGATGGCGTTCTTCAAGCGTCATAGCTTCAAGGTCCTCTTCTAATTGAATCGTTCCGGAATAAGCTTCTTTGGTATTCACCGAATTAATCTTCGCTGTGAGCCCCTTCTTCACAACCTTTTCCATTTCGACCGCTGAGGGAGGGAGCAAAAGTATCCGGTGGCCCTTGATATTCTCTCGTTCATGACGTTGTACTCGTCGACCCTTTGGATGTTGGGCAACAGTACCATGTGCACATATATCGAATTGCACAGCGGTACCTGCTTCTAATCGTATTGGTTTACCGTCATATCCAAGCTGTTTCCTCAAGTCGGATTGGAGCTCCTCTGGAAAGAAATTGAACGTTTTGAAATGCACATCAATTGGGCGCTCGGAAAAGTGTATGAATCCATATCCCGACGATTCTTTCACTGTGTGCACGACACCATCGGCACGATGTACAAGCGAAGCAGCAAATAGACGCACGGCAGGCGATCCCACAATTGTTTCTTCTGGAGGTTGTACACTACCACCGATTCCAACGGTGTGTTGTGTGGGTGAGGCCCGATATGAACCATCAGCGACTTCCTTGACAACGTCAAAGAGAAGAGTATCGCCATTCTCTATCCACAAGCCCATTGCGTTCGATGACTGGTGTTTGTATGTGTACGTTCCACCCGGGGCATCTGAAAATTCAAGCAACACATTCTTGATTGTCTCTTCGCCATCAGAAAGTGGATCTTCCAATCGAATAATACCATACTTGTCGTCGTTTCCAATTGGCGGATGAGGGCATACATCCACGATGCCCTTGACTCCCTCTGCAACTTTGGTATGAAAGATGACACTCCCTGCCGGGAGACACTCGACACTTCGTGCACTCCGTTTCTCGCTTCCGTCATTGTCCAATTCGGTGACCACAAGAAACTTGAGCTCTTGTCCTTTTTGCAGTTCAAAATCATCGGTATCATCCGACATCAGCATATTGGAATAGTGAAAGTAGACGTGGTCGCGACGCTTGTTGCTTTTGATGAAGCCAAAACCATTGTTCAAGGAAACAACGATTCCTTCTTCTTCGACTGCGGTTTCCATCAGCTCCTTCTCCTTTTCAGCACGCTGGCGCTCTTTTTCGGTCTGTAGAAGCTTGATTTCTTTTGCATACTTTTGATTCGTTCGATGCTCAGTAAAGACTCGAAACTCCACTAAGTCTCCCCGGAAGAGTCTGGAAGACCCTTTTCGTGTGGATTGAAACTCGTGAGCGCGATATCGAATCAATTGTCCTGGCGGCGCTTTAGATCCATTGCCATCACTGCTCTTTGTATCGTTATTCTCGTCTGCATCTTCGGCGACTAAACGAATGGTTCCTTCCCCATCACCACTGTTGTTGCGTTGATCGTTGCGTGCTGTCTTCTCCACTGTACCTCGGAAAATTTGTTCCCGATAGTCTTCGGTTTCCCATACGACTGTTCCTTCTGGCACTCGGAATAGCTCATATGCAGCAAGCTTGGACGGATCATTCTTGGATCCACCGACCTTGAATTCCACTTCATCGTCAATTTTCAGCTCATCTGGATGACAGTTCGAAACTTGCGAATAGTGAAAAAAGATCTCTATAGGTCGTTGGGCACAGTGGATGAAGCCAAAGGAATCCCTTAGGGAGCAAACCACCCCTTGTTCCAGTGGCATGTTTGAAGTGTCTATGCGATTTTGACGGCCGCCCCGTCGGCCATTTCGATTGCTCATGTTGATGACAGGTTGGTTGGTTCACTTTTTCAAAAACAGGAATGACAAAGAACTTTGTCGACTGCTATTGTAAAAAAGGAACGACGATTACTGAAATTACGTCCGAATCTGGCACAACAGACTCTACCAAGATTCCTATCAGTTAAATTGGATAGGAAGGACAAGAAGAGCTTGCTCAAACCGACCAAGAGCTCGGCTTCTTGTGGTAAAATCACAAAAGCTGCCCTTTCTGTCGGTCTCGTGCGACGGTACGACCGTCGGATTTTTCGACTTCTTTGGTCTTTTCGAAAAAATCAGAAGCCGTAAAACAATCTGGAAACCACAATACAGCCAACAGACGACTGACATTGACCAAACACAAGAGCCCAAACTGCCATGGAAGTCCTGAAACATCTTGAAGTATACTCAAAAGTAACGGAAGATGCCAATAAGAGCCTGAAATCGAGTTGCTGGCACCTCACCAAGTCGCGAAAGCGATACCAAGGAGGATTCTTGGCATCTGTGGATTCATCATACTCAGCTGGTGATTTGAGAGAAGAGTTCTCCGCGTTGTCAGTATTGGAGACTGCAGAGCCTGCTTTACAAGAAGAAAGTGATAATGTCGAAAATATAGCGGGTAATGCGATTGCATGGAGACTTGTTGATGTTGCTGAAGCCAAAGAAAGAGAGGAGGCCAAGACTCAACGAAAAAATGACACGGGCCTAAGACAACGGAACCAAAAGGAAAACCAAGTACAAGCAAAGCCATCCATCCAAAAGGATGATTTAAAAAGCATCGACCCTTTGAGCTTGTTTGGCGGTCTGGCGCCTCAGGACCTTAGGCAGGCACAGAAGAATGCCAAACAGGCTTTAGCGAAGTACATTGACGCTGCCAACGAAGTCGCTGCGATACAACAGTTGATAGCGACAAAATTATAGCTTGAAATTGTTTCCAGTAGTGTGGAGCTGCTCATTAGTTGTTCGTTGTGTCGCCATCGTCGCTATCAGAGATTAGGAGAGACAGTTGTACTATAGCGGGTTTTCAAGGTTTTCCTTCATCAGTGCGGATCATCCTTTTAGACACCGACAGCTTCTTGCACCCTACTTTCAGAGCTTAGGACCACCCGCCTAGACGACACGAGGGTCTATGTGCAGTACAAATCTGTATCCTTCGATTCTCCATCCATGAATGCTCTAATTTCTCTGTCGTTGTCCACAGAAGTCCATCATAGGCATATTGTGTAAGGCAAGAGCCTACACGATAGAGAGGGTGGTCCCTTTCTTCAAGTGAATTGTCAGCCATGTTCTCCTTGTTCTCATGTGAACTGCCTTCGGCTCCATTCACCTGCTTGCGAAACCGACATCACCATATCCTCTCCATTCTGCATAGTTCCATTTTTTGTCGTCTGCCGGTAGTTAAATCGTCGCAAGGCACGTCGATTTGCCAGGTCAATGTCCGAGAGTTGTTTTCTTCCCTTGAAACAACATAGCAGGATCGCAAACATCATTACAAAAATTACAATACACAGCATGAAAGCCTCCGTCCCTCTCTTGTCTCTCGTTATCCGAAGTGCTCTTTCCGCTAGAGATCCACTCTCCACGCAGCCAATTTTGAAATGATCAGTGGAATCAAAGAATTTGACACGCAAATCGGGAGTAAAATGAAGTTCGTTGTCATTGAAGCCGAAATCTGGAACTGTAAAGTTAAGGTAGGCCCTGTACTTTCCAAGTACCAAGTTGCATGTCTGATAATCATTGTTGGCATCGTCATCATTATAACGTCTCCTCGACTTTGCTGACAATATATCATAGGATAATAAACATAGATTCGTAGAACCCATCACAACTTCGGCACTCCCAGAGTAGATTGATGAAACTCTGATGTCTAATTTGCTTCCCCTCGAGTATTTCTTCAACCAAACTGGTTTAGGGAACAGGGCAAAATTAGATTACGATATCGCGCGTATGCAAAATAACAGAGAAATGCTTCCATGACACTCACAATCCAGTGTCACCTGTGCAAAACTGCCAACGCTGCAAGAAGGACTCTGATCGTCGTCCTCAGAGCACGTCATGGTCATGCGATCGACAGTTATGGCACGGCGACTTCTACTTTTCGGGGCACAAGACTCTGCAATTGTAAGAACCGTATCGTCATCAACACCATCATCATTTGGGTAGTTTGCCGAAACGCAAATTGCATTGAAAAGAAATGCGAAAATAATGAGGAAAGCAAGACTTCTTTGTTCTATCCTTCGACGATTCATTATCCACAATTGCCTTGATGGATGCGATGATGATCGCTATTTCCACCACGGTTGTCTCTCGTCGTTGAGCAACCAGCAATACAAAAAGGACGAACGGGTAAAGTAATGATTATTGGCACACTACCTTGATTGCCTTTGACACTACTGCATGGAGTGAGGCCGTCGACTTCTGAGCCGTTGGACAATGCACACAAAGAGGTTCGACAGGCTTGGCGAATGTCGCAGGTGATCGCCGATCCGTGACACTGTCTGTCCACGTGTACGTCGCCCTTGGTGGAAAGATATTTTGGCAAAACGTCGAGGACCAAAGACAAAAGATGATTCACTGCGATGAAAATGAAATCAGTTTCCAATAACACGATAGCAGTATTTCTTCTTATCTTGGCAGCGAAGTCAGTCGCTTTCAACTCAGTTTCAATCCCAACGAAATTGACATTTGCGAAGGGAATCAACCCCATGATTGCTTCGTCGTGGCATCAACCTGCGTGTTCTTCCGTGAGATCAATTTGTCTCCATGAGTCAAGTAGCGACGGAAAAGAATCAAGGGAAGAAGAAATAGACGACATTGAAGCTGGGAAGCCCCAAGACGAAGATAAATCTCTGTCACGCACAGCACGCTTGCGGAAGAAACTCTTTCCACCGAAGGAAGACGATGGTTTGACCTTCAAGCAAAAACTTTCCAAAGCTGGCCTATCGGTTATGTTATCATATGGATGGGTTTCAAATGTGTCATATTCAATCACTGTATCTTTGGCTTGGTTCATTTTCAGCAAGCAAACTGGCTTGTCACCTTTGGCCCCACAGCAGTGGAAGAAATTCCTGGCTGTTTATTCAGGTTTCTACGTATTCAACAACATTGTCCGTCCCATCAGACTGGGTATTTCTGTCGGTGTTTCGCTCTATTTCGAACGGTTAGTCAAGACCATACAAGAGCTACTACGAGTGAAGAAGGGAGTGGCCATCTTCATTACAGTTTTTCTAGCCAACGTTGTTGGAACCATTGCCCTCATGTGTCTTGGAATCTGGCTAGCATCCATGGCCGCTGGGGTCCCCGTATTTGCTAAATAATGGTTGAATACTAGCGCATGCTAATCGATTCTGAAAATGGATGATATGTCAGCGGAGTGTTGGGTGGTGAGTACCTGGTACCGGGTCTGAATTGGTTTCGTCTTGTTAGTGCTGGTAGTGTTGTTTGAGATTGATAAAAAAAGACAATGTGT